ATCAATAGGCGGTACTTTCTTTGTGCTTTCTTCTTGGTATAGCGATCAAACACCTGTTTGAGCCAAGCAAGAGCTACCTTGTTGTTTGTCCAGCCTGAAGGTGACGAGGAAACAAAAACAGAGTGTACCCCTGGCTTGATTTCCTCCACCCAGCTTGACTGTATAGTGTTGTTGGTAGACTTGTATAGGAGGCCTGGTGGCAGTGCCGATCCATCCCCACACACACACGCTATAAGCGTCACCCAGGCACGATTACCATCTTGAGTAGTTGCTGTAACCTCCTTCTTCTCCCACATACGTCTACTGAAGACGTGCTTGGTCCTGGTGGTGACTCCGATCATAAAGCCCTTCTCATCCATATTGTATGTGTGCTCAGGGTCAACGTCGTATTGGGCGATTTTGGTCTGCAACAGGTCGAAATAGAGCTTGTACTTGGTATACAAATCGGCATTGTGGCAATTGCTGTCCATACCTGTTGAGTATTGAGAGATGAGATGGATCGAGTGGTTGTTGATAAAGCGGGTAACCCAGCTCTCGCTGACTGGCTCTGTGGCTATTGACGACGCGAAATTTGCTATCATTTCCCTTGTAGGAGGTAGACAGCGAGCTGTAAGCTCCTCTATATACTTGACAAGCTTGTCCTCCTGTTGTGGAGTGAGCTTTTGTTGTGCAATTGCCTTCTCTTCACGCGATCGCGTCTCGTGTCAATATTTTCGAGACAGGGTTGAGCGCACAACCTTATGTTTTTTAGCCAGTGCTGTCCATGGGATCTTATTGCATGGTATCATAGAGTCTATCTCTTCAAAGGCAGATTTCATAGTCATTGTGGCATTGAGTAATTGTACAGTGAAGTATGGGTACAAAAAGGTGGTTCGGCGCATTACGCGAATCCGCGCATTACGCGCACGGACACGGTACCCGTTTATGGCCATTCCCTTCTACTATATAGTCCCGATCGATTCCAGCCAATAGTTAAAAGAATCAATCAACATCTCAACCCTTCCACACCTTCTCTTCCATAGTCCGTGCATCATGGGGTGGGGCACGGTAATAGAAAAGTCATATTAGGCGAACAGAAAGTTGAATCGAAGTGATACTTCACCACACTCATGCTCTACACATGACGATTACGGCAGTACTACTGTAGGAGCGCACGGTCTACTACTGCTACGGTATAGCTCAACACCTTCACCGTTACGTCCCACACAGTACTGCAGTAGTGCCGTACCGTTACTATCCATAGTACTGACTGTTGAACACGCTGATACCTTACCGGTCGGACCAACGGCGCTGGAGAGATCTGGGAGTTCCCCTTGCTAGAAACACCACACGATCAGCTCCCCGAGCGTGGAGGGAAACGTCTCGTGGGAAGAAGGCTGCCCGCATCATGGTCTGAGTCGCAGTACTTTGAGAGCCAACTCGGCGTCGAACAAGCGCGCTACACTCCCAGTGGTGACGCCGTCATCTTTACACGTAATGTGAAGGATGACGCGACCGGAAAGTTCAGCTACAGATGTGCACGCCGGCATCAACGCCGTCTTCCAGCTGGACATCGCCTGCGGCCGCGTCTCGGAACTCGTTGCTGCGGCTGCAAGCCTGCCGAATAAGCCAGCGACTCCAGGCGGAGCGAGTATGCCGCGCTTATCGAGGGATGGGAGGACACTGGCGTTTGTACGGCGGAGCGATGATAGAGAGGTCTTGGCGTGGAAGGATATGCGATCAGGTACTGTGCATCATGCTTGGGGTGGACTGGAGTACGATCTGAGCACTATACCGGCTTTTGTGGGCACATATCCTAATTACGGGTGGTCCAGAAATGATAGTATCATTGTTCTTTGGTCACAGGGCCAGATCTGGTGGGTAGACCTCGTGCTCAATGAGCAAGGGGAACGCGTGGCTGAGCGGACTCCTTCGGTGCTAAAGTTTGAGGCGCAGGTCGAGATGAAGCTTACGAAAACACGTTACTCGGAGACAAGGATCAGGAAGGAGGAACTCGCTTTTCATCGACGTATTAGAGCTTTGCGAGGACTGCGGAGTGACTTCACTGGTCATCGAGTCGTCTTCGAAGCCGCGGGGGACAACTACTTGGTTGATCCGGTTACGGCAGCTGTGTTGGCCATTCCGAAGCCGTTGTCGGAGAAATCCTGCTATGCGCCATCCTTCGTCAAAGACTCGGTTCTCTTCTTGTAGGCTTGCTGGGACGATACGACACTGACAAAATTCTATGTTGCTGATATCGATGCGGATCGTGTTGTACAGATCGAAGGATTACGGCGAGGCAGATACGTAAGTCCTGTCTCGAATGGTACATTCATTGTATATGTACGGACTGGTAAAGACTACATGTTTGGCGATGTGGAGGAAACTTTCGGGCATGGGGTGTGGGTTGCTGAACTCCAGCTGTTTGCCAACGGGTTATCTACCATAACAGACGCGTGATTACTCGATATACCGGGCGTTACGGCAGAGACGAAGTTAGATCTCGTACAATACACACGTGGCTGTATCTTGCGTGTACAAACTAGAGGCTCCGTTTTGCTGTACTATCTCGACGAGCAGAAGCACCCACAGCGCTTCGCATCAGTCTCAGCAGTGGAAATGACAGCAAGCTCTTCCTCAACCATCGCATTCTGCGACTTTCAGCATACCTGGCTGTCTGAAGGCCCACTACTGAATCAATTGGATATCCGCAGCAAACCACTAGATCCAAGGGCTCCTGTCGACCTTGTCCGGCTGTCTCAAATTGGCGGACACGACATCACGTTCAGCGGTGATGGGAAGATCTTCTGGCTACTGGGCTCGTCACTCAACTTTGCTGATGTCCGCCAGCTCATCAAGAATTGCTACGCCGTGTCCTTGGAATCCAGAGATTCTGGTTTCTGTGCGCAACCTCATGTTCGCTCACTCGAGCTTAACGTCACATATGAGACGGCTTTAAGCCGGCAAGCATCTGAGACCGGTGGCAAAATATTCCCCGTCACCGACGCTACGCTTGTTGCTATGAGCGATCGGCTCCCGCGCGTCCTTCAATACGGCACTATGATCATTCGGAATGGTCAGATTTAGCCGTTAGCCCATCGACTGAGATTCCAATACCGCCAGCCGCTAAAGTACTCGATTCTCAAGGAGCAGTGGTTCTGCCCGGATTCATCGACGTGCATGGCCATTGGGGTGGTATTCTGACGCCATATCCACTACGTTCGTGAGAGATGGAGACGTTTCTTGGCTATGGCGTTACAATAATTCACACCCTGCTTCGCACGACGTATACGGGCCAGCCGAAAGAGTGCGCATCGAAAAAGGTCGCATGTACGGACCACGCGTCTTTGCCACGGGAGACGTGCTGTACGGGTCAACGCAGCCATCTGCGTATACCGAGATCAATTCCCGCCAGGATGCTCGCGAAGCACTCCTTCGCATCAAGCTGGAAGGCCGCTACTCTGCCTTTTCGGCCAAAAACTATTAGCTGGCAGCCAGACCTTCGCGGCAGAGATTACTGCTCGAGGCCGAGGAATTGAACATGCTGGTGGTTCCGGAGCGTGGTTGGTCGCTCGACTGTGGCCTGACGTACTTCATTGAGGGGTACACAACCCATGAGCATCCTTTACCAGTACCCAACCTTTATGACGATGTGCTGTCTTTGATTGAGGCGAGCGGGAGTTCATACACCCCGTTGGCAGTCATGAATTACGGTGGCATCTTTGGCCAACACTGGGTTCATCAGTCAGTGGATATTTCCACTGATACGAAGTTGCGAAAGTACGTGAAGCACGACATACTAGAAAGCCTCACGGAAGTCAAACAAGCACCAAAAAGCTAGTACCAATTTTTCAATACATCACGCTCAACAGCTCGACTCGCGTAACGTGTAGTACGGACCAACGTTGGTGTGCATGGCGAGCAACCAATAGGTATTTTGTATCACTGGGAGATGCGTATGATGGAGATGGGCGGGCAGGATACATACTCCATCCTTCGACACGCCACAATCGGGGGTGCAATATCGCTCGGGTTGAATGAGTCATTGGGCCCTCTAGAGGTTGGGCAATTGGCTGATCTGGTGATTTTTCCGCCTGGCGTAGATAGTATTGAGCGATTGTGGGAGAAGAGTATGGACATGGAGTATGTGATGCGTGGGGGGACGCTTTTCAGTGTCGCAGATGGACTTATAAAAGTATGGCCCAAAAAGGGGTAAAGGCAATGTCATACCAGACTCAAGACAAACGAGAAAGTGTGTCTGTCTCGAGATCGAAGCAAACAATATACGCATAGTCATAATTGTGCTCTGTCTCAGTAGTACTTGAGTAGAGCACAGCTGAACTGAAAAACAATTGGAATTGTGGCAGCGTGGGCCGCTGTATAAATAAGTACGCGCTTTTCCCCATCTGAGCGATCTAAAAATGCAATTCAAATAGAGTAAGATACAGTGAGGCAGTTATTATGTCCGAAAAATGGAGTGAATGAGGGAATGGAGCTTGAGGGTAAAGCCTGCAGAGGCGCCGGCTGGTGAATGAAGTGATGAAGTGATGATCTATTGTATTGGTACTGTAGGAAGAACAACTATTTATCCTCATGGCAAACGGGAGCGGGAAAACAGGAGCTGGCAAACATGAGCTGACTAATGAGCTGGCCATTCAGAACTGCAGAGCATTCTCGAATACCGGCCCAAGGTTGCAACAATAGACAAATTGCATATCGGTGTCCTCGTTATGCGGACTGAAGTCGGTCTCATGTTCTAAGCAAATCAACCTAAAAAAGGTAGTAGTGTTGGTAAGGAAGACAGGTTCATGAGTATCGAAAACGTAGATACGTGGGACTGCATCCTCAAAACGGTACCTCAACAGACGGCGGATCAGACGAGAGAACTTGTTTTCTCCTAGCCGTTCACCACAAATATCCTTAATTTTAATATATCCAGTAGTGACGGGGCTGAAGATAGGTAACTGTGACGGTTTATGGAGTGAAGAGGTCATGTCTGCCACGTGTGCTGGTGTAGTGCTCATGTCTGTTCCAACAGCACTTTCTGGCTGCCGGGTGAGAGACAATCACAGAACAACAACACAACAGAATACACCGATTTTACTGCTTCGCGCGGTTACCCCTGACTTACTGTCCTGCGCGGTTACACCTTCACTGATTGCATTTACTGCAACAGTAACCGAGATCTGTAAATTATTTCTGATTATTCAGGGGAGAACACGGAAAGCCCCGGAAAAGACGAGTCTCGGCATGTTTTCGTTTCCAGTAAAGTAGAGCCATCCCTCTGAAGCCCTGAAAATCCTCAATCTCTAGGCAGTCTTGGGGTTGGCTAGAATAGCCTGGTTAACGTGTCAACCAAGTATAGATCACCAACAGCGTATCAGAGATTTTATGAAGGGTAGTGTTGACCCAAAGTCAGGGTGACTCGATATTTCTGAAATCCACCAATAAGCACTAATTTTTAGGGGCGTTTACAGCAGCTTCATTACCCGTCTATTCATGGACCTCGTACCTGGGGCCGCCGACCCGTGGCACACACTAAGCAGAGCTTATGGGTTGTTTCGAAAAGACCAGGTACACCCCGTGACCTGAGCAATGTGTGCCAACCAGTCCCCTACATCACCAAAACATGGTCTTCTACTTCTAGATTCGGCAGGACTATGCAAAAGGCTACGTAAAGAGATCTATACAGGAGCTAGCATAGTATCTCTTGTGCGCATACGTGTACACCTTGTTGCAGCTAATTCATCTTGATGAGGTTGCTAAAAGATAGTCTCATGGCTATTGTACGCAGCCTGTAATCAGAGCTACGCATAGAGCTGCTTCGCTGTCTAGGTCAGGGGGTGTACATAGTCTTTTCGAAACGCTATAATAATCGCAACTTAGCCTGTTCTGCACGGTCTTGATCAGAACTCTGGCTTTGTCCGAGCGCCTTTCATCGCAACACCCTTATCGTTCTTTGCAAACGATACGTCATCTGGTCTTGACGAATAATCTGGTCAAGGTGGTTTTATTTGTCGTTGCACCCAGGGCCGGTGAGGATTTCGTAGTAACCGGAATGTAGGCTGTTTCAACCCAAAGTATGGAAGTAATCTGTAACGGTCCCATCCACCAGGATGTGCTAGGACCTCAGCAGATCAATTGAATGACACCTGAATAGGATGGTGTAGTTTCTACCCTGAGTGTCCTCTCCAGCTAATAAATCAGCCGATGCGCTTCAACGTAGCAGGCCTATTAGTAGCGCTTGCTGTGGGTCGTCCAGATTGAGTTGTTACACGACGACGCAAGCGGTGGAGACCTAACGGACACTAGAAGCCTTCCTGGGCGTAAGCTTTGCACAACGCATGATCGTAGAGCGAGCGGACGTGTGATGCGACGTCTTTGCTTATGCCTACTGCGAGAGGACGTGACATGTGCGACTATTGCGTCCTTCTGTTCCTGAGTCAAGAGCTTCGATCGACCGCATCCTAAGTCGTTTTCTGTCGCACGGTTAGGTGTGGGTATTGCAGATGTGGGAAGTCAAGAAGAGTGTATGGTGTATTGCTTCAAGCATCCTAGCTCAGCTTACATCCAGGCCATCACGGCACGATTAGATTCTCTGCCGGGGGATTTGTCGCCATAAGATGTAGGGTTCAACTTCAGCTGGCGTTTCCTTGATACCTGTCATCGTTGTTGAGCTATGGTGTTGAGAAAAAGTGCTGCATATCGCGTTCGCGCGCGGGAAGATTCGGGTTATATCAGCCCGACAGATGGTTCGTAAGGCGTCAACGTCGTACTCGGTGATTTTGTGTTGTAGAAGCTCGAGATATTGCTCATATCTATTATGAGAATCAGTGGCATGGTAATTGGCGTCCATAACAGTGTCCCATCGTGAGAGCAATTAATCTTTGTGGCGGTTGATGAAGCGAGAAACCTAGCTCTCGCTCACTGGCTGTTTGGTTATAGCAGAGGCGAGAATGCCTACCATCTGCCTCTCGGGTGAAGAGTGCCAGCCGTTAAGCTCTACCATACAATTGGCAAGCCCTAGCTCCTCTTGTGGGTTGAGCTTCTGTTGGTTGATGTTTCTGGTCGTGGGTGACGCGTGAACGCGACGATGATGCCGTGACAAAATTGTGCGACTAACACCATTTTCATCAGCTATTTTTTGGTAACGAAGTATGTCGCCAGGCTACACATTGTTAATTACCGCAAGCGCATTACTGATTGCAGCCATCATTGTTGCGTTGCGACGCGTCGAAGCTTAGAGTACTTTGGTGTTGATCGGGCGCACGGGCACAGCATGCGCGCGGACACGGTACGTGTATCATCCTGCACTGCCCCAGTCAATTTAAACCCCGCTCTCTTCAATTCCTCCGTCAGCTGTATCCCACATTCCTTCAGTTCTCGTCCATAACATCGGCCATTAAAACGGCTGTAATTGTTCGACTGCGCGTTTCTTGTATAACCTGTCTCATTCTCTCAAAGATAACCGTACTAAAGTTCATCAGAACCCGTGTCCTCATGCGACTATTGCGAGTTGAAGCCGACGGCAATTTCAGTCTGGTCGAACGCGAAGGAAGAAACATTCCATTCTACGCTATTCTATCGCACACTTGGGGAGATGATCAGGAAGAGGTCACGTTTAAAGACCTGACAAATGGAACGGGTCAAACAAAAGCTGGCTATTCAAAACTCCGCTTCTGTGGCAAGCAAGCTACCCAGGATAAACTTGAATACTTCTGGGTGGATACGTGTTGCATCGACAAGTCAAGCAGCGCAGAGCTTTCAGAAGCCATCAACTCAATGTTTCGGTGGTACCGTGATGCAACCAGATGCTACGTATACCTCTCTGACGTCTCAGTTGGTGCCTCCAGCAGCAGAGAGCGGCAGCCTTTCTTGAACAGCAGATGGTTTACACGAGGTTGGACTGTGCAAGAACTTCTAGCTCCACAATCGCTCCAGTTCTTTTCTTCTGAAGGATGTTTGCTTGGAAGCAAAGACTTGCTTTTCCAGGAGATTGCTACGACTACAGGCATATCCGTCGAAGCCCTGCGCGGAAAACCTCTGTCACAGTTCAGCGTTCAGGAGCGTATGTCATGGGCGGAAAGACGAGAGACAAAACGCGAGGAAGACGCTGCTTACTGCCTGTTGGGCATGTTCAACATCCAGATACCGCTAATCTATGGCGAAGGACGACAGAATGCGATGAGACGACTTCTGAATGAGATTGAGAGCAGGGGCGGATTGGACCGCATCTTGAAGTGGCTTGCGCCTCCAGAATTTGCGACCGTCTATCACGAATCCGTCAGTGAGCGCGAAAGTGACACAGGACAATGGATATTCAGCCATTCATTCTTTCGCAGCTGGCTGAATGGAGAGCATCCGACCAAGACTTTGGGACGACTCCGTTGGATCCATGGTTAGTTCCATCTCAATAACGTAGCAACATGCCTCAGCAAGTCGTCCTAGCCTGACTTCTCACAACAGGACATCCTGGTGGAGGCAAGACTACACTAGCTGCCTCAGTGATTCAATATCTGTCCTCTGGACAGCATGGTGCACCATCTGCGCCCGAGGTGTATTATTTCTTCTTCCGCCATGACAACCCTTCACACACCATGCTAATCTCAGCTTGTCGTTCAATACTGTCCCAGTTCATCCAGCGACACAGCAACAGACAAGATATAGTCGAAGAGTTCCATACCACCATCGATCATGGGCGTAAGTTGATTGGTCAGTCCGTCTCATCAGAGCCCGAATTACTCGATCTTCTTCAGAAAAGCCTAAAGACTCTTCCCTGTGTATACATCATTCTGGACGGTGTTGATGAGTGCAGTAACATCAAATCGTTGATCAGAGTCATTGAGCAGCTCGGGAAGTTGTCCACCGTGAGGATCTTGATCTTCAGTCGCCCCAATACCCATGGTCTTGTACGACTTATTCGAGAGGAACATCGCCTCCCCTTCGGGCAGCAAGAGGTAGATGCTGACATACGAATCTACCTGAAACGTAGCCTGGAGATCATGGCTCGCGAGCACCGACTACGTCCCGATGCCGATATTGACCAATATGTTCAACACCTCGCCACAGGAGCAAACAAAATGTTCTTATGGGCAAAACTTATGATCGCATTTCTCCAATCGCCAGCCTTAACACGTTCGATGATAGAACAACTGATATGGAACATCACTTTGCCTGAAGGACTTGAGGCCATGTACGATCGAATCTTCAATATCATGTGCCAATCTCCTATGCATCAGCAGGAATTAGCAACACGGATTCTCTCGTGGGTTCTCTACAGCCGTCAAGAATTGACAATTGAGGATCTACAAACGGTGGTGGTTCCTATCTCAAACGATGTGAATGTCACAAGCGAGGTATGGTCTGACTTCGCCGAGGTTGTGTCCATGGTCACTTGCGGACTTGTCACATATCAAAGATGCAACAGATCATCTGGTTTTCATCTGATACATATCTCGGTCTCGGAATACATTAGGGGGTGGAAGCCTTCTAAATCACAAGTTTCGCCCAACGACCTGCTTCGGCCTGCAGAAGCCACTGCAAATCTAGAATTAGCCACGACGTCCCTACGATTACTTCTACGAGCCGGTCGGCAAGGGCGACTGTCCAACGAACCGGATTCCCAAATACTTCAACAGCCAATGATCTTATATGCTGCTGGATTCTGGATAATGCATTTGGGGTCGTCTATCACGCCGTCTTTAAGCTCTTTATGGGACATGGACAGACTATACAACAAGCTCGAAGAGTTGCGAAAAAGTCTTTCCGATTTCTTGATGAGCCCCGAGACTATAGCGATGTTTATTGAAGCGTTTCACAAAGTACAACGTCTCAATGTTCATGACAATCGTCAGGCTCCGGAGCTCCAAACTGTCCTGGAAAGAGAAATACGGGCTCTGTTGGAATGGACAGAGTGGGCTCAAAAGTTGACGTTTCTTGACTCTTGCTGGGATTTTCAGTCGACTTTGATAACGCTCCGCGACTTTTGCTTCGAGATGGCAACATTTGCCAAACAATGGGGGCGCAAGCTTATGGACAACCCGAGCTTGATTTGGCGCGACGCACTGGTATTCCACTCAAGTCGATTCCTTCCTGAGGGCAAGTTCACCAAAACGACATCTTTTGCTCCTAGAGCCACCAAGCTAGACGGTGTAAGCTCTCGGCCACTATGCCATATCTCTGCAACGTCGAAGGACACGAATGTATTGGGAGTGTTGAGCATCTGGCCGTCTGAAAAATATGAAAAATTCTGGCGCGATCTCGATCCTTACGCGGCATATGCCCAGGTCGAGAGATTTTGTACTGAATGGACAGCCCACTATGAGTTGTGGTCCACTACGGACCTCAAACGCCTAATTTTCGCGGCTACTGTACCCTTAGAGGCCTCCGAAGTGGCTCTACAGATGAGGCAAGCATTCCGCCACGAGCATGATGTCTACTGGAAGACATCGTTCCCCGCCACCATTAGCCCAGATGGTCTAATTATCTCGATTCTCAGGACGCAGTACCTGTTCTCGATATCCTCTCTCGACTCAAAGCCGACATGGAAAACAACAATTCTTCCTTTGGACTCAATGGCCCGCTTCCGACAAAAATGGGATCCCAATCTTGGTGTCTTCGACCCAAGAAATCCGTATATCAAGAATCTACCCACGAGTTTGAGATTATTGTTCCGTGATTGGTACACATACACCATAACATTCAGTCCAGACTGTCACTACCTCCTGTTTTCGGACCATCAAGAGCCTTTCTGTCGGAATCTTGTCCTGTTTGAAGACCTTGACAACGATAGGACTGGGCCACGCATGGTCTCTTCGATAACCTTGAGCATCCCGAAGACTGAGCTGCGGTTCGTGACCTTCCACCCTACATATTCAGTGGTTGCATTCGTATGCGCCCAATCCGTATGGATTTGGAAATATAGAGCAGCCGGTATGAAATCTCTCCTGAAACACAAATATAATCTGTTGAACTTACACTTCTTAGCTAGCAGATCGCTCTCCGAGATTCACTCGAAAACACCTACAACCGGACGTGTGACCTCGGATGTATCGTCCAATCGCGACATTGTCAGCATATGTTTCTCGTTATGCGGGAAATATATTTCCATTACCTTGGAGCATGGATCGGTCGTGACACCGCTCGATATGCAAGACCTTGTCGCGGATCCTGAGACGTCAGAGCCATCTCAGTACAAGCAGGTGCATGATTCGGGAAGCATTCATCGAGGACCGAGACCAGGACCTATGTCGCTGGAAGCAATATTGTGTCCAACGGCTCCTCAAGATAGCGTGTTTTTGAGCCAGTCCATCCGCAATAATCAGCTGGAGCAAGGTTGCAGTCTCGACATTACGCCAGGAGGGAGTGTCAGTGCCAGAACAAGTCGCCTCGTTGGGTCAATCCTTGTTGAGGAGCAAGCTCATTTGCTTGAACTTCCCAGTGATAGGGACTACCCTCAAGCTGTGATCAAACATCACACCGCAGTTCACGCTGGCCAAGGCAAGCTCTCAGTCATTTTCAACAAAACCTCCAACATAGCGTATGACATGAATGAGCAAAGGACAGATGTGTTTCCAGCAATGGTCCAAATGAACTATGCGTCTATTCGCAAGACACTGTCCGTTCGACTGTTACAAGAGCCGAAGGATATAGATAAACAATCTGGTCCTAAAAGATCAATCGAATGCGTAGATACATTTGAGCATGTAGCGAAGGTACGACGAGCAAAGGACTGTTCCGAAGCAAGCCCACGCAGCGCTGTCGCCGAAACACTCGCGCACAGTATGTTACCTCAGGAATAGTTCGTCCCATTACTGCTTGTAACACAAGATGAGGATATGTTTATACTCAATTCGATAGAGGTTATTGATCTATCAATCGGTACATCACTTCCTTGTCTCATCTCATGAATGACTTAGATCACTATTTACCTTCCTTACAACAGAAGTTAGATGATTGTCTTCTTAGATGAGAGAAACAAATGACTGGAATCAACGCAAACCCTCCTAGGCGCCTAGGCTTCAAATAGGTGTAACACCGTACTAGCTTATAGAAAAGGGGAGAATAACTGAAATTTTTCTATTGTTTGGTCACAGTCTAACAGAAATATCTTACCATGTCTCTTCTCGTTCCTCAAGGCTCTGGGGCTCTAGAGTAAATTCCGCCTGAATGAGCTTCTTAGTGTTGTCAGATTGAAGGGCTGACAGGCTTTGACTATATATATAGAGCTCACACAATGTGTAGCTAGCTTGCAAGCTTTGTGGGTTCCGCGTCTGGTGTGGTGATAAGAAATTAGAGGGGAGGGGGGGGGGGGGGACGCAAGAGCGGCGAAGGTTGCCTGGAACAAGACGTCATCGCAGATTCCGCGGCCACGTAAGTGCTGGTTTCCAGATTCTTGATTTGTGATAGAGCAAACAGGTCTAGCTGTTGCTTAGTATGTTGGGATGAAGGACGACTTTGTGGGTACTGGAAACAGGAAGCTGTATAACAGAAATCTCGGAACAGTACTACGGAGAACGGCAGGTCAGACAGGAGAACTTGTTTTCAACGTCCTATGGTCGTATGTGAAAGATTTAAAATTTTACTAAACATGTTGCCAGTTGAAGCACAGCTGTATGTGTCACAGTCGCAGTTCGCAGCAGTCAAACCAAGAATGCAACAAGCACCACTAAGCCTACGCTTTAGACTAATGGCTGCTACAATTTACAGAAGTACACGTTCGACTCGATGAAGATGTAGTACGCTAGCTACGATACTCTGCATTCCGTTCAAGTGGTAAGTCGTCAATAATCCACCGTTGTTGCTGGTGCCTTACTTGTACTGCGTCTCTATCACTCACAACTACGGTTGAGTATGACGCAAGCCTATTCTTGACGCGGCACTATGGAAATGATCATTTCCGGGCAGTTGATGAGTATATTGGAGGTCATCTTATATTTACTATGCGCCCTGACCAGGTTCGCACACTGCGGGGATGCCGACGCGGGATGTACCATGCAGATATATCGGCCAAGTAACTTTGTAAACAAGCATAAAACCCCGACAACAATGCAAACGCTGCCCTTAGTAATCATGACTTCCACGAAGACCGCTGGACGAAGTGCATCCCCTAGTGCTGACAAGGCTGGTTAGATGTTGCGCGAACATCCGCAAACACGAAAGCTGCGCCTCGAAGTCTCGCGTTAGGAAGGTCCAAAGCAAGATGTAAGGGACCATCGGCTGCTTGCGCGCAGAGGCCGCTGAAAAAAAGGCGGATAGACTGCTCGAACAAGCAAGCACAGTGAACGCCTAAGAGCGCCTTGCAGTTTGCCTCTACGCTTGCAATTCCTTTCCCGAAGGCTTTGGCCCAACTCTAAAATTAAACATCTCTAGCGTTCGGCTGCGTGGCCCACCAGCGTGTGTAGATTGGGTCCGGCAGCCAAGACCCCTGTCTGCCAACAACCGCGCCAGGGCTCAGCAGCGTGCCACCCTTTTCAATCAGCCCTCTCCTCCAACCTTTCTCCGTGACACCCAAGGCCGACCCTCCTGCCCGCCGTGTACCGCCAGGCCTGCGCCTCCGCTACTTTGCCCATCTGTCCTCTGCCCTCCGCCAGAGCATGCGCGCATAGCCTCGACAATCCCGCCCACCAGTCGCTCGCTAGCACCAACACATCGCCGCTATGGGTACGTGACCCTGAATGATGCGCAAAGGGAACCAATGGGACCCTGACAGCACCACGAACTTTGGCTGACAGCGATGGCAGTAGAGAAGCGCCCCTCGACCGACGGGCTCGTCGACAATGTCGACCCCCGCGAGAGCACCGAGTTCGAGATGGAGGAGCTGCCCACATACGAGAAGCCCGCCGAGCCATCACCAGTGTCCCTCAAGGACAAGCTGATTACATGTTTCTGGATATCTGTCAACACACTATCGACGTTAGGGTTGATCTTCCTAAGTAAACGGTATGCATCCGGGCAACGCAGGGGGTGCAGGGGGTGCAGGGCAATTGCTGACAGCGCAACAGTGTATTCAGCGATCCGCAACTCAAGCAGTGCCAGCTCATGGTCGTCATGTGGCATTTCACAGCAACCGGTCTCGTCCTCTTCCTGTCCACCCTCGGTCCCTTCCGCGCCTTCAAGCCCGTAAAGCTCAATGTCTGGAACATGATGCCTGTTTGCGCCTTCTTCGCCGGCTACGTCGTTCTTGGCAATCTCAGCTTGACTTTCAACTCGATTGGTTTCTACCAGCTGTCCAAGGTCATGACCACACCAACCGTCGTTCTGATCAACTTCGTCGTTTTCCGAAAGACCGTCACAAAGTGGATGCTTGCAGCTATCCTCACAACTTGCATTGGTGTTTCCTTCACCATGGGCGGAGAGGTAAAGACTGCGTTCTTCGGTGTCATCATTGCTACTCTCGCCTTCTGCTCGACCGCGCTCTACCAGATCTGGATTGGCAAGAAGATTGAGGACTTCCAGGTCTCACCTCCTCAGCTGCTCCTCAACCAGGCACCCATCTCCGTGTGCCTGCTCATCCCCTTCGTTCCGTTCTTCGACACGATCCCCAACCTCAGCGCAGTACCAACGAACCTCCTGTGGTCTGTCTGCGCATCTGGTGTCATGGCCTCCATGTACAACTTGTCGCAGTTCTTGATCATTGGCCGCACATCTGCGCTCACCTTCAACATTGTCAGCCATCTCAAGACCATTCTCATCTTGTCCATTGGCTGGTACAGCGAAGGCAAGATCCTGAGCCCGCGCGAGTGGCTTGGTGTGCTGCTGGCGCTTGGTGGCGGTTGGGTGTACTCGCACCTGGCGCTCAAGGCGAAGAAGCAGGCCAAATAGACGCTTCGCAACGCAGCGGCTTGCGGCACACGGGCGCTCCACGACACACGGTATACGGGTACAAGCGCATAGAGCTTGTTGTACAATGAGATGCGTGCATTGGGCGGGGTCTGGTGTTCCTTACATTTTTCACCTCCCTTTTCTTTCGACCCTGGCATGGCCTGTTTGAATATACAATGTATAGCGAATCAGCGGCATTGGACCTCATCTTTTCTTTTTTGATCTCTCATGGCGATATAAAACGACACTTTCTATAGATCGATGCGGCGATACTGGTTTGGCGATCTACTTTCTTCTCTAGGGTTTAGGGCTTGCACTTTTGGGCGAATTGGCGTGTGGCGCCCATACTCGTCCCCCGTATTCATGTAATCGCACGACATCAGATATCTTGATGAATGAACAGATGTATTCCAACCTTATTTTCTGGTCGCTCCAAGTACTATGTGCATCAAATAGTAGACACGATACGCTGACCAGAGACTGATTTCAGACAACATAACCTGCAGCACTCCTTGACTACCAAATCGAGCAGCCGAAAGTCCACTGTCAACATAATACCCAAAAAGTAACTCCACGCAGGTCTGACTACACAGCCGGAGAAAGTATCTTTGCGGGCACAGCTCAGCCTCAATCACGTGCACGCGCGTCCCACTTTTCTCAGCCTTGTCCAGGCTAAGCCTTTCCAGCTCCTTGCTGATTCGCCAGCTCTCCGCAGCGGCCCTCTTTCGATCATCCTTCACAGCCTTCCAGAAAAGCGCTGGAACGGGTCATTCGGAAGGCTTTGTGCACTAGAATATCTCCATTCGCTGTTACCGTTCGCTGCAAAACATTCTCGCGCTTAATTACTTCTTGTTCCGGTTACCGGTCAAAGGTGGAACATTGACGTTTAGCGATCTGCTGCCGTTGGTTGCCTGAGCATGTAAGAGCTAGCGTGAGGCAAACTGGCCTTGATTGAGGCAGTGGAGAAGAGGTATGAGAGATGTAGGTGGTCAGCTGCTGAGAATAAGCTGAGTAGGGAGGAGTATATGAGGAGGTGGAAGGTACGGAGAATTGACGGTCATTTACGACTCCCCACACAACTACACACCTTCACGACCTCATCACAGAGTTACATCGATATCGACTACCACGTCTACCCTGTCGACGTGTACACAACAATACAACACCGCAACGTTATCGAAATACCAATATCACAACTACCTCTCAATTACACACAATCTCCACAATCGCCTAGCTGAAGCCAGCAACAACACCGACCTTCCCACCACACAACTTCTCCAAAGTCGTCGCACAACGCAACAACACCACAATGGGCTGCGGCTCCAGCAAACAAGTCTCCAACTACCCCCCGCCCATGCGGCAAACCCACCGCCAAAAGCGCAAAAACCGACGTAGCGCATACAGCGGGCCACAAGGCGCTTATGTAGGCAATGCGCCGTACATTGCTGAATATGGCGTATATGATGACGGGAATGTGGGTGGTGCGCATCATGGACATCATGGACACCACGGGCATGGACATGGAGGGGGCGGGATCTTTGGTTTTGGTGGGGACAGCGGAGGTGGATATGGAGGGGGGGGAGATGGAGGAGGCGGAGGGGGCGGTGGTGGGGGAGGAGATGGTGGGGGTGGTGGTGGAGGCTGCTAAGCGAAGTGGGGGGGGAGGCATCGACAACAGCAGGCACAGGGTTTTTATGATGGGAAGGCGTTAAGGTGTTAGGATTTGATCCGGATCTGAGGTTGGAGGACGGAGTCGGTATACCTCTAGCTGCATCATTCAGGATATATCCCAAATGATAATTGTGCTCTTAAACTCCTCCTCGAACACACGTAGGTTGTGAATTGTACGTTCTTTTATCGGATAGCAATTGTAAGTCTAACATCGTGACTCCTTCGCTATGCTAATGCTGAGAAAACCTAGCATTTACTGTGTTAGATATCATCTTCGTTGATCGTCATTCTTCCTTCGTAAGTCGGTTGTATTTATTGGAATGTAGCTAGGAGTTGTTTCGGATGGTTCCCTTGATTGGGATTCAATCACATGCAGTTGAGAGAGATCGTAGATTTCCGTTGTGTTGCAATTTCAAGTCTATCCGTAGACCGCTGTAACTCCTCGCTAATGCTGGACTAAGAGCAACGGCCTCCTTCCACGCTGGGTATCATGTTTCGCAAATCATCAGTCGTAACGGTGAATTCCTTCCAGCTGTGTATGATCATCAATTCTCTCCTCCACGACTTTGGGGTAGTCTCCATAGCCGCAGTGACTTGAGGCTTTCACTCCCTCATTACCCTTCTTCTCCGTGCCAGTGCCGTTCTTATAGATGTGGCAGATCTTGGTAGCTCTCGGACCGACGATCCTTGTGGCGATGATGGACCCAATATCCTCGCGGTTGAAGTGGGAGTGATGGACTGGGCTGTCGGTGCCTTTCTGGGTTCTATCACTCACTTAGGGTGTCATCTTCGAAAAGATAGAAACAGACGTACAAATCTGAACCGACTTAACTATACCGAGTTTCTGAAGTTGGTTGAAACTCAGTGAGTGCTGCGTAGCAAGGCGAACCCTACTCACCTTTTCAGCACCGCCCCCGGGCTCAATACACTTCTCGAATGACCCAAGCCAGGTGCCTGGTAAGCTGGCAGGGTCATAACCAATATACTTGATGAAGCACGCCGCTGTGGAAGAAAAATATCGGAGTGGCTGCATGGTGGCGTCAAAGCAGACCTTCAGTCATTCAAGCTAACATTATTATTGTGAGAACTTTGCTAGCTGTATAAGTCGGCTCTAACGTTGTTGGAGTGAAGTGAAAGGGACGGCTACCAATTAGTAAGCTCGATACACAGTCGCTCTCACGTCTTAAGAAAGCGCGCACCTTCTTTAACACACAACGACTACATGTCTGCCGCTCTCCAAACTTTACAGCGGCGCGCACTCTCATTCTTCGACCCTCAACCTTGGTATTCGACTCTCATGAGTTCGATCCTCAAATCTGTGGCGGCGTGGCCGCTGTAGTACACTGATAGCTGCGGTAAACGACAGCGTAGGAATATCGGGTCGATGGAATACTGCGCTGAATTGCTATCTCGCTAGGAGAAGACGATATATACTGGCCCTGGAATGTGCTAGTCCATAACAGTATGAGCAAGGGTAATCGGGTCTCATACGGACCGACTGATACCGCAACAAAGTCAGTAAGGGCTCTGTTCCGCAGAGCGCCCTGGCCAGAGCTCAAATTTCCCACTACTGGCTTTGAAGCCATCAGCGATGAGTACTTCCTGGAAGAAGAGTCGCTTGATCATTTCCAATGTGGTATGTTCTACTCTGCGAACATCGGGGAGACCTTTGACTCTCGGTATCAGGTTGTTGGCAAGTTGGGCTACGGCGCAACTTCTACGGTTTGGCTAGCTCGTGATGTACCATAGGTGACCCGCGTAGTTTTTCCCTAGGTATTGCTGACTAACACTAGCATACGTTCGTACGCGACCTTGAAATTCTATTGCAGAGAACTGCAAGACAATGATGAGTTCGAGATCTACAAGCGCCTCAGCAAGAGAAACACCTCACATCCTGGGTACCACCTTGTAAGGGCCGCCTTAGACACTTTCAATATTCCTCAGATGGGAGATCACCAGTTTCTTGTTCAAAACCTATATGGGACAGCTTCAGCGATGTTCTCAGTCGCAACCCCGCCCGTCGACTCTCCCCGAGCTGCTTCGCCTAAGCCTCATACAAATGTTCCACGGACTGGGACTATATCCACACCGAGTGCAACATTGTACACATAGGTCAGTCAATCTTTTCTCAACCTTGCACAACTATCAATGACTGGCATCAGCCACCAAGGCTGTAAACACCTTCATCGAGCACGACGACGAAGAGGTGCTCGAAGGTTGTTGAAGGAGAGATGAGGTATCCTGCTCCTCGGAAACTTTGGCGATACGTCAGTGTGTGCCTCCCGTACGTTCGGGGTGCCCGATCGTTGGGGTCTGTAATGCTCGGTGCTTTCGGTGCCGTAGTTTGGGGCGACGAGAGGCAGACACACGATGCGCAGCCTGACATCTACCGATGCCCAGAGGTGATGCTGAGGACAGAGCGGAGTTATCCCGCCGATATCTAAAATGTTGGTGCCATGGTAAGCTACGCCTTGAGAAGGGCAGAGCGAAGCTAACGTAGCGATTAGGTCTGGGATATATACGAGGGCAAACACTTGTTTTACGGCAATCACCCAGACGGGAGTGGGTAAAAGACAGCAACGCACCTGGCAGAAGTGGTTGCAATGCTCGGACCCCCTCCTCTAGATTTGTTTAATCGAGAGCTGCGCAGCAAGGAGTTTTTCGACGACACAGGTACGCGATGTTGCTTCCTCTCATCTTTCCACCTCGACATGAAGCTGACTGGTATCCTCTGGGCAACTGGACAGGCAACGCTCCCCCTTTCAATGACTTGAGTCTAGAGAGTTGCGAGGTGACTCTGGCCGGACAGGAACAACGCGAATTTTTGGAATTTGTGTGTTGCATGCTGCAGTGGAGGCCCGAAGATCGCATGATTGCGAAGCAGCTGCTTGACCACCCGTGGCTCAAACCTCCAAACTCGATGGAGCCTTTGACGCACGGAGTGCTGAAGTAGACCCTTACTATCGCTCACCCATGTCCAGGAGCGGGTCTTCATGCTCTTATTGAAGTGCACGGAAGGAAGAGGAGAATCCACTGCGGTTCATGAAGTTGAAGACGAGTTGTGCTGTGTTTTGACTCGATTCAGGATGTGAAGTTCTGCAGTCGGCCCAGACCAACCGCATCTGGGAAAGCGCAAGGGGGACGGCGACAACAACAGTGACCGTTACCCTATCTCCCTTTCCACAGCAGTAAACGCCAAAAGCCTCTGTCTACAAGAAAAACAGCATGATCAAAGACCCTAATGCAAGATCTTGAATCGAAAGCCCCCCGGATGTGCGCAAAGTGGGTCCGACGATACCGAATGTGGCATAGCAGGTCGGCAGTCCCGCGAGATCTAATTTCCACAACCCAAAGTCCAGAGCTGAGATTGAGGCTATCGCGAACAATAGACCGCCAGCTTCAAGCCCAGCCAGAATGCACAGGTCGATCCCTGACTGTGCAAGGCTGTCCACGATGCTGCGAACATCTCGATGCGGGTGAGTATATGAAGAGATGGTAGACCTTCCATTTACAGTGTGCGGCATTCACTCTTTAGCTGTCCAGCTCCAGTCAATCACTATCATCAAGACACCTCCACTCTCTAGGTGCTTCTTTCGTTATTTTTATACTTAAACTCTAATCATAATGTTCCCCCGCTCTCTTATCCTGTTGGCTTCGGCTGGCGCAGCCGTTGCCCAATTAGCGCCCGAATGCGAGCACGTCGCGGACGTGGCTGCTCTCCTCCAGGCTGACGACGGCAAAGCTTATTGCTCATCCGTCCTCAGCGTCGGTACCACTACCGAAACTGTTGTTGAATCCACCACAACCACGGTGACCACTACGATCACCACTCCCAGTCAGATCACGCTTAGCCTCACAAATACGCAGACCGACACTGTGAGCAGCGGCACCGTAACTGAGACGGCTCCCACTGCCACGTCTTCCTCGACCATCGTAGAGTCTACGACTGTCTACTCTTGCCCCACCGTACTCAAGCGTCGTGGCTATGAAGAGGCCCAGTCAACCTCCTGCACCAAGAGCAAGACCACTTCGACGCCTACGCCCAGTTCAACCTCTTGTACCAAGGGAAAGACCACCACCACGCCAACACCAGTCAACACTTCCATTCCCTGCTCTTCTAGCCAGCATGCTACCGCCGCCTACGGTGCCGACAAGCCCGCTACTTCGAGCGCTCAGGAAGGCTACCACGCTCCTGGCTCCTCTCAGGCTGCTTACCCTTCGCAGCCAGCCAACAGTGGATACTCTATCCCCTCTTACCCTGAGTCCATTCCTAAGGGCTACTCTTCAATTCCTACTGGTTACTACCAGAGTTCTAGCTCCGCTGCCTACCCTGCTTCAACTCCGGATGTCTACTCCTCCGTCTACTATGATGCTTATCCCGAGCAATCTTCGGCTGCTTACGATGCATACCCTGAGGCATCTTCGGCTGCCTACCCTGAGTCTACTCCTGAGGCTTATCCCGTGACCTCGAGCATCTACGAGCAGATCAGCTCTTTGGTCAGTTCTTCTTTCGGATACCCTCAGGGGTCTGTCTCCTCCTCGGCTTACTACTCGAGCGAGATCATCACCTCCTCTGAGGTCTCTTCTGAGATCTACACACCTTCCCCTACTCCCACCCCTACCCCTGTCCCGTCGTGCGAGACGGCTCCTACAGCTGTCCAGACAGGATTCGGCTGCGATATTATCTCCACTGCCTGCGGCTGCCTGGGACTGGCATCGGCCACCGCTCAGGTCACCACCACCACTACTTTGACTGAGGCTGCGTACATCACTGAGGCCATGCTCTTCACCACAACTACCCAGTTGACCGAGACCGTTTTCACCACCGTCCCTGCTGCCACAGAGACCGTCACTCCTTCCGTCACCGTCACGACAACGGCCACTGCTACCGCCACCGTCTGCCCCTGCTCTGACTCCGCCTCATCTCTGTGCGGCACCACCCCCGACACCTGCAAGAACCTCCAGACCGACACCAACAACTGCGGCACCTGCGGCAACACTTGCGGAACCGGACAGACGTGCAGCGCTGGCCAGTGCATCACCCCCGCAATCCCTGAGACTCCAAGCTGCGCGGCTGCCAAGTGCTCCAACTACATTCGTTGCGGCAACGGAGGCTCCTGCCTCTGTGCTGCTACCGCTGGAGGCAAGGGCGTGTGTATCTATGGATCTACATCGTGCTCTAACCAGCCCTGCAGTGTTGACTCAGACTGCGGCGCTAATAAGGTTTGTGCTATTAACACCTGCTGCCGCGGCGGTAGGGGTATTTGTGTTCAACCCTCGAACGTTTGTCCTAACACTTCTACGCCTCTGAAGATGTTCAGGAGGACTACTTTCGGCCCGACCATTGCAGGCGGAATGTAAGAAATAGTCTATTGATGTTTGGGGAGTTGTGGAAGGACTGGTGTTTGAGAGTAGAAATTACAGAACATCATACTTTAAAATTGCGCTATATTTGAATATGCAGTCGCTGAACCAACAACGGGATGTGCGTGTTGCTTTGGTCTTCTCTTTCGTTCCTTCACTGATGGTGACGAGGCTTGGAGGTCGTCGGGCCCTCGGGAGCGGACTCGGTGGTCGATAGCTTTGAGCCTGTTATTTTCTTCTGCAAATCTTTAGCAGGCTGTTTCTTAGCCGGTTCGGGCTCGGAGGAGGCATTCGCCAAGGCTTCCAGCATTGCAGCTTCAAGACCATTGTCCGAAGACTCCTCTTCTTGTTCGAACTCGGCTCCTGCCTGTTCTTGTTCAGTGGCTAGCTGCTGCTACCTTTCCTCCTCCTCCTGCTCCGCCTTGTCTAGTTGATCGACCTCTTGCTGCTGAGCGGTCTGAATGCTCTGCAGTGCCTCTTGCTCTTCCTTATTCCTTTCTGGACCGGCTGCATTCTTTGGCTCTGTTTGCTTGCCCTTCTCCTCGAGTTCTTGGCAACGCTTGCGCACATTAAGATGGTTGAGGATGTTATTCATTTTGAACGTGACGCCGCCTTTAAGTAATCGCTGGCGCCTGGCCTCGCTGTTTTGTGGCGGTCTGACTGTCTCCAGTGTGGCTTGAGCCGACGTTCCTTCTTGAGACGTGTTCAGTCACTAGATCCGCGCCGTTGGCCCTCCTTTGTGCCTCTACTCGTTTGTGTGCTCGTCTTTTAACTCTCTCCGTGTCTGCGGCCTTGCGTTGAGCCTGCTCCTCCATCTTCTTGCGGAGCAAGGACAGCCCGGCCGCCTGTTGCGCTTCTTTCCTCTTCTTGACAAGGTCCTTCTCACCTTACCTTCCTTTCTTGCCCTTATCGCCCTTATCATCCTTGTCGTCCTTGTCGCTTGTGTCGTTTTTCTTGTTTGTATCACCTGTAATGCCAGCACCGCCCATAACATAAACGGCCAACTGGCCGAGCTCCCGTTCGATCTGCCAGAGTGGTGGCATCTTCGCCATCTCTATATCATCCTTCTATTCCTGTTCCTTTGTCTCCTCGGTCTTCATGTTGTGCCACTTATCCTCTTCTTCCTCCAAGTCCCAAATCATGCGCTTTCCCAGCAGATTCAATAGTTCCGGTGTCTTCTTGCAGACGCACTGCTCGTGTTCCTCAAACCCATTTTCAAACCTACCGGTGTTGCGCCCGTGGTCTGCTGGTTATAGGCGCTAAGTCCCCTTTGCGGTTAACGGGATCGGAGTATGACTAGTGGCAGACGAGATACATGTGTTGCTTCTTGCATAGGGAGACGGCTGTGCGTGGTCCTTTGCGCACTCCCTTGATGCCTGCCTTGCGCTGCTCAAGCTCTTCGGGATTCTCGTTCATGAGGTCGTGTGTGACTGGCTGTGTTAGTACTTGTACCTTTCGTTGGGTACGGTCTTTGTTCGCTGCTTCCTCTTCTCCTGTTGGCTGAGTAAGGGCGGCGTCCTTCATGCCAGTCTTTGCCTTATCTAGAATATTTACGAAGGTCGCTCCTCGTCGTACTGGATGCGGCGGCGTAGGAGGAAGCTCCTCCTCGGACTCGCTATCTTCAAGAACAAGGCCGGCGGCATCCCCCATACTTGTGAGATGGAGGCGTCGCCCATCGATATGTCGGATCATCCGCTTCTGCTGCTCCTGCAGTCCTTCTTTGCAGCTTCCTTGTTGTTATCCCCCATGATTGTGGTTTAGGTAAATCGATGTGAATTTCAGCGTTCATAACGGGCAGTAGTATGGCTACTATTGGCTTGGTTAGCCTATGCTACGGCCACCAGTAGAGTCTATTACTTACGGTGGGGATGATTTGAGAGCTTGATACCGCCAGTAACCGTAGTACTGTCACACAGGCCAATTACTGGCCATAGGTGCTCTGTGATTGGCTGAAGGAGCTGCTTACCTGTGAAGGAGCCACTTTCTCAGCCTCATTTTTGTCGGCTTTTCTCACCAAGGTCTCAAGATTTTTGAGTGAGCTCTGCACCACCCCACGCTGCAACCAGCTCCGTTGTAGTTGTATAGCTTCAATTGTATTGCCTGTGAGGCGGTTGCGGTCATCAGTAATTGTACGGCGAGCCTTGCTAAAGGCACGCTCACACTCGCAGCTGGTGGCTGGTATGGAGATGCAGTCGGTGGCAATCTTGAAGAGGATGGGATAACGGTGGCAGTTAAACTCAACCCACCAGGCCCATACGTGATCATCCTTAATAAGCTCAAGCTCGCGCTCACTCCCATTTGTATAGTCAAATAGCAGAGAGTCAAAGTACTCATCAAACTGGCTTGATCGTTTCTTCCGCTTGTTCTTAGCTTTGGTAAGCAGGTGCAGATCCACCTCCATTGTGCGATCGTAAAGGCTATTTTTGCTGCCACTTTGGAGCTTCCGGCGTGTTGGTGGTTGCAATAGCTCATCGTCAGCCTGCACCTCCTCTTCAGTATAAGCCTTAAACACCTTCTTGACTGATAGCTCCGCTTTTCTATACCATAAAGGAAAGTTTTTCCATTGAGTCTTGAACCATTGTAATCGGAGCTTTGGGTGGAGCGCAGTGGCTACAGCATAATAGCTGACATCGGCTTTGATCAAGATTGTGTCAAGTAGTAGTCAAGCTTGAGCTTCCCATACGATATAACAGTGACAATATATCGATCTTGGCCTTCTTCTGCGCGCTTGCTTGGCTCATTGTAGTGCACCCACAAAGCCTGCAAGTTAGGCAAAGTTTGCCTTAAAGAGCCAAAGCCTGATGCGCTCATGGAGCCCTCAAGGCGTTTGGTGAGTTCGTACGGAGCCTGGAGAAAGTCAACAAGCTCAGAAACCTTACCCCAATCATCGTCGGTGAAGGCATCAGTAAGAGGGCTATAATCAAGATCGTCATCGGCACTGCCACGGGTTAGGTAGCGGATGAATCGATTGATGGAGTCCTTGAGCTCATAGCAACGGAGGAGCATGAGATAAGTTAAATGCCAGCGTACACCTCCAGCTTGCCGGTGTTGCAAGGTGTTATAGGTATACAAGGGCGCGTTGATATCCATCTGGATTAATAAAAACAGCTCGCGGCGCTTGTGAGATGCACATAAAGTTGTGTAGCTTGCCTACTACCCCAAGCTCCCGAAATTTCTTAAACTGATCGCAAGGAGCAGCTGCAGCAAGCTCTGCTTACTCTATTGCCATATATTGTTGCTTTGAAAATGAGGTTGATTATATGGCCAGCACAGCGCATGCGGTTGTCGGCTGTGATGTTGATGTGCAGATGCAGGTTGAGAGCCTTGATGAGCTTGGCATCATTGCTTGAGGCATTATCACCCACAAAGCAGTGTAATTTTTGTGCAACTCCATATTTGTCGAGTACATCGCATACAATAGAGCTTGGGCGGCCCTAGTATGGTCTCCATATAGGTTTTTGAAAGCGATCAATAGGTCTTGTTGTTTGAAACCGGCATCTGAATTTGTTGGAGTTCAGTGAACTGTACGCAAAGGGAAGAGGTTGAAGATTGTACTGAGGTTGTATTGGGTGAAGCTACGAACAGTATATATATGTGGGTAGCTGTAAACAACGCTAGTGTGACGTGGCAGACACTCTCATGGCAGGTGAGGTACGACAGGCAGAAGCACCCTGAACCGTGACAGAATCAATATCAAGTTACTTTTGGTGTTCTTAAATTGCTGTGCTACAGCGTCTATAGCCAGAAAAGGCAGCAGAATCTGGTACAAACTTCTATAGAGAGCGGGCAATGAAGGAGTTACTAACAAAATGGGCTACAACACTAAGAAAGCTGAGATAGTTGGATGATGTCCATACATCAACGCTTATGCTGATCTTTGACTTTGACTCCTCCAGAAGGACCCCAATCTCGGCCTTTCTCATCTCCAAAGTGCTCAGGATGTAGTCTCTCATAGTAGAGACTGAATTTGGTAAAGCTGCAAGGAGACTGCTGCGATTCCAGGTAAGTAACCCTCGAAGTGCTGGTGACACTGCATTGCTGAAGCTGATGTCCTTTATGATCACCCAGTCCACCAAGGCGCTTTGCAATGCCTCCTCCTGCCATGGCGAGTGTGAGATAAAACTGCTTGAGCCAGCTGCCTTGGCTGCTTCAAATGGTGATGAAAAACCAGGCCTTGAGGGTGTCTCTGGCAGCAGCCCAGTGGCAGGATCAATACGGTGGACCTTTATCATATGCTCAGTAATATGGTGAGTCCCACTCACAACTTTGGCAGCATTGAGTTGACGGGCAAGATGGCAACGTTGGCAAAGCCATAGCTTAACCGCAGAACCATCAGCTTTGAAGTGCTCTAGCTTAACACCATACCGCCAGATGGGTGAGGACTTTGCGCCTCTCTTGAATGAACTCTTGTGCCTTACCTTGTAGCCCGTACAGGCTAGCAAAAGGTTCTTGCCAGCAAGGTAGATGTGGTTAGAATTTACCTCAAACTGCTCGCCAAGAACAATACCAAGATCACCACCAGGATACCAATGGCACCGCTCCAGCACAGGCAATGAGCAGCTTGATGAGGAGCCAATTGGAGAAGACACTTGAGCTTTGGCAAGTGTTTTGGGGCCTGTGGAGTGAAAGATGGGAGCAACACCAGAAGGGCTGGCAGCAGCCAATGAGACATGAGATTGTCGGTTCATACTGTGTAGGAGAGTATGTGTTGAGAGTATATTTTGAGAGATGGGATGAGGTTGTAAAGATAGGATGAGGTAGAACAAAATTGGTGTCCAAGTATTTATACTACTAGCAACCTCCTCATGTGCCCACCCAAACAACAACACGTTACACTATGTGCTCATGTCTAAAAGTACAGGTACTTTGCTAACGAAACAAGACAGCGATAGGCTGCGGCAAGAGGCTGAGGGTCCGCTTGAGAATTTGCTTGTTACAACGCAGTATGCCGTACTACGGCTCCTAAACCATCACCCTACGGCCTACGCTACTGCCTCCTTCATAGCTAGCTACTTACTGCTTATATAGCAGCAGACGGTAACAGTATATTATCGTAGTGCTGCCCGTTGGGAACGCTGGTGAATCTTGCTAGTACACTGATGAGAGCTGTGATTGATCAGTGAAGATCAATATGTCAGTGAGTGAATGTATGCTTTTGCTGTTTCGCTAGTTCGATGTCTCAAAACGCCCATAGGGTTCCAGTGTATATGAGGAGTCTCAAAAAACAGGCACAAACAATGCGCCTTATGCTCAGTGTCTTGATTCTTCCATCAGTCCGTGACATGTTGACACAACATCTTCGCAATGCGCCAAGTGTGATATAATGACATTGTGTACGTCTGATATGCTCAGAAGAGATGTCAAACAAAGGGGGGTGGATGGACAAAAGCTAAGGAAGGTCGAACAAAGACCGCACATGACACTAGCTGTGTACTCAACAGAGCAGAACGAAGGTTCATAGCTTACGCGTATGTTGTAGGCTACCGGAAAGGTCAACTCAATTTTCAGCAAGCAGCAAAGTACAAACAAGCGATTGAAAGAGGACGATTGTTCTCAAATATTGCTGCAACACCAGTTCTGCTACTTCGTAGGCAGATAATTGTGTCTCGGTCATATACCCATTCGCTCAAAGATGCTGAATGGCATTCCTTTTCCAAACGCCGATCCACTCTAGAAGACGCTAAATATTGGTGTCAAATGCTTATGCTTAAGCCGTACATGAACAGGGCTCGAATCGAAGCACCCTAGAAACCGCCAGAGAAATAAGTTCGACTCAAACCAATAACGCCGCAACTGCGAAAAAGCTATGCCGAAAATCCGCATCCGCTTTGTGTAATCGTACATTGTAACCCCGAAGATATTTTTACGCCTTGAGGCTGTCGCGCATGCTCTGACTGCTGGAGCTGACCGGCACGTTCGAGACAGGGAGTACTGACTTGGCCTTTGCGGCGGCATTCTGTCGCACCTTGGCAAGCGCATAGACGATACCACTGACGAAACCGACGAAGATGGCGGAAACACTGCCGAATGTGACAGGTGCATCGAAGAAGATCAGACCACTGAGCGCAATGGGGAGCTTGTTGAGAGCACCGACCATGGAGTATGTTGTAGAGGTTGTGACACGGACGGCCCAGGCGGAAGTGTAGGAGATGAAAACCGAAGAGAGACCGGATAGAACCATAACGAAGATGACGGCGTTGCGCTGGTCGGCAGGAAAGTTCTTCTGGATGTTTGCGGGGGACCAGTCTTCGACAACGATAGAGGCGATCAGGAGGATAGGGATTGTGAGCAGGTTGTTGTAGTACATGGCTAGAAGTTGTTAGCTCGGTCGACACATGCTGCAGGGCCGAGACTTACTGTCAAAGTCCTTGAAGTTAGTGAGCTTGATGCGCTTCCTCATGCAAAGGACGAAGGTGGCACTGCAGATGCAGTTGAACATCATCCACAAGTAACCGGTGTGCAAGGTGGAGACAGCCTCAGTCGCCGCCTCTGTAGCGTGACCCATGCTGGAGAGCGCATGCTGAATGTCTGCCCAAGCTGCAATAATGGAGCTGAAGACCATCAAACCAAAGGAGAAGAGAGCCATGGGCGTAACGGAGCCACCGAACCAGAGCACCTCACCGTATGCAATGAGGATGATGGTCAAGTTCTTGAAGATGGTGTAGACGGGGATGGAGAGGTACTTGAGCGCCCAGGTACTTGTGTAAATCATACCGATGAGGAGAAGAGCGATGGGGAACCCTGTGGATGTTAGCCTAAGGAATCTTTCTGGGACGAATGCCTCCACGTACACTTTTTAGCTTCATCCGAGTTGAAGTCGCGATATGTAATGATTCCAGAGGCTTTGCAAATGGAAATGGCGACAACGCAAACGACCGACTGCACGCAGAGCAGGAAGAAGTTGAGGTTGAAGTCACGGCCAGACAGGACATACTTGTTCGTCACCGTCATGAGGATCGAGGAACCGCAGTACGAGAGGATGGCAATGACGGGGTTCTCCGTGATCGAGGAGCCGCTGTTCTTGGAGGAGCGCATCACCGGTGATGACGCACGGGAGCCCTTTGCTGAGCTCATGCTGTAGTCGTCGCTCTTCTTATCGTCGGCCATGGCGAAGTATTACGTGGGGAGGGAATGCGCGCAACGTGTCGTAAAGGAACGGACTACCCGGAGGAGACAGATGGGTAGTGGTGTCTACTCGAAAGGCGGGCGGCGATGTCAAGAAAAGGACAGAATGAGACGTTTGGGGAAAAGAGGAGATGCTGGATGGTGATGCGCAAGGACACGAGTACGAAAAGTGGGCCCAGCCTCTAGCACCCCTGGCTTAAATTAGACTTACACCAGCAGCGCTCGTAACTGGCCGTCAACAGCCCTGCATAACGGCTAACAGCCTCCTTTTCCGTTAGACAGCAGACTCTGTCATCAAGCCTTGCATTGTCAACAATCTGTAACAGCTAGTCTGGTGCTTGGTCGAATAAAAGGAGAATGAAGCTCTTGCCCTCGTTTCCACGTGATGCGCGCTAGTCCCTCCAGGGCTGGAAAGCATTAGAGCCAGGGTCTCACAACTTTACGACTCCCCTCACTTCGCTTGGGATATCAAGCCAAAAGAAACGCCATGTCCCAACTAGATTCGAAAGTCGCTTCGGTCATCGATCGCGCCGCTAAGAATGACGAGTCAGACGAGGACGATTTGATCGCACAGCTCGAGGATGATTCAGAATTAGATGCTTTTCGAGCGCAACGCATACAGCAACTCCATGACGAGTTCGACAAGGCTAGGCGACTGAAGGCCAGCGAGCATGGCACGTACTCTGAGATCAAAGACGAAAAAGCGTTGATGGACATCACGACAAGTACGAAAAACTGCGTTGTTCACTTCTTCAAGCCGGACTTCAACCGCTGCCGCATTATGGACACCCACCTTGAGGTGAGTGTTATGGCAACACACAATATGCAACCATTCTGATTCTCTAAAGTCACTTGCGCCATCGCACTACGAAGCCCGGATAATGAAGATTAATGTCGACAACTGCCCATTTCTGGTCACTAGACTAGGAGTCCAAGTGCTCCCATGTGTCATTGCATTTATCGATGGCGTTGGTGCTGACCGTATCGTTGGCTTCGAAGGACTCGGACGGACGCCAGACAACTTCACCGTCAGAGACCTTGAGGCACGTTTGATCCGAGCTGGCGTCTTCGCAAGAAATAAGGTCACTAAAGAAGATGAGGAGGAGCGCAAACAAAGGAGCAAGATGGCAGTCAAGTATGATGATGAGAACGACGATGACTGGGATTGAAGAGGGACTCATCCATCGACGAGGCCAATTTGCAAGCAACAAATTGCCAAGCTATCAAGGCCGCCGATCCTTTGTCCGTCCGAGCGAGATGTTGAGGACAAATACTTGTCCTTGACTATGGCATGGCAGTAAACGAGTCGGTTGCTCAAACTTCGCTATAATCAGCAAGGAATGGCGTTGCTGTTAGCAAACGACACCAAACCTTACGTTTGTATGCACGACGCCCTCCAAGATTTGGCATTCGAGCAAAAGTTGGACAAGTACTGGTAGCAAGCAAACGAACTTATCGGGCCTGAAATTCAAGATTAGACAATCTTTCGACAACAGCATTTGTTGCAAAGCACAATCCCTGCTCTCAATCACCCCAAGTGTAACCTTAACCCTACCTTCTACCGTGTATTTGCTCTTCGATTCGCATCAAGTTGTCCTATGCATATTTTCGAGCGAATGGATGCACCTTCAAGAACGTGCGGAGACAGCAGGTAACCGCAGGGGAAGCTCCTGCCGAAGCCATGAGAAAGCGTGGCTGCCGATTGGCCGAAACACCACGAACGGTGCGTCATCGGCATCGCGCAATTCGCAAATACTTTTGGGTGTCGCAGCAGCTGGCCCAACATATAACCGCCAAATCACACCACAGTTTCCAGACTCTCAAACAAAGCATACATCTAATTCCAAGCACATACATATCATACACCAAAATGAGAGCTTACTGGTTCGACAACGTCGAGGTACCCCAACCCCACACCCACCACTACTCACATGACTAACCGCCACAGGGCGACCAACGCCTCCCCCACGACTCCGGGCGCAGCGTTGACCCATCCTACCTCGCCAACCTAGGCGTCCTCTACCAACACGTCACAACCGATGATGAAGTCAACGCCCTAGCCAAGGAGCGCAACTACAAGAATCGGGATGAAATCACCGTATCGCCGGAGAAAATGGGCGACATCTACGAAGAGAAGGTAAAGAGCTTCTTCCATGAGCATTTGCACGAGGATGAGGAGATCAGGTATATTCTTGATGGCGCGGGGTTTTTCGATGTTAGGAGCGAGGGCGATGATTGGGTTAGGATTTGGTTGGAGCGGGGGGATTTGATTGTGCTTCCGGCGGGGATTTATCATCGGTTTACCACTGATGATAAGAACGTAAGTGCTTCTTCTTGTTACTCTTGAGTGTTGTGTTTCGTGAGAACAGATTTGGGCTAACGATGAGCACAGTATATCAAGGCTATGCGTCTATTCAAGGAGGAGCCCAAGTGGACTCCGCTGAACAGAAGCGCGGAGACTGATGAGAACCACTACCGCCAGGAGTACCTCAGCACAAGGCAGGCTCTCGCTGCATAAATTCTCCAACTGACATGCGGGACGGTAAAGCAACGACATCATGTGCACACGAATAACAATCAAAAGTATGCGTCCAGCAATCTACACTTCGTTTACATTTCTTTGCGTCTTCTCAGATTTCTCACGTCAAATCGATTTGCTGTTCCAGCTCTAACCTAGACGTCCCGTGGGACGAGCCGCGCCGAGTCGTACAAATATGCAGGAGGTAGCAAACAAATCTGCAACTCGAGTTTGCGGGAAGTCCGGTTTGCACAACAATCGTTTTCGAAGGACCCGAGTGTAACGTCGAGCGCCCCTCAAAGGCTCGTATTCGAAGCCTCATCCGCTCTCTCCAGTCTACTGCTGTCGACTGAAAGCTCACACTCCATCCGACTCATCTCCTCCACCATGTTCCCACCACCCTGGGGTCGTGACTCCATGCCCGACTTCCATTACCTCCTCAACCACAGATCCCGCCATCGACCCACGTACCCTGCCCACCATTCTCTTTCACCCCCTCTCGATCCTCACGGCATGCACTATCATCACGGACCTAAACCAACCTACCCCAAGACATACAAACAAGCACGCTTCTCCGACCTTGGTACACCCTCTAGCTCAGACTTCTCCTCTTCCGAGTTCGAAGGTTCATATGCGTTCGACTTCGACAACGATGACGATGTCGACAAACACCGCGTGCCGTCCTACTCACCCCTACGACGCTACGCTCGGAGTCCAGAGCTCCGCAGAACTTCCGTAATGCTTCCCTCCGATACCGCAGAGAAGTTGTGTCCAGACGAAGTTCTCTTCCTCCCATCCTTGACACATCTGCACATCCGCATCCGGAGCGCCTACACCCGCGACGAAGACATCCGCGCCGCCGTCCCTTCTTCAATGGCATGGCGCGATCTCGTTCAGCAAGTCGTCGATACCTATATCGGTGGCAATGTCCGATCAAATGACGTCAAAGCATTCGTCAAGCAGCGAGGTCGGTGGGACTCGCCAAGTTCGGGCATCACGATGGAGGACTTGGGAGATAGAGGGGAGGTGTTTTGGGAAGAGGGCAGGAAGGGTTTGCATGTCAAGATCGAAGTGGGCGATAATAAGGAGAGGGAGAGAATTAGCGCGAGGTTTGGTGGGAAGAGCTCGAGAGGGGGTGGGGTGGATGTGGAGAAGGTTTGGGAGAGGACGGAGAGTAGGGTGAGGGCTGGTGTGAGAGGGTGAGGTCATGATAGACTTGGACTCCAGGGTGCTGAAACTGTCTACTTGTCCGATCAAGAGTGCTAATTTACTTGTTGATCGGGTAGACATGTTGTGCGCATTTGTGTTGCTTGGGCAGTCCTACGCGCATGTAGCGCGCCGAGCATCAGATGATCTTCTGTGACACAAGCGCACAGACAGGTACACGTTGAGCTGCTGGGATTCGGAAAAAAAAACAATCGAGTGTTGCTACATGTCGTAAAAACCGAGTATCCTGACCAAACACCTAACCACACACGCCTGACAGGGTAAGCCCTATCTCAACATTCCGTAGCTGAACAAATGGGGCAATTCAAGACTGGGTCGGCCTTTGCCACAGGTTGCTCCCCCGAAACAAAAGAAGTGTCGAACAAAGCACAAAAGAAAGATTGTGTAGTCCAGTCGCAATCCTATTCCCATAAGCTTTAATAGCTGGCGCCTAGCGAAATGCTTCATTGCCTGGAAGCATGTCGCTGCGCGTGGGTCATAGTCCCGAGATTCAGACCTCCGCAGGCTTGCCACCCTTCTTCTTCTGCTCGACCTTCAGCAGCAGAGCGCGGTTAATGTGTGGCAGAACACCTCCGAATGCAATCGTTGCGCGAATAAGGGTGTCGAGTTCCTCGTCACCGCGGATGGCGAGCTGAAGATGGCGCGGCGTGATGCGCTTGACCTTAAGATCCTTGGCGGCGTTGCCTGCGAGTTCAAGTACTTCGGCAGTAAGGTACTCAAGGACTGCGGTCAAGTAGATCGAGGCCTTGGCGCCGATGCGCGTCTTCTGGCGCGTGATGGTACGTAGATGACGCTTTATACGACCGCAAGGGAACTGTCAGAAGATGCAAAGTCAGCGCGTCGTCCTCGATGGTAGATGCGAAGGTGCGGTAGGCGGGGTAGTCGAATCAGGCATCGAAGAACGCGAGGTTGGGCTGATACTGACCTGAAGGCCGGCTTTGGCGGAGTGCGACTTGGATGTCTTGACATGCGCGTCACCCTTTCCACCTGTCTTGCCTCCAGTCTTTCCTGCGCGCATTGTTAGCTCCTCAGGGTTCCGATGACGCGAGCTGCTGAGCCACGCGCGTACCTTTGCCGCCTGGCATTTTAAATAGCTATATCGGTATGGATGCCGATAAGAATGGTATATATAGGGTTGCGCGACTGGGCTGCCGAAGTTTGGAGGCGTGGACGGTATTGTGACGTTGGTGGGAGGGGGTGGTTGGTGTCGAGGACTGGTAAAGCCTTGGACAGGGAAGCTAGAAGTTGTTGTTGTAGGCGCGTTTAGCCGAATAGGAAGGAATGTCTGTGCGGGCGTTGTGCACGAGCCCATCGTTCTGTGTAACGAACAGCAGTGGCGAGCAGCACAAAGTCGAGCGCTGTGTAAGAGATGGCCAGCCTTATAGAAGTTTGCTCGAGTTGCTGCCTGCTCTGCTTTTGCGTGTTGATAGGCAGAAGTGCCCGTAGTAAGTGGTTCTTGGTCCATAACCCAGCAGACTGTGCAGGTGCAAGGACGAGCGGCGGTATGTTGGGAACCCGTAGAATGACTCCAAAAGACTGCTCATACAGAGGAGATACAATTCTGCAAGCTTTGCCTTACCTTTTATGGAGAAGGACTGCGACATATACACTGAAAACGTGAGGTGTCTGTGGCTTTGACGGAATGACGACTGACAAGGAGGAAGGAGCGACAGGAGTCTGACTAGGGCTTGAAAAGAGAAAGAGACTCACACTGGCCGCTTGCAAGCCGATAGTATTGTGCTAGAAGGGAGCCACAATGCTGCATGCATGCTTGCTCGAGCTATGCCAGTGACAGCTCGTAGGGCTTGTTGATATCTAGCAGTGTCATGCTTGTACCTCCGCCATCATGAAGACTGGGCAAGAAACGAATGGTCAACAGTATACAAGACGACTGATCTTACACTTACGCAACCACTCAAGGCTGTGTGTACCTCCTTACCAAAGGTTGCGTTGTCTCACAGCAATGATGCTGGCAGAGCTCCAATCCAGATGGACGGCAGCTAGCACTAGCGGGCTTGGCATACGGCCCTTTCGAGAGGCCAGACGGACAGCTCCAAGTTTTGGGAGATGCACTCGCACCAGCTGTTTCGCGCATGACCGCGTAACTGCGACTCTTAATATAGGTCGTCATATTGTAGTTGTCCTCTGCCGCTTGTGCGCCCGGGTCCTGATTGCCTGAAATTATCCGAGCTCCTGAGGCCCGTCCTGGAGCTTCGACACTTGCATCGCGCTTGTTGGCCGACCCCCGACGTCGCATGCCCCATCCCCACCGTCCGTCCAACACACCGGCATAACACAGCAGAGCAGAACCGCCATGGCATGGCAATCGCCGTCGGCCATGAACGCAGGCGGAGCGAACGGCGGAGGAGACGGCAATGCGCCGGCAGGGACAGAGTACACGCTGCAGGGTAGGACGCCGTCTGTGGGCACGAGGCACACGATGCCGGGCCATGCAGCAAGGCTAACAACGCTGCAGGAGTAATGCGCTTTCTACAACTCGAATGGCACAACCACGAGCGCGCCAGGAACGCCTGGGACATTGAGCGTGCCGAGATGAAGGCCAAGATCGCAAAGCAGGAGGGCGAGGTGCGCAGTGCGAAGAAGCTGAACGACCAGTTGAACAAGCACATTCGAATGCTGGAACATGCCTTGACAACCGAGCGGGCGAAGAGCAAGAACGCGGGGGAGGCTCAGGCTTCGGATGACAAGAAGGATGCGAAGGGGAAGAAGAGCGGGTCGAAACGTGCGTTGAACAACATACACCGCGAACTACTGTGTGTCCAGGAGACGCTGACCATCTACAGCCCAAAACAAGCACCACAACTCCTTCCTCGATGTCGATTCTGAATTCCTCGACCGATCAGACGCCGACCGCGACGGCCTCCGCGAAAAGTCGAAGCTGTACCTCACAAAATGCGTTGAAGAGATAACGTATCTTCTGACACCACCACCGCAACCTCCACCACAGCAGCCCGGTATACATGGCTTGGGCAACGGCGCTGGCTTCCTCAATCACGGCGATGCTTCTATGGAGGAAATCTACATGCAACAGCACCGCCAGAAGATGCAGTCACAACTGCCTACACTGCCCAACACATCGATGCCAAATCACCAGCCTCCTGTGACCTCCGAATACCAGAACCTCGCCCACCACCCGCAAATGCATTCTGCGCCTCAGATGACTAGAGAGCAGTCTGGACAACAACCTCTGCCTCAACACTCTGGCATCCCTTCAGAGTTCCTAGGGCAACAACAGCAACAATCACAATTACAGGCACAGCCCCAGCAGCATCACTTCTCCTCGGTCCCTGAGGAGCAGGTAGAAAAGGTCACGCATACGTACGACAACCATGGTCGCCAAATATCCAACGCCAGCCAGAACGCAAGTCAGCCCAGTGCCGATGACTCGGAAAGCTGGAACTTCGAGGAACCCATCAGCGAAATTCCTCAGGACAACCTAGCCTTAAGAAGACCGGACACAGAGATGTTCCCCAACGCAAATCAGATCCCGCCAAAATCGCCTCCAAGAGTTGGAAAGGGCCGAAGGGCGAGTGCGGATCATAAGCGTAAAGCTAGCAGCGAACTACAAAATCAAAATGCGGTAGCACCGGGTGCAAGAACAGACCCACAGAGCTTCAAGGTTCGATTCGCACTGCGCGGCCATCTTGATGTCGTTCGAGCCGTCATCTTCACCGGTGGTGGCAGTCCTGCTGAACCTGAGATCTGCACTGCAGGCGACGACGGCATGATTAAGAGATGGATCATACCAGCGAGCTACGCCAACCAACACAGCATGAACAATGATCTGGACATCGCCTCCTTCTGGTCACACAGGGGTCATGAGGGCGCCGTAACATCGCTGGCGGCATGTCCCGCTTCCGCTCACTTCGCAACCGGTGGCCGAGTATCTGGTGATGGCTGGATATTCTCAGGCGGTCAAGATGCCACTATTCGTGTTTGGGAAAGAGGACGTGTCGATCCCAAGGCTACTCTCGACGGCCACAAAGATGCCGTCTGGACCGTTTGTGTACTACCAACAACATGCGCATCGGTATTTGGAGCAGATTGCAGCAACTACGGTGGTCCAGACAGGATATTGCTTGCTTCTGGTTCAGCTGACGGAACCATCAAGATCTGGGCGGTCAGTGCACCTCCCCAGCTTGTTTCGCCGCAGACCAACACACGGCGTGGCGGCAGCCGAAGACACTCGGTAACATCAGGCTCCAACTACCCATCATCGCCCCAGCCAAGCGTTGCTACATCGACACCTTTCCACTCTATGCTGGTGCATACGATTGAGCGAGCGACGCACCCATCTCCTACATGCATCAGCCCCTTGTCGCTGAACGGAGAAAATTTCGTTGTATCATTCACGGATGCATCAATCATGGTATATGACACACGAACTGGAGAGGAGCTCATTGGTATGGCTAGTAACGAGACTTATGACGGCACTCCTGCGACTGGCATCACATCTGTAGTTACAAGCTCGCAGAACACCGAATCAACCGCACAGGATGCGGCACGCGGGGAAGATGAAGCCATTCATGGACCCACAGGGTCCAACAGCGGTGGTGGCCTTGAGGGTGTGATCATCAGTGGGCACGAAGATCAGTTCATCCGTTTCTTCGATGCAAACTCTGGTAGGTCAATAACATGAGATACATTCGATGGACCCAGGCTAACGAACACACCAGGCCAATGCACATACAGCATGCTGGCCCATCCCTCCGCCATCTCCTCCCTCTCACTTAGCAAAGACGGCCGCGAAGCCGTTTCCGCCGGCCACGACGCCTCGATCCGTTTCTGGTCACTCGACAAGCGTATCTGCACACAAGAGATCACCGCTCATCGCATCATGCGTGGTGAGGGTGTGTGCAGTGTAGTCTGGAGCCAGGACGGCCGCCTCGTCGTTTCGGCAGGCGGTGACGGTATCGTGAAGGTGTTTGCTAGATAGCATCTTCGCAGACCTCTCAACACCACCCACCTGGATGCAACCCGTCAAGATTCACCGATGCGTGAATAACGTACCACAGCATTTTTGGTCGATGCATTTCTAGCTGGATCATACCCCGCGCTTTTCTTTGGACTTTGAACTTGAATGGCATCATGTAGCTGCACGATTGATGGAATATGGATATGGTAATTGTACGCATTGGGTCACAACATCACCTTGGCCACTGTTTGGGTTTTGCAGGGGACCGTGCCAGATGCATCGCTCGCAGGCGCCTTCCTTTCGCTTCGCTTCAGCTGTACTATACATTTGACTGAAGACTAGAAGGCAATGCCAACCTATGTTAAACCTTCTGAGGACACCACTCAATATACATAGTAGCTTTGATCGCACCTGCCACATGAATCTTAACAAGCAGGTGATTTCGACCATTGCCTTCTAGATAAGGTAGACCGCGCGATACGCGAGTCATGCATCATCCATCCCACTTCACCCCACTTCTCCGCAAACAAACATCATCACTCCTCCACCTGCATGACGATGGATCGCCTCACACCCGCCAGCGCTCGTAGTTGCTTTTCTGTACTCGCCTTTCATCCTCCTTGAGTACTTCGAAATCTTGAACATCCTATATTCTTCACAATGGCCAAAGAATTCCAGGACAAAGTAGTCCTCATAACCGGAGGTGGAAGCGGCATCGGGTACGACGCAGTCCACTGCACCACTACCACTATCCTCTGGAACTGATCCGATGTATCTCACAGACGCGCAACAGCCCTCAAACTCTCTTCCCTCGGCGCCAAACTCTCCGTCTGCGACCTCAATGAATCCTCCCTCTCCGACCTCGCCTCCGCAGCAGAAACACAAACGTACACGCAAGCAGTAGACGTAGGCAACACAACACAAGTCGGAGGCTTTGTCTCCAACACATTGAAAGAACTCGGTAAAATCGACTACGTCTTCAACTGCGCAGGCGTGAATCCAACATCCATCCCGCTCGAAGACACCACCGACTTATACTGGGACAAACTCGTCAACACAAACCTCAAAGGGGTTTTCCTCGTAACTCGCGCCTGTCTGCCCCATCTAAGCAGAGGAAGTGCAATAGTAAACGTCTCGTCCATCAGCGGCATCCGCGGCTCCGCGCTCCAATCCGTCTACTGCACGACCAAATTCGGGCTCATCGGGATGTCCAAGTCACTCGCGCTTGAACTGGGGCCGCGCGGGATTCGTGTGAACTGCGTGGCGCCGGGGTACATTGACACACCCACGAATGCAGGGATAGTGAAGGGTGGGGCAGCCGTGGAAAGGATGCGGATGGGGAATGCGTTGGAGAGGCTGGGCACGCCGGGGGAGGTTGCGGATGTGGTTGCATTTTTAATGGGGAATGGGGCGAGGTATGTGAACGGGAGTGTGGTAGAGATTGATGGGGGGTTGAAGATGAGTAGTACTACTAGTAAGTTATAGTCAGTTGAAAGGTGAAGAAGGGGCTGACGGTGTGTAGGTAAATGAATGATTCGTGGGGTTGCAAGAGCGGCGGAAAAACTAAGTCTCGGAGTATGGAAATTTTTGGTACGCTGTTTCGCGTGGATTTGCCCGAGGTGGGACAGGGGAAGTTATGAAGCTTCAAGAGGTCATACACGGCAGTATGCTGGGTTGCATAGAATCGATACCTCACATCACCACAGAACAAGAGTGTATTTGGAGACTTTCCATACTCTAATTGGCCAGGGGATATCAAGCTCAAGCCATAACTATACTGTCATCCGTCGTTACATCCAACCCCACAAATGCAATACCACTCAATCCCAACCCTTGTTTCTTTCCCTGAAACGCTCCAACACCACGCGTAGCAACCTCTACAAGCTGTAAGGATGTCTCACGCTACCGCTTCTTCTCAGACTCCTTCCCAGACCCCAGCGCCTCCCTGCCTAGTCTCTAATCTGACTTCTGTGTGGTCTTGTCCTTCGTCCCTTGTGTGCTTTTATCCTTCTCGCCCACCGCTCCTTTCTCTTCGCGTGCTTCTGTCTGCTTGTCCTCTCTTCGCTCTTGTTGCTTTTGGTGCTTGTCGCCCTGCTTCTCTCCTTCTTTGTCCCCTTCCCTGCGCTTCTCCTTCTCTTCCGTCTCTTTCTCTCCCTTCATCAACGATCCACCATTCTTTAGCTCTCCACCCTGCTTAAGTTTGTTGGCTTCATCGGCCAGCTTCCCGTCCCCACCGTTCCCGTCCTTGCCTCCAATCGTCAATTCATCAATCTTCTTGACAAGAGCATCCACCTTGAACGGCTTGCTGATAAGATCGTCCATCCCTGCTTCGCGCATACTATTCTTCTGAGCTTCGCGCACATTTGCACTGACACCCAGAATCTTGCTGTATCCAGCCTTGCCCTCGTCCTGCAACTGCCTGATCTCGGTTGTCGCCTGGTTCCCGTCTTTGATCGGCATCTCCTGATCCATGAGAATGCAATCGAAGTAATTCAGATTATGCTGGTCTTTAGCAGCGGTCTTCCCACGCTCGAAGACGGCATCGACAGCCTCTTGTCCATTGTTGGCAACAAAAACTTCGAAGCCACGGGATTGCAACTGGCGGCGGAGAACCTTTTGGTTGATGAGGTTATCTTCGACTAGGAGAAGGGTACGTTTGTCTTCTGAGCGTCGAGAGCTTTGTGCCTTGTGTGCTTTGTCAGCTGCCGCTTCCTGGCGTACGCTCTCGCCCGACTCAAAATAGGGTACACGACCGTCGTGTCTTTCTAAGGTAGGGCTAACTTGATTGGCAACACTTTCAGTATTCTGGTAGCGGTCGTCTTCCTTGGCTTCAGGGTGAGCTTCGGAGAAGTACTCTGTAGGCGGATTTTTCAGTGATGGGTCGACATTATCAGTGTCCACGCCTGAATGACTTGTTAATGGTTCCAGCCCTTGACGTTTGCGATTATTGTTGGTATCGCTTTTCTTAGATTTGCTCTCCGATTCACTTTCTCTGGCTTCCAGCTTGATTTCTTTTCTGCCTAGTTCGTTCGTCCTTTCTTTGATATCTTGGAGGTTCGAATTTACGCGACCGCAGCCTGGCCGCGGTGTTTGAGCACGTTGGTTCGGAGTTGATGGATTCTCAGAGTTGGAACGAGATGAGAACGGTGGCCGTCCTTCCTCGCTGCTAGACCCGTCAGATCGCCGGACTTTGAAGAAGAAACCAAAAGTGGAGCCATCGCCCTCCTTGGAGCTCACACCGATGTCACCTCCGTGCAGCTGGCACACTAAAGCCGGAAGTTAGTGCAAGCTACATTAATAAGAATCATACGTACATTTGCGAGAGATGAAAAGGCCGAGTCCAGAGCCGCCGTATTTCTCTTGGGTTTTAGGTGTTGCTTGCCTGAACCTCTCGAAAAGCTTCGTTTGGTCCTCGTTGCTTATGCCGATACCTGAATCCTTAACAGCCACCATAAGGTAGAAGGCGTCGCCGTTGCCCCACTCGGATGACTTGGTTGAGTCGATGTGAAACGTTTCCTTGTCTTGGCCGAAATATATGATGTTCGGTGGATACGAAGTTGGACGTTCCATGGAAGCGCCCATAGAGACTGTGATTTTCCTCTCGCCCTTCTTCCTGGATGTAAACTTGATGGCGTTTGTTATCAGATTGACCAACACTAATTCAGTCAGTGAGATCTCCGAGTTCAGTCGAGCCTATTACCTTGCTTCATCCTGTTGAGATCTGCAATGACATGATTGACTTCTTGGTCATCGTACGAAATGTCCATGGCATAGTGGAACTTGATACTCTTCGCTTTGAACTCGGACTGGAAGACCTTTAATGCCTGTGAAAATTCCCATTTGGGTCGCACCACTGGATTTGGTCAGTAAGCAAGTCAGATATGCATAAAGACTGCCGTACCGCGGGGCACTAAGGATAGCATCATGGAGTCTAGTTTTGAGAAAGAGAGTATGTCGTCCACGAGGGTGTTTTGATGTAAGACGCAAAGTAATATCGTGTCAGCAGCATCCATGATGTCCGCTACCTGATCCTTGATGTCTTCGTGTCCAAAGCCGATTTCGCGCGTAACGTCCTTGACTTCTTCCGCTAGATGCATGACAGCGCTGAGTGGGTTGCGAATTTCGTGTGACACCATATCAATGAATCGTTCCTGTTGCTCTTTCCTTTCCTGTGCCTCGGTAGCGGCCTTCTCTTGAGCTAGTTCTGCTTGTTTGATTTCAGTAATGTCAACAACTGCACAGATGAAGCCGGCCTCGGGGTCTTCGTTAAGTGGTCTGAACAAGAACAGCCTCCACTCTCCCTCTTCACCTGTAGCTTCGCTTGTGCATCGAAATTCGATCCTAAGGTCTTCCCGACGTGAGAAGGCTTTGCGGTAAGCGGCCATCACTCTATCATAGTCGTTGGGATGTATACTCTCGGGCCAAGCGCGGAACTCGTTCGCCATCTTGTTCGTCGTAAGTCTGAAGAAGCCATCGTTGACGAAAATGGCCTCAAGCTCTTTATCGAGAATCGCAAGCCCGTTTGGCAGTAGCTCGGCAAATCTTTGGAATAGTTGTGTTTGCATCGAATCCTTCTGCCTATCGTTGCTTCGTCCATCTGGTTTGTCGCTGCCGTATTTCTTGTCGTTCTTGGCTGGATTTCGGTGTGCTAACTTGTCGAGACCTTCAAATGCCGTATATTGTTCTACTATGTTGTTCTGCATGAGTTGTGCGAGCACCCCTTGTCGGCTTCCCTTGGAGTCAAGAAGGGTGCTGAGGAGGATCTGTGACTCGGAGTCCTCATCGCTGATCTTTTGTAGGAAGAATGTTGCGTCTGTGTACGTGTGATGAGAGGATGAACTTAATTAAACAGGCAGGGCATGATCCTTACCTACCTTGACGGTTGTGCCGCGCACTACTCGCTGCAAAATGCTAAGTGCCTCTGCTGTGTAGCTGCGTAGTGCGCTTGTGCCCTGCCCGCCCAATTCACCTCGCGCTTTGGTCCATGCCGTGTTCGCTACGACCGTGAGCTCACTACCCCAGAAGATGGCGCAGCAGTGGGTCATCGGTAAGACACAGGAGTTGACGAGGCATTTGAGCGCTGGAGACCAGGATTCGCGCGGTCCGATGGGAGTCTTCGACCTGCTGCGCGTTAGCTTGGAGAGTTGAGCAGGGTGCTGATCGTACCAGTCAACAGCTTCTATTGCCTCCGAGTTGACATCGAAGGGCATAAATGCGTCCATGGTTGCTTTGCAGCAACACTAGGGTGTGAAGTGCTTCAGACGGTTGACAGACGCTGCGAGCACAACGCGGAATAAACCACTGACGTCATGTGGGTTGTCGAGTTCAAAAGCGATTCGCGACTTCGAGGAAACTGCCTGTCTTGCGCCACATTGTCGCCCAAAGAACTCCGGGGAGGTCTAGACTCCACACTCGTCGAAACCCGACAAAAACTGGGACGATCGACTCGTGACCTGTAAGCCTTCAAGTTTGGTTAGTGCATGAAGTCCGCGCTGTCAGATCGAGATTGAGCGGCAATCGACCAAATCTGGCAACACCAAACTTCAACCGCTGAAACACGTGTAGAGTAAAATAGTTGAAAAGCTGATGTCGTAGGGCTGTCGGGCCGGAGAGTCTACCGAACATGATCGACAGGTGGCTTTCAGTTGGTTGAGGGAAAAGTCAGGAACAACATCGACGACAAACGTTTGGCGAAGTCGGCAACAGCACCCAATGCGTTGGCAGGCGCAAGCACTGCCTGGCTAATGTCAAAGACTGCATGCTGCAGCTGAACGGCAGTGTTCCTGTTCAACAAACTGAGTGAACGTGGCGCACAGTTTGAGGGAGTAATCTACCGAGACAACGTTACAGTAGGTATGCAGAAATGGTCAGATAGAGAAGCTTGTTCATGTATACAGAACCTCATACGTCATTCATACCAGCGCCACGAACGACCAGGTGCACAGAACACCACGATTCAAGGCGTATAGGCCCCCTGACCCAAGACTCGGTTAGAAACACGCCCATTACACCACCCATGACACAAAGCATGCTTTTCATCGAGGGAGCAGCGCTCATACACAAACACCTTGTTTCGACTCATCTGCCACCCGCAATAATGACGAACAGCCTCAAGGAGTGGTTTCAACCTCGACGCTTTCAAAGCGTATCAACAATCGAATAACAACACACAACCTGTAGGCTTTTGAAAGTTTTGAACGCTGAGTAGCAGACTTAAGATGCATCTCCAGTCCAGCTCGCCAGCTCGGTTCATATCGCCTCGTTAAGAACAAACGATGCTCTCGTACGCACATTGAATCCTGTGTGGGGATCCTTCTGCGTGTCAGAGATCATCTTCTTGATGCCAACGGTCTCTCCTGTCCTCGATGCTATTCTGGCTTGGTGACTAGTGGAGTGTAGTCGCGTCTTCGTGAAGCTTTGGGAGAAACCCAAGAGCACTTCTCTGCCCAGCAAGAGCTTGCGCGTCACCCTCAAACCACTCACTGCTCTCCATCTCCATGACAAACGAGGACACTAGAAGATCCCCAGATTTCCAGACCCTTTCAGTTAACACAGCCGCACAGATTCCATGAAGGACAGCCTTACCTAGCAGCTCGGCTCCTCGGCTAGCGGCATGTCGCCAAACACCAATGTTCGGAAGTGTAATAGCCTCGACTGATAGGCCTCGTCCACCATGCCTTGAAACAAAGCGCATTGCTTGGAACATGCAAGGCTTCGTTGTCAAGATGCGTAAGTTGCGACGTGTTTCTCGCAGCAAAGCTCTGAACGGCCATACATGCCACTCGTTTCGGTGACTTGGCAGCCGTCATTTCCCTTCATGTTCAAGCATACCCTAATCTGGGCGACGATGCCCAAGCATTTCCGCAGCAGGATTGTCTACGAAGTCTGTTCTTGATGGACTTGGCAATGGATTGAGGATGCTCGTTGATCATAGGCTTGGGTGTGAGTATATAGTTCAGCTTTATCCACGATTTCAGATACGATATCATCACTACAACCAACAATTCGACTTCGTTTGCACAACACTCAATTACCATATACAACCTTCAAGCCGCAGCAATCAGTCGCAATGCTCTTCCAGAAGCTTGCCATTGTCGCTACCTTGACCGCCATTGTTGCGGCTCAGGACATCAGCCAGGACGATATTCCCCAGCAGTGCACACAGGTGTGCGCCCAGGTCGTCACCATCGCACGTGACTGCAACAACCAGCATGGTACGCAAAGAATTGTCTCTTGCAATGACCACGACTAACGAATCCACAAGATAATGACAACGCCGAACTCCAGTGCATCTGCAACGTCCCCAACGCCAACACCCTGATCCCCGCCTGCGAGGCCTGCGTCCAGCAATACGATACCGACACTGACGACGACGATAACGTGAACGACAACAATGTCCGCGAAGTCCTGACTCGTTGCAACTTCACTATTCAGAGCTCCTTCAACTCCGCCAGTGCCAGCTCAGTCGCTTCTTCCGCTTCTTCCGCTGCTTCCGCTGTTTCCGCTGCTTCCGCTGCTTCATCTGCCGCCTCTACTGGTACTACCAGTGTCGTTGTCAGGACCTTCGGTACGAACGTGGTGACTAGTACTGTTGCTCCTACGCAGGTCACGCAGAATGCTGCGCCTGCTGTGACTGCTGCGGCGGGTATGGGCATTGGTGCTCTTGGAATCGCGCTTGGTATGCTCTAGATGCAACCTCCGACAAGCAATCGAGTTGAGAGATTAGTGAGACTATCTTGTATCGAGGGACATAATTGACGGAAGGATGATTGGTCACCGAGTAGCAAGTGCATAGGATCCATTCCTTCTGAGTTCGTGTTTTATGGCGTTGAATCTGTACATAGCAGCGAATACCACATGACTTACGAACTGAATTGGATTTGCACATAGGGAGCCACACCTTTAGCTGACATGTTGTATTGTGTTCGATTGCAGCACAGTCCATGCACTTGCATACCATGTGCTCTTGCTTCTCTTGATTAGATGATGTTCAAAAGCCCACTTGCCTCATTCATCAAACCGTCGATGTCGTTCCTGAACACAACAACCAGCCCTAGAGCAACATCGTGTTTCGATTTGTAAGGCGGTGTAGAATTTGTTTATACAATAAAATCCAAAGCAGACGGTGATGGAGAGCGTGCAGTCGGAAGCGAAGCCGGACATAAAGCCGAGGTGAGTATACTCGCGCAGGGATCGCGGCCTGGTCTAACCGCTTCTCGATCTTTCCAGCAAATTTCTAAGAACATCGTCGAACTCCAGCTATCATCTCCGCACTCCTCCTCACCTCTTCTCCATCCTCATCTCTTCCTCGTCATCTTTGCAGTAGGCCGGAGTCTGGGAGCAAGACTTGAGATTCTCTTTACGTATACACATCCAGTCCCTTCATAATGCAGAGAGCTTTCACAGCCCGTGCGCGGACTTCCGCTCTCAAGTCGAGCGCCAGGAGCTTCAACCTCCAGCAACAGAGGTTCGCCCACAAGGTACGACATCGCAGTCATCGCACATGGTACAAGGGGAAGCTTCAGCAGCTAACAGCGATGACAGGAGCTCAAGTTTGGCGTCGAGGGACGCGCTGCCCTGCTCAAGGGTGTCGACACAATCGCCCGCGCTGTATCAACAACACTCGGTCCCAAGGGTCGCAACGTCCTCATCGAGTCCAGCTACGGCTCCCCCAAGATCACAAAGGGTTTGTCCTCGCCAAGATCAATCCCTATGACCAGCTGCTGACAAGCCTCAGATGGTGTAACCGTCTCCAAGGCCATCACCCTCGAGGACAAGTTCGAGAACCTCGGCGCTCGTCTTCTCCAGGATGTCGCCTCCAAGACTAATGAGGTTGCTGGTGACGGTACTACAACTGCCACCGTCCTCGCTCGCGCCATCTTCTCCGAGACCGTCAAGAACGTCGCCGCCGGATGCAACCCCATGGATCTCAGGCGCGGAACCCAGGCTGCTGTTGAGGCTGTCGTTGAGTACCTGCGCGCAAACAAGAAGGAGATCACCACCAGCGAGGAGATCTCCCAGGTCGCCACTATCTCCGCCAACGGCGACACACACATTGGCAAGCTTCTCTCTAACGCCATGGAGAAGGTCGGCAAGGAGGGTGTCATCACTGTCAAGGAGGGCAAGACCATTGAGGACGAGCTCGAGGTTACCGAGGGAATGAAGTTCGACCGTGGTTACATCTCGCCCTACTTCATCACCGACACCAAGAGCTCCAAGGTAGAGTTCGAGAAGCCTTTGATCCTCCTCTCCGAGAAGAAGATCTCCGCCGTCCAGGACATCATCCCCGCTCTTGAGGCTTCCCAGCAGCAGCGCCGTCCCCTTGTCATCATTGCTGAGGACATCGACGGCGAGGCTCTTGCTGTCTGCATTCTCAACAAGCTTCGTGGCCAGCTCCAGGTCGCCGCTGTCAAGGCTCCCGGCTTCGGTGACAACCGCAAGTCTATCCTTGGCGATCTTGCCGTCTTGACCAACGGTACCGTCTTCAGCGACGACCTTGACATCAAGCTCGAAAAGGCCACCGCCGACATGCTTGGTTCTACCGGTGCTATCACCATCACCAAAGAGGACACAATTTTCCTCAACGGCGATGGCAGCAAGGATGCCGTCACTCAGCGCTGCGAACAGATCCGCGGCGTTATGGCCGACCCCACCACCTCCGAGTACGAGAAGGAGAAGCTCCAGGAGCGTCTCGCCAAGCTCTCTGGCGGTGTTGCCGTCATTAAGGTCGGTGGTGCCTCTGAGGTTGAGGTTGGTGAGAAGAAGGACCGCATCGTCGATGCTCTGAACGCCACCCGCGCTGCCGTTGAGGAGGGCATCCTTCCCGGTGGTGGTACTGGTCTCCTCAAGGCATCTGTCAACGCCCTCAAGGATGTCAAGGCCGCGAACTTCGACCAGCAGCTCGGTATCTCCATCGTCAAGAACGCCATCACCCACCCTGCCCGCAAGATCGTCGAGAACGCCGGTGCTGAGGGATCCGTTGTTGTTGGCAAGCTCACCGATGAGTTTGGCGCCGACTTCAACATGGGTTTCAACAGCGCTAAGGGCGAGTACGTCAACATGATTGAGGCCGGTATTCTTGACCCCTTCAAGGTTGTCCGCACCGCTCTTGTCGATGCTAGTGGCGTTGCCTCCCTCCTCGGTACAACAGAGGTAGCAATTGTGGAGGCAGAATCGAAAAACGCAGGCCCACCCGCAATGGGCGGTATGGGTGGAATGGGCGGTATGGGCGGTATGGGCGGCATGGGAGGCATGATGTGAGCGTGTGACTAACCGTTCCATTCACTTCTCTACCCCTTTTCTCTATACCCTCTTTAGTACTCGAGTCTTTCCCAGCGACCGTTCATGTACGCGTATTGGGTCGGTACTCCGCTCATGTTCTCCCCATGTCTTCATAATTGTACGAAAAGCGCAGCATTTGTTTGGGGTTTGTTGTACTATATCATGTGTATCTAGAAGAACCTCTGGGAAGGATAGGATGTAAAAGCGACTACGGAAATGTGAACAAGTTCAAACGCACTCTTACAATCCATTGTGGTGACTATAAAAAGGCTACGGTCCACACAAGACTCGCAAATGATCAGCTTGGAGGTAGGGCAAAGACTTAAAGCGCTCATGCACATCTCTAGCAAGGCTTCAATCCGTCTCGAGGTTCAGCATTGCATACAAACGCACATCTTGAATGCCACACTGTCTTTTAATGAGTTCGCAACGATCATAGTTTCTGGACATGGTAGTCACACGCATGGTCATCTTCCAGACTTCCAGCTGACTTAAGATGGTGCGAGTATAACGTCATGGGTAGCAGCGTGCGGTCTCTCTGTTTTTCTGAAACATGTATCTGAAGGCTTTGAGAGCGCACTGATAATTTTATTGATTCTGAAGTATCAGGAGCCTTGAGCTTTGCAGTGGACAAGGGTCTCAGCTCGAATCAATGAGGCGCGGCGGTTGCTGGGGTGTCGATGCCGCCTTCCTTAAGATGCCCCTCTACGCCCCACACACTTTTGCCAACCGACCTCACTACCTCAGCCCATCTTTCCCGCACTTCCCTAACTTATACACCTCCTCCATCTTCCCCAATTGACGTAAGCAACCCCCTCAAGCTTCAGGCAGCCGTTCGATTACCACAATGTCGCGCCTACCATGCGCAGCCGATGACGAATACGCTGACAGGCAACAAAGATAGAGCCCAACACCTCCCCTAAGCCACCCCCCCACCACAAACAACACAACATGGTAAGGTTCTATAGGTATTTACCACAATGCGCAGCGCTAACACGACGTGAATAGGCTCAGTCCGGGTACGTACCACCGCCATACACCTCGATCCTTGACAGCTGTTGATGGGCACCACTCACGTTCTCCGCGCACATGCCCGCACCCCTCACCGCCATATACCTGTCGTCGCCCTAAGACCTTTCGCTAACGCTAAGACTCCAGTGTCTCCGTCGCACCCGAGTGCATCAGTGCCTTCAACGAGCTCAAGCTCGGCAAGGACACCAAGTGGATCATCTACAAGATCAGCGACGACTGGAAGGAGATCGTTGTTGAGGAGACATCCAAGGAGGCTGACTGGTCTGTCTTCCGTGAGAAGCTCCTCAACGCCAAGAGCAAGGACCGCAAGGGCAAGGAGGGCATTGGCGGCCGTTATGCTGTTTTCGACGTTGAGTACGAGCTTGAGAATGGTGAGGGCACACGCTCCAAGATCACCTTCATCTCGTGGACCCCCGATGATGCGCCGCAATACGTAAGTCTTCAATGTCCTACGACAAGGAAACACATGTACTAACATTATGTAGCCGCGCATGATGTACAGCTCCTCCAAGGAGGCCATCAAGCGCGCCCTCAACGGTCTCGCCGCCGACATCCAGGCCAACGACGCCGACGACATCGAGTTCGATAACATCAAGTCTCGCGTGTCCAAGGGCCGATAAGTGTATCGCTCCTGTATTTGTCGATTTCGCGCACCCAAAAGCAAGCATTAGGGTGATTTGTGTTTTGGCAACGACTATGACGAAATGAGCCGAGTTTGCGTTTTGGTACAGATGAAATGGCATAGTGACCTGATCAGTCCTACAGCGAGAAGCAGTGGTGGACAAGTGATGGTGTACAGCGCTGATTCTGTATGTTGCGAGGCTTGATGAGAGTCTGGCAATGATAGGACTGGCGAAATATCACAGATGAACGATTATTAATACCATTGGCCAACACGATGTTATGTGATGTATTTATTGAACCATCTAGTCTCTGCTACCATGTTCTCGTCCCTCAACAATTACCGATCAGCCTCCCAAGCATTTTTAAACACACCCACCAACCTCTCCCCCTCGTGCTCATCCTTTATCCTCTGCAGTACAAAGTTCTTCAAATCCCCCCAAAACTCGTCCGTAGCAACAACCTCCTTCCCGCTAGGCCCCACCGCCGCCGCCCCTCCCGCAGCACCCACATTCGCTCCCTCCCCAGCCCCAGCCAAGCCCTTATCACTCTCACTCGGCGCCGCAGCCGCGGGACTGCCTACAGGCGACTCGCCGCTCGGTGCCGAAGCCCCTGCTGTTGCGCCGCCCATGACCATGACGCTGAACTCGACGTCGCTGCCGGCGCCGGTGCCGATTACTTCCGAGACGAGTTTAGACTCGGCGACGGGTTTCTTTTTGTAGAGGATCTTGATCTTGGTCGCTGGGATTGACGTCGATGTGCTGTATTGTTGCTTGAGATCGTACATGGAGGTTTTGCTTGGGTCGATGGCGGAGAGAGGGAGGGTTGGGGCGGTAGGTTTCATAGGCCTGAGGGAGATATTGATTGTGGAGGTTGAGGACGCATTGCCGGCGGTCTTTGGGTTGGGGCGCTGGGGGTGGCCAGCGGGGAGGCGTGGAAGGATGGGCTGTGAACGAGGTGAGTACGGGAGAAGACAGCTGCTTAGCAACATGGAAAAAGGGCAAACTTACGACACCCGTTGCTGGGTAGGTTCGTGCATCTGACACGTAGTCTGAGGACAGCTTGACGGAGCGAGAGTCGATTGCGCCGAGGAACGTCTTGCAGAAGGTGAGTTCAGACATGGTGGTGGTGGTGGTGGTGGTGGCAGGGCGTCGAAACGCTGAAGCCGTCTCCTTCGGATGGTAGCTGGAATGGACGCGAAGGAACGAGCTGAAGCTATGCACGCTATGATATGCAGATTGAAACAGTAGAGAAACGTTGTTGTTGACAGTCTCGAAGCCTGGTTGGCGATGACATCGTCGCTTCCGTCTCCCTGCTGGCGGGGCTAGCGGGCTAAGTTCTGCCGACGCTAGTGAATGCGGTGAACCAAATTTCGAGAATTGCAGAGCAAAAGTTCGAGGTCGCGGCCGTGCATGCGAAGCACCATCTTCCGATTCTCCCAACTTTTACACATACACAACCGCAAACATGGGTGGCATGAGAGGAAAGAAGAAGCAGGGCATGCCCGAGCCCCTCGACGAATCGCTCGTTACCCGCAAGAGGAAGGACTACGAGGCGCCCGCGCCCAAGGAGCAGAAGAGGAGGAGAACAGACGCGAAAGCGAAGGCGAAGGCGAAGGCGAAGGCTGCGCCTGTGTCTAAGAAGGCTGCAATCGCCAATGGGGCAGCCAAGAAGAGCGCAGCAAAGCCTGTCAAGGCTGCTAAGCCCGCGAAGAAATCTGCGCCGCCACCAGTTTCCGACGACGAGGACGTCTTCTCGGACGCTTCAGACGGTGTCGATGATCCCGACGTTATGGAGGATGTTCTGGGCGATGTCAAGGTTACTGGACTCGATGCGCTCGGCAGCGCCTCGGAAGATGACAGCGAAATCGACGACGACGACGACGACTTCGACTCGGACGTAGAACCCACCAAGAACGCCATGTGGTCGGACGACGAGGATGAAGACGATGCCCAGGAGCAGCTCACTGCAGCCAACATCGAGGGTCTGTCGCGGAAGTTGGACATGCAACGGGCCATTGAGGAGGCCGAGGCGCAAGCTGAACTCGAGGAGGGCAACATGCAGACCAACATCGCACCAGCGGACAGGCCGAAGGTGCTGGAGGACGAGGAGGATGAGGAGGGCCGCAAGATCTCGAACCTTGTCACACAAGACATCCAGCTTCTGCGAACGCGACTCAACGACACCATCCGCGTGCTCGACGACTTCAAGAACTTGGCGGAACCCGGTCGCGACAGGGCAGAGTATCGCGCGCAGCTGTTGAAGGATATCTGCTCGTACTATGGCTACTCCGAGTTTCTCGCAGACAAGCTCCTCAGTTTGTTCCCCGCCCGCGAGGCCTTCGCCTTCTTCGAAGCCAACGAGACACCCCGACCCATTGTCATCCGTACCAACACCCTCCGCACACATCGTCGTGAGCTCGCGCAGTCGCTCATCAACCGTGGCGTTCAGCTCGAGCCCGTTGGCAAGTGGTCCAAGGTCGGTCTGCAAATCTTCGATGCGCAAGTACCGCTCGGTGCTACACCTGAGTACTTGGCTGGTCACTACATTCTTCAAGCCGCTTCCTCGTTCCTTCCCGTCATGGCCCTCGCACCCCAGGAAAACGAGCGCGTTCTCGATATGGCCGCCGCTCCCGGTGGTAAGACAACGCATTTGGCCGCTCTGATGAAGAACACTGGATGCATCTTCGCCAACGATGCCAGCAAGGAGCGTTCCAAGGGTCTGATCGGTAACATCCACCGTCTGGGTGTGCGAAACAGCATCGTGTGCAACTACTCCGCGCTCGAATTCCCCAAGGTCATGGGAGGATTCGACCGCGTCCTGCTCGATGCACCCTGCTCTGGTACTGGTGTCATTGCAAAGGATGCCAGTGTCAAGACCAACAAGACTGAGGCCGATTTCATGAAGCTGCCGCACCTGCAGAAGCAGTTGATTCTCGCAGCCATCGACTCTGTCGACCACCACAGCAAGACTGGTGGTTACATCGTGTACTCCACCTGTTCCGTTACCGTGGAGGAGAACGAGCAAGTCGTCCAATACGCATTGAACAAGCGCCCGAACGTCAGGCTTGTCGAGACGGGCCTCACATTCGGGAAAGAGGGCTTCACGAAGATTGGCGGCAAGATCTTCCACCCCTCCATGAAGGTATGTTGATCTTCACGACCCCCCCCCCCCCTCAACCCTTGCACCCGCTTATTAGATTCTAGATGACAAGGAGATACTACCCCCACACCTACAACGTCGACGGTTTCTTCGTCTCCAAATTCAAGAAGATCGGCCCCACACCACCCAACGCCGTCGGTGCCAACCGTTCCGCCAACGGCCAGCCTTCCGCTTCCACAACTGGACAGGACGAGTACGTCGATAAGACACCCATCCTTACTGAAGAGGAAGAGGAGGAGGATGACTTCGGCGGTTTCGACGAGGAAGAGGACAAAGCGTACATCGAGCGCGGTCAGGCAAGAGATGCGAGAAGGAAGGGCAAGGACCCAAAGGCGGATCCTAGTAAAGCGTCGAAGGAGTCAAAACCAAAGGAGAAGAAGGGCGGTGGTAAGGAGGTCGCTGGAAAGGAGGCTAAGACCGAAAGCAAGAAGTCTGCTGAAGACGTTGTAGTTGCTGATGTCAAGGTCAGCAAGAAGGACGGCAAGGGGAAGAAGGCTGGCAAGACGGAGAGTGCTGTTGCTGTTGCTGAGATCACGCCTGTGAAGAATGGTACGGAGAAGAAGAAGGCGAAGGCCGAGGCTGTGGCATCGCCGGCGAAGTCACCTAAGACGAATGGTGCGGATAAAAAGGTGAGGAGAAAGAGTGGGGATAAGAAGATGAAGGCGTAGATATTCTTTGGCATTTCGTGTGTGCGTAGTTCGTAGTTCGTGTGTGCGTAGTAGATACCACGTAACGACTATTGAGGGTGGTTGTTAATACCATCTGTTACTTGAGTCTGACACGTCCGCAACTTGTCGTATGTTGGTGTTTGAATGCTTCGGCTGCCATTGTCGCGGTTTATGTGCAAGCGGGCTTGCTTGGATTGTGTAGATGATGTGTCGTTAGATATCTAGAGTCACCTGAACTCAATGCGTGCTCAACCTCGAAATCCGAATGTCCAGACTAGGAGAGCTAGATATCTTGCACTTCAACGTCCCAGACGAACCAGTCCTTGCTGCACTCTGATCTGAGGAGAGATCATGTGAACCCACACATCCTGAACGTGGTCATTTCTGCCTAAGAAGAATGCAGGATCCAAGTGGTTATATGTTGTGTCTTGTCCTTTTTGCCCTGAGCAGGCACTGATATCCACATCCGAAAACAGTGCCGCATAGGTCTCCTTCGCGTGCCGTAGCTGGGGCCAGTCCCATGTATCCACGTTCTGTAACCATGAATCCCAACGCGGGTGTGACACATTTGGTGCATAATTAGTCACCTCGGGGGACTCTGTACCCCCATCCCAGTTAGGGGATCGAGACCCATCAGTATGTCGCATCAAATATTCCAGATAAGCAGACAGGGACGTACACCACAGTTTGCCTTCGTCAACAGTCTTGTCCTTCGTGAGTCTTCCAGAATGCCTAGAGCTTACGCAAGCCACAGTAAGGTGTTTCAGGAGTCAAGGTCTGCACGAGACGCCAAAGTTCGGACATTAGTTATAACGGTTTGTAGATTCGTGAATTGTTCCCGACGTGAACCTTACAGAATCAAACACAACACCATGAACCTTGAGGATTGTTTCGTTGGTCATTCTTGGTCAGCGGCTCGATCCATCTCCAGACAGCAGGGCATGCGCAGTTCGAAAGCTGCCGTCTCTGATCGGGTTGAATTGTGGATCAGTCGAGCCCCAGTGTGGAACCCAAATCGGTAAGCCATACTGCAGCGATTGTGTATCGTGTGTGACATAATCCAAAAGACCTGAGTCCCCAACAGCGCACATATACTGCACTGCAAGCTCCTTCCAAACTCCAGACAACCTATCAACGAATTTGGTTTGAAACCTTCCTTCGCTGAGAACATGCAAAGAGAGCTGATGTTCAGATCGTTGAACGTGTCCTTAGAGTGTGGAACTCAGATTGAGTAGGGTTGAAGAGAACTGTTTGATAAGCTGCCCAAGTACACTCCCACATCAAATCGTTTCAGCTCAAATCGTTCTGGCCCCATATGATGAAGCCTGATTCTGCAAACGCCGCTTGTCGCACAACCCAGCCTCGACTGAACCAGTCTTGTTCAATCAGCCTGAATATCGATGATCATCGCGGGTCGATAATGATAGTATCAATTTTGCTGACCTCAGTATCGATGTAATTGCGCACAGTCTTTGGAAGGGATTTAACTTTCGGCCCATCTTCGTTAACATCGGATCCCAGATAAATAAGCACGCGTTCAGCTTTCCCATAGATCCGGCCCATAATGGCAATGTGACGGCTTTTCTCCTTGGAGACTTCTTAATTGATGCAGGCAGAATCTGCCCACAGTGTCCTGGAGGTGTCTGGAAGAGGAAGCCTGGATAACGCTTAAGCAGATTGAATGTTCAAAGTCCGTCCATCACAGGCAATAGTCTTATCTCTCTTCGAGTTCTCCCAAAAGTAGGATATTGCCTCGAATTTCGCAAAAATCAGAAATGAAGTGTGGAGTTTGCATGCCAACGGCTCGTCACCAGACCCAGGCTGAAGTACTAGATATCGAAAGAACCCGCCCAGAGGGAGCTTGTTGTACCGATAAGGCTTGCTTTGTACGGTCGAAATCCTGTCGGTTGGCTTTGAGATGCTCTCCATGGGGGTATTGAGTGTCGACAACACCGATCGAAAGATATGTGGGTGGAGACAGGCACGATAAATATTAGCATAGAGCGGGGCGGGTAACGTCAGTCTTACCCCGGCCTTCGCCAAAGTAACTTGCAGACACTCTGCGTAAGCGCGGGCACCTGAAAGCTGGCACGTGATAGGCTGCTCTCCCAAGGTGTTGTTGTTGTACTGCTCCATATGATAACGTCAGCGCTCGCGTCTAACTTGCGTCCTCAAAGTAGGTAAATGTCCTGCTCTTCGACGTCCCACTCCAGCCAGTCTTTGCTGTCCTCAACTCCTAGACAGCTATAGAATCTTAGGCCGTGTTCGTCCAAATCAAGGACTGCTTTGCCTAAGATGAAGCCAGAACCTAAATAGGCGTAGCAATCATCAGAGCTGGTGGTCCGAAGTAAGCACGGAGAGGAGCACCCAAATATGATTCCGCACAAATTTCCCTGTTGGGTGACATCAGGCACAAGGCCGATGTAGCCACGTTCGGTAACAATGACCCTCTTGCCGCTTATCAATGAGGAGATAAAGCCATGGAACTTGCTCGATTCGAGTGTAGCGATCTCATCAGCATCCCAACTGACTGCCTCCGATTCTTGCATTTGAGTAGTGAGACGTTCAAAGGTCGCAATGTAGATTCTCCGTGTCTGATGCCACTCGGTGAGATCTCCATAATAATTTGACATTGCGAGCGCATCAAAGAAGGCTTCAAGTATATTTGCAGTAGAGTAAGGCGTTTCGGGTGTGGACTGTCGGACCAAAGTCCACAGCCTAAACAACACTGTTGACGTTGTCGTGCTGCTTTGAAACACATCGGAAGCAAAGCGTACAGAGTCGATGATGACTGCCTTGACTTCGAGAGTGGTGCCGTCGATCAATTTTGGCTCGGAGACCTTCCCTGTGCTCGACCTTAAAGGTGGGTAGTTATCAGCTGTCGAGACGAAACCTATGAAATTGTCTTCTTTCTTGCTCCAATCGGGTGCCCAGGTCATGAAACCTGATTTTAGTGAGTCTTCGTCATGCTTGACGTAGTGTAGTAAGTCCACATCGCCGGTTGTACACACATAATGTGTCGCGAAGTCACGATAAACCTTTAGCGGCGTATCGTTGTAGTTTGGAACAACACGGAGCTGGCGCCTCGGATCTTCGGCAAGATCAAGGAAGGCGTATATCCTATCTCGTGGATCCTTCAGTCGTAGGGCCCTTGCGAAGTGGATATAGTCCAGAAGGGAGCATGGCTTCCAAGAGCCCGCTTGGTAAAACACGCAGATGATATCCTGATGCTGAGCCTCGTAAGCTTCAAGATGGGATCTAAAACGGTCTTCTGCCGGGATGACGATTGTCTTTACGGCTCTTCGGTGCCTCCAGACGAGAGCTCGCATCAGGTCGTCCCAAAGAAACTCAGTTCGTCCCCAGATCACTAGCCCTTGTCGCGCAAGTCCTGCTTCTCGGACGACCCAACCTCGCTGGAACCATTCTTGTTCCACAAGGACGTTCAAGGACGCCCATCGTGGGTCGCTGAGAACTGGAGCATCTGCGTCTGAAAAAGGAAACCAGTCCCAAGGACTCCACTGCGGTTGCCATTCACCGTTCCTTTTCATCTCTTCGACTCCCCTGTTGATCTCGATGAGAGCGATATCAATCATCTCGGAAACATCCTTGAGCAACGAACGCACATTGGCCCCATGCTCTTCTCCAGTGGTACCAATGCAGATGAGAACACGTTCTGCGTTGCGGTAAATTTGACCCATAATGGTCACCTGACGGCCCTTCTCTCGCAGGTCCTCCTGGTTGATACAAATGGAGTCCGCCCAAAGGGTCCGCGGAGTATCTGGCAACCTCACTCGCAGGAGGACCCTATAAAGATTAGGGGTAATCTTCAGAACCCTACCATCGCAGAAAATGTCGTGGTCTCTCTGATCGGTGCCCCAGACATACGAGACAGACTCGTAGTGTGCCTGGTCGATGGTTGAACTATGGAGACTGCATCTGAGTGGGTCGCTGTTGACGCCCGGTAGGAGAACGAGGTACCGGAAAGCGTCCGGGGGAAGCTCATCATATTGATACGCGTCCATCAGTAAATGTCGTGTTGGGGAAGCTGACAGGTCTCGACAAATTGCATTTCGACAATCTTTGTTGCAGGCGATCCGCGAGTAGCATCTGGCTTCAGTTGGCGATTGCTTGCGAGTCGGATCAGGTCACCTTCAATCGTTCGATCTCACGCTCTACGACGGGCCGATTGAGTTGTGGGCATGTAACGATAATGCTGTTGTGCGTGATAATAGAAGGGTTGAATTAGTGGAGGAGTCAGGGTCCGGACACCTTGCCATTTGAGGACTAGACTCCCGGCCCTCCTGATGCAACAACTTCAGCCTGTGGTGGACCAGCATCATCGTCTCTACCCACTGGAGCATACACACGCTCACCACCCTGATCATCTCGTAGCCTCGCAGGCACCCTCTCATTGCCCTGCTGCTCACCCTGACCACCAGCAGCGCCAGCTCCTCGCCCTTCCCTCTCCTCCCGCACACGCTGCCTATCCCTCTCTCTTGCCCACTCCCCACTCGGTCTCCGCGGACGATACTCAGTGAACCCATCGTAGTATTCCTGATCACACGCATAATTTCCCTCTTCATTCTTACGATACATGACAACGATCGGCTCTTTGCCGTTGGGAACAGCAGCTGCGATCTGATGCCCGTCCAAGCCACCGAGATACTGGGCGTTGATGCGTGATGCTGCTTGTTCGGCAAGGGCGCGATAGGGGTCCCTGGAGGCCTTCGAGTGCTTGGAATGCTTGGAACCCATGGTGGTGGGTGGTTGCGATTTTGGGGAATTTGGGTGCAGCGTGGAGGTATACGATGCTATATAGGCAGGGCATGGTATGTGAAAGCCTGGAGGTAGTCATGCATCTGAATTTTCACATGTGCAGGGGTGAATGATAGGATGTTTGTGTCATTGATGTGCCTATGTCGTGGTAATCATAATGTCGTGAAGCCTTCCAGACTCATACCAAAACGCCAAAATTGTATATCTCCCCGATTCCAATTTTGTCGCCCCAAACCTCATCCTGGAGGCATTCATGATGTTTTACAAAAATCGGAAATCGTCCACCCGAATCCGAGCCTGAAGGTAGACGACGACGTCTCCACCACACTAGATGGTGAAGACGTCGTCAGTGGCATCGGCGAAGCCGTTGCCGAGGTCGTGGAGACCTTCGGTGGTGAGGAGTTCTCCAACCTCCTCACCACCGATAACCATGCCCTGGAGGTATCCAGTATTCTGACCGAAGGGTGTGACTGGTGGAGAATTGTAGAACTGGCGGCCGTTCAGTGGTGTAGCCGGGAGGTACTCGTGGTCGTTGATGTAGTCGTAGATGGCGGTATCACCCGGGATACCTCCAGCCGTGTATGGAAACGCACCGAGATCGTGCTGGTCTTGCGGAACTTCTTGCTTCATGTTAGCACAGCTTCGGAGCGTGCTAGACCTGGCCTTGCGCGGCGGCTTCTTCCACTTGTAAGGACAGATCATACCTTGACGGTCTTGATCTCTGTAGGCGCGCGGTAGGGTGACGATGAGACACTGGGTGGCCTCCATGCGAGTTGGCTTCTTGCGGGGTCTGTTAGCTTCAGGTTCTTGAGATGCTTTTGTCTTCGCGCCAGGCGCAGCATATTTGTTCTTTCGCGTCCACGCCATCTTGAGATTTGGAATCTGGTGGCCTTCGGCAATCTGCTTGCCTCGGAGCTTGAGGAGAGCCTGCTGCAAGGCGCCTGCGGTACACTTCTCGCCAACGATCTGAGCAGCTTGGTCAAAGGGGATTTGGACTCCAGTCTCTCCACAAGCCCAGACAATGCCGAGGCACACGTTTTTCCAGTCATCATCACTCCACTTCAGGAGCCTCGGACGCGGCTGGCGTGGCTTGCGAGGGGCGCCATCCTTGTTGATCTTGGGGGTCTTGCGAGGACGCTCCTCTTCAGACTCGCTTACGGCGAAGTCGCTCTCCTCGGCAGGGGTAGCACTCACAGTGTACTCGTCCTCGGCATCTTCTTGCTTGAAGTCCGCATCGCGTCCATCAGCCACTTCGGTATTGCTAGTTCCCACAGCAAAGGAAGCAGGGGTGAAGGGGTCAGCACCGCCAGGGTAGGTTGGTTCAGCGACAGCGAAGGGGCCTGGGACGAAGGAACTTGGCACGAGGGTATCACCAGACAGAGACTGGACAAAGTCCGTAAAGTCCGGCATCCCGTCGTTGTAGAATGCACCACCGTTGTTAGGAGCTTGCACCCACGGATGGAACACACCGCTATCGTAGGGGTGTGGATGGCGGTTGTTGGCGCTGTACGACGTGTATTTGAAACCATCAAACGTCTCGCTGAAGTGGATGTGACCCATGTCTGCAGCTCGGGCGGAGTCGACAACAGGCTGACTATGAAGGGTCTGCATCTTGATGGTCTCCTTGCGCTTGCGCTTCGTCTCGGGAGTTTCTTCTTGCTTGACGAAGTCTTCAGTGCTGGTGCGAGACGTGTGTTGAGGTGGGGTGTGCCCTGCGTGAGATTCATCTTTTCGATGAATCTCACGCAGACGGTTATTGTGGAATCCCATGTCGGGTAATGTGGGGCTTACGGGTGCTGGGGGCCTGTTTGAAGTCAGTATGCTATGTCGAACCCGAAATTGCAAGCTTACATACCTGTACTGTGGCGGCGGCGGCGGTAAGAGCTGCGGAGCCGCCTGTCCGGCGAAGAGGCGTGTCTGTGTCAAGTGTTAGTATACACCGAACAAGTTTTAGTGTGGTAATATGGGGGCAGAACAACCAGCATATTTGCTTGGTCCAGGTCAGAGGTAAAACGGTATGGAAGGAGGGCAATCAAAAGATAGAAGAAAGAGACAAGGCTGGCTTGATGAAGAGTCGCACATACCTGGACAATAGCACTATCGTCAAGCTGCCTAAGCTCGCTACTGTGGGGCTGAACAGGGGAAAGTGTGCGGAGGCAACTAGCGTGACGGGAAGGGCAGGAGCAGGGGCGCTCGACCACAGCGTCCGTCCGTATGCTTTCAATGCAGGACTGAGATGTGTTGGCACACCTGTCCGCGTCGACTCGTACCACACCTGTGGGAGGACAAAGGACAGGTCCAAGCAAAGCAAGCTGTGAAATGTCAGCATGATGCATGGGAACGATGTGTATATAGAACATGCCTTTTGATGCGTGGCTAGCTGCAGGCCTAGCAACCGCTGGGCAGTCGCTATTGGTGGGTCTAAAGTGTTGATGTCGAGGTGAGAGAGCAAACCGCAGGTTAGCTGGACTTCTGGATGATGCTGTGGAAGTATATTTAACAGCCAAGGACTGGGGGCGCGACGTCCAAGTTGAGAACTTTTGGGTCTTCGAGCAGACGAGGAGTGGAGGAGTGGCGGATGAATTATCGATATATAGTGGTGGTGTGCTGGTCCGTGTCCCGTGCCGACGTATTCACCGCGGATTTCTGGCGACCGACGTCCAAAGTGTGGGTCCATCTCAAGGATCGACAGCAAACGGTCAACGGCAACGTGCTAAGGCTTTGAAGCCTAGACTGGATACGTAGCAACAGCGTCAAGATTGGGATTCGAGACAGCTTTTGGCTCCGAGGATCGGCAGCAAGGCCTGTAAACCTGGGGAGAGCGTCGTAGTCTTGGCGTTAGGTAACTTTAGGAGGCTGTAGTATGTGGTCTATGCGTGGGCGTAAAGGGATATTCTCCCGGCGGTCTGGGCTCGTGGATATGAATCCTGTCCTGCGTGTGCTTCGTCGATGTTGTCCATAGGAACAGGTATTGACTGGCACATGTCTAGCCAGGAACTGCGAAATATGTCTCGCAAAAACGAGACGACCAGCGAAATAAAACAGAATTGACTGAGGGGTCGAAAAGAATGAAAGACGTGCAGCAAGAACACACATACAACAGTAAAGAGTAAAAGGATGAAATGAACTTGCTTAAAAGGCTTAGGGAACAACCATGAAATATCGGAGGAGTGAGAGAAAATGGACGTAGGTATAGACCGCCTTCTCGCCGAGGTGTTGTTAATAAGACCGTGAGCCGACATACTGGAAGTGTGAAGTAGCCCTTCACCCCTTATCCAACATTGAAGATGTTATAATGTCGGTATGTGTGCATTAGCGATCCTCACTTATGAGCAGCATGTGGGGTCAATAACAGGGAGCACACCAGAGATCCAGTGCCTTTTGAGTCAAGCTGGTGTTGTGGATCGAGATGATATGCTGGGGCGGCAGCAGTATACCGAAATAGGACACACGCATATACGGCTTGCGAACAATGAGTCCCCAGATTTGGCTATGCCGCGCATTACTTTGCTGAATGGTAATCGATCTCCGCTTGATGTCCCATGTGTTCTTGAGCGTGAGAAGCTGTACGGCTTCAAACGGGTCGTGTCGAACGCTTTGAGGGAACAATGAAGGGGAATCTTGATCAACGCGATACAGGCCCTGTGGTGTGTGTGGGCACCATTGCTGAAGGAGTGCACTTACCTGGGAAGGTTAGCATGTACCTCTCATTAGTAAGTGGCGACAATGAGAGACTAAAAGCAGCTTGGCCTTTGCGGTTCCAGTGGGCGTGAAGTCGTGCTGTACTGAAGAATCTCAAGTCCTTCTTTGCGGAGAACCCTTGATCGATTGCTGCGGGCAGCCGTATTGTGAATGCACAACGCGTGATCTCAAGATCCAGGATTGCTGCCACTTAATGGAAGCTCTCTGAGCGGTGTACGAGCTCGTTGTACAAACAGGTGTATGTATGCATGTTAGTTGTTTTGCGGTGGTCAACTTGGAAGGGGAAGTTGAGTTCGGTGTGCGAATAAGTTCGAGGGGCCAAAATGCGCGTGCGAGCACGACAACGGAAGGAACCGTTCGCTTGGCATGATTGGAACAAGGGACAACATGTTCGTCACAACAGAACCCTGAAACTTTGCTGATTGACATGTGAATGCCGTTGTGACTCTAAAGCTATTTGAACGGCTGTCAGTCTCCGTCTCCAAGAGTGAAGTACTGTGGTTTGTGGGAGATGCTTACCTAAACCTCGACCCAGCTACTGCACCCCTGATGATACCTCTGCCTACGCAGCCATTCCATATCCTGCTTCCGACCGTGAAGTTACTAGGCCCTCTTTTCGGTCTGCGTTTGCATGATGTGTGCAACACCGTGATTCGAGCCTCAGCAGCTGCATTCCCGCGTCGAAACAAGTGCTCATGCGGCAAACCGGGGAACGAACATCCTAGCGTGCAGCTTTGCATGATCATCTCATTCATCGAATTCGTGCTCCGTCCATCTTCGAATCCGTTGCCTGGTGACTCTACGGGTTCATGCTCGTGATTGTGTGGCTGTAGGGACTCGTGAACTGCTCTGCCTCCGCTCAATGCCTTCAACGACCTCCCGCTCCGTCTACACCTCCGCCAACACTCCACAACCGTAAACGACTTCATTGAGACAAGATGCTGGGCGACAGTCTTAATTCTGATGATGGAAAGAGCCGCCGACCTTGATCTCGGCTTCCTGAGGCTGGGGCGCGACGTTCTTGTGCGGCGCAAGACCCGCCCTTCCCCACCCACCGGCCGAACGCGACCACCTTTACAACGCGACTTGAACGAAGCTCGAACACGTATCCTCCTCTGAGAGCATGCACGATCTCTCAAAGTAACACGGGCGTGCATCTTACCCATGCAGAGGAGACTGCATAAGGCACAGTGCCCTTCTGCGTGCAGGCACAGGTGACCCAAGGTATCTCTGCGGGTACCAAAGGACCACTTGACAACATCTACGCCTGCTGGGTGGTAGCGCAACCTTCATCAGGCATATACTTGGCTCTGGCGAAGTCGTTGTACGATTGGCATAGTATCAGAGCATTACGCGCAGAAACATGCTTTGGTGTGAACAGCTTCGCCGTGCGCAATGCCGCCTTTGAGAACTCCGAGTAACAGAAAGAGCAACAGACTGCCCCCAACAATCTGCTCCAGAGGTGCGAACTCAGATGATGACACCTTTCGCAGTAGTACATGCGAATATCGACTGGGTTGACCGCCACCCGCAAGCAACCTGCGCCCTGGATTCCAGTATCGACATGCCGGCGGAGCTGGTTGCACGCAATGATGGAGGAGAATCAACTCAACACAAGAGCAGGTTGAGCGTGTACACCTTGTGCAACCGGAAACCGATGCCAGCATCTCCCTTTGGAAGATATCGCTCCTCGCAATGAACATACCCACGGCTGTCGAAGAGGATTGATATTCGCAATCGACTTGAGGTCAGAAACTGGTCAACAAAAGGGCGAAGATCCCTTGCGATACATGTCCTTCATCGAAGTCGGTATATCAAGATGGAGATCAATTTACGCCGTGGCAAAACGAGACTTGTTCGTACACGGACCACCAATGCGGTCGACACGATCTCTGATGAGGGTCTTGACGACGGCTTAGATATCAACAGGACCGGACCAACCTCAACGGTACCTTTCCAAGAACGTTCCACGATCGAATGGCAGCAATTGATTGCTGTACGGCAGAGTCGTCAACAATTATCAGATCGACAGATTGATTCGCGACCAAACCAGGTCCTGGGACTTGCACCGCTTCATGGACCGTACTGTACAACGTGAATGCTCAAAACGGGATTCAATCAGCCGATCTGATTGATTGTTGACAACTCTGCTGTATGGGGCTGTCTGACTGTTGATGATCGCTAAGCCACTTCAACGCTACTAACGCATCGACACATACTGCAACCTGACGAGACTGAGGCAAGATGACAATCATAGGCGTACTTGCCCTTTGTCCGCTAAGTCCATGGTTGTGGTCGTTGGGGCAAGTGAGTGAAGACGACTGCACTTGTCGACCACGGGGTTCCTGCATTTTGCAGACATCACCGAAGCAGGTTCTGTGTCCGAACTCAATATCCTGGCCCCTATACTGGCCATAATATAAGTTGTGGCAAATCCGAACGCACATGCTCTCAAAACCTCACGATGGCCGCCTTGAAGTGTCAGCACAACGATTGTAGACGTTCGATCATCAAGTCGACGAAATGGTGATGCCGGCCAATTGAGATCCAACACTCTCAGAGCTCGGTATGTTCGCACGTACTTGCAGTGATACTCTAGGTTAGTATTAGGAAGCTGTGTTCTGACCGGGAACGTTAGCTTGTACTTTGCTTCTTCAAGGCCTACACCGAGGTCTTGGATCACGAACATCTCTCCGTTCATGCAACCCGCATGCTGACATTCGAATTACTACCTATGCTCGTAGCACACGGTAATACCTAAGATGTTTCTGTGGTTGCATTTCGAGCTCGTCCAAACCGATCTTTTCGAACGTCCTTGTCACTCGACCGTTCGACCAACTCGACTTCTGCTCAGGCTGGACGACTAAGGTGTCTTTGTGACCGGGCTATGGTCCATATAGAAGCCCTCAATCGGCTGCTAATGAATGTATGCAGATCCGACGTTTGGTTTGGAACGCTTGACCCTGGTCCGCAGATCCAATGCCGGAGAGCATTTGGCTTCCCAACGAGCTGACTCAGCGTTTCCTCTTTTGACATAGTCATCGATGCCGTTATCTTTGGTATCTATATCGGTGTCTTGTGGTGAGCTGCCGTCGTCTGCTCTTGCTGTTCTCAGTTAGTCTTAGTTGCATGGCAAATGTCGGGGTAGTGATCGGGCCATCGGGCACGGGCCGTCGGTAATGCGGAGTGTGCGCTAACCCTAGTGCCCTTGCTCATCTTCGACATTCCAAGCAACGTCAGTCATTCATCAGCTGCCTGCCACCTCTCATAGTTGCTTTTAGCGCCGAGCTGAACATAATCAGTCAATTTGAGACCCTATTCTACGCCATGGCGCCTTTCGTACCCACGCTGAAAGACATCGAGACCGCCCGCGCGATTCTCACATCGGTCCGTCTACCTAATGAGCTGGCACTGTGCATCCTGGACAAAGCTCACTACTGGATGGAGGTCGATACGAGCTCCAAAGAGCATGTCATCCTCGTGGACGGTACCTGGTCGCTGGACTATCCAGTAGCGTACCCCTACCTCTATGTGCCAGCATATCAATGGCCTCACGCACAACACCGTAAGATTCGCGAGATAGCGTTTACGGTTGTCAGTCATGACCAAGGATGGACCACTGAAGATACGCAAGGGACCCATCAGACATCATCGTGGTTCGAAGTCTCCATCATTCGACCGAAAGGGGCTTCATCATCGCGACGCCACCATTTGCAGCCAGGACTTCGCCGACTACGAGAGATGAATGTTAGAGGGGAGATAGTGGAAGGTGTTCGCGCTGCTTCAGACATCATGCACTCTACTGGCATGGTAGATTTGGTACGACGCCCCTTGTCGGCCATGGAACCTCAGCGATTACACTGCACAGAAATGATGCAAGTCAAGCCCCAAGGTGTCAAAGAAGGTGAGTATGCATGGTACTTGCAGGGCAATGAGGTCGCAAGAGAGAAGTCGGTCTTCGAGGGAGAGATGGTGAAGCAGTATAGCGTCACCTGGGGTTGCAAACACAATCCCGTTCAGTCTACAAGTGAGGGAGCTGGAAGCGGTGAAGGCTTCATCGACACACTGAAGCGAGATGACTTCATCTGTGTATGGGCTCGAGCAAAGGTAAGTTCTACAACCGTTTCACCACCCAAAATACTGTGATATCCAACACAGAGCTAAATGACCTGGCAGAGACGAGGCTGGGAGAACCATATCCATGGGGTCCGGATGGTTATCCGATATATGATCTAGCTCACGTCGAACGACATCGTCCACCTTTGTGGCAAAGTTATGCAACTCAACTCAGTCATCAAGCAACGGCATTGCCATTGATGAAAATTCTGAGTTTGAGCAAGGAGAAGGTCGTGGTAGGGACCTCGAAACAGTCCAATGCTCCGCACGCACCAAAACCACTGGTCTGGAGAAGCCGGACGTGAACACTTTCGGCTCTCAACATTTAATTGAGATCCACAACAGCGAACACCAAGGCTCGGGAAGTGGATCATACACTGACTATCTACCGTAGGAGATCCACTTCGGCGCATTTTACCTGTATTGGGTGATCGAGACTACACTAAGTGGAAGAACGATCCATCGGCTTCCTTAGCCTCCCGTGCAGCTTGCGTATGACAGCTCCCCGATCCGACAAAAGGTCAACTGCTCCAGACCACATGTGCCGCGGATCTCCCTTGCGCCTGGTCTAGCTGCTGAAGACGTAAAATTGTGGCGGAAGATCCCGTTGGAATGCAGCAGTACCCACTCCGTATTATACGCGGCTATTGGTACCAACGCTAGCCCAAACCACGCCTAGCGACCCGACGCCGGTTCCAGCTCGTGCTTTCGCCATATGTGCATCACCCTGCAACGATTTCAGTTCCTCATCTCTTTGTTGACGCGCACAGCGGCACTTTAGCTCGAGTTGCATTTACTTCGCCAATCGTCTTCGCCCATGATCATGAATTTGAGCCTGACATGGACTGATCCCGTCACTACACGAGTATCGATCACCCATCTACGTTCTTTGGCTCTGTCTATGTTTTTGAGTCTTGGTGTGAGGCTTGCAAGCGCAAAGCCAGGGCGAATCATCCGTCACTGGAACTGGTGTGGAACTACAGCGCGTGGCAGAAGACTTTCATACCCGGATTTTTCCTTGATCACAGTCTGTGGCAAACGACTCGATGCCCCTTGCTGGTCATGGCGACTGTCGGCGACCGTCAGTGACAGCTACTGAGGTTCCAAGAGTATCTGCGAGCGTTCTGCATAGTGTCCATTGTGGACTGCAGCCTTGAGGCTGTACGTGTGAGCGCGCATCGTGCAACGTGACTGCCTTAGAACGCGGGTCTCGCTCTCGCTTTCGAGAGCTTACATATTCGGATCATGTACTTCAAGCTTACGATTGACGTCCCGCGGCTCGGGCCTTGCACTGGGCTTTCGACAGATGATGATGGATTCACTTACAAGCTGTGGAAACACGTACATGTGAGCCTCCCAGCTTTGTCTGAGTCACCTCAGCTGCTTAATCCGATCGCTAATTGTCTCTGCCTCTGCACAGCGATTGGCTAGCGTTCTCTGAACGCTCTTCGACATAGCAATAGACACTATGAGCGACAGTGATATTGTACTCCACCCCCAGATCGAATTCATGCAACACGTCGTTTGCATTCTGAAGACTGGACCTCGTCGACCTCGACAGCCTGTGCGCTGTGCTCCGGAGATAGAAAGTCCAGTGTTTGGTAGGGATCATGATTCAGAACTTGAGCTTTGTACGCGGTCCGAAAAACGGCGGAAGGCGTACGAACGGGGCCAGCCAAGCGCGGCTCGCGGTGAGTGGGTTGCCAACTCAGATATTGCAGTGCGAGTCGCTGGACATTCTGAGATGATGGCCTAGGAATGCCGCTGGATAGACATACAATACCCTGATCGTGTGTCTGCTATGCGACATTGAGCCTCTTTTGCTCGAGACAAACATCGCGAATATCTCGGCTCGTACCACCGGTAGATGTGAGCTGCTGACACCAGGCTTTGATCTTCAGTGGCGGCGACTATGGGGCTATCGTGGCTTGGAAATTTTTCATCGAAATGAGTTCGAGGCTAACGTTTAGAAGGGCATCTGCTGTCGAGAACACACTCGACTCAAGGGTGGCTGAAAGCGCCAACTACCATGAGCCTATCCGCTGCGCTAGGACGGAGATGCCGCGCAGTAAAAACAGCTCTGGAATTCAGGGTCGCAGCCAAAATTACTCCATCTCCACAGTAATGTCTCAAGACAAACAAGGATAGTTATGCAAAAGCGTGGAGGTACCACAGACCTTATAGGAAATATGGCGCAATTGCCCACAACGCATGATCGCCAGCTTCACCCCCCGCTGAGACACAAAACTTTTAAGAGGGCGGCATGCAGTCAGAAAGCTAGCGCAATGCTGGGTGACATCGTTGTTTTCTAACGCTGCCATTCTTATAGGGTAGCACACCATCGCACCTGCTCTGCGGCACCAACACGTCAGCTATCAACCCCGGCGGTTCGTCCGAGCTTCACCATCAACCACGAACTCTCAACCACAGCGCAACGATCCAAATCAACAGAAACTGCAAAGCGCGCATAGCAGATGGAGAGTAATGTCGGAGACCTATCACTCAAACTTTGGACAGCAGATCTTCACCGACGTATCTGCGAATGGGAATTCGTCTGGACGTGATCGTTTCGAGATGCTCGACGCAACTCAATTCTACCATACCGACCGCGACTATCAAGTCCCAGGAACACTGCATCTTTCAGGGCAAGACAGTAGCTATGCACACGGCCACCCGTTCGCATATGCGTCGCACAGCGGCCCGCCGTCGCTCCCAAGTAAGCGCACCCTTTCCTACCAGATTCTTTCTCTGCGTTCGATTTCTTTTACATCATCCATCACTACTCGGTAGCTCTCAAAGCCTCCACTCCCTGCTCGTGGTTTGTACTCCCATTCCTCTAGGTTGCCGATTCTGCATGGCGTCATTTCCGAGGTAAGCACGCAATGTCACGTGAGCACCACATCTCAAGGGAAATTCACCAACTTAGGCGGGTGCCTATGCAGGGCATCTAGGGTGCTTATGGTCAACATGAGCTTTAAATTATTGACACGCAACGATTGCTTTCGCATGTTGTTTTGTTTCCACTTTCCGCGATGGCACAATCACTAACGCGCTCTCGAGGCCTGCACACGATGCCCCCTATGTCGACACACCTCCCGTCGCAGTACGAACCTGATGTCAACATTCTAGATGAGCTCCAAGGGTTTTCTCCAGTCACGGCTGCCTACAACATGAACGCATACCGTACTCCCTATCCGGACAGCAACGCGACTTCGACGTCATCAGCTACTAGCCCTGATCCCCAGGTTGGCATGATGCCTGACCCAATCATTGTGGAGGCGGACGAGGATAAGCGGAAACGCAATCAAGCAGCATCCGCACGCTTCCGGCAGAAGAAGAAGCAGCGGGAGCAGCAGTTGATGGAGATGAGCAGAGAGATGCAGGAAAAGATGAGGAAACTGGAGTCTGAGAATGAGGGGTTGCGGAAGGAGAACTTGTTTTTGAAGAAGCTTTTGGTTGAGAAGGTCGACTACATGAGCGAGGAGGATAGAGAGATGCTGCTGAAAGCGACGGGAGAGGCGCTGAAGAAGGCTTCATGAGCGCTATGAGGGTCCTTCTTAACATTAGTCTCACCTTTCACGGCTTTGAGGAGCAGATGCCTTTAAGACATGAGGGCAGACCGGCCCATTCAATTACATGATATACGAGGCGAGGCGTTGAAGGTCACTATCCGGATCGATCATTAGGATTCAAATTTGGGGAGGAGTTATCGGACTGGTTACACTACACTCGAATCTACAACACCCCTGTGGACACCACACACAATTTCATCGATCTGCATCATACAACACGGCCTCAGACTGTCCGAAGTACCCATACGCGGCACTGGAGGATGAATAGAAGACACCTAACAAGGCGTTCAAGCCAGCGGCTCCCACGTGAATAACAAGTCCAGCTATCCAGAGTAAGATCGACATCCAGCACAGATTTCTGACGCATGTCAGTCTGCCAGACTAAGATCAGTGTACACTGGCATACAGCAAACACAGCTAGCAGCATTCATTCTTCATACCAACCCGCTATCACATGCGTACAACCTCGATCGCCTCTGTGCATACGGAAGCTCAGGTACAAGTGCGGGGCATCTCTTATCTCCCGAACCGAAAAGGTACAGTGTCTCAATGTAGGCAGCCAAGACATCGGATCCAGTCTAAAGCTCAGCGGCTCGGAACGCTTCAAGCGGCCCAATGATGCGGCGGGACTTGCAACGTGCATGCATTCGCATCGCATTCAGAAGGTCGGTGTTGTATATCGTTTCTAGCTCGACTGACAAGATCTTCTCTCTACTTGCATGTATAATGTGTGAAGAGATGTAATTTGCTCTGCACTTACGCTGCTCAGAGCGCGTTAGGCTGCATCACGTAGGTATGTGGGGGTAGTTCATTGCGATCTTAGAATAGGTACACTCTTAGTGCTTTACGCAGACCAACTGACACCCACAGAACGCCATGCATAACAAGCTCGCTATGCAATATCAAATTCAATTCCAAAACTTACTCTCAACGCGCCACTACTCGCCATCCTGTTGACTGTGTCCAGTAGGACCCTGCGACATGTCTGCACTCCATTAGCAACTGCGCTCACAAAAATGAAAGTGGTGTACTGACAATCAACAGTCACAAATGCCCTATCAACCTCACTCAGCCCCTCCAAACAATACTGCAGCGTTTCTGCAACATCATGGGCCTTCCTCAACGGTGCATCCTCGGGCATCAAAATATCAATCTCCACACACACTCCATCTCCAGCGTGGTAAGCCTTGATGCTCTTGAAGCCCTCAACAAGCGGCTCGAAACGGTACGCCATGAACATGAGCTTTCGCTCTGTTCGGTTGTTAGCGGCTTCTCCAGTCAAGCGCGTGACGTTCTCGAGACACGTGCCTGCCCAGTCGTAGATGATGAAGAGGGAGAGGATACTGGCGCCGACGGGGTCGAGCCACCAGACATCAACTTGATGACCGATAAGAGGGAATAGAAGGGAGAGTGTGTTGAAGTAGACGTCTGTTTTACAGTCCTGTGCCAAAGCCTGGACTTGCGTTGTTTTGACTCTTGCGCAACCGATCCATATTGTGCCCTTAACTACGATAGTAGCTACCATGGCGAAGATAGCGGCAGGTGGAAGAGTGGCGACGTCGTGATCGCCGCTTGGAAGCAGCTTCTTGACGGATTCTTGGAGGATCTGCAGGAAGGATATCACCATAATGATCGAAAACACTAGAATTCCAAGGGGTTCGAGACGTCTACGACCAACGGGGAACTTCTTCTTGAGCTTATCGAGACGCCAGCCCACGAGTCTATTGGTCGTCCAGATAATCACAGTGCAGAGGAGGTCTAGTGCGGAGTCGACCAGAGATGCGATCAGGGAGAGCGAGCTAGACCAGATGGCTGCAACTCCTTTGGCGGCGAGCAAGAGGATGTTGACTGCGACGTTGATCTACAACATATCAGTAGGTTATTACATCATTGAACTCGTGGCACTTACATTAATCGCCCATCTCACGTGCTTAGCTGATTTTACTCGCTTCTCACGTTCGTCGTCAGGTAGAAAGGGTTCGAGAGCCTCGCCGCTGTTACCCAGAGGTCCTCGTTCCTCAACTACACCGTCACCATCGGTGTCTCTTGGGTGCATGCTATCCAGGATGTCATCTGCGAGCGAGGTAACAATCATGTCTACCTCGAGCCAGTCATCAAGACGGTTGTTCTGCTCCTCATAGAAGGCACGAACTTTCTTGTTCTTGATGCTCTTGAGCTATTCAATTCTAGTTAGAGTGTGTTTCTCAACTTGCTTCTCGTTGTAATCTTACACTTTCCTCACTCTTCCTGTACTCTTCCAAAGCTTCGTGATCCACGTTGTCGATCAGCTGCTTCTTCATCTCCGCCGTTCGGTTATCTTGGATGGTGTTCTGGATTGCGTCTCGAAACCTCTGTCGTGGCTTTACTGGATTAATAGAACCGTATGCAGCTTCTAGGTCAGTGCGGTCATATCCATCGGACTTCTTCTTTGAATCATCTCCATTGGGATACGACCACGTTGATTCAAGCGCTCGTCTTCTGCCTCCCACCATGTTGCCTGCAAGTTCCTTCCCTTAACACAAAAGCTCTTCAGATCAACAGTGAGGATGTCGGTTGGTGTCACCGAGATAAACGACGAAAGGCACGATACAAGACAGAAGTAGGTCGAGCAAACCTCAAACGTCAACATCTTGCCGACCGCGTGAGACCGCATCATCAAAAAAGGCAAGCGCTAACCCTCACTGGTTAAGTCTTTCTCCACCTCATGACGGGGCTTGGTCTGCCCTTTGCAATTTGGCATCTTGATGATGCTTGCGTTGTCTCGAACGATAGAGTTGGCTTCATGATGTCACATAGCCTAGTTCGCGTAGCGTCGCGTGCGGGATCGTCATCCTCGTCACCCCGTATAACTGCGATCTACCGCTGCTTGGCAGGCACCATGGGACCGCTCAACAGCTGGAGAATTGAGAAATTGTCGAAGATCGCGATACAAAGTGTCTCTTCTGTAGCCAGGAAGTTATGTGATCAAGGTCAGTCTGTGATGTTCTTGCATGTCGAGACAGCAGACGGTGACGTCACGCGCGCCGCAAACCCTCCGAACACAGGATTCCGATCAAATTACGGAACAAATCGATCTCAGGACGTTGCCGCTCGAACCGAGAAACGAACCACAAGCCCGGATCTGTGACGTTTGTGTATGTTTCTTGTGGAGATACCGTACTTCGATTCGACTAAGTCTGCGCATTTCTATGCTGCTCGTAGTGTTCGTTACGGCAGTGCGGCAGAAACTCAATGCTCCTACGACCGACATCTTTCTCTTCTGCTACGCCTCTCTCGCTGCGACGGTGATACACTTGCTCAATCTTGACATCTCGACAGTACTCATGGGGTAGTACATGCAGCGGCAGGAACCGCCTTAAATGACATACTTCGGAACTGTCAGCCTTGGTCCTTAGCACATGAACAGTACCGTTACTTACTGGAATGAACAGATAGGGTACCTCCTTCTCGTACTGGCTCCAGGCCTCTCCATACTTTCTGCGACATCTCGCAATGTCCCTCTGGGCACGGTGTATGATCATAACCATAAAAAACACGAAATAAAACCACGGAAAGGGGCTCCTGGAACACTCGTTAGCAACAAGGTTCCAACTTCTTCACGCGCTCGAGTCGATCGAAATGAGATGTGGCATATGCAACTTACTTGAATCCGGTAATAAGACCCCAGGACATCGAGAAGAACATGTCAGGCACATAGTTAGGCTTGCGTATGATGGCGAACCAACCGTCTACCATAATTCGGTCTCCAGCCTTCGTCTCGATAACGCGTGGGTTCCTGATGACTGTCCAGGGCATATGGGGAAACGCCTTACGCTCGATGAGTTGGCCACGCTCCTGTTGACGAAATGAGTTCTTCTGGCCATTGGACGAGTCCCACATCCAGTACATGAATAGATATACGACAGAGAATGCCAACAACGCAAACCGACTCCAGCGGTACTCGGACGGCTCGTGGTTAGCGAGGTAGAGTGCGCAATGGCAATAGGTGAAAGGCACACCAGCCATGTTCCAGAAGGTCAGGATGAAACCTAACTTCTCGAAGTACATGTCCCTGCACAAGAAAGGCAAACTGTCAGCTAGTCTGATCGGAAAGCCCCTTCGCATCGTATAGAGAGAGCGACGAGCAGGAAGGGGCGTGCGCGGTCTTTTGCATATGTGTACTCACCAGGAGGTAATGATCAATTGCTCGGCTTTGGCGCATGTATTGGCGTAGATGAAATGTGCCCCCATCAGGAAGATAACTTCAGCCGAGACGTATCCATAGGTCTCGTACTGTCGCGCGGCTACAGAGGCGGTAATGAGGAACAAGATGAACCATGGGATCCGGACCTCGTAGAACATCTTGAAGTCCAGGATGCCGATTCGAGGGTTGAGTTCGGCGCCCATGAAGAAGTCATAGATGGGATATCCGGTAAGCCGGTGTGTCCTGCCACGAATAACCGCCTGGACGTAGACGATGATGCTGTTGAGGAAACCTGAGAGGATCGCCACAGTCATGATAGATCCGAACTCATCGATGAGCGTGTATAGGGGGAATATTCCAGTAACGTGGATCGCGGCAGCGATGACGAGAGTGGCGTACCAGCTGGTATAGGCCGAACAGTAGTACGGGAGTTTCTTGTCGCCTTCGTGGCGCAAAGGTCGGCCCTGGCTCATCACGCCGGGCATGTAGCAATACCTTTTGGGATGTCAAGTTGGAGGAGTCCTTGAGAGGATAGGAAGAACGTGACTTACATGAGCGCCTCAAAGATGAAGAACGTCCAGTAGAGTGTCCAGGCCTTGGCTGTAGGAAAGGCTCCCTCATAGACGAGGTGAGCCATGTGACGGGCGAACTCCCCCCAGGTCTGATTGGCGTCTGGCATTGGGAATTGGCCATCGTAGTATGTGGCACCAATCCACATATACCACATGAGGAGAGGAAAGCCGATCATCAAAGCTGCTGCACCGAAGGAACCGCCGAATTCAAATTCATCGGATTCGCCATCGATGTATTTGGGACTCTGCTCAGTCTGCCGCGAGGAGGCTGCGGAAGTGGAGGTCTTCTCTGTTGGAGCGGCATTCCGCTCTCTGATCGTGGTTATTACGCCCATACTGGCACAACTCTTGAAGGCGAAAGGTCGTACGTCAAAAATGCTGGGGTGAAGAAGTAGCAGGTAGAAGACACTCTGGCGTCTTCCGAGAAACGAATTCAATGGTAAAACCTGGCTAGCTAACCCTGGAACAAGACGGAAGACTTTGAGGCAGGTACGGCATGCACCTTATGTAGAGCGAAGCTGTCACCTAGATCCACCGTCATTTCAAGGCAATTTAACATAACGGCAAGACTAGACATTGTTCAGGAAGCTCCGATTTGCATTCAGGGGTCGTTGGGTCTGCGCAAGATGATGGTCAGACTGTACAAGCACGACTCTTGCTGCGTTATGAGCAGGAAGGTCACAGCGAGCGAGGCGCTAGTGAGATATTAGTAAGGCTCAGTGGGGCAGGCAGTTTATAGCGAACCAATGAGATGCTTGTCCGACGATGTGGGTCTGCCAAGCTCAACAGACTGCAAATCGAAGCGACATGACAAGCAAATACCACAACACAACCACTTATGTCCTTTCTACACAACATCAGGTTCGGCATGTCTCCAAGCTACCTAAGACCCGTATGAAGACGGTGCCGTTAGTTCTTGTCTTTTCAGCTTATTCAAGCACGCATCATATACAGAATCTTTGTACTCGTCACGACAAAGTATGAAAGGGGGAAAGATGGAATGAGGAGGGCTTGGAGCAGTACCTGCTGAGGCTTAGTGCTTACTCGTAGTGAGCGACCTCCTGAAGCCGTATTGTTTGTCGTACTGATCTTGATGAAGACAACGATACATCATGATCAAGTCATACAATTGAGCTTTAGCTAAGCATGAAAAGACAGCGTACAAAATGTTTTACTGGGTGTTGGACCTGTCGGTCGCGTCGAGTCAAATGCGATGAGTAAGTCATTCCAGCAGTAACTTTGCAGTACCAAAGCCGCACTAACCTGTATTCTTGCGCGCAGGGAAACTCCTGCGTGCCAGCGCTGCCGCCAAATTGGTGTTGCGTGTGAAGGGTATGGCCTCCGTCTGAACTGGGTACAATACAACCCACATGATATAGCAGACCATGACCAGGAACATGGTCGCCGAGATAAGTCTCACCAGCCGGAAACCAAGGCGTCTAGACGGTCTTTGGCTTCTTTTGGCTCCTTCCCACCTCTCACTAATCTGCCTTCTCCCGAATTAGATGCTACCTTGACTACAATCGACGAATGGCGTCCTGGAGAGACTTCAGAGCTGGAAGATGGAGCGTTCTGCGTATTCACTGTGCAGTCATCTGCAACAATGCACTCCGCGACGGACACACTCTCTTTTCATCACTCACATGGCGCCACAGAATCGATGGATCCGCCTGGCCACTACGTGTCTGTGCCCGAGACGAGTCACCAAGGGGATGACGGCACACTTGATGACCCAATCCAGTCTTTCGACAACTTTCGTGAGGACTCGGTGCCCATTGCTCAAACTCTCTTGAGCCTTGGAAGGCAGGACCGACAAGCCGCACCACGCCACCTAGATGCTCTTTCCATGCCATCCAAGCAGAAACGGCTCATCCACCACTGGATCACCTTCACCAGCCGTAAACTGGTTCTTATCGATGAACCACACAATCCCTGTCGTACTATGATGTTACCCATGGCCCTCAAAGGCCTTGTCTCTCAAGCAGAGGGCTCCAACGCCGACGTCGCCATATTCCACGCTCTTTGTGCGTCCGCAGCCTACAACTTATTCGAGCTGACCGGCCGAACTAACGAGCAAGACCGTGTTCTAGCTCTGTACCACGACAATGAGGCAGTCCACCATCTTCGACACAACCTGGCACGTGCTGACGAGCATCGAGACCAGTCTTTTGCAATGGCTATCATGGCTTGCATCGCTGTAGAGGCCGTTTCCGGCACGACCCAACGATGGCGCACACACGTCTCTGGTGGACTGGCTTACTTAGCCCAGCTACAATCTCAGGGCTTGCCTGAGGCCGCATTATCTGCATTTCGTCAGCACATGGTGAAGATGGCTATTCTTTGTGGCTTCCCAGTACCAGATCATCTCAAAGCATTTCTAGACGACGAAAGTGGATCATCCGACGGCCTTGAGTTCACCTTCCCCTACTACGGCGTGTCGAGGTCCTTCCTGCGAGCCCACGACCGCATTAACACCATGTTGACGGATGTATCAGAAGACAGAACCCCTGCGCAGGAGAAAGAGCTTGATACATTTGAGCTGCAGCTGTATCTCGACTTTCCTGGCCTCCCACCCCAAAATCCATTACCAGTAGCGACCAACGCAACGAATGGCATTGTCATTCATCACACTTCCATGGTTTTCTACTACGCCGGGCTCATCTTCTTCCAGCGAAGTGTACGTCGCGCTCCAGTAGCATCAGTTCAGGATCTCGTGGAATTGGGCTTACAGGAACTGGAATCCATCGATCGCGTCGGCCAGGGCAAATTGGGCTGTTTGATGCTGTGGCCTGTGCTAGTTCTTGGAGCCGAGTGTGACGGACCAAAGGTGCAGCAACGTATGCGCGCCTGGTTCCAAGCGCAGCGCTGGCTTGGCTTCAGGAATCTAGTAGTTCTGGAAGACCTTGTTGCCACAGTGTGGAAAGCTAGGGCCAGTCCTGGGACCAATGCGAGAGAGGGAGATTGGCGAGAAGCCATTCCACAGACGCGGTTCGATGTCTTCAGGCTTTGATCTGCACGTTATATTGAAGACATCATGCTCAAGAAGCTAATCAGCCGGCTCCTCGACATACGGATGTACATACGCAGCTCAGACCGTCTGAATTTACAAGGGCTTTTTCCGGAACAATATCAGCAACTGATCCATTCCCATCGATGACGGCAATGAAGTCGCTATCCCTGGGTCATTCCCTATATATCACGTGGCAGACGCACACAGAGACCCTGAAGTATGGGTCGAGCCAGACAAATGGGATCCAACGCAATATCTGCCGGACCGTGTCAAAGAGAGGTGACTATCATCACAGCATTCTTTGTTGCTACGTTTGATCTTGTGAGGATCTGGAAGATCAGAACGGTACAAAACTGGCTGAGATGGACAATGGCAACATCAACATTAGTGCCGAAGAAGCACATGCTCTGAGGTTCTCGCGGCGGGCAGAAAATCTATAAAGATATCTTCGGGCTTTGAGATGTACATTCAATCTGAAGCCATGAGATTATCAATCGTCTCGAGCATTCAAAGATTAGCCTAGCCAAACCTTGTAGCCACAATATGTCCTCGAGCTGCTCAATCAAGCCGCCAGAAAGCCCTGCAGGAATGCTGCAGCTTCCGAACCCCTCGCTGCTAATCGGGTGCTTCATCGGAACTATTGCCATCAGTCTCCTCCGTTTCCACAAATAGCTTGCTATCCTTCCGCTTCTTGCCAAATCTCTTGGATCGTATGCGCTTGCGGATGTCTCTCCGATTACTCTTTCTAAGCCATTCCACATATTCCTTTACGTTCCACGTCTCAGGGAATCGAAAAACACTCCAGCTCGATGGGTTTGGCGATATGTACACTATATCTTCCAACATGCGGAGTGCACTTGTGCCAATGGATGTTATCTTCAGCGTATCCTCCTCTCTCGTCCAATGTACCTTGCGTGCCGGCCAAAAAGCGAGGTGGACGGCAAAGTGTACTGCAACTCCTAACAGCCAAGCATGGTCAATCTGTATGGACGTTCTTGCCGCTGCATACGCATTCATGAAGGCAGCGTGAAGGCCTTTTTCACCCCTGAAAGAATCGAGAAGGAAAGCTTCAGCCGCGAACTGGCCCACATCCGTTGTACTGCTGCCGATGCGAACCATCTCCCAGTCAATGACCGTCAATGTGAATGGCCCTTGGTCTGACATGGCGCTCCGTAACAAGATATTGCCGGGCCAGAAGTCGCCATGGCAGACGCATTCATCGTCGCTCTTGAATAAGCTGCCAACTTCTTCGTTGATCAGACGAGCAACACTTGGGTCATGTCCTTGCGCTACGACTACATCAGGCAGGTTCTCATAGGAGTGACGGCACACTGCTATGCCGGTTGTGTTGTTGCTGTGACCTGGCATAGCAGAAGTAACGTGAGTCTTGTCTGTATTTTCGTGGAAGTTAGCCAGCCATGTACCCAGCTCTGTGCCAATCTCCTCGATGTCGTCTCTGCTGAGCTTAGAGTACGCATCCTTGAGATTGATCGGTCCGCCGTCCTCAAGGTTGAGAAGCTTTCTGTGTTTGTGGTAAGACTTGAAAGCCACTGGATGCGTATGCGTCTGCTTGATCTGTACCCTTGCGTAACCTTGCATAGCGCAGCAAGGTCGAGAATCATCAGACGGACTCGCTAGCCTCTCCTCATCCAACAATCTCTCCAGGAATCCAGCCTCAAAGTCCATCCGGGAGGCATCCAGAGTATGACTAGGGTCGGAGGCGAGCTGGTCTGTGGCGTGCTTGAAGATAGTGCCGACTCCAAAGGCCAGTTCCATGCGGTACACATGGTTGGCAGTGCCGCCATCGAGACGCTGAACATTACAGCTCTCGTAGCCGGGGACGCATGCGTTTATATAACTGTGGAGACCTTCAACCTTTGTAAGATCGTGTTCGGGCATGCCGGAGGGCTGGAGTGATTCTGCTACAGAGCTGGGGCCTGCCATGGCGATGGGTCTCGTTTACGAATAACGATAGTGTGAGGTTTGGAGAATACAACACTGGTACAAATGTGGCGGATGAGGTTGCTGAGAGGTGAGAGCGAAGGCGAGTGTTTTTTTTTACGGATGGCGAGGGCGAAACAGTTATACTTTCCTGCCCAGAGCTGAGAAGGGCCGCCCTTTCCAGCCCACAACTTCCTCAGGACCTAAGTAAAGAGCATCGCTTTCGCATAGAATAAACAAGTACGGCGGAGGAAGTCATGGCATGAAAGCTGAATCAATCTGAGTCATTTTCTCAGTCGCTGAGTGGTCCCACGAGACGCTGAAGTGGGGCTGCAGGTTAGTCTAGTCCCTCTCAGCCTAGTACCTTCACTCACCTGCACCGTCTCCCAAACGGTCATTGCGATTGCATCCAGACATGCTCTCTAGGGTCTGGCAGTTGGCAGACAGAGGTGTGTCAACTGTTGAGCATCTCGCAGCGCCCAGCCTCAGATGTATACATCATGTAGAAGGTTTACAGTGGATCTCCGGAACCCCGCAGCAAGTCGCTGAAGCCGTACACGTGTGCGGATGATTATAAGTCAGCATCGAGTCCTCGATGTGTTTCGACAAACCTTCAATCAAATCAGCCCAGAACCATTATGCCGCCAATACCCATCGTTGTCTGTGGCCGTAGCCCAGAAATCGCAAACAAAGTCAAGCAAGACCTGCAGCCAGAATATGACGGTACACTACGGGCAACCCGTCTTCTTACCTTCCATATTGCTGACTCATCTATAGTCGTCAAGATCGTTCTCTCCCCCGACGCGGGCATAAAAGAGATCCCCAAGCTGCTGTCAGGCCAGAACCCACCCGTCGCTGTAGCCCTCGGCGGTGCATTTGACGATGCGACGGTCGAATCCTTGCGTGACGCAGCAAGTAAGGCTGGCGATGTGGTTTGGATACGTGTCGACAAGAGCAGATTTGGAGAGATGCCGCCGATGGATGATAAAGAGGGTTTCGGTGCGGCACTAGCGAAGAGGATCAAGACTTCTCTTCAAGAACACAAAGTTGGGCAGGACGGAGGGGATGAGAGCGGAGTGTACCTGTGCTAGCCACTTGAGGTTCTCTAAGCCTTTTAGTGCTTCTTGAATAAAGGCAAATCTACTCTGAAACGCTTTGGATGTGCACACAAAGCCAATAAGAACCGCACATCCCACGTACCTCCCCACACCGCAAGCCCTATATGTTTGTTCAAGGAGCGTAGTTGGGAGCTGGCCCTCGTTGTACCGATGTGAGCGACTTACTAGCCGACTCGTGCGCCTCAGAGTCGCTAAATAGAGTCCGCCAGTCGGCGACACTGAGCGACTTCAGTTCCTTGTCAAGTGCTGCCTCCCTATTCATGGTGAACCAGACCCTGACATCGCACGGTGGACCAACTAGTTCTATGTAGGCATTCCCTGTACATCAGAACCCGTTCTCGTCCTGAAATCCCAACGGCTTAGGCATCGAGGCGGAAACTCGTATTTGATTGACCCTTGTGGCCAGGGCTTCTTAGCGTCCATGTACACGACAGCAACGGTGATGTGGACGAGGTGAGCTGATTTCTATAGCAGATTCTCTGGCTACTCTATCGGACCGCCAATCTAAGCGGTTCTTCTGCTACCGTGTCTAGAACTTGCCGAAACTGTCACCATGATTGTGCCCGGAACATGAGAATGTATACGCTTCTCGAGTAGAACAAACGCGCTTGCAACTTGTTGAACCTTGTGCAGCGGCTTCAGGTAGCTTTTCTGGTCCATTGGCGGAACGATGCCGAACCAGTTTTCCTCAAAGTTGCTGACCTTGTCGGCACATGTGTTTGCCTCCCATGCCGTGATACTGAAGGCCGTATAATCCAAAACCTTTGGTAGCACCTCCACGGACACATTGAGAAAATCATCGACATAGTGCTGACCGGTATCTGGTAATCTTGAAAAGCCCTATGGCAGAAAGAACTTTGAGTCTTTAGCAGGTCTCTTGTTGGCTTGTATTTTGGCTTTGGCAATGATGCTCGCAAACTCCGTCTCGATTGCGATGGTTCTTGCTTGTGCCGTGCGCCTGATCAGCTCCTGAGTAAGACCCAAGACTTCATCATCGTCAAATTGACCATCATGGTTGGCGTCGAAGGCAAGCACAACGCCCTCCAGGTTTTCCAAGTCGAGGTTCATTGGACTATCCACAAGGGCAGCTGTAAGGTGTTGCAACACAACTCGACGTGTAAGGAAGCCTTTGTCCCTGTAGTCCGCCTGATGAAAGGCTCGTATAACTTGACGTATTATGCTTGCGGAAGAAGGGTGTGGCGTAAGCTCATAGTATAATAGCGGATAAAGTTTTTCCTGCATATACTAAGAATCTGGTCGATCGTAAGGGTGCTAACTCTCAGGTTTGCCAGTGCTCGAAGCTGTACTAGCTGCAGGAGAACGTGAACTTTCCAGACCTCTTGAGGAGTGGTTCATCTCCATGACAGTCATGCTATCCTCTAGGCGTGTAGTAATGTAATCTGGGTCTGCGTAGAGATCATCGTTCTCATTCACATTCTCCTCTTCCTGTGGCAAATGCACAGTGGTAGCAGATGCTGAAGCAATGTCTTGCGCATGCTAGTTCTTGATAGCTCCATGAGCATTGGTAGTGCTATTATAACCAGTCTCGGGAGGACTTTCATTATGTGTGTCAGCTTTGTGATCAGATTTTATCGTATCTTGATCAATCACGCTAGTGTGTTGAGTATCGGTGCTAGTGTTCTCATTCATTGGCACGTAGTCAACATCTGAGGTGGACGTCCTCTTAGTCAAGGTCTTCCTGAGCTTGGAAAGAGGATCCGATGACCCTTCGGCGAAGCCACCATTCTCGATCACCTTATATAACCAGTCATCGACATACGGTTTGTTCAATGAAATCGTCTCGGGATGTATATCGATGTCTTCGAGATCCTGACTTGTTTGTTGAAATCTCTCTTCTTTCTCCACTGCTCGGTTGTCAATCACGGGATGCGATAGCATGCTAGGCTGTCAATTGCCTGGCCGATATTCCTCCGCAATCCTGGATAAGGCTTTACTGAGGGCGAGTACTGACAGACTGCAGCTTTCACAGCTCAAAGCATATGCAATGTGATGGGGCTGCTTACCAGGTTAGGCTTGTCAGTCGTAGTTGTAAGGACAAAGTTGCACGGAATAAGAATAACATGGACAAATGCACGAGGAATGCTGTTTCCGCGATGAGAACGATGTCGGCCACGGAGACCCTAAAAGGCATGGCTAGTCCTCAATGTTGACAAGGCTGATTTATCTGCCGCCGAGAACGGATGCTACCGGGTATAACGATGGTGGAGTTGCGAGACAGTTGCAGTGATAGTGGGATACTTTGTGCTTCTTTCGGTTTCTCGAAGACCTCAGACGGGCGGTTCGAGAGAGAGCGAGAGCGAAAGTGAAACGAGGTGAGTGGGTGTTGGGCAGCATACTAGCGATACTGTCGGCCGGACAAGGCTGAGGCTGAAGCTGAAGCTGAAAGATGTCCATCGCCGGTTTGTTGCCCAAAAAAAGCTGAACGAGTGAAGCCACGCACGTATGGTCACAGCAATTTAAACTGCTTTGAAAGAAGGCTTGAGCAGGAAAGCAATGTCAAGAACGCGTGGTCAGAACGATGGTTGCCAGACGTAGCCAAGCAACGGAGTGCCTAAGTCTGTCGTCGGCATGACCTCCCACTGAGTAACTGCCTACTGAAGATAAGCTCAAGAGGATGAGCTCAAGAGTGTGAGCAGAATCTGAAATGATTGGAGTGTTATGGGGCTTGGGCTTGCAGGGAAGAGTATGAGGTTGTGCGGAGTAAGCATCAACAACATCCGTGAAGTGGCAGTACATCAGCCACACGGCAACAGTCGTTCTCGGTGGAATTTCATCTACCGATAGTACGTAGTCGAAGCAGCCCCTCTGTAGGGTTGCCTGAATGCCTGTTTGCCTTCTGCCTCAGAGTTAGTAGGTGTGAAAGTGTGGAATGCGGTTGTCGCTAGCGCCGGGGCTTGCACGCCCCCAACACTTGTGCCCCTGCAACTTTACCAGACGCCGTGCCGTTGAGGTCCTCCGTCCGTGCACTGAGCAATGGAGGAAATGAAGCACTATGAGTACTCAGGGTCCAAGTTCCTTGATTGCCAAGGCGCTGCTGTTCAACCACCGTCCAAAAAAGAGGTGATACTTGGGCTAACGAGGAAGAGACACATAGTGCGAGTATAACGATCGTAATTCATTACATCGTCATCATAACTACACACGGCTATACCAGCTCTCCGCGCACCGTAGCAGAAATCATTCTCGTGTACACATCTAAGCCTTAGCCACAACCTTCTCGCCATTCGCAGCCGCAGCATCCCCAGCACCAGCAAGGTGCTTCTTACTCACCAGCCTGAACCCACCAAGGAGCATGAAAGCAGCGAGCGAACCAAGAACAACGGCCAGAGTGACCATAGCACCAATAACACCACCAATAGCAGGCGAAATACCGTGGCTGCTCTTCTGCTGAGTGCTCGCAGCCCCACCATTACTAGCATACGCCGCACAAGTGCCCGTCGAGTTCCCGCACTTCGTACACCACTGCTCACTATTGCTAACCGCGAACTTGTTCAGATTAGTCTGGAAATCATTCCAAGACACGGTTTCGCTCGAGCCGCCGAACAAGGGGTACGCGGTGGGCTGGGACGCGTTGGACGCGGTGCCGTTGTGGAAGAGGAAGCGGACGCTCAGGTCAGATGTAGCAGGGAAGCCGGAGGACACATCAGCGTCGGTGACGAGCTCGAAGACGAGCGAGGACGCGTAGTCGATGACGCCAGTGAAGTCTGAGGAGGTCTTGGGCAGGTCGACAAGCCCGAAGAACGAGAGCGCGGTTGCGTAGGCGCCGAATTGGATACCGAGCTTCTTGGCGCCCTTGGAGGTGATGGTGCTGTTCATGTACGAGAGGATCTCACCCGCGAGCTGCATGCCGGCGATGGCGCGCATGTCGTCGGAGGCGTTGTAGGCAAGGCCGTATTCGTGGGTGTTGGCTAGGGTGAGGAGTTGGTGGAGGGTTGAGTTGGTGAGGAGGTCGGAGGAGGGGATGGAGGAGTTGTGGATCTCGGCGACGTTGATGAGGTCGTAGACTATCGAGGAGATTAGTATATGATCATTCCCTTCTTAGTTCTAGGTTCGACTTACCAACATAGGCGTTCTTGAACGAGACCTGATCAGCAGTCAAGGTCGCATTAACAACGGGAACAAGCGAGCTGTAGAAGTCGTTGGTGGCCTTGAGTGTGTTCTGGTACTCGGCGCTCTCGAAGTAGTTGTTGGAGCTAGTCTTCGCGTTCGCGCAGCTTGAAGCATCCTGGAGCCAGCCAGAGTCCTCAGAGCCAGCACCAGTCGCGATGGTGTTGACGGGAATAAGCTGGTAGCCGCTCAGAGGCGCAGAAACGTCAGAACCGTTGCTGAGAGTCTGGACAGTCTGAACAGGAGGGTAAAGACCCTGGAGGAAACCCATAGCAGAGCTCTGGAGAACATTGTCGACAGGAGAGCTGACAGAGAGCTGGGACAACTTGACAATCTCCTTGTTGATGCCCTTGATCCTGTTGTCGCCGGTGATGTAGCGAGAGTTGTAGTACTGGCCAGAGCGGTAGACCTCCTCGTAACCAAGGGTAGTCAGGTTGGTGGGAGCAAGAGCCTTGGGTGTGCGGTCACCATGGCGGTGGAAGATGTAGGCTCCGAGCACAGTCTCGGCAGCCTCCGCACCAGCAAGCAAGGAAAGAGTGGAGAAAGCAACAACAGACTTCATGATGTGCAGATGAGCAGCAACGAGGGTATCAAACAACCAAGGACACCAATTGACTCGAGCAAAAGTCAAACTTCAACGGAGAGCAGCGGGATAAGAATTATGCGAAAGCTGCATTCCCTACCATCTTATACCGCGAGCTACTGCGATAGACCACGAGATATCACTCAAGCTCTGCCGAGGAGGTGCATTGAGCTTCACCTAGCTTGTCTGTAGCAGGACAAAGCCCCGCTGCCGTAAGTCCTTTGAGCTTTTTGGATTGGATGTTTGCGGGTGGGGTTGCAAGGTATGTCCGAAAGCCGGGAGGGGCTACTAAGGTGGGGGTTAGAGTGCCCACAAGAAGCGACAAGCTTTTTCCAGGCTGGGATTGCAGGGCGTGCTGTGAGTGGACGGCATAAACTGCCGGCAACAATCCAGACGGATTCGATAAGAATGGTAGTAACCATGACGGTGCATGTAGTTATCTGCGCAGTCAGCGGCCACTTCCGTACAGGATTTCGCAGACACCGCCAATGGGCACATCCATAACCGCGTCCGTGCCCACGTTCCAGAAGCTGTTCCAATCAACGTCTTCGTCAGCGCCGAATTGGTATGCTGAGAAGGAATTACTGCGACTGACTGATCTGCTGGATGGGTCTTCTTCCCTGTTCTCTGCGCTGCCCATGCCAAAGACTGGGTTGCGTGCTATCTGCCCTGTCTTGCGGTCCACGACAGCAACCTGAGCGGTTTCATCCACCAGATTCTCGCAGCTATTGAGCGGCAGTGTAAGGTAGCGCGTGTTGTAGCTGGCCAGTGCGACGTAGATGTATATGACCAGCCCAACGAGCCAGCACGGTACTGCGAGTGCCCACCAGCGGTCTGGGTACCACCAAATACCCATCTGATGCAGCAAAGGAGCCGGGACGTATGCCCACAGGATGTACATCAAGAAAGCTGCAGAGCTGCCCAGGTACACTGCGAAGCCATAGTATTCGTACGTGGGCACCTTGGGCGAGGCACGAGGTACAGTGGGTGCATTGCGTGCTGAATTGGTGATGTGCGCAAGGTTCGTGGTACTCGACGTTGGTGTGCTGGTGCCATTGGTGTTTCCATATGGCAGCTCGACATCTGATGAGTCTGGCGTTGTAGGTCTTGAGGTCGCAGCACTGAACGCAGGACGGAGAAGAGAAGTCAATGATGGCGAGGGCGGCAGCGGAACAGGCGGTCGGTTGTAGAAGGGAGGATACAGGGCTGTCGCAGGTTGTCGTGGAAGGTGCGTGTATGAGCGTGAGGTGTACAGTGGTCGAGACGCGGGCGGACTATCCACCTCCTCTTGTGCCTCCTCTTCCCCTGACTCTGACCCCTCCGACTCCTCTAGCGCGAACGGGTCCTCCTCCTCCTCCTCCTCCTCCTCCTCCTCCTCATCGTCTTCCACTGACGCTGGACCATTGGAGAGCGGGGATCGCGGGCTCGTGATACGCGGAGGGGAGACGGCTGAGCGTGAATGTTGATGTGCAGTCCCCTTGCGGGCATCGCCGAGCGATTTGAGTGTCGGCAGATTCGGCGTAGACTTGGACTGGAACCCTGGAGGGGCCTGCCCTTTATTTGAGGAGGTCATGGTCGTCGTTGCGATGGAGGCGCATGCACGTATTGCGTGCTTTGCTTGGTACCAAACATGCGTTCGCGCTACCGACGGGCCGCGGCACCACAAGGCATCACAGATGAAAAGTATGGTTTTCAAATCTTATGCCGACTTGGCGCTGAGGCTTACCCCGGAAGCGTGGAGATGAGGAGGGGACAGCAAGAAAGATGGAAACCGGCTGAAAAGAAAAGAGCAAATTATGGTACGTCTTCATTGGTGTAATTTACAGCTCAACTCGCAATGATAGTGGATATAGCCTGTCCTTTTCTGGTATGCAAGTTGACCTCTTCAAGTTCCCCGGAAACGCCATAGCTAATGCAAGCAATACAAGATACAAAGTGCGAATACCAGCCAGATATTTCAGGCCCATCAGCGGTCCTTCAAAGCACGCCTCAAACCCACATTACCCCTTCAAGGCCTTGCCGCAACTCACGGATGTCTCCGAAAGCGAATCATGCCGCATGCGTGATGTTGGCTTGCGATCCGCAAGCTTCCAAGATGAGGCCTACTCATCGTCGTCGGACATGGCCACGTCGCCGTTCGCCTTTGGCGCTGAGATGCCCTCGTCCTCGTCCTCATCTTCATCATCGACGACATTGCGGCCCTTGCGTGGTCTTGACGTGGCAGCAACGCCCTCATCGGCACTGTCATCTCCAGCGGGAGTGGTAGCCGTATGCACATCATCCGCAGGAGCTTCAGCGTCGTCGCTGTCATCGTCGATGAACTCGGCCGACTTGTACTTGCCAGCCGGTTCGCTCTTGCGCTGAAGCTTCCTCTTCTTCTTCTCGCGTGGTCGCTCTTCGTCGCTAAGGCCTTCGGTCCCAGAAGCACTCGTCCTGCGACGTCGGGATCGCGGTTCGTCGTCGTCATCAGAGAGTCCGTCATCCGTGGCTGAGTCGTCGTGCGCAACCTTCTTCTTCCTCTTACCGCTGCCCTTGGGACCACGCGCCTTGCGCTCGGCTTTGCGCGCCTCCCTGTCTTCATCCTCATCCCGACGTCTCTCTTCGTCCAGACCACGCATCTCCATCAACTCGCGATCTCGCGCGGCAATACGTTCCTGCTCTTCCAAGATCTTGCGCTTCTTCTCGAGAGCCGCCTCTTCGACCTTGCGCTTCTCCTCTTCACGACGTTGCATCTCTGCCTCACGCAGTTTACGGGCCTGCTCGAGTTTGCTGGCGTTTTCGTTCTCGTGGGCAGTCTGTTTTGTGCGTTCTCGTTCGAGCTGGTTCGCCATGGTGTTGCGACCCATGTTGGCACGGGATGTGAGATCGTTTCGAGGAAATGGTGGGTTCTCGGCCTTGGCGATATTGTCAAGCGTTGCAACGGCAGCCTGTAGGCCTTCTGTAGCTTCGTTGATTTCCTCGAGGGTTTTCTGGGGTGTTGGCAGACGAATTATGTCTTGCGCAATCTGGAACTGGAGGAACGCCACGTTGAATTGAGAGCCGAGATCGGAAGGTACGATTTTGACTGCTTGCTTTGCGTAATCCAGGGCAGTTCTGTAGGCTGAGACACTGTGCTCGTGCTTCGCCCGCATGTACCAGGTACGTCCGAGGTAAGCGAGAATCTTGGGGTCATTTTGCCTATCCTTTGAAAGCGCTGCTTCGTACTACACGTCGTCAGAACAGGGTTAGCGTGTATAGATGCGGTCGACTTACATTCTCGATAGCGCGAGCGTACTGTTTGATCTCGGCATAGGTGTGGCCCAAATTCACGTATACACTGTAGTCCCTGAGCGTCTCTTTGACTTTGCTGAAGATCTGCAGAGCACCAGCAAAGTCCTTCTTATCTTCGACCAGAGCAATCGCAATACCCTGGGCTGCGTAGGCATTCTTGGGATCCAGCTGAAGCACCTTGTCAAAGAACTCGACCGCTCGCTCGTACGCCTTCCGGCGCTTCTCCTTCTCCTGTTCGGAGCCTCTGGGTAATTCACGAGCGATGCTGAGGTGGATATTGCCCATACCCATGAGTGAGTACTGGTCGTGTTTGTCGAACCTTTGCAAGGTGTGCTTGTGTATCCGCTGCTCCTCGTCCTCACCGAAGTTGAGGGTCTTTGGTTTCGACTTGTTCTTGTACCAGGCAAACAGAGCTCGTACCTCTACGTTCTCCTCGTTCTCCTTGAAAAGTTGCTTGAGCGCCTTGGGGCCTGCATCTCCGGGGCTCTGGCGCAGCGAAATGTACGTGAGTCGGATGCGAGCGTCGATGTAGTCGTTGTGTCGCTTCAGTAGACCTTCGTATACACCCTTCGCCTCGTCTAGCATGCCTTCAGACTCGTAAGTACGACCGAGGTTGTAGCTAATCGATGTGACAAGCGCGTCGGTGTCAATTGTCTCATCGCGAGACGCCGCCTTCACGCATGCGTTGAGAGCCGCCTGGAACGATTCTCTGGCTCGCACGAATCGCTCCGCCTGGTAGTGGAAGCAGGCCATGTTGTTGAGCAGCTGGGGTGGAAGAAGCTCGCGGAGTGCGGCCTTGAGCTCCATCTCATCCTCAACGCCCTCAGGGTAGTCCTCCTCTGGGATGGCATCCAGCTCCATCTGCTCAACCTCCTCGAGGCACTTCAGACTCCTATCAGGGTGGTCGGCTTCGTAGAGCCTGGCGAGGTTCAATAGTACAGACTGGTCTGGGACCGCTTTCCTCTTGGGGTCTCTCCACGCCTTCTGGACGTCTTCGAGGTAGCGTAGTGCTTTTCTCAGCTCGGCAGACTTGTCATCGGTAGACTTGTTGGCTTGAGCGCTGAAAACGTCCTCCGCATACAGTGTGCCAAGCAGGGTCTGTGCCTCCAGTGTCGGCTGCTGTTGGAGAATCTTCTCGAGTCGGAACTTTGCGCCGTCGAAGTTGTTCATCAAGACATTCATCTGAGCCAGACCAAACTTGGCTGGAATGTAGCCGCGCTCATCTCCTCCACGAGCGCCGTCAGACTTGGCGTAGAACTCTGCAGCCTTTGCCGAGTTCTCCTGATGATGCTCCTTCCTGGCGAGTTGGTACCACCCGTCACTGGCGATCGCGTTTACGTCGGTCAACTCGATAGCGCGCCTCGAGAGTGCCTCGACCTTGTTGAAGTCTTTCCTGACGATGAACCAACTTCCAAGAGTCGCGCAAGTCAAGGGAAACTGGTTGTCCATCTTCATCGCAGGCATGACGTATTCGTTCAGCGCCTTCTTGACAAGCCTGCCGAAGGTGGGATCCGAAGGAGGAAGCTGGGCGGTGAGATGGAAGTTGTAGACACCGAGCAGGACAGTCGCGATCCTCGAGCTTGGATTGAGTTCGAGCGACCGTTCCCAGGCGCTCGCAGCATCGTCCTTGAAGCCAAGCTGCCAGAAGCAGCAGCCGATACCGATGCGTGGGTCGGGGTCGATCAGGTCGGGCGAGCTCTCCATGATGCTCTGGTACATCTTCAGAGCCTCTGCGTATTTGCCCATCGAGTAGCTGACACGCGCCTTGCCCATCTTCGCCATGAGGTTCTTTCCACCTGATGCCCGTAGCGCATCTTCGAAGCACTTTGCGGCTTGCTTGAGCGTGTCCATACGCTCCGAGCTTACAGCACTGGGCCCAGCAGCGGTGGCAGGCGCCTGGAGGGATGCACGGAGGAGGTAGAGGACACCGCGAGCGAGGAAGAGCGGAGGGTACGAGGGGCTGATTCGCGATGCGTCGTTGAGAACGCTGGTGGCTGCCTGCATGTAGAAGTCCTTGGTCTTGACATCGGGGCCAGATGGCGAGTCCTGCTTCAGACGCGGTGCTTCGCGGCACTTGAGCAGATACAGCCAGCAGAGGCCGTTGAGGATACTCAGCCGGTCCTCAGCGCGTGCCCGACCGAAGGCATTGACGGCCTGGCTCAGCACGTCGATGGCGACATGCAGCTTCTTGTGCTTTGCGTAGGCGACGGCGACCTGCACCCATGTTGACTTCAGGCTGTTCTCAGTCTCGAGCAGCGTGCACAGCTCCGTGGGGTCGTCCTGGATGTCCTCGTCGAGCGCGATCTCGACATCGATTGTGTCTCCGGCCTCGGCGACCGAGACGGTGATGGCGCTGGGCACGTCCGAGTATCGCGGCGGGGGGAACATCTTGTCTGCCCCGTTCACGCCGTTCGCGCCATTTGCGTAGACGGCCGACATGGCGAGCGCACCGTGACGCGGTCGGGCGCTATCGAATTATAAGGGGAGCGGACGAGGGGGGGGAGGGGGGAGGGGGGGGCGGTGATGTGATCAGCGCAGCATAGCAGGGTAAGAGCGATGGAGGGACGGCGCGGCGTCGTTCGCTGCCGTGGGTGATGGCTGCACAAGGAATCGCGAGATGGGAGAGCTGCAACGCGACTCGGAGAAACTTGCGGAGGGCGGAGACCGGGGTGTCTCTTGGCGAGACGTTGTGCAGAGAAGGTCGACGGGGGAGTTGCGACACAACCGCTCAGGCAGGTGCAGTTGGCGTTAGAGGACCGAGACTGGGATTTGCAGTTTCGTTGTCGTGCGCGCCGTCTACTCCAGATCTCCCTTCACCCACCGAGGCTTGGCGTGCTCATCGCCAGCTGGCTGCAACAAGTGATCCGTGCCGTCTCCTCGAGCTCCCCCGAACTCTCCGCAATGGACACGCGCGCCAGTTGATAGTCGAACTGCGCAAACACAATGATACCGCTACGACCGCGCATACGACACACATAACACGGCGCCATCTGAGCCACCATGTCGCGCGACCCTGGCTACTTGCGGGCGGGAGCTAATGGAGCCTACACCAACGGCAATGGGAGCTATGACGGCAATGGGACCTACAACGGCAACGGAGGCTACAGCGGCAATGGGGGCTACGCGAGCTATGGTGCATCGAACGACGACTATGCAGGAAGGCCTAGCGGAGAATCCAGGACGAGACCTGGTGGTTATGGTGGCATGGGTGGGGGAGACGACGAGTCCCGATCACCATCACGACCGAGCACCGACCGACAGCGCCGACCAGGCGGTTATGGAGGCATGAGCCCCGCCGAAGATAACTATGCGCCGCGACCAAGCGGTGAAATTGGGAGAGAGCGGCGGCCGGGAGGCTATGGCAGTTTCCAACCGCGCAGTCAGGAGCGCATCCAAGAGCGCACCCAGGACGCACCCCAGGTCACACGCCCCACCAGCATCGAGCGCATGCCTGCACGACCACGCAGTGGAGGACGGTATGGTAATGCTGCAGACAGAAATCGCAATAGACTGGGTGAACAGCGAAACTACGGTCCAGGCAGCCAGCGCATCGAAGAGGTCATCAAGTACATTCAGACCAATTGGGACTTCATGACTGGAGACCAGTGCGTGCCAATCGAGGTTGCGCTGAAGCTCATGGACTCAAGCTCCCTCGGTCTGGCAGACCAGTACGACCAATTTCGACAGTCACATCAAGAGCTTCAGCAGGCCCTCAAGGCGATCGTCAACGAGCACCACCAGGGTTTCAACAGTTCCATTGGTACCTTCCATCAGATTCAGACGAGTCTGCAGAGCTCACAGCACCGGGTGAGGAACCTGAAGACTTCTCTGACTTCTGCCAAGTCGCAGCTTTCGACTGCCAAGCCTGAACTTCGCGAGTTTGCGACAGCGTCTCAGAACTATGACGAGATGATTCAGATGCTGAACACTATCGAGCAACTGCAGCTTGTTCCGGAGAAACTCGAGGCTCGAATCTCCGAGAAGCGTTTCTTGACAGCAGTAGACATTCTACAGGACGCCTTGCGCATGATTCGCAAGTCAGAAATGGAGAACATTGGCGCCTTGAACGATCTGCGCACATATCTCAGCAACCAAGAGGTGTCTCTGACTGACATCTTGATTGAAGAGCTTCACGGCCACCTCTATCTCAAGTCACCATACTGCGAGGATAGATGGAAAGAGTACGCGCAGAACCAGTTCAAGGGTGACGTTTCTGAGAGGGCTCAAACAGACGTTCGAGGTCGTCTGCTGTACTACTTCTTGGACGGCTTAGATACCGCCGATCCGGTGTGTAAGCTCGATCGATTCCTTGGACCTGACTAATGTCTACAGATGACGGACGATTCCACACACAATCCAGAAACAGAAACCTTTCAGTACATCAGGTTGGTGGTAGAATCACTCAACAAGATGAACCGTCTGGAGCTCGCAGTCGACACAATCGAGCAAAGACTACCCGTTGAGCTTTTCAAAGTCGTGGAGAAGTCGCACAACGAGATCGCACTGCGACATCCCAGCACCCTGCGCGCCTACGCATCGAGGAAGGGCAGCAAATCGAAGACAGACATTGAGAGCGACGACATACGAACGACGCTCCTCAACGACTTGCTTTGGACTTTGTATGCACGATTTGAAGCGATCGCTGAGAGCCACAGAGTTGTCCATGATGTCGTTGCTGGTATCATCCGGAGAGAAGGCATTCGCGATACTACCACCAGTGCGACGTTGACTCGAGGATTCAAAGAGTTGTGGAAGCTGTACCAGAGCGAGGTAAGCTTGTCGACATGTTGCTCTAACACATATGCTAACAATGGTCTAGATGCGTTCGCTGCTTCATGACTACCTTGCCACAGATGGAGAGACATCCTACAGAACTGGCCAGAAGCAGACTCCGATCGGCAGCGCCTTCTCGCGGGCCCCTCGCGACAGAAACAAGCGGATGTTCAAGCTCTCGGACATGGACACCAAGTCAACCGATGTTGCACAAGAGCGAGATGACCTGGAGTTTATCTTGAAAACATCAGTCCCCGGACTTGTGTCTGACTCCAAGAGAACCGAAAACACAAGCACAAACACGAACAACAACATCGAAGGCAATGCAACTGGTCACAAGCTTTTGGTGGAGCCAAGTGTCTTCAACATGGGTATCCTGCTGCCTCCTTCGCTCGACTTCTTGAACAGGCTGAAGGAGGTCGTGCCCACAGGCTCAGACATTGTCATGAGCACACTTACGTCCTTCCTTGACGACTTCCTGGTGAACGTCTTCCATCCTCAGCTGGATGAGACTTTGGTAGAACTATGCGCGCAAGCATACGTTGAGGTCGATTCCTATCAAGAGGATCCGCACTGGACGAAGTATTCGAAGAAGCCCATCTTCAAGGTACGTCATCCGGCAATTCTGCTGTTAGAAATTTTACTGACTTTGCAGGGAACTGCGAATTTCCTTACCCTTATCTCCGCCTTTTGCAAGATGCTGGATAACCTGCCGCACGATCAGGCCTTCTCGCAACTCATCGTTCGCCAGATGGAAACCTACGCACGGAAGTGTACAAGTTGGTACCAGACCCTTGTCAGCCGAGGAAGTCCTACGGCGGCTGGCCGTAAGCTGAGGGCACCTGCTGCATGGGCTGAGTCTGCAGAGATGGAGGACCTGGTCAACCAGATCTTCCAAACAGATCCAAGGGATGCCATAAATTTCAACACGCTTATCGAGCAGGAGACAAGTCTACTCTTACCGACAATCGAAAAAGAGCCACTGGACCAAGGCGATATCATACAGGACAAGAAGACTCTCACAAGCCTGTGCCTCCTGTACACTAGCATGAAGTGGCTGTCTACCAAGATTGCACGATTAAGGCACATCAGTAATCGAGCAACGGACTCAACGCGTGTCGAGCCTGGCAGCCAACGCCACAACAGACGATGGACACTGCTCTCATCCTCAGAGCCTAGGTCTGAAGGTGCACCTGTATACCTCCCACTGAACCAGGAGACCGCTGCGTAAGTCCTCTCCACCAAGAACGTTTACATGTACTGACCCTGCCCAGCGAGTTCGACAGCGTAGTGTCCACCTACCAAGCCCTCAGCACCTGCGTCCTCCGCACTCTGCACCTCTCAATCCGCACCACTATCCTCTTCGCCCTTAACACATCCGTGCGGCCCGCAATAACCATCGACTCGCTGCTCGGCGACCCGGACCCCGCCATCCTGACCCTTAACGCGCACCTCGTCGCCTTCGACACCGAAGTCAGCACCTACATCCCCGCCTCCTCCTACGCACTCATCACATCCGGTCTCGCAGCGCTAATGGACATCTACCTCTTCTCGCTCTGCACGTCCAAGCTCGATAACATGAACGCTAACGGCTGCGCGCTGATGCAGTTGAATATGCTCGTGTTGCAGCAAAACCTCAAGAATATCGAGGAGGGCGCTACGTTACCTAACGTCGCCCTGTTCTTCGACTTGTTCACTGCGGGCCCGGAGGCGATCGTTGCGAGGGCCAAGGAGCATGGTAGGGGCTTTGGCCTGCAAGGGTTGGCCAAGGAGATGTTTACCCTGGAGAAGGTGAAGAGGTTGTTGGAGTTGACGTATAAGGAGAGGTTGGGGGATGAAAGGCGGGAGGCGGTGGTGCAGGCGCAGAGGGAGCAGGATGCGCAGTTGTTGGAGATTAGTGAGTTTATGTATTAGATTGCTGTGGTAAATGTTGAGCATGTTGTTTGATGTGGGATGTGTATTGTCGGCATGCGTACGTAGTATACCATGGCTATTGCAATTAGATGGTTGGTTCTTCACCCACCCAAGGTCATCCTTGCTAATATTGCACGCGCGTCGCACCGAGCAAAGCCGCAGCCGGGAAATGTACGACGGTCTTTGATACAGAGGACGAAAAAGCTCCGATCGAACTTGATGAACCTCTGCGACCCTTATGCGACCACCCGAGCCTGAGCACCGACGAGCCGCAACATCGCCGGTGTAGTGAATTGCATGTCCAGGTCAGCGAATGAGAGATCGAGGGGCGATCATCCGGACACGGCGCTCTGCTCGCTATATGGGGGCTCCTGGGAGTTCGGGGGCCATTTGTATAAGCAGCCTTGCGCCGAGTCGGCGACATTACACAACGTGGCGTTGCGGATACGACCGTCCACACCTGCCAAGGGAAGAAGAAGGTGGGCTGACGGTCCCCGGAGTGGCTGACATTTAAGCATAACCACTCACCGATATCGAAGTTTGTTTGCGATACTCATCATATCTCCCAGGGGACGAGTTGTTGTTTTCTTCACGAATTGCAGGGCACAAAGCACGCTCATTCAGGCTTCGAAGCCACCATAACCCTTCGAGACTGATGAGATTGCCGAACAATCTATCTGGGGTGCATTTCCGATGCGGCACAGTTTATCTGCAGAATCGACCTAATATAGCTTCGAATGTAAGGTGGTGTGCAGCCTTACGAGCAGTCGCCGACGTTGCACAACGCGTGCCGCCTGTGCCACCCAGACGTCCCCGATTTAACAAGGTTCATGAGCCCATGATTGCATTTTCACCGAGTTAGGCCCCACGCCTCTTCCATCGAGTTTGGAGGTTCTCACTGCTCGAGTACTGCTTTGGCTGTCTCGAAGAGGATGCAGGGAGCAGCTCAAATTGACCTCCGGACCCGTGCTTTGCTTGAGCAAGTCGAGGCGACCACCAGCACACCGCGCCTAAGCTAAGCATCACCTGCAGCACTGAGTAAGACCACTCGCAAGCCCCCAACGGCCTTGCAGTTTCGTGGCCGCAATGCTGATGCTCCAGCTGCCGCCCGTGGGGAAGACGGAGACGGCGAGCAGTGACTCTTAGCCCCCGAGCTGCCCGCTTACACTTGACATGTCGCCGATGACGGATTGGGTCTTACAGAACGACTCAGCTCGCACGCCAGACAGCGGATAATAAAAGGAAGTGCGAGGGTGTGGTTGCACTTGTTTCAGGTATCTCTTTGACATTCCTATCTTTGTTGCTTTGTCCTCTGCTCTTTGTTCGCAGACTGACCTTTGACCTCGAGCATCTACTCTTACGTCTGTGGTGCGAAGTCTTCAATAACGAGGAGTGTTGGTCAACATGTCGACATCGAACCCTTCCATCGAAGACGTGGAGAAGGGTGCTGCTATGGATTATGCCCACCTCACAAACACAACGGTCCACAGCTTCAGTTGGGAGAATGTCACTGTCACTGTCAAAGATCGGAAGACAAAGCAGCCACTCGAGATTTTATCGGGCGTTAATGGCATTGTCGAAGCCGGTATGTAACCTTTATTCTCGTTCACAAGATACCACTAACGCTGCGCCAGGCGAGATGCTGGCCCTGATGGGACCGAGGTATGCATGGAACTACGCCGCATCGTTACTTCGTGATGACTGACTCGACCAGTGGATCTGGAAAGACTACCTTGCTCAATGTGCTTGCACATCGAGCTGCAACAGCGGGTGCGACCATTCAGCAAACACTGGCCATCAATGGTGCACCGACATCGCTAGCATCGTTCCGGAAACTCAGCTCATATGTCGAGCAGGAAGATGCGCTTGTTGGCTCACTCACAGTCCGTGAGACGTTGCACTTCGCGGCACAGCTCGCACTACCTAGGTACACACTTCAGTATTCAACTCTCATACTCGAGTATATTTAACCGTTCGTAGCTCTCTCAGCAAAGCAGAACGCAAAGCCCGCATCGAGGGCCTCCTCTCATCCTTCGGCCTTTATGACCAAGCAGACACCATCATCGGAACACCGATCCGGAAGGGTGTCTCTGGTGGCCAGAAGAGGAGAGTCAGTGTTGCTGCGCAGCTCATGACAAGTCCGAGGATACTCTTTTTGGATGAGCCGACTAGTGGACTGGACTCAGCCGCTAGCTGGGAGGTTATAAGCTTTGTGAAGGAGCTTGCTAAGAAGCATAAGGTGGGTAGTTGGAATGTGGTATGTGGTGTTCTTTGTCTGACATAATACAGTTTCTGGTCGTTGCTTCAATCCACCAACCGTCCACCACTACCTTCGAGCTCTTCGACAAGTTTCTGCTGTTATCGAAGGGTAAGGTTGCGTACAATGGCCCAGTGCCAGGTATCAAGGATTACTTTGCTGGCCTGGGATACAACGTAGGCCACCATCACGAACTTTCACAAGGCAGTATTGACTTCAATAGATGCCACTGTACATGAACCCCGCCGAATACGTGATCCAACTCGTCAACACTGACTTCACACGCTCGTCCACCAAATCATCTCAACAGCTGGAGCATCTCCACACATCATGGTCAGGCTCACCGAACGCCGCACTCATTGCCCACCAGATCCAAGCCAAGTCCATCTCCCACGACTCTACAGCGACTTTGTCAACCACTCACACAACGGCAAACCCCCTCACGCTCCCTCTAACCCTAGTCCACCGCTCCTTCATCAAGTCCTACCGCGACATCGTCGCCTACGGCATCCGAATCGGCATGTACCTCGGCTTGGCCATCATGATGGGCACCGTATGGCTGCGTCTCTCGCCCACGCAATCCAACATCCAGTCCTTCACCAACGCCATCTTCTTCGGCGGCGCATTCATGAGCTTCATGGCCGTCGCGTACATCCCCTCCTACCTCGAGGACCTCGCTCTATTCCGCAAAGAGCGCGCGAATGGCCTCTACGGGCCAACGGCGTTTATGGTAGCGAATTTCGTGGTTGGCGTGCCATATCTGTTCCTGATTGCTGTCCTGTTCAGCGTGGTCGCGTACTGGCTTGGTAACTTTGCCCCGACAGCGAGCAGTTTCTGGACATGGGTCATGTGGCTCTTCCTCGACCTGCTGGCCGCTGAATCCCTCGTCGTTCTGCTCAGCAGCTTGATCCCGATCTTCGTCGTCGCGCTCGCGGCAACTGCCTTCGCGAACGGGCTGTGGATGTGCGTAGGCGGCTTCATGGTACAGCCGGAGGCCCTCAATGTGTTTTGGCGCTACGTGTTTCATTATATTGACTACCAGGCGTACGTCTTTAGGGGCATGATGGTGAATGAGTTTGGCAGCAGGAATTACAGCTGTGAGAAGTTGGAGGACGGAGGGTGTTTTTGTATGTATCCGAGTCGGCTGCAGGATCAGTGTTTGGTGGAGGGCAGAGCTGTGTTGGAGAGCTATGGGTATGGGACGGGGGACGTGGGGAGGTATGTTGGGTATATGGTTGTTATTGTGTTTGTGTATAGAGTGTTGGGGTGGGTTGTGTTGTGGGTGAGGAAGCACTAGGCAGGGTAGATGTTAAACTCCATCCCTGTGGTTCGAACAAAACCACCAATACTTCAACTTTGAACGCTTCTTGCTTCCACCACACATCAACAATAGCTACGCATGGCCTTTGCGCACCGACACCGGCGTAGAAGCGTTCGGCCAGCACCTAGGCATGCGACTCAACTGCAGTCCCAAAAACGTCGTTGCTTGGCAGGCAAGAGCGCTGCAGAACTACCTGCAGCAACGTGCTTAATCCCCACACAGCATCTGAAATGTCAAGGTTGGCAATCGGACGAAGCGCAGATTGTGTGACGGTTTATGGAGTAAGGAGGTCATGTGTGCCACATGTGTTGGTGCAGTGCTCTTGCCCGTTCCAACAAGCACTTTCTGCCCTTGGCTGCACAATAGATACTTCATGTAAACAGACCCTGCTGAAGGCCGGGGTGAAAGGCAGAACAACAACAACAACAGAACATACTGATTTCACGGCTTTGCGCGGTTTTACCCTGACTTACTGCCCTGCGTGGTTACACCTTCATTGATTATGACTTGCAAAAGATCCTGACCCGCCTTTTTTCCAGGTTACTACATACACTAGGCACACACTAGGTGGGGCTTTCGGGAGTAAGAGATGACCGGGGGCACTGGAGGGGTATGTATGTGGGTGCTAGACCCTGACCCATACTTTCACCACCACTCACAGCCTCTAATCTCGCCAAGCCTTTCATCATACATAGCATCATTGCTACCACCTCTACCATCTTGCTGTCACCACTACACACTGCCTGCTCTCTCCTATCACATTAATACTAATATCAGCCCTAAGGACAACAGTGTTGTGTAGGGACTGATTGTTACTCAGAAAATCGGGGGGTCAGTATCTTTTGCAACTCACCGATGTCGCATCTACTGCAACAGATTGTGTATACGCAAGAAGCGTTGGTAGCTGTTCACCACTGCAAAGTGTAATCCGCCTAACTTGGTAACCCCAAAAGATACTAACTTATATGTAACTTGAACTTCATGCATGTATCATCGCAACAACCATTCACGTGATCTGTGTTCGCTTCTTGCATGTTGTGTTCCTCTAGAACTATGACACGTTCGTGAGCATGCTACTGCAAACGACCGCAATGACCCTGCGCACAGCTCTATCGCACCCTGAGCAGACCCACGCGCCCAGATGGACACCCAATACAGACCAAGTTTTTGCTCACTACCGTCTCGTATGCTCGATACTCGAAAGGCAGCCACAGAAAGCGCTGCGTGTTGCGCAACACCCACTGGTCCTCTATCGAGAGCAGCAAAGGTTGCTCTTCCTGTTCAACAGGTGACGTCAAATTTGAAGTATTGGTGGTTTTGTTCGGCGGCGGGGGCTATTCGAACCACAGGGAAGGACTTTAGTGATGTTGATGGCAGCATATCACATAGTAAACAACGAGTCTCTCCTCTCATATTTGCAACCAAGTCAATCTGGTTAATGGTGAGTCCTGGAGGTGACAAGATATAACATCGACTTGGAGGTATACACAAACGTTTTCTCGTGTAACCTAGTGTCTTTCCGCACTGCTCTCAAACCTGTCGATATTCCGCAGCGAGATCCTATCAAATGTCTACGGAAAATCCAGTCGAGCTTGGGTCAGCTCCAGGAATTCCTCCGCGCTAGATACGGACTGTGAGGTCAAGCTGCGTCGAAACCGCTTTCCACGTTCTGAAGAGCGGCATTGGCGTCGCCGAACAGCTGCTGACAAAGCTCGGGTAGAGTGTCGCTTTTGTCGGTCGTAAGTACGGTCTGGCGTTGATGGAGGAAGGATTATCTATACAGGGGCGAAGTGCCTGCGAGTTCATGAGTGTTCACCTGGTAGATGAAGCTAAGAATAAGGTGGAGGCGAATGACGGTGATCCAGGATTGCTGCTCCGTTCTCCTGCTTCTAGTGTCGCCCGGTAAGCTGTCTCTTATAAAGAAGGCCTTCCGCTAGACAACGCCATCCGTCTTGCCTGTATTCATCAATAGCTCCTCTTGCATTCTCTATTCAATCGCATACACGTACTACACTTCATAACCACCTGTTCTACGGACCCCCGACACAATCAAAATGTGGTTCTCTTAGATTCAGATAGTTATATTGGTGACTTGCACAACTTCCTGATCCCCTGATCTTTGAAAAGGTACAGCGTGGTATACTGCCTCTACTACAGGTTTAAGTCTAGTGTAAGGACTTAAGGGTGCAGTAGTAAGAGGAAGACAGCAGGAAGGTTAGCAACAATAACGGAGATGATGGCCAGTATAACGTGGATGAGCATCTGTGCAGGCTGTGAGTAGTATTGAATGTGTAGTTTAAGATCTCGCTCAAGGTAAATCCACATATATACCCTCATGTCTCTCTCCAGACCTTCTCCGTACCCCTCTCCTCCTCTGACATCTAGCATGTGGTCTATACAGAGGGGAGTCAGCAACTTCTACAAGTTATTATATCCAGAGCTACTTTCATCGCCGCTACTCTCGTCCCTCAATCAACAACCGTCATTGCAGGTTCCTCCACGCACAGAGACGGATTGGCCCCAGCCTCATCAACAAACCGATCCCACTCCTTCCTTAACCCACCGACCCTCCTTGGCACCCGGTAATCTCCACCCATCAAACCCAAAATCCCCAATCCCCGGTACATTATGCAGAAACCCACAAAACGATACCCGCCTCCGATAAAAGGCATGAAATCGAAGAAAGCCGCACCCATACACTTCTCACCAAACCCATGAGAAGGTGAATGCATTGCGCGAGTGACCAGCCCGGTGACTTCGAAGCTATCAGTTCCCTCGTTTCCTAGAACTCTAGATGACTCACCTTAGCCTGCACTGCTCGCGCCTGCTCGAATTCTATTAAGGCCAGGTAACAAATTCCTTCAGGAGCTACCAGAGCACGAAGGAGATATTGCACACGGCGCCACAATGTACGCCACGCACTGTCGTCTTTCGCCAGAAGGTTAGGGTGTACAGCATTCCATGTACAAAGGAAGATGGTCGCAAGGCAGCTCCAGACAAGGCCGATAGTCCCACGAGTTTGCGGTTCAGGAGCCCAGCCGACGATCCTGGTGGTATTCATGCTAGGCGCTGTGCATGGAAAGAAGATGCAGGGACAGCTGTCGAAGAACGAGGATGAAAGACGAAGCTAGGCGAATAGGCGGATTTTGAGTGTGTATTGGTGGACCAAGGTTGGCTCAGCCGCTGCATCATGGGAGCATAGAGAGTAGTCCTAGAGGCTGTGAAGTATCGTTCTGTGCACTCAGCCCCTCATTGCGAATCGATTGCGCAGAGGCAACTGGGAAAGCAAGGTTAGACGATGCCATCGCATCAGTGATGTGCATGCGGATGCAAATAGCGAGCACTGCAGTGACGTTACCTTGGGAATGAGGTGTTAAAAGTAAGGTTGGAGAAGGAGGGAGGGAGAAAGTAGCCCTGAAGGTATACACACAACGACTTGCCAGTTTAAGTAGCAACTGCAGCTGCGGCAGTCACATTTGGCCTTGTCCACATCGCGCCTACCACAACAACCTGAGCGCACGTCTCATGTGTCAAGTGCCCCGCAGCTTCATTCGAACAGGTTTAATTCATCCTACGTGTGCGCGCAAGCGCATCTCACCAAAGTCATACAGCCACACCCCTCTCCACCCCTCCTTTCCTCACATTACCCATATCCACAGATTGACACCACACTTGCTATCAAAGCCCGCGCAGCGCCCAGAAAAGAAGAACTCCGCCAAACAAAGCCGTAGCTCCAAACCGTCAACGACTAAGCCATGCTGCGCCACGCCGATGCTAATGCTTAGATGGGATGTAGGGAAAGGAACGATTCTGCCACTGCTGTTGCGTGGGCGGCAGCCGAGAAGTAAAAGGGGTAGCTGTTGTACAAGAGGTTGCAGATAGGGTTGTGAGAACGAGGTGGAAGTTGCTGCGTATTGCCTTGCGTTGTCTAAGAAGGAAAGGGGTTCATGATACTGCCGTCTCGCGAGGTAGGATTCGGAATGAGGCGTCCTTTGCAAGACACATGTACAGTAAAATTACGCCGACCGTCGTATCGAGATGTTGAAAATATGGCTGCTATGGTGCCCGACACTTTTACTCCATGGATAGTTAGATGCGCCTGAAAGCTGCCGATGGTATCCAGTGGTGCTTGTACAAGCAAGCAAGAGGAAAGTCGCTGCGTATGCGGTGACATGATGTCACTATATCTCAACCGTCTTGAGGTCTTCGGTTTCTGCGATTGGGCTCTTGAGCGAGACAGGCTTTGTCTTCTCCTCCTGGGTCTCCTTCTTGTTCTCCTTGTCACTGCTCAAGCTGGCGCGAACGGGAAAGTCGTCGCTCGGCCTCGGGGTGTCGATCGAGATCAGCTTGTCCGCTGCAGTATTGGTCTTCGCATCGAGATCGGTGTGTACGCGGATGGGCTGGGCGTGCTCCTCAGCGACTCTCGCGAGAGGGCTGGATAGCTTGCCTCGTGGGCTGACACCCTTCTGCTTCGTCGATAGGCGGTGAGGGCTGCGACCACGGTCTTGAGGTCCAATGACTGGGCTGTGGTAGGGACTGCTGGCGGTCGAGCTGGGGACAACACCTCCCGGAGCGTTGGGGTTGATGCGCAGGCCGCTGTTCGGTCGGCGCTTGTTCACTGGCCTTCGGCCGTGCTTCTGGTCGCACCGCCAGCGCAGGATCTCGAGATATGGCGGCTCGACGTTCTGTTTCCTGAAGGCAAGGAGCTTGAGCTCACCGCTGTCCTCGTCGATGTGAACGTCATTCGAGGCCATGTCGTCGGCGATCATGGCAAGGAGTGCAGCCCATGAGCGTGCAACAACAAACTTGCAGTCGTAGTCTCGGCCAAAGATGATGATCTGACCCCAAGTTCCAGTAGGACCAGGCGCCAAATCAGTAGCGAGGTAGTTGCCTCCCCAGTCGCGAGCCAGAGGAATCCAGGCAGGGTGAGCGTAGGCCTTCTGGATGGCGTTCGGCGGTTGCGAGTCCTGACGAGCTTGCAGGTCTTGTCGCCAAAGAGGGTTGCCGGTCGCCTGAGGTTGCGCAATCGGAGGTGCTGTGGAAGAGCCAGCAAAGGCCTTAACGGGAATCTGGGGGGATCGGTAGTCAGGCTTAGTGGTGAGGTACTCTTCAGCGACCTTGCGCCAGTTCTTCCACTCCATGACAATCTCCTCGCAGTCGAGCAACATCAGGCCGAACAGAACACCAGTAGGGAGACCACCGCGTTCCTGACCATCGTGAACTTGGAGCGACTCGCGAATGTCCATGGGGAGTGTAGCATCAAGCTCGTGCTCCAGCTCGTTGACATCGTTTGCTGTAGCGCCCTCGCAGATGTTGTCAAAGAGCTCCTCGTAGTGGTCCTCCACCCAGCGGTCAATGCGCTTCCAAGAGTGTGAGACAGGCGGTGGTGGAGGCAGGCCCTCGTTGAAGTTCTGCATCTGGATCTCGCCGTTGGGACCCTTGTCGAACGTGTCTGCGTCGACCGTTGCTTGGCGGCTCAGCGACCCGCGCATTCCAGGAGAGTAGGGCGAGCTCGGCGACATGGGGCCCTTGGGCGAGCCAATGAAGCCATTGCTGGTCGCAATGTCGTCGTGTGCGTATGGGGAAGACAGGTCGACTCGAGAGTCAACGCCGCTGGTAGCAATCGATGTGAGGGCGCTGTGACGGCTCTGTGGGATAGGGATGTGGCGCCCTGTCCGGTACGGGGAGTCGTGCGAAGCATGGCGGTCGTTCGAGGTCATTGTGTGCCAGAACGACTGAAAGAAGGAGCCGACCCTGTCCGTAGTCAGTATTAGGGGCGCCAGAAACAACGCTCCTGCGCAGGTGCATGTCTTACGATTGTGCCATGGTGTCAACGGGAGAAAGGGAGCGCGAGAAAAAGTCCGGGTGCGCTCTGCGCTGTGGTGCTGCGAATAAGAGATCCTCCAGAGAGCGTTGTGTGTGAAAGGAGGTGCAAAATGAAGTTGAGTTGATCGGCGTAGTAGACAACTGGGTGGTTTCCAAGGCCGAATTGCAGGAGAAGGTATGAGCCCAGGACTAGGAGTTAGGGGCGCCAAGGCTGTGGACCCGCTTTGATATGCTTGACCACGGATGCCACAATCCTCCGTGTTTAGTAGGTCAACAACTGTTCTGCAGTGCAAGTGAGGTCTCGTGGTGGGCGTGGGATTGTGATGATATCTTGTTGTTGCTTGGTTAATATTGTTTCGGGGATACCTTAGGTGCAGCTCACGGGACGTTGCTATCAACCCCCGCCTGCTGGGCATGCGGACTTCCAAGTACTTGCTTCCATTCCCGGCCACCAATACCGGTTATTAATAGGCAAATCACCAGTACAACCCCATGTCCACTGTTATTGCCGCAATTGCTTGTCCTGATAAGTGTTATTTGCCCTCCGGGGCCAACCAACAGCAGCTCACTTCAGAAGTTGGCAATCTGCTGTTCACTATGCCAGCGGCCAAATCATCACAGCCATTCACCGCCTATCGTTCCTGCCCCTGTTCCACATTTCCGACCAACCACAGCGCCTACCCTAATGTTTCATGAGCGCCCCAACCAGGCCGTTGCTGCGGCCGCCACCACTCGAGGGGCGCTTGATTTGGTGAAAGCCTCCCGAAGCCAGTCGACGCACACCTGTGACTCCAATTCGATCGCTTGCTGTAGCCTTGGTGTCTAGCGTTCGCGTCACCAGAGCTTGCAAGCACCAAGAAGTGCACCACCAAACACTCGCGCTAAGCCTGATCCTCGCCGCGTGTTATTGCAAGGTTGCTGCTCTTTGCGCTGGGTTTATTCAGCGTTTTCAGACCTGCACCTTCGTGTCAAGTCGGCAGGTGACGCGGCCGACAACGGTCTGCTGCTATGATGTAGTTGCAAATCAGTGCACTTTGGAGCATGCACATCACCAGGTTGTGTCTCACGGTTGGGTCTGCACTGTTTTGTGTGGTGACACCGCCGAATTAACATTGCTTGTGCCGTGCTACATATCTTGATATCTACCCTGCCAAGATCTGCTTCTTGGGCGGCCTGTCAAAACGAAGCTTGAGGGAACACTGCCAAACGAACCACAGCAGCCAAGCCGGTAACTGCAGCTCCCCGGTGTGGGGAGATGAGGCGACTTGTATTTTTGGTCGTCCAACACGCCACATCGTCACCACAACACCACAAAGACGCAGCCGAGATAGTGTTTGGCCACACTGATGTTTGTCGCAACGGCTATCAAGGTGTCGTTGATCTAGACATTTCGTGACGGACGCGCTAGTTTACCCCAGATTCAGATCCGCCGCCACGTGGGCCAGATACGAGGTGATGTGCTGGTGAGTAAGCGCCTTGCGACAGAGCGTCATTTGCCACGTTTTATCGTCGTTGGTCGAGTCTGGATACGAGGTGCGCTTGCGCGAGCTTGTGGCTTGAAGCTGGTTTTATAGATGTGGCGTGGGGCTGCTTGTTTGGCTTTCAGAGTAGTGGTATCATGTAATGGTCTTACCCAAGAATTGATATAGCTCTTCCTGGAGCGGCAGCACAATACCCTCTGCAGCTGCTTGCAAAAACTCGGAATCCTGCAGGCTAACTCCAGGGTCGCTGAAACACCGCAAGCAATGCCTGATAGCGCTCAAGAACGCGGCAGATAACTCGTCTTGCGACTGCTCTGCCCACTGGTGTGCCATAGCACATAGCATCCATGAGTTCTGGTGAAGCGCTGGATTACAAGCACCATGCTCAGTCTCTTGGTACTTCTCTGCGGTCGTCCCGAAGTACAGCTCCAGAAGCGCCACTGCAAGTGCAAGCAGAACAGTGTTCTTGTTCTGAAAGCTGAGAGCTTTCGTCTTGGCAGTCAGGCTATCTAGAGGATCCTTTGCTGTCGGGGCTAGATACGGATGTTCGATATCGATGAAGCTGGAGGCAGCCGCGGTCTGATGGAACTGAATATCTCTGGCAGCCCATTGGTTCGTGAGCCATGGTGTTGAATTGAGGTAGAGTACGCTAGAAGCTAAGGTGAAAGCCAAGCTGTATCTCTCTTTCTTACTCAGTTTCACGCGTTTGCCACTGACCGTTGGGCGGCGTTCCAGAAGGTCCTCAAGGGAGACCACATCGGACACGGGAGTCAGTTTCTCGGTTGTGTCAATGATGTAAACACCTCGAAGCTTCTTCCTAGCGTCAAGCGATAGACCTATGCGAGACGTGGCAGGCTGAAGCTGCTGTATTGACGCGCATATGTCTGTCACTTCTTGCAGTGATTGTGAATGATTAGCTACAGGGTCGCTGATGGAGTATGGTGGAGGTGAGCTGAAAGACACACTCTTTGTCATTCTGTTTGTGTCAGTAGAGTAGGTGGGCAAAAGCATCTTAAGGCCTCCACGCTTACCTAGGCATAAGGGACGACATAGACGTGAGGCCTACATCCTCCTCCTCTTCAATATTGATATCTGCAGCTTGCCATTTCCACGATGCGGCGGTACCAGCTGCGACTGATGAGAACGACACCGTGAAACAGGTCTTGCTAGAGTTCGATATTTTCATGCCAGACGCATAAAGATTCCCTCTGGGTTCCAGCTGAAGACTCGTACGGTGAACGTCTTTGCAGGAGCAAGACCAACACAGCGACGTGTGCAAGTTCTTAGCGTAACCCTGTATGCGCTGCAGTCGAGTAACGAACGATGGTTTGGCAGCCTTGCGATACGTCTCAATCTTCTCGCTTTTCTCGGTAAAGCGTTCAAGCTCCCGGTTGCAGTCGTTCAGCTCCTCAAGCAGCGCCTTGACGGTCTTCTTGCTCATACCGAATCGGATTCGTTTCTTGAACTCAAACTTGTCGATTCCCTTTTTAGGGTTGGCTGCCAGGAGCGCCTCAAGATCGTTGCGTTTCAGCTGCTGGAATGTGAGTACAGCGCAAGGGATGCCAATCAGCCAGCATTGACGACGTCACGTCCAGGATGGGAAAACTACCCCACGTATGTTCATCTGTACGCACCTCGTTTGCCCGATCCAGATCCAGTTTGCTTGCAATCTGCTTTGTGATGCGCTCTATGTCCGCAATTGTGCCTTGGTATGCATGGTATGATTCCTGCAGCCTATCCTGAAGCTTCAGAGCCATCTCTTTGTCCTTCCACAGCTGTGACGATCCAGGGTCCGTCATCATCTCAGCTAGCTCGACATCGGCGGTAATAGGCTCGAGGAGGATACGGATCGTTTGAGAATAGTGGACATGCTGATTGCGCAGCTTTCGGATGCATTGCGGCAGCTCCTTATCCCATCTCATAAAGCTCTTAATAGGGTCAAGACCTTCATTGTAAGACTCAATGCCTATGCACATATTAGCCTCGATCATGCTCGCGACTTGTAACTGGCAACGCACCTTGTATGAGCAAAGGCAGGCAGCCTAGCACAAGGCCGGCTACCTCGACACCAGACATTTGCGCAGATTACCTGCGATCCAGAAGCCTGGAAGTTGTACCAATACAAACAGTGCTGCATCATGGTAAGCTGGTGGTGTCGAGAGGGAGTCAACGCGGGGCTCCGTGTCAATATGGATTCGAGCTCGAGTCCTGGAGGCTGTCACGTACCCACCAGTCTTGTCGTCCTTGGCTTTTTAACGCTGTCTTTGAAGACCTTGATCCTCCAGGTGAAACATGATTACAAACTTTACGAAGCAATGCTTGCAGCAGAGATCCATGAGTTTGTCGTGATCTCCAGCTCCGCCTCGTCCCAACCAGAACCGGATTAGTCTTGTCGCATGAATCCCCATCGTGCAGCCCACAATCTCGATATCGCGACAACCTCCAGGCTCCCGGATCTCTTTATTCCAGCGTTCAGGAATCTTAGCATGGTGTGACTAGCGTCATGACGGCAATTCGACTCGCTACGGCATCGAACGTTCGTAGCTTCCAAAATCTTTTGAACGCCCTTGTCACGAGCGACGGCAAGCGGAAAGAGCAAATTGACCAAGAAGCTCTTGAAGATGAGTTTGGCAGGTTCAGAGTGTGGTCAGGGAACTTAGGAGCTTTGCAGAAGGGTCATAGCTCCCTCGACTACCGTCTTCGTGACTCACCGTTGCTCTCTGGAACCGCCCTAAAGTTCCTGGAGGAACTCAACCAGAACCTCGATGAAGCATTTGCAATAGTCTCTGGATCTCGCTTGCCTTTCGAGAAACAGCCGAAGCCGGACTCAAACGAAGAGAAAGACGAAGAGGATGATGACGATTTCTTCAGCGAGGATGACGAAGATGACGAAGCTGGCGGCTCGAAGAAAGAGCTGACGATGCGCTATGAAGAGGTTGTTGACGTAATTGACAACCTCTACAAGTTGAGTGTCCGTATCAGAACGCCCACGATTCGGTCACGGTCTGCCAAGGCAGCTTCTTATCAGCCGAAGGACCCTGAGACAGGTATTGACATACTCAGCACGTATGCTCAGTACGACAAGCAGCATACTAACGAGCTCCTCCGAAATTTACGGCAACCTCATGTTGAGAGTGCTCAGATTGGAGACGACTATCTTGTGTCCCGTTTGGCACATGGCATAACTCTTCGTCGTCGGCAGTTCAAGTACTGGAAACGGCATCGAGACAAACTCTCGGTGTCCGCAATACCTGAAGAGAATTCGATTCAGCCAAAGCGCACCGTGGAGCAAGTCAATGCACTCTTACGCAACGATACTGCGGAAGTCCGCTTGCCACAACCGGCCATTGGTAAGTCCCTCACAGCGAGTTCGTTCAGACCCTTAAGATGCCAATATCGAACTTCTTGCGGCTTCAATCTTCAAAGCTGACGATTCTCAGTGTTCAAAGAGCCGCCCAGCCAAAAGACCGGCAAAACGATGCTCTCTGGCACAGAAGCAACACATCATCATCAATCGCTCGACGATATAGTCGACACTAAGTCTGTAACAAGCTATGCTGTAACCGTAACCGATGTCCACGGCAAAGGAGTCAATCTACCTCCTCCGCCCAGAAGTGCAGACGGAGGAAAGGACTTTGAGTGTCCATATTGCTACATTATCTGCCCCGCCCGCTATGGTAGAGGACGGCCATGGCGTACTCATCTGCTCCAGGACTTGCAGCCTTACGTCTGTACATACCCAGATTGCGAGGCGTCGGAGCAGCTCTTCCGCAGTCGCAGGGAATGGAACGAACATGAAGCCGGCCATCGCAAAGCCTGGAGGTGTCCAGAGCATCCTTCGGCTGTATACGGGTCCCGTGTTGGACTAGAAGATCATCTTCGACGGCAGCATCTTGACAGCTTTCCTGAACATCAGCTGGATACTATAGTCAAGATTGGCGAGACATCGACGGTTGAGATGCGCAAGAGATGTCCTATTTGCTTCTTGTCTGCAGATGCAGGAGGCATGGGCGATTTTGCAAACCATGTGGCCAACCATCTTGAACGGTTTGCAGCATTTGCTCTACCCAACAGCAGTGAAGAAGATGCAGACGGAGCAAGTCGTGTCGCAAGTCGAGGCAGATCTGGTAGCACTACTTCACAGGATGTGAGTGGCATGTCACTACCCAGTGACATTTCAGACAAGCAGGAGCAGGGTGAAAATCTGATTACAGGGCTACAGAGGGTTGATGAAGAACCACTCGTGTACGAGCAGGGCCCACAAGATGCGCCTACAAGCCATTTGCTGCTTTCTGCGGAGAGCTTGCTTTCACTTCCAGACGCAAGCCAAAACAGACTCGACATGCTACTAGTGAACAGGACAGGTGAACAGGATGACGATGATGCCGACGAAGAAGAAACCAGAGCGCCACCAGCTGACATCGAGGAGCATCAGGAACGTATAGAAAGTTTCAGAACCTACTTGCTGTCTCTGCCAGGTGCTCAGACTGTACGATTCTTCAAGCGTTATGGTTCGTGGAGAGGGCATGCTATATTCAACAATGGCACACGGACCGCCCAGGCCATGGAGCTCTTCGACAAAACGCTATATCCCGAAGTTAGGATCCAACAAGGGTCTGAAGGTAACCGCAATAAGCTCAAATTCAGTGTACCAAACACGCAGGAAACCTATTGGCAGCCTCCTACTCGACAATTGACGTCCGACACACAAGACGCCGGCAACTTGAGTACCTCCTCGACTTCGATAGTATACGATGATGAAGAGACAAGTCACAGCAAAGAAGGTGTGTTATCTGTCGCCGACATACCGACACTTTGCGATATGTACAGGTCGCGAAAGTTGTTGCAGCGCGATCAGAGCTTTGCTCCAAACGACTCGTACAATCGACTCATATCCTTCTGTTATTACGACCTTACAAGGATCAAGGTGGACGCTATCGTGAACAGCGCCAACATTGCCATGAAGGTCAGCAAGCACGCAACGACGCTCAACTACTCCATTCACAAAGCTGGAGGCCCAAAATTCTCAGAAGAAGCACAGTCGAAAGGAAGACTGAAGCCAGGGCAAGCAGTGCTGACCAGCGGCCACAACTTACCTTGCGATCATGTCATACATGCAGCTAGGCCGCAGTACTCCAAAAACAAGGGTATGGGCCAGTTCAACATCCTTACGGAATGCTACCGCAGCGCTCTTAAGATCGCGCTCGTTTCGGGTCTCAAAACTGTCGCGTTCCCTTGTCTCGGTGCCGGTGGATGCGGTTTTCCACCCCGGATCGCTGCCCGTGTAGCCCTTCAAGAAATACGAGAGTTCCTAGACGCTCATATCCAGCATCCTTTAGAGCGAATCGTCTTTGTTGTTAAAAGTGTCTTGGACGAGAAGGCTTACATGGATCTGTTCCCAGTTTTCTTCCCACCTACACATAGAGACCTGGAGGTTGCCAGATCATCCGAATTATCTGCAAGTCGGGCATCACTTGCAGCTCAGGCCCTGGAAACACGTCTGCAGGTGCAGAAGATTGCAGAAGACCTGTCTGCGGAGCTCAGCCTATTCATACCAGATTTTCCAAAAGAAATTATGGAGGAGCTTCATAGCATAGACACCGCATTGGCCTCGATCAGAGGGTTCTTGCTTGGCCCAAAGATCCTCAAACGGAGCTTGAACGATTTGAACCTGCTTTGCTCCGTTATGCAGAATGTTTGCGGAAGCATAACCGAGCTCACCGAATCAGCTAAAACTATGACGTTCTCCGGAGGTCAAAGTCACAAGGGACTGTGGGACGATTACAACAATCACAAGAAGATGGTTCACGATAGTAATCTCGAGGAATTTTTGAGAGACTGCCAGAACTTCGCTCAATGTCTGGATGACATTCTAACACGCGATGGCGTGGAGCTGGATGAGATGACGCCCATGCGCCTGAGGCTCGACTGCTTCAAAGCCAAGCAAAGAAACCAGGATACTGAAGGTATCCGTGAGCATCTTGATGAGGTTCTCTATACGAGAGAGTTCCAGCGCGAAAGTAACACTCAGACACGGGACGTCGTACGACTACATCAAATCCCATCGGTAGCACAGCTGTATTCTTCAAAAATTCTCGAAGAGAAACCAACCATGGTGCAGCCATCTGCTGTATTCAACCATACAGTCTGTCTCGTCAGAGAGGATATTACGAAGTTGGATGTCACCGTCATGGTCAACTCTACCGATATGACGTTCGCCGGCATGGGTACACTGGATCGCAAAGTCTTCAACAAAGGCGGCTTCGAGCTTCGTGAGGAGTGCACAAAATTCGGTGTATGCAAGGAAGGTGATGTTAAAACTACTCTCGGCTACAATCTACCAGCGAAGCACATCCTGCACGTGGTGCCTCCAGAACAATGGAGAAAGGACAGCAAAGATGTCTTGCGGCAGATCTATCGCGAGATCCTGTACACTTCGCAGTCTCTACGGGCAACTTCGATCGCTATTCCTTCCATCGGTACTGGGATGCTGAATTACCCGATACGAGATTGTGCATCGCTGGCTATGGAGGAAGTCAACCGTTTCCTCGAAACCGCGGAGCCTAGAAATCCACTGGAGAAGATCATCTTCGTCGTATACTCATCCAACGACGAATTCGTATACAAGTCTCTCCTACCTGTGTACTTTCCACCGATTGATCAAAACGTCAACAGAGCTCTGCCAGCGTCGCACCCCTTCCCTACCAGCGCACGTCCGCCCCCTGAATCGATCTCTGCCCCCCGACGTACGCTTTTCAGCTCCATTGGCGACGCAGTACGTAATCTAGGCAGTTCACGCTCTGGAAAGTGACCAGTCTCTCACACTTCGCGTGCCATCAACACCTACGAAGAACATGCTCTCCTAGGCTTTGAATCGCACGCTCAAGACTGCGATACTTGCAAGACAATGGAACAGCTCTACATTGACGGTAAAGATCTTTGCGAATATGGCTATCCACTGGCACAAACACTGTTGTAGTACATGAACCAGGAGCCAGATCAGCTCGTGCACATAAGGCCTGTGCAGAACAGACAAAGCATCAGACTTGAGGCGCCGGAGGACATTTTTCCGCTGTCTCTGACTCTACTCCGCTTCGTGGAAGAAAGTCTGAGGGAAGAAGGGTGCGAGCATCCGTTCGTCAGCCCAAACCGCGCATACTCAACCGTTGTCCAAGGCCAATCCACGCAAGATGACGAAACCTAAGGCCCTACTATATACAATGCCGAAACAGCACGAGCTTCTGTGGAAGTCTGGTCAACGTCTGAACAAGCATGGAGTCCGGTGTCTCCAAGCAAATGCATTGTCTTATTCGATCAGGCAGGATCAATGTGTACAAAGCTCACGCGCCATCTACGGCACAAGAGCCTTTGTTGACGTTTGTTCTGGACCCTGCTGCTAAGATTACGAAGCATGGACATCGACCTGGACTGATGGTTCGAGGGGCAGTGGCCACGCAATTCGATAATGACGAGGAGATCATGCCGTTCAGTCAGAACGTCGCTGACTCTGATACACTGCTTGCCATGCTGCACCGAGCCAACCCAAAGTTTCCTGTCAGCAGGGACGACTTGGAAACTGCCTCAGGAAGTCCTCCAGCGACAAAAGCCCACCGCGGTGAGGAAGGGTTGGCGGCTCCAACCCTTTCTGCAGAGAAGGTCGGATCGGACTCAGAGCCAGACCAAGCTCTGGATACGCCCCAGAGATCGACGGAATATGCGCAAGTCCATCCTGGCCTGAGCGCATTACAACTCAAGATGCAGAGGCTGAACGAAGCTGCATCCAGGTTCAACCTTGAATCGCCTGAGCATCAGGCCGCTATAATCCGCCAGCTTGGGGACGATGGATTTCTACCCACCAGTACACAGCCCTTGAACCAAGGTGAAGAATCTGACTGGACGATTTAGTACCTTGTTCTTGTCCACATGACCCAGGACCTTAAAAAAAGGTGAGGTTCTTCTTACATTGGTAAGTATATCAAAGACATAGCTCTGGCTATAGATAAGCCCCTCCCCAAGGTATCTTCGGCCGCTCAAAGTTTGGCAAAGGATTATTACACCCACAACACCGCCGACAAACATACGTGGGTGCTCTCACATCCTCTTGGCGAGCTGCCTGACACCTAATGGCGAAACATGGAAAACACCTCTGCTACGGCAATACACCCCTCCTGGTAGCTCGAGTCACGTTCAAGCAGCACCACTCGCAGAGTCAGCAAACATCCGAGATGTAAAGGAGTTTAAGGACACGCCACCGAGCCCTGTTGTCCCGGCCATAAGCTCGGAAGCTCAATGTCCGCCTATCGACATTTCATACGCTGCTAAAGTCGACACCTCAAATCTCGACGAATCTTCTATCTACCCATACGAACCCGCGACCCTTTGGACGCGCATCGACCAAGCCTGCGTCGATCCATAGGTCCTGCTCGACACCGGCGATGAGTTCCATGAAGACGGATACAGCTTAGTTATCCATAGGACAGTCTGGCATGGTGAGTTCAAGCGATGGGTGCAAAACACGCTAGATTTAAGACTGAAGGAACCTGAGTCTTCGCGGGACAGGAGGGGCGTCAGTGAGCATACGTGGTTGAGCAAGGGGAAGGAGAGAGATGAGAGGGATCTGCATCAAGCGAAATTGGATAGGGTGCTGGCGGGGGTTATGAAGAAGGATGCGCTGAGACATTTTGCGAAGGATGAGGAGGCGGAGAAGAAGCGCCAATAGCTCCAAGCGTTGATTGAAGTCCCTACGCATCGTATTTTGCTCAATTACTGGGCACAACCCTTCAATCAACTGAATGCCTCCAGGGTCCGTGATGATGCCACTCATAACTTGCAGTACTGATGGCCTATGATCACAAGGCCTCAGTAAGCCTGCCCATTTTGCCCCTTTTCCCCTCGCACCAGAATGCACTCCGCCTTCTGACATCTGTCCTGGGTACCTACCATTTCAATATCGGTCAGTCCAATCTGCAGTCAACGCTTACATCACGGACTCTCGATGCAAACATGACTAAACCGCTGATCGATCCCTTTCAGCCCTACCACCCTCGCACTGGCCTCCTCATCACATCGAAGTGGCGGTGAAGCACGTCCCCTTTCAAAACTCCCATTCCGATTCCCCGCGACAGCGGCGGCGGTGCTAACATCTCCACGGTTTCCGGCTCCGCGATTATGTCACTTATCACACCGCTGAACCGTAGAGTAGTGTGCTGTTCAAAGTCAATAGTGCTCCCTCTTCCCCGCGTACACCGCAACGGCTGTACGAGTCGTGTCAAGAATTAGCTTTGGGGGATAAGAGCGATGTTGCTCAGAGGGTGTGTGCGGATGTCGATAGTATGCACACACCCTCTTTGTAGGTGGAGTGAGGCATGGCGTCTGTTTATTCAATAAGAGCCTAGTTATCACTAATGTTTGAGGATCCTTGACCACGGATGCTGCTGAAGGTGGTGTCGAGTGGTATATCGATATCGTGTCGCTACGAAGAGGTGTTGAAGGCAGACCAGCCAGGTTTGGAGAGGATTCCAGGCCGAAGAGGAGTGGTATCGTAGAGAGAATGGACTGGTACGTGGCCTAGTGGTAAAGACCATGAAGTGATGATCTGGGATATGGTGAGATGACGAGAAGCCGACCATACGCGTAGAGCATATCGTTCTGTTGTAGAGGCTCGAAGGGGTTGGGTTGTGTTGAGTATTTCGCGACTGCTTGTCCATATAGAGTGTCTTTGCGGAGAAACAATGCTCTGTGCTGTTGCCGTTTGGATGCAATCTGTGGCTTGAACGTAAGCGGTGTATGGTTCATCAAGCTCGAGGGAGTATCTGTAACTTGGCACGCATTACTTTTTGCAAAGAAGCTATTGGAATAGTTAAGCAAGATGCTCAAAGAGTGTGAATGATGTAGGATTACGTGGACGTGGGTGGACCTGATGTAGAGTTCCTTAGAGGGATGCAGTAGTGCAGGGTATCGAGGTGGCATTACTGTATGTACATACAATGGCAACACGGTCAGCGACAAAGCATGGGGCCGATAGGTGTGAATTGTCATTGTCATTTCCGTGATACTTTTCCCGCAAACACCAAGTGCGGATATCAGTACCCATGCACGCCATCACTGCGACCGGAACGCATCAAGGGTATGTTTAACCTTTCATATTGTAAACATAGCGCCTCTTGGATGCCCAGATCATGCCGCAGAAAGTTGAAAGGACCCAGAAAACCCCAGCCTAATCAACCATGATCATTTAAACATTCTCAAGGACGGTCTCCTTGAACTCGCGCTCAACCTTCTCGCCAGAGTCGTTGGCGTTCGACTCGCCGTGCAGACCGAGGAGGGCACCAAGGTCGAACTTGGGCGACTTGATGAGCTTGACCTTGCGGACGTGGACCTGCAGGAATTAGTGTCTGTTGTGTATGGACATGGGGACTTCAACGCACGTTCTGAAGGGGGTAGATGCCCTGGGTGGACTTCTCGATCTCGCGGCCAATGACCTCGGGGATCAGCTTCTGGGTGAGCTGAGCCAGAGTGCAGGAGCTGGCCTCCCTCTGCATGATCTCAGTCATCTTCTTGCGGATCGCCCTGATCTGCGACGAAGCGGCGTAGGTGGTCTTCTTAATCTGGTTCGGCCTGCGCTTGGTGAAGCCGATGGCGAAGAGGCGGAGGAGGTAGTCGTCGGTGGTCTTGACGACGACGTTGGCCTCGATGAGGGATTGCCACTTGCGGACGAGCGAGCGGAGCTTGTCGGAGGTGAAGTCGAGGCCGTGGAAGTTGGTCAGGCAGTTCTTGCCCTGAACCTCGTCGACGCGGAGCTTGACCTTGCGGAAAGAGTGGTCCTCATCCTTCTGGAGATCGGCGAGCGAAACCTCGAATATCCGGCCCTTGAGGGCGTCGTTCGCGTTCTTCAAACCGGTGGTGCGGTTGACGAGGGTCTTGCCGACACTGCAGGAGATCAGTACACTGTGGCATGGCGAATTGCTGCTGCGACGGGCGTGCTGGGGCGTCTTACTCCCTAACCGCGAAAGTTCCGGGTGCCTTGAGGTTGTACCAGTCCTTCTTCGCGAAAGTGTCGGTCTTCTTCTTAAGACCCTTCTTGCCCTTTGAGAGACGCTTGTTCTTGCCGACAGCCATGATTGCGACGAGAGTTGTGTGGGCGTCGAGGTCCTGTGGTTAGTTCTGTCGTGGTCGGCCAGAGGGTATTTCGAAAGTTGCGCACACAGGCTAAGCGGCTCGCTAAAAATCTCGGCGCTGCACGTGACGCTATGCTCAACACCCGAGAAAGGAACCACCATGGTCATGGTCAAACAAATGAACTTGATGATGCTCTTCCTGTATTGTGGCTTTAGACGCAGGCCTTGTTCATGATGAGTTATGCAGTATGCATTTTGTCGTCTTTTAGCTAGGCGTCATTACGGCCGCTGAACGGAGGCCACTGATGGGTACTGCAGCTATTTCCTGAACATGTCCATCTTCACAAGTGTGCTTGCACAGATGCTCAGTCTCATAGAGGGAGAATAGCACTCGGTGTTCTGGGGCATGTTGCTGCAGCGTGTCGAGGACTTCCCAGGGATCATAGACACCATGTGCCTGGAGCCAGCAAACCTCAACTTCTCACTAGAATTCCCATCACAAAGGCTATTGGACTTGAAACACTTCACAAGAGATCACAGGCAAGTATGTTGTAAGCTCTGAGGTTCGTAGGTATGTGTTGACATTGTTTCCCGATATCATTGCCACCGTCACGACTCCTGCCTCGCCACTGCGCATCCATGCGCTGCTATCTAATCATCTCTTCAACATCATGACAACTCTCATGATTCGCTCTACTTCTAACTGTACGCCTCCATTCGGCTTACGAAGCCACTTCGAGGCATCTCGAATCTTCTTCCTCTAAGCACTCTCGGCCGCAGCGCTGGTGGCTGTGCCTATCATACGAACATTGCCCTCACGCCAGCCTTGCTTCTTCCGTCTGGCCTCCTCTTCTGCTACGATGACGTGCGACACATGGGCTATCAGTAGCCTCTTTCTAGCCGCCAGTCGGGTTGGACCGAACAGTCCTCACGTGAGGGTTCGTCCTTAACCATTGCCCCCACGGTGGGAGTGCAGTGCGACTTGCACACGGGACGACCTATCTCTAGCCTCTTACTAGAGGGAGGAAGGAGGGTCGTGTTGAAGATGGTAGGTGAATAGGCCAGTAAGTGCTGTGTTGAAACTCCGAGCTCTTTCTGTGCACATGTCTACGAGCCCAATCAAGTCCTGACAGCAGTGTGACACTGATCATATTGACTCTGGCAGAACTTCTCGTAGTCAGGGAAGCTGATGTAACCATCTGAGACGGCGTTAGTTACAATTCCAAAGCTCACTATTGTCATGGAGTGATGCTTACCCTGCTGCCTGTACTGGGTGACGTATCGGTCACTCTCGCTCCTCCACACCACAGGTCGTTCCATGGAGTAACTCGAGTGCATCCTTGACTCGGGCGAGGCCATTGGTGACGGGATCTCGCCTCTTGGTGTTGTTGGCGATGAGGCTACCTTTGCGAGCAGGACGGAAGCCTTGGTTGGGCTGCTTGACGAGGTTGCTGATCCGGCAGAGTCCCTTCGAGAGGCAACGGGAGCATGTGTTGTGATGCAAGGCGAAGAAACAGTCGAAGGTGACAGAGCAGGACGGCGACTGCCTGATCTTGATCGTTTGGGTGCTTCGGTGGGAAGCGAGTAGTAGTAAGTGCCGTAGCCTGACATGGTGAATGTGTTGTGATGTTGCGTATACGGTTTTCGAGTCGGACAATTGGTTTTGAAGTACGTGTTGCGATGACGAAGTTACTTGTGCGACTTGGAGGCGGGTAAGGTAGTAATAATGAGTCTCGGTGACCGCCCAGACGCTATTCACCCCATACTACCGACACTCACGCTTCTGCATGATCCAGGCACCCCTGCCACGCCAACTGTATCAGTAGCCCCACTCCACGTCTCTTGCATAGAAAACGCACGCCGCCAGAAAACGTGGGCCGTTTAGAACAAAAGTTACAGGGAGCTGTGCGTTGTCATCCGTTCACTCGTCCTGACTCGTCCTCAACACGCACAAGACCTCACCTCCGTTCCATTAGACTGTGCTTTCGCTGCAGGTGTGAGCTGGCCGCCTCAGGTTCGAGACAGCTACCGCTCTGCTATCAGGTAATCGGTGGCACTGGAAAGTGCTCTTCCATCGAATGCGCTGACGGTGTGGCCGGCAGGCGTTGCGCGTTTAATTCCAAGGTTTGTCGGAAGGGCGGGTGCTGAAGCGGCATCGAATCGGCGGAAGGATGCCCGATCGCATGGACCTCACCGTCATGGCTGCGTGGTGATGACAAGACAAGCCACGTTTTGCGGATCTGGGAATTGGCGGGTGTTCCTTGTTATGCCTTGGAAGCGGAAGCCCTGAAGAGGTTCATCTCCACCACTTTGTTGCCATGTCTGCTATCGATAGCCTTGAACACGCTCTTTGTGCGAGTCTGACCACACTTACGGGTGACAGCCTGACAGGCGTTGCTTGCAACAGCCTCATTCTTCTTCTTCACAGCCCTGTGGCGATATCACGCCGGCTGATGCCTCTATTTTGACCGGTTATGCATTTTGCACATCACGGAGCTGGACGTTGGAGTCGAGAACGCACTGCGACAAGGGCATCCCTTCGACATTCGGGAGATTTACTGTGATCCGGTTGGAGCATAAGAACACGAGACGGTCCGGCACCTCTTTACGACGTCGTGTGCTCACCTTTCGCGTGTTTCTCCAGCGTGATGGGCACAAGTATCTTTATCGATGACATATCTCACACTGACGTCCGGCAGTGGCTTCCTGCTACACGTTGTGACGGTTGAAGAACGGCCACGTCCGTCGATGTACCCCTCCACACTGTGCACCTCATTCGGATGGGCGAACACGATGAGACACATCCACATCAAGCATTTGTTGTATAATGGGTCCTGATCTGGAACACTGTCTATCTCCACTTTCACGTCAGCCCAACGCAGCTCAGCTGAACGGTATTCTTCACGCTGAATGGATTGGATGCTCCTCCGCGACTCCGCTCTGTAACTCTCACTAGGCTACTAGCATGGTAACCTTCAGCTGCAATCAGCAACATTTTAAGTTTCACGTTCAGAATTCTTCACCGACAAGACAAAGAAGTCCTCCGCTCGTCTTCTCCATCGTTCAACCCCACTCGCTTGAAGGTTCCAGCCTTCCGCTTCCCCACCAAGCGCTTGTCTTCCACGAAGACAGCCAACCAAAATTCAAGAATCACATCGCACCTTGTCAGGCGAGCACTGCAACTGTGGGATCTTCATTTAACAAATGCATCACAGTTGCACTTGATCGGTCTACCAGGTTTTATACACACGCTGCATAGTGCTACGTCTGCAGTCAATCCGGATTGGGACACAAGTGCAGGGTTTCAATATGCCATGCTGCCCAGTGCTGCGATTTTAGCCACCACCAGTGTGCATGTATAGGCACGCGCTACAGGTACCTGGCCCGGGGAGCGGGTACCTGTAAGGATAACCTGTCCCGTCCATCGTCATAGCCGCGGCCGTTAAACAGATCAACACCCACCATCGATATTAATATCGAAAGGAAGTCAATCAGGCCTTCCGGCCCTTCAAAGAATGTCTTGAAGAGGTCTGAGAGGAGTGGCACACTCCGGCACGATTTTCGTATCCCAACAATTCAGAGCGTTGTTGCCCCTCATCATCCCACCATCAGCGACTCGAGATGCCCCAACACCACACACATGCATATTCTCCGCAAATCCTAAGTTCCAGACACGCTTCATGGCAGATCTCGCGCCGATCCTACCCGAGCTCCAAACAACACATACATCATTCCATTTGCGAATGCTTCTGTTTTCCCTTCTGTTGGTCTACCGAAATATACCCACACCAGTATACCCGCCACAATTACCGGATTGCGCACGTGCAACAGCATTCCCACTCACCGCAGAGAATACTTTCCGATAACCGTTTCGAAAGAATTTCTCCCTTCTAGAACCGAGAGTTTTTCCGTCTTGTAACAGACCGTCTTTATCTCATGAAGATTGCGTACGCTAAGTGGGTCCTCAGTATTTCCTTGCTTACCGCTCCTTTCGCTCCTCCAAAACAAGGCGGTGTACCTTAGTCACTTCGTACCTAGTCACGCTCAGAGCCCAATCCAAGCGGGCTTCATGTCGGAGCGGGCCGCGAGCACGTTCGCAGGTTGTTGCCGACGTCGGGAATACCCCTCCATCTGTGACTCCGTTTCTATGGCATTGTGTGCTTTGCTGGCAGTACGAGAAGTCATGTGGCGCCTGCACATGCACATGGCGATATGGGTGTCGCGGGTAAGGCGCGTTGATGTGCTAGGTGTACTCCTGCACGATGCGCAGGTTGCTGTAGGTACATGCGATTGCGTACGTGTTGTGTGTTGTTATGATGGAGACAGGAGAATGCAGGTAAACATTTGCATAGTGAGTGGGAAGTGTGCTGCAGTCGAACTCACGGAGGACCGACTGTGTGTAGCAAATATTGGTATCGTAGCAGTCAAAGTACCAGACATCTGATGGAAGGGTGGCCGGGCCGTACGGATCACTCTCAGCAGGCTGATCGGATCTACTATGGTCAGCATCGGGCCGCCTATATCGACTCTCATATACAGCGAGTCGTCAGTGGCTGGTAAGGTGACCCGGTGCTGAGGTTGACACGGGAAGATCACGCAGATAGCGGCATCATGAGCGATTCCAAAACGTATAGAAGCTGATTGGCTTGTTGAGTTCAGGTTGCATTGTTCTATGTGTGTTGCTGGAGGATTGGTCCTTCTGCAATCGTATGTCGCACAGCTGTGCCCACTGCAGTACATCAGAGTAGATTGCGGGGCCTCTCTGTGGTGCAGAGCGATCAGATGATGCGTCTTCCATAGCTTGCATCTTACTTACCAAATCGCAGGGCTCGCTCAGTGCTACAGTCACAGTCAGCTTGTCCAGACCTTTGGGGTTGCCGAGAAGTATACGTACATCGATGTCTTCCCAGCCGCGACCCTTGACATTTGCCAGTTCTTCCATGGACATGACAGTACCCGTAGTAAAGTAACCAGCCTGGATCTTGGCATCGATCTCGACGCGGCTGTCCGCTGGGATCATCTCGTCAGGGATGGGAACGCGCTCGTGGATGGGGATGCCTTGGTCGACGATGGCATCGTGCTTCATGCTATACTGTTGTTAGCTGCCGACTGACCGAAACAGCGGAGGAAGGAGATTTACTTAGACATCGACAACATCCTGTCAATCTTAGTGATACCGAGCCAATGGAGGATCTGTGATGTTGTCAGCGAAGTCATTCGCGAACCCGCACTCCATTGTAGGATTGGATGGGGGTGGAGACTCACATCAGGCATGAGCGCCTGGAAACGCATATCCTTGACTCCAGCAATGTTCTCTGTTCGCTTGAAGTACTCGCTTGCCCTGTCTTCTCCGCGTTTTCGTGCATTGTATACAAGGTACTTAGTGACCTCACCAAGCGCACGGCCTTCTTTGCGGAAGTAGATGACAACACCACTACCACCTTGCTGAGCCTCCTTCACTGCTTCTTCAATTCCGAAGGTGAGGTATGGACGGCATGTGCAGATGTCAGACCCGAAGACATCACTGCCGTTACATTCGTCGTGGACACGGAGTGCAAGACGGACGTTCGGGTCTGACATCTTTGCTGGATCGCCGAAGATGTAGACAGTGAGACCGCCAATGGGAGGGAGGAAGAGCTTAATATCGTGACGTGTGATCAGTTCGGGGTATGAGCCACCCGTCTCTTCGAACAGTGTTCGCCTGAGTGTGCCCTCATCTGCGGTGTTATCAGTACGATAAGTTCGAAAATAGCATTGTGGAGTATACGCACCAATACCGAAACGCTCGGCGACACCAGGCAGGTACCACACAGGCTCAACAGCCACTTTAGTCACTGCGACTTCACCAGTCTCGTTAATACAGATCTTGCCATCAGGTACGAGTCGGCCCTTCTTTACACTTTCTTCCATCTCCGGCAACTTCATGTGCGCTCGAGTGATAGCAATGGTAGGCCTGATCTCGACATCCTCCTTATCCATGGTCTCCTTGTACAACCACGGCGCAAGATGACCGTATGGATCCATTGCGACGATCTTCCTCTTGTCGTTCCATTGTGGGAAGGGACCGATGTTGGCAGCTGGCTCGGTGTTTGTGAAGTCTGGCTTGTGTGTGATGTCGAGGTTCTTGCTGGCTACAGCAAGCGCATTGTAGATCGAGTATGAACCTCCATGAGCTCCGATGGCTGTGGTTTATTAATACGATACATCCTAAACTGAATATGGAAGCAGACTCAACATACCGTTACGCCGGCGAATGGTGTTGTTGTGCCTCGAAACAACGACTGGACCGCGAACAGCAGGGTCTTTGGCACCCCACTCCATAGGCAATGGGTCGACACCAGATTGACCAGGGTACGAAGTCAAAATGATCTTTGAGGTCTTTGAAACACTTACTCGACGAGGGGGTGCTTCAGCATTGAGAGACGTTGGCTTATACAGCTGGCTAACAGCTTCTACGGTTTGCGCTGAGTCGGCCTCCTTTGCCTTCTCCTTGCTCAAAGTGCCGTTCGCAGCTTCAGAAGCTGCCTCGTCCTTCACCTGCTTGACACCAGCCAGCACGTTCACGCGGCCATTGATCTTATCAATCGCAGATGCTAGTTGAGAGTTCTCCAGGCGCATTGCCTTTAGTTCCTCCAAGATCCCCTTGAGCACAGCATTGTCTGCACTGCTTTCGGTTGACATCGTGACAAGCTCAGTATGAGATACTTCCAAACAAGACTGGACAATGAGTTTGAGCACCAGGACCTAAGATTAGGAGATGTTCGTTATGTTGGCCGCCTGGAAGCTGGGGACAAAGCTTCGGCAGCTACCGGCGTAGTACGAATGCGGGGAAGGAAGGATGATCTCGAGGTTAAACAGTAAGACGAATAGGTGAAAGAGCCTTGTATTGTTTGAAGCCTGCTCGAACGTAGTGAAACGTTGAAGTAGACTCGAGGAGAAGAGAGGAAGAAAGAGAAACAGACAGGAGACGTGGACGACAACGAAGCTCAAGACAGCTGACTATCGTCCGCAGCTAGCTGTTGCCAATCAGAGGTGGGGCTGATAACCCTATCCCGAACGCGCAGGTGCGACGGAGCTCTCCGTCACGCGCCTGGAAATTCGTCGCGACTCGACACCTCGCGCGTCATTGTCGAGAAGTTCAACCACGGCACGAAGTCAACATAGCCGTTGTCAACCACCACAAAGACCCTGGAGTCTCAGTAAATATCGTCGCACACGCGCTCACAACCATAACCACCTCTCACATCCCGCACACAGCTCCAAATGGTGCGTACCGCGCATCTCTCACTTCATCGCATGCGCCCGCTAACCATACCAACAGGGCAAGCGCAAATCCTCAAGCAAGCCGCAGGGCCCCAAGAAGGCATGCCCATCCCTATCGCACCGCGCCGATCCTCGCTAACGACTACACCAGAAGGAGAAGCTGCCAACGACGTTCCAGTGCCTGTTCTGCAACCACGAGAAGTCCGTCTCCGTGTCCATCGAGAAGAAGTCCGGTGTCGGCAATCTGCAGTGCAAGGTTTGTGGGCAGACGTTTCAGACTAACATCAACTGTATGTGGGAATTTCCCTGGGGAGGTAGATTGGGTGCTGATTGGGAACAGATTTATCGGCGCCGGTCGATGTGTATGCCGACTGGATCGATGCTTGCGATGCTGTTGCGAAGGAAGCTGCTGCTGGGCGCGCGACCGAGCGCTCGACGAACCGTACTGGTGCCCTTCCTAAGCCTGTAGACGACGATGATGGCTTTATCGAGAACGACGACCTAGACGCAGAGGGCGACTACGATGGCTGAGAGTATGCGGATGGCACTGTACAACAAGAGAGGTGTTCAAAAGATAGCATGATATGATGTGGGCATGATTGGCATTTACGGCGTTATGGTATACCACGGAGATGGGGTACATGGGTCTTGAGTTCTGAGGTTGGCCTTGGCTACCTGACAAAAGCTTTGCCTACAAGTGGGCTTTCAAGAGATTGAACAAATGGACTGTTTCCAACCATCGCGTTTTGAGTTGTGTGTCATATAGCAAGATATGGCTAAGTCAAGCAGAAACGGGTGCCATATTCAAACCGATCGAATCGAACGATGCACTGTCATGCAAGATAGCTGCTCAGCTCTCTACAAGGTGTAGAAGCGGTCACCGAAGTCACCAAGACCTGGGACAATGTAGCTAAAGGGGGTAGTCAGCAATAGCCGATGTTTGTGATAGGAACACATACTTCTTCTCGTCCAGACCCTGGTCAACGAATGCTGTGACAACCCTGACCTTTGGTACCTGCTCGGCGAACCTCTTCGCACCTTCAGGGCTGGCAATGAGGTTGAGGAAGAGGATGTGTTCCTCAGGCACACCACGCGACTTGAGTACCTCGACAGCCATGAGAGCAGAGCCACCAGTCGCAAGCATAGGATCGAGCAACAAGACCCATCGGTCCGCAATGTCTTCGGGCAGCTTGTCGTAGAAGAGCTTTGGCTTGCTCGTCTCCTCATCCCTCTGGATCAGAATCTTGCCAATTCTGACCGACCTGCAGCAGTCCCTCAAACCCTGCTCCATGGACTCTCCAGCACGCATGATCGAAACACCGCAGATCTTGCCCTCGAACTTGACACCAGCATAAGTCCGCCCCACAGGCGTAGTGATCTCGTGACCTACAACAGGGAGGTGGTTGAGCCCCTCTTCGACTAGTAGACGAATGATTCGGTTCGAGTAGAAGATAAAATCGGCGCGCCCCGTGTTCTTGTCGCGAATCATGCTGTTGATGGTTGAGTGTGATGTTGCTGATACGTGCAAGGGGCCTTACGTTAGCAGCGCTATCAGCTGGGGAGTCTGAGGCAAGATGTGGATGTTTGGCACTTGGTCAAGAGGTTTGGATACAGTTGCTGTCGGCTTCTGAGTAGCCGGGCGGTACTCAGGGCCTACGCATTGCGAAGGTGGTGTCTCGGAGCCGCCCGTCATGATGGTAACTGATGGAGGTGAAGATGTGAGGGGTGAGGAACTTGGTTGTATTAGCACAGTTTGAGTTCCTCAATTGAGTTGCTCGTACACTTGAGCTTGTTGCAATGCCGTGAGTAGTTGAACGTAGAGATGTGGAGATCAGGAAGGCTGGATTCGGTTGTGAACTTGAAGATAGATTCAGCCGCGGCGGCAAGACGACTGAGGAGAAATTCCGTAAGTGGGGCAGTCAATTGGTCTCAAAAGATGTGGTAATTGTAGAGCTGATTTGGACTAATAGATACTGTGTTAAGATAACAGAGAAAGAGGAGAAGCTGTAGTAAGAAGGAGGTCGAAGTCTAGGCTCGTGATCTACCGGCGACCTCCGTGAGATCTTGGAGGCTGAGTGCCTGAGTGAATGAGGAGAATGAGCACACGCATACCGTTCCCGCCATTCACCGCCCGCCATTCTTGGCTAGCGTACCTGCGGGCTCGCGAGCGGGCAGGCGCGGGACCCTGCTTTGCGCCTTTCTCACCACAGGGCACTTGCCGGCTTCGTCATTGTCCGCGGTGAACACAAACCCTCACGCGGTTTCAAGGTAGCGCGATTCACCGCGAACAACAATCGCAGTTGTGTTTGGCCACGCACGCCTCACCTCATGCAGACCTAATTGAGGCACCAGCCTGGTCGCTGCCTCACGTCAACCTTCTCTCCATCACAATGCGCGCTCCCATTTAGATCAACTTCTGTCTCAAAACAACAGCTACAAACGCGTCCATGATGGCGTCCTTCCTGCCATCCACCTTCACCACCGGTGAGAGGCGCAAGAAGGTTATAACATACGGCAAATTGTCGCGTCTTCCATCACGTCGAGCAAGCCTCAACGAAGATGCGCCTTCCCCCGAACGACCGCATAAACATACAGCGGTCTCGGACGGACCACCGGGAGGATTAGGTGGAGTGACGAAGTCTGTACGAGCTCCGGAAAGTGTGCGCGCACCTACAACAAGCTCGGATGTGTTCGATGTGCCCTCCGAAGACGAGTTCGGCTTCCAATCGACGCCACCTGCGAAACGACTCGTGGTACAGCGTGGCAAGACAGAAGGAGGGCCGCGTGCCAATATCGCAAAGGAGACTGCTAGTGTGCCGATTCGCCCAGCCGTGACAACTTCTCGGCCTCCGCAGAAGTCCATAGTCGCAAAACCAGCAGAGAGCAGAACAAGATTGTTGCAGGAGCAGATCAGATCGCAGCGACCGGCGCAAGAGAAACACATACAGCATAAAGTGCTGCCCACGAGCACAACATCGCAGACGAAGGCGTCGCAGGCTACAGAAGCTCGAAGGGAAGCTTCTGCGAGCGGGCAGCGTTTACAACGATCGAACACGTCCTCCAAGAATATATCACGCGCCACGACCCCAGGCCTATCTATAAAGCCTGTTCCGAAGCCTCAATTCGTAAAGACCGCCTCATCAGCAACTTTGAAGAAGACAGCGAGACCTACCGTCGGGCAGCCTGCGAATTTAGACGTATTTGACGTACCGTCAGATGATGAGGAAGCATCCTTGCCGATTCCTGAGGCGCCCCGGCAAACACCTCGCCAAGTGTCGAAAGGCACAGCGAGGCAACATGGAGCTTCAAAGGTCCCATCGTTCGACATATCCCAAAAGATGCCTGTGAAATCGAGTGAGCTTGGAAACTTGCAGAGTCGAAAGCGGAAGGGCTCTGTGTCTCTTGCGACCGCGCCCAAGTCGGTCACTGATCGCCAGCAGGAGACACTGAGAACACAACGGGACCGCAAGGTACCTAAGAGGGAAAATGGAACATCGCCAGCTCATGAGTTGGCAAAAGCGCCAGTTCCTAGTTCAGGGCCACAAGCCGCGACCGTAGAAGCTACTATCAACAAGCCAAGGAGGACGAGAACACGTACAGTGCCAGTCGTTAGTCAACCAGCAATACTGAAAGGCCAGTCCTCCCCAGCTGTGCTGCATAAGATGATACCCGATGAGCACGCCCCCAGCATTCTTCCTGAGGATATAGCATCCGAAATACCTGCATCCGACGACACCATGTACGATATACCAGATTCAATGACAACACCTGTACGCTCGACACCTCTCCGCAGAACCACGACTTCTACCCCTGATTCCGTTACACCCCGTCAGAAGGACCTCTTCAGCACACTGTTAGGAGGCTCGACCGCGCCGAAAACCCCAGCTTCTGCACTCGCCTCTCTGCAGCTGACTGACAAGAAGCCGAGGTCGTTGCTCGGTGCTCTCGCCAGATCAAGATCCGATGTCGCCTACAGCAGCCAGTCACGAAAAACTCGACTGATAGACACACTCAAGGACGAGGACACAAGCTCTGAAGAAGAGGACAGTGGGAGTGATGAAGAGGCCGACAGCACGATAACTGCAACGTACGATGTCGATGAGGACAAAACACCAATGCAAGCGAAGCGCACGATCCTTGAGAGAAACATCGAAGATCTGGATAGGGACAAACCAACCGCAACGGACTCTCAGACATCGCAGATGATCACTGGAGCGGTCACTCGCCCAAAATTAACGTACGCAACCCAGCGGTCCTATCTACAAGAAGCGAACCCGGAAGATGAGTTCCTGATGTCTATGGACCTTGACGATAATTGGAAGATGGACTCACAAACCGTTTCCACTGACGACGAAGACGGACCTACGAGTCAGCCACGAACACATCATGAGCTCAGGAAATATGGGCAGAATACGATGTTCTCGTGGGATATGGAAGAGTCCATCCGCGAAATCTCAGATGAATCTAATAGGAGCGGGCGGCGTAGCGCAATGATGGACTTGTGCACTAAGATGGCTGATGCAGGCTTTGTTAGTCAGCTCCTCGACTCTGGGTTCATGCACAAACTCTTCGAACGCATGACATCTACAGGCGATGTTATCTTCGATTTCATCGTGGCCGTCTCGGTTTTGTTTGTCCTTCAAACGAAGCCTGCCTTTGCTGTTGTAGATCAGATGTACCGTTCCGGCGTTACGACAACCCTGATTAACTTGGTCGACAAAGACGCCGACATGTCGAAGATCGCACGCGATCGCAAGTCCAATATGTCAAAAATAGCACAGGAATCCTTGACCGACTTCCGCACACTAATACTGGCAGCTAAGGTATGGTCGTCAACTACACCAGAGAAGGTGTCACCCCAGCTTCTAGCACTTAAGACGATTGACATCCTCGTCCGAAATCTTCGAGAGTCCGGCAGCACAGAGGCATTGTTAACTCCCGCGGACGTCTCGAAGATTGTCAACGTATGTTCGCTGTCCTCCAAACGCATTGAAGCCTCCAAGTCTTCCGTCCAAGACTGTTTGGCCCTTGAACTGGCAATCTCAACGTTAGAAACCGTGTCTATCGCAGATCAAGACCACTCCACTTGGCCAACCAAGGTCCTTCAACAACTGTCGGAGGCGAGTCCAGTCTTCTTCGGCGACAATGGCCTCTCGAAGACTGTAGAAGCGATGAAGCTTTGCATGAATCTCACCAACAACAAGCCCAAGGCCTGTCAACCATTCTCAACTCAGACCTTCGTACAGTCTCTGATTCGCTTCATCGTTGCTCGTTTCGACCTGCTGCATACTGGCGGATTAGACTCAGAACGTCGGACTCGGGTGTTGGCCGCTTTGACTCTCAGTCTGGGTGCGATGATCAACCTCGCTGAGCTCAGCGACCAGGCACGACTCAACGCCATCAACGACGTAAACTCTATCGAGGTGCTAGTAAAGACCTTTGTGGTGGGCTCAGAACGAGCGGCTGAGGCGAACTCCGTTGAAGAGTCCGAGATCAGTGTAGTGATCGGTTTCCTCACGGTGCTCTTGGGCAACCTGTGCCTCAATAGCACCGTCCGATCTATACTTCGAAGCTCGCTTCCTGGGCAGCAGCTCGATCTGTTGCTGGAGAAGATGAAAGAGTTCGCACTGATTCATGAGCATGTCGACAAGCGAACAGCAAGCCGCTTCGAGGGATCCGAAGGACAGGAAACTCTGAACAATTACTATATACGAATTATGCACGTGGTGAAGAAGTTGGAAAGCGCGAAAGCATAATGGCTGATATTGGTGGTTTGATGCACTGCTGCATGGCAGTCAAACACATGGATTACGAATCTCCTTTGCGTTTCTGGATACTGTTTACAGCATGATACCCAAGGGTTATGGAATTGCAGCGACTGCCGGTATGGGCATTTGATATCACGTACGTGTTCCCCCGAGATATGGTTCAAGAGTATGGTCAGGCCATAGACTATAAACAAGTATTTGGATGTACACAAGTTAGTCAGACTACCTGGAGCCTCCTCGTAAACATATACAGGGCTATCATCGGTCTCATGTATCGCTAGGGCCTGCCTCGCTCCTAGCCGGAGTCCAGATAAGTGTTCCACATAGGCGTGAGCATTTGCCCAAGCACCTCGATATGGCTAGGCATCAACTCCGTACCGTGATACTTATGTGCCCGTGTCACAGTACTGTTCCCGACGGAACACCAACCAGCTAAACAACGCGTCTGCACAATCCTCAACGCAGGATTGTGAGCACATCACAGTGATCCTCAGAAACTTTTCATCACACATGTGATGCTCAGCTCGAGTCGCGCACACAGGTTCGGGAAGGTCAGGACGACGGGGATGTCGGGTAGGGTATTAGCTTCTAGAAGACCCAGAGAACGTGTGGCCGAGAGTCGCTTCTGTTGCTGTCGTGCAGTCCTGACCAGACCCTTTCCACATTGTGCAGATGACGCTAGGCTCGGATGAATTGACATGACGTAAATTGAATGCTTGGGATTGGGCAATCTGGGTAAAGTATCGGCATGCTCGTTAACACATCGCGCCCACATGCTGAAGGTGGTCTGCACTACCGCGGATAGCATGACGGCACAAGGTCGCGGCTGAGGAACTTTTGAGATTCTCTCGAGTGTTTGCAAATAGACTTCACCGTGGCTTTGTTAACTTTCGTTTATCTTGTTGATCTTGTGCGCATGCGGTGACGGCGCAAATAGACCCTTGTTTACTCGGTGCTACCTTCTTCGCCCGCGGACGTCATCCTTAGCTTTCAGGATCGACAGAGTAACGCGCGCCTGGGCATCAGCGTCTCAGCAGCGGACTGAGGTCGTGAAATCTACACGGGCAACCCGCTGAACAACCTCGCAAACAAAACAACAAACACATCACAAAGCCACCAGCAAGATGCCCGCCCCACCAAAGCAGAGGAAGATGGCCATTGTCGGCAGTCGAGCTGTCGGTAAGCATGCGCAGTTGTGAGCTACAACACGCACGCTCTGTAACTTGCCAGCACGGAAGTAACTGACGCGAATTGGTGCAGGCAAGTCGAGTATGACGGTGCAATTCGTCGATGGCCACTTTGTCGATAGCTACTATCCGACTATCGAGAACACGTTCAGCAAGATGATCAAGTGGAAGAATCAGGACTTTGCGACGGAGATTATCGATACTGCTGGCCAGGTACGTGAGGTTTTCTTTTCTCCCCGCTCCCGCTGCAAGCTCCACGCCCCACTTCAGCTCAGAGCTATGCTGCTCCTGCGATTTCAGCGCGCAATGCGTCGCTGCGCGAGGGATATGTTGTCTGGGGCTTTATATGCGAACACTGCTGACATGATCGCTCTCACCAGGACGAGTATAGCATTCTTAACTCGAAGCACTTCATCGGTATCCATGGCTACATGATCGTCTACTCGGTTGCAAGCAAGCAGAGCTTCGAGATGGCGCGCATCATCCGGGACAAGATCCTCAATCACCTCGTGAGTTTCCCTCTCACCAACACTCACCCAAATGCAAGACTCTCCAGACTAACAGCACCTCTTACACAGGCTGTCGACTGGGTCCCAATCGTCATCGTTGGCAACAAATCCGATCTCCGTCCCGAGCAGCGCCAGGTTACCCCTGAAGACGGTAAACAACTTGCCCAAGAGTTCAAGTGCGGCTGGACCGAAGCCAGTGCGCGGTACAACGAGAACGTCGAGAAGGCCTTCCAGCTCTTGATCGAGCAGGTAGAGACTAGCCAGAACCCTGGTGAGCCCACTGGCGGCAAGAGTGGGTGTCAGGTCATGTAAAAGCCATGACTGACAGTCCTTTCCTCTAGGTACACCAATGCAGTCGCGGTTCGGACAGCATGAAGAGTACAATAACAGAGGTTCGGTGAGCACGCAGAGCACGACGAGCAAGAAGAAGGGCTGGAAGAAACATGTGCCAGCGGGCTGTACATCCTCCTGAAGGGCTGTATCGAAGGCTAGACGGTATAGACGGTGGTGGGCTGGGTCGACTGCAAATGCTTCTGGCAACCTCTCTTTGCAGAGGCATAATGGCGTAATGGTGTTTGAGCGGGGGCGCAATGGGTTCTATTCGGTATTCAGGTCTCTTTATCCAAGCTCTGCGATATCGCAGAGGTCAACTCTCAAGACTGCAATGGTTATGAGGCCCACGCGAACTTGTCTTGCATTCCTCCGCTTGGAGTTCCTGCCACCAGAACTTCAGCCCGCACTTCGGCAGCTCCACTCACCGTTCGAGCCCCTTGATCACCGTGCGCGAATGCATCGACCGCCACTTGATTAGGAAGCTGAGAAGCTTTGACGATGAAGATACCGTGATCGATGCTTTCACGTGTGAGAACTCGAAACCTGCTTTTCTGGGAAGGCTGGAGGCTGGAGGCTGGAGGCTGGATGCTGTCGAGCGCTGCGTCGCGCTTCGAGAGAGCAGCCACTCTGCCCCGCCATCGCACAGATCATCCTGGTCCCTGACTCAAGCGCACCACACCACCACATTTGTGTGTCTTTGGGCTGCGACGTCTTGCACACGAGCAATTGAATCAGCACACACCTAGACAAGATGCTTGACGTGTAAGTCTGCCCAGGGTTCGAAGATCCTGGCCCGGAGTATCATTTTGATTCAAAACCATCGTAAACATGCTAACATGGCGGGGTAAACAGCAACGACTTTATCGCAGAACGCGGCGGCGACCCAGAGAAGATCCGCGAGTCGCAGCGCAAACGCCATGCTCCCGTCGAGATTGTAGACGAAGTCATCGAGCTGTTCGAGGACCACCGGAAGACACAGTATGCGGCGACACAGATCGGTTCGCAAATAAACGGGCTGCAGAAGCAGGTCGGGCAGAAGAAGAAGGCCAAGGAGAGCGCAGATGACCTCCTTGCGGAGATGGCGGAGCTGAAGAAGCAGAAGGCGGCCAAGGAAGAGGAGGCTGCTGAAAAGCTGGTCAAGCTCAACATCAAGGCCAAGTCGGTTGGCAACTACGTGCACAAGGATGTTCCTGTGTCTGGCACCGAGGACGACAACGCTGTCGTGAAGACATGGGCTCCTGAGAACAGGAAAGCAGAGTTCAAGAGCGACGGTATCCCACACCACGGCGTCCTCACAAGACTGAACGGCTACGACCCCGAGCGCGGCGTGAAGATTGTCGGACACAGGGGCTACTGCTTGACCGGCTACGGTCTCTTCCTCAACCTCGCCCTCATCAACTACGGTCTCGAGTTCCTCTTCAACAAGGGCTACACACCCAACCAGCCGCCCTTCTTCATGCTCCGCGACCAAATGGCCAAGACAGCGCAACTCTCCGACTTCGACGACGAGCTGTACAAGGTCACCGAGAGCAAGGACAAGCCCGAGACAGACAAGTACCTCATCGCCACCTCGGAACAACCCATCAGCGCCCTGCACTCCGAGGAGTGGCTCGGCACCGCCGACCTGCCTATCAAGTACGCTGGGTACTCGACCAATTTCAGGAAGGAGGCTGGCTCGCACGGAAAGGATGCGTGGGGTATCTTTAGGATACACCAGTTTGAGAAGGTGGAGCAGTTCATCATCACGCACCCCGAGAAGTCGTGGGAGGCGTTCGATAGCATGCTTGCTACGTCTGAGGAGTTCTACCAGAGCCTCGGTTTGCCGTACCAGGTGATCAACATCGTCAGTGGAGCGCTGAGTAAGTTTTGTGATTCTGAAGAAGGGAAGATTGGAGCTAATACTTGCGTGCAGACAACGCGGCGTCCATGAAGCGTGATCTCGAGGCCTGGTTCCCCGTCACTGGTGGCGGCGAGTACAAGGAACTCGTGTCCATCTCCAACTGCACAGACTACCAGACGCGCGAGCTCGAGATCCGATTCGGCGTCAAGAAGCAGACTGCTACTCGCAAGGAGTACGTTCACGCTTTGAACGGCACACGTACGTTTCCCCTTCTCTCTTCCCCACCCCTCTTTTTCTTTCAGCATTATAGTCTGGAATGAACTGTATTTGCTGATACTGAACAGTCTGCGCAACCGAACGCACACTTTGCTGCATCCTCGAGAACTACCAGACCCCCGAGGGTTTCAATGTCCCCGAGGTGCTACGCAAATACATCCCCGGCCAGCCCGAGTTCTTGCCGTTCGTCAAGGAGTGGAAGCCCAGCAAGGACGAGACGAAGACCCCGATCCCGGATAGGACGAAATGAATCAACGATTTCGAGGAAGATTCCGTCGAAGATTCTGATGAAACATCCGATAATCATTCTACATCAGTGGAGAAGAAATTGAACGCGTTGGGGAAGGCGATGGGTGATGAGGTCGACCGACATATCAGGAGATATTCCGTGTGCCAAATGGGAACAACAAGTCAGGTTGATCCCAAAATCGCTATGAATAGGGCGAGGTTAGATCGTATCAAATGAACATGATCCTCACATGAAACATCACAGTTCTGCTGGTCTTTTGTTCTTGAAAATTAACAACTGATCTGGATGGTCTCCAGCAAACAAGGCTCGCAGGAACGCAGCCCGGTCAGGACTCAAATCAGACCTGACCAGGCGCTTTCCCACACGACTTCATTTCGAGTTGTTCTTGTGTTCTCTAACTACCAATCGATGATCACAAGCATAACCAAGCCTTGTCAATAGTACCACTGTAGCACGCGCCGCAGATATAAGGCACATTAGCCTTGCCATAACCTTACGATCGTTATTCTGCAACACCAACATATGCTGTAAACAGACATCTGAGGTGCGCGGTCAAGGACTTACGGCTACCTACCGAACACCTCCTAAAACTGGCTTTGCGGAGTAAGCGGAGTAGCGTAGGTCAGAATGCTGCATTCAGTGATACGATTACCTTAACTGACAAAGGAGTCCATCTTGAATCTGCTAGTTCTACTTCAACTGCACCTTTTGCAATACAAGATCTTCTCTCAAAATACTCACCCACTCCCTCATCGCCCTGTTCCTAAACACCCCTCCTCCGCCCAAGACTCCCCCAATGCTCCATCATCGCCTCCCAACTCGCACACAACGCCTCCTCAACCCTCAACATCACCGCGCTAAACCACGTCTACATGGGTTCGACCCCAGCAACGTACGAATAAACAACGAACCCTCCTACATCCGTCCGCAGTCCAACGCCGCCGACACAGAAACATTGGTCTGGCTCGACACCGCGGAATCCAACACCACGCATCTCGGCCAGACGGTGCGCATGTGCCATAACTTCGTGCCGCTGCAGGTTGGCCGGAATTTGACACGGAGTAAAGAGATGCTGGAGAAGAGCGTGGGCGGTACGGGGGGATTGTAGGAGTATGGTCAGCGAAGCGTGCTGAAGCCGGTTGCAGGCGCAGTATTTGAACGCGGCGAGCGGGGAAAGGAGTGAGTATAGCGTGTTTAGGGAGACGAATAACACAGTGCCGTGGGAGTGTGAGGGGAGTGGAATGGTGAAACCGGTTAGTCGTCGTAAGTCGTGGCTTCCTCCCCTTCTTATTGTTGCTTCTGATTGTGATTGTGATGTGGTGGGGAGAGGAAGCTGACGCAACACAGCTAACCCAGACTTCAACGCGAGTCTAGCAGGCCACTTCGGTCACCCATCTGCCCCTGATAGCCAACAACTCCACCGCCCTCCTCGAAGACCCGCTCACCTGCGGCGTGCGCAACTTCAGCCGCGAGTTCGGCACGTTCGCATCGGTTCAGAACTACGATTTCGGAACGAACTTCCCATTGATGGATATCATGACCTTCTTTCCGACGATCGAGCAGGGACGCACGTTCAGAGAAGACATGCCAAGGGTTCAGATTGCATGTCTCGTGCCGGGGCAGGTGACGGAGGGGGGTAGAGAGAAGGCGAGTGTGCAGAGTGTGTTGGAGAGGTATAATAGTATGGGTGGTAATCGAACGGGTGGGGCTCAAGCTATAGATGGGCTGTCGACGTGGAGGCTGTTCGCTTGGGTGGTCTGTATGAGTCTCGTGTTCGCGGTCTAAGCGTGGTGATGGGAATGTGCTGGTCTGGGTTTCGGTGAGAGTTGTTCAAACGCAGTGCGAAGGTCGACTCGCTGCTTTCGCTGATGCTCTCGTGATCGTGAGTCCGGGCCTGTTGCGCTTCTTAGCCATCGAATATCATTTTGGCATCCAATAATATCGAATAGAAACCTCTCATTGCAGAAGAATGATAACCGTACTCTTTTTCATTTGCACACGTCATGCAGATGCTCTAATTCTGATGCATCCCTCATTGTCGTCCCATATAGTACAGTCCATCTCTTGGCACCCTTATCATACACTCTCCTCATTTCTTGTAGCGCACAGCATTGCGCCATGCCTCTCCCGCCGTCATTCTCCAACTCAAAGCTCTACTGCCTCAGCCTCTCCAACTCCCTCAGAACAACAATGTTCGCATCTAAGAAACGATCGACGCACTGCCTCATGCATGGCTCCTCGTACTTGTCCAGCTTGCCGTTCTTGATCGTGCCGGCAGGGATGCACTTGCGGAAACATGTGTCTGTCAAGCTGTGGATCGCTGTTCAAACATCAGCATATGAGCATTCAAGAGCACAAATGGAAACAAGTGTATGGCGGTTGCTTGCAGGAAAGGAAGGGATGGTGGGAGCGTTCTGAAGGTATGGGCACGTACAAGACTGAATGCGCGCCTTTTGTCCCTCGTTGATGGCAAACTGTTGCAGTTGCTGCTTGTCGGCGTCGCTGAGCCTGGTGACGTCTACATTCGCGAGGCCGCCGCCGAGTCCGTCCATTTTGATTATGTATGAGACCGGGTTGAATTGGACGGGTATAAAAAGGCGAGTGATTGGGCGTTGAGGCACGTGGGAAGCGGCGTATGTGGATGCGTAGTGATGGCGGAAAGTTTCTTGGATGATGATGAAGCTCAACTAATTCGGTGGCCTGTGCTCGGTTTGATATCCGCGACTATCATGGTAGGACTTCTACAACATTCATGTTCTGGTGTCAGATACAAGTGCTCGTACAAGGAACCAGCAAAATCTGTTAAATGCCCTCTAAGGCTGCGGTACTGGAAAATTTGTTCGTTGAGGTCCATGCAGGCCGTACCTTACCTAAGCTTATCATGGGACGCAAGAGCAGGAAGATGTTACAACTATACGAAATGCAATCTCTGCTCAGATCGATCGTCTCCCGAACAAGTCGCCTATTCGGCATGGGTTGAGGGCGTTTTTCGAGGGTGCCGGGGTAAGAAGTAAACATGTAACATCACAGAAGCCCAAAGAGTGCACGTCATGAACTGTGAAGGGGTATCGCATTTGCAGTAACACATTTGAAGGTCGCGCGCACACTTGTAGTGGCGTCATGCTGAATTGATTCATTCGAGTCGCCGTGACTACGTGCCCGTGAACGCCAGGCATAACACATCGCTTTTTTCCATAGCTGGGTATCCCAGGTCCATTCATTCCCATGCACCAAAATTCGCTTAAACGAGGTTGAGCTTGGTGGCAGCAATGTCGAGAGCGTCGACATCAGCAGTCAGGCGGGCGAAAGCCTTCTTGGAGCCGTCGGGGCGGATGAGAGTGTTGATCTTGATGCAAGAGACGTCGTACTGCTTCTTGAGGGCAGCGGCGATCTGGCGCTTGTTGGCCTTAACGTCGACGATAAAGACGAGGGTGTTGTTCTCCTCGATCTGAGCTCGGATTAGCGGCTGTCTCCTAACTTTTCAGATGCTTTCCAATTACCTTCTTCATGGCAGACTCGGTGTTAAGAGGATGGATCAGGATGGTCGAGGCATCCATGCGAGGGGCATGGGGGATCGACTTGCGGGGGTACTTGGGAGCACGAGACAGCTCAAGAGTCTTGGGCTGGTGGAAGCTGGTGCTCTTCCTGATGGCGCGCTTCTTGTTCGCGTACGACTGTCATCTCGTTAATTGTGTCCGACACACGAGAAGAACAGCCCGCCAGAGATTGGTTCTGGCACGACTTAAGAAGTTCAAGGGGTTCTTACACCGCGAAGGGCAGCCTTAGCGGCGGCATTGGCCTGCTTGCCGGTCTTGGTGGCGGCTGCGATATGTTAGCCATGTTCTTGAATTTGGAGAGGTTCGTCGAGGGGCTGATCGAGACGCATTCGCTGCATTGCAGTACGGTACCAGGCTTCCTGCTGCTGCCGTGTTGTGCAAAATCTTCGCAATGCGCGTGCTCGTGGCTCGATCGATCGCCGGCGACTGAGGCGGGACGTACTCTTGGATGCTGCCTTGGGAGCCATTTCGACGATGTGTTGCTGTGGTTAGTGACGAAGCGCGAGGGAAAAGTCAAAAGGGAACTTTCAATATCGATGAGTGGTGTGCGGTAAGCGAATCTAGTGGCGTTTAGTGCACCGTGCGTCGACCACCTCTGCAAGCCAGCGTTCTTTCGTCCATGAACACCAAGACATGTGATCACCAATCTTGTGAACACCATGGCCGTGAAGAAGCGCCAGAAAGCGCTGGCGAGCGGCAGGCCACCCGTCAGCAGACCCAAGGAGCGCATGAGTGCGCAGCAATCCCGGACCATCATTCGCACGCATCACCGATTACACAAACAGCTTGCTGCAGCGCAGAAGACCGGGGATGAGATGAAAGCTAAAGAGCTAGAAGCTGCAATCGAGAACAATGGTGGCATTGCCGCATACCAAGCAGCAAGCAAGCAAGGGCAGGCCAACGACCGCGGCGGCGATTCCAGCAAAGTACTCGTAGACTGGTTGGTCGAACTTGGTGTCATCGATCGCAAAGCTCGAGGACAGAATTCGACAAAGCAGGTGCCCCTGAGGTGTCTCGAAGTAGGCGCTCTATCAACAACAAATGCAATCTCGAAATTTCCCACCCTCATCGAAATGACAAGAATCGATCTGAACAGCCAAGGTCCTGGTATCGAGAAACAGGATTTCATGAAACGCCCACTACCCAAGTCTGATCAAGAGCGGTTCGACATTCTTTCCTTATCGCTGGTTCTCAACTATGTTCCAGACGCAATTGGCCGTGGAGCGATGCTTCACCAGATCATCCAATTCTTAAAATCAAAGAAAGGTTATGCCGCAGACAACGAGAGCCTGCCATTGTTGTTCTTTGTCTTGCCTCTTCCGTGCATTGATAACTCCAGATACATCGATGAGCCGCGGTTACTGGGGATCATGGACAGCCTTGGTCTCGTCCTTGCGAAGAAGAGAATGACAGCGAAGCTATGCTACTACCTGCTTCGATGGACAGGAACTGTACGGCGGACTCGGTTCGAGAAGAAACAGATAAGAGACAAGGCAGGGATGAATAACTTCTCGATCGAAGTATAACTATATCCACTCGCGTAATCCCCTGCTCAATGGAAGGAGCGAATGCGAGCGAAAGTAGAGGAGCCTAATCTCGCTCGTCTTTGAAGAGCCAGTCAATGATTACGAAGTTAAGAAGAAGGGCTGTTTGTGATTGTCAGAGGAGCTATGGTGCCCAGTCGGTTTCGTTGGCATGAATGGTAGTGTATATGGGACGTTAAGAGGCTACGCTCACTCTTCACTTTCCACTCACTTTCAACGGCACCTACCCAAGCTGTAAGCAGTAGACACGACTGAACTCTAGCCTCTTCAATCTCGAATCACATCGGTTCTAATGGAGGACATGACCCCTGGTGGCGAGAAGATGGCAAATGAACGCATCTTAAGGACGAGTCGCCCGGTCGTTGGCTTGCGAGTATGCGATAGCACCAGTCGCCACTCACACCTCGCCGCTGCATGCGCACGCAACGTCAAGCAGGTGGCTACAGGTCACCCTCATACTCTCAACTGGCGCGAACCTGTCTCGTACGAGCACAACGTCGACGTCAATCGATTGCACGAAGGAGAGTAGATCATTTACTCGCCAATCTGCCGAGCCTCCAGACCATCGCGTTGCTAGGTTTCAAACGCCAACAATTGCGTGCGGCTCGGGGAAGTCAGGCACGTTGCACAAGACAAGCTCATGCCTGCGAGTGCAATCATCCTCAGACGTTGGATTACACTTTACTCCAGATTACCACATCTTGCCAGTGAGCAATGAGCATACTGTGCTCGGCAGCTTCGGTCCCGTCCCGATCGTTCGTGCTTTCGTCTCCACACTGGAACTTGTCAAAACAAATCCCGACAAACCTGTTCACCCCCGATTGCGGAATGTCAGTCGCGGCGTTATTTCGCTGCACGTTATATCCGGAGGTGCTACAAAGTCGCAATCTTGAAACCTCAATCCCGAGGGATAATCGACCATCTTCAGAGCAGCACGTCGCGCACGCAGCAAGACGCTTCAGAAATAGTAACACACGATTCATAAGTTCAGCCACTGCATTGTGTCAGTGTTTGGTGTTCCTCAAGCACGTTTTGGTGTTCGCACGCAAGATGGAAGGATCAAATGAGTTCCCGCCTCATCATTTCGCCAACGTTTGATCTCCACTTAGCGCATCTACACCCTGAATACTCATCAGAAAATCCTGTGGAACTCATCTCACTAAGCTTTTCGCAAATGTCCACAGCGTGAGCCTAGACCTGGGGTCCTCGAAAGCAGCTCGTGCGGTTGGGGCATCCTGCATGTCTGCAGCCGTGCCGCTCCCGCCGTTTGACGTGGTGACAGTGAGCTCATTTACTTCCGAGCAAATTTCCACGCAATGTTGGGTTCTACTACATGTGGCAAGGTAGACGAGATTTTGTACCAGGGTTGCGAAGGGCTTTATGTATTGAGGCTGCCACTTGAGAAACACCTTACGAGCTTCCGGTCTCTCCCACCACAGTCACTCATTTTCGCAAGCCTAGTGCTGCTGCCACTCGTTTGATACGATCCACTACAGTCATTACTATCACTGCTATCACGGAGTACCGAAGACGTTCCATATACCCAAAAACGATCAACTTGACATAAGCTTAAATCAACATGAAGTCGACAATCTTCTCCATCATCCCCCTTGTGGGCTTTGCCCTCGCCCAGGAAGGCTGCACTAGGCGAACTGTCACCAAGACTGAGACAGAGAAGACATACGTCACAGTCCAGCCCAGCCCTGTGCCCAGCGATATCACTATCACCAGCACAATCGACATCACCACAACCATCACTGTCCGCCCTTCGTCTTCAATTAAGGCAACAACGACCGGTCTCCACTGGGGAAGCTACGCCAACGGAACCTACAACAACCATACTGGTCGCCCTCAGCCAACCCTCTCCTCTGTCTCCCTCGACTACACACTCTCTACCGTCACTGAGACACCTGCGCCCACGTACGCTCCTGGACAGGGCTACGGCTCGTCCAGTGAGACCAGCGAGGCTGCCATCCCTACCTCTGAGACTCCTGCTGTAGCTGAGTTTTCCTCTGTCTACGAGGCTCCTGCTGCCTCTTCCACCGTCAGTGCCGTTGATGCCCAGGCTACATCCGCTGCCGGCTCCAAGCGTGGTCAAGCTACCTTCTACGGCGGCAATACCGACGGAGGCAAGTGCTCGTAAGTCTTACATTGATGAAGTTGGTGACAATGACTAACTTCCGAATCGATTTTCTGGCTATACCATACCATCTTCTCTCTTCGGCACCGCCCTCTCTGACTCCAACTGGTCCAACTCCGACAACTGCGGAGCCTGCGTCAGCGTCAGCGGCCCCTCCGGCAACAAGATCACTGCCATGATCGTCGATGAGTGCCCCGGCTGTGGCACCAACCACCTCGACCTGTTCGAAGCCGGTTTTACCAAGCTTGCTGACAAAGCCGAGGGTGTGATCTCCATCAGCTGGGATATCGTGCCCTGCGGCATCACCTCGCCCATCGTGCTCAAGAACAAGGAAGGCACCAGCGCCTACTGGTTCAGCATGCAGGTCCAGAACGCTAATGTTGCTGTTGCGTCGCTTGAGGTTTCGACTGATGATGGCAAGACGTGGCAGCAGACGCAGCGCCAGGAGTACAACTACTTTGAGAACTCGGCTGGTTATGGAACGGAGACTGTGGATGTCAAGGTTACGAGCACCAGCGGCGAGAGCATTGTTGTCAAGGATGTCAGCATTGCGCCAAAGAGCACGAAGACTGCCGCTAGCAACTTCTCGTAGATGGTGAGAGGACGGGGAAACGCTAGGCATGGGTTTTTATGATGGTTTCTTCTTGATGATGGACCGATGATTTGGATGTTTCACTTCTATCAAGCTTAGTTGATTCGCTTCTTTTTGGATACTTCTACTTTTGCCGCTAGGTCGGATTTCATTCAATGCAAATATTTGCACTTCACTCAGTCAAAACCTTGAAGGCGGTTGAGAAGTTGTTTGACTTGAATTCAACATGTCAGACGTCTACTCGGAACAATTTTGTGGCCTCTCATGGATCTTTCAGCACTGGCTCGTAGGAGTTGACTATCTGACCTCAACTACCTCTTCCTCGGCACCTTCGGCGCCGGCAGGTTGTCCCTCCTCCTAATCCTGACTCTCACATCGCTTTTCGGTACCTTGACACTCGCCGCATCTAGCGCCTTGGGAAGAACCCACTCACCCGTCTTCTTCTCTTCTCCGTCCTTTTCCACTCGGCTATTACTCTTGTTCACCTTCCCATCGCTGTCCAGAGCGGCAGCACCAGCGTGCACTTCATCACGGACCTCGATCATCTTCTCTATAAACGTCTTTTTTGGTGCTGGGCTGATCTCCCACAACTGGACGATACCTGCTATGATAGAAACTAGCAGCGCGGTTTTGTATTGCTCCGAGGTGTCCGCTGTGGAAACAATGGAAGGGCCAGGTGCGGACTTGACAAAGCGGTCTGGCTTGAACGTTTCAGGCGAAGCGAAGTTTGCGGACGAGTTGTTGATCAGGCTTCTTGAGAGACCAAGGTCAATGTGTGAGCCGGCCTCGAGTTCCCACTGCTCCTGAACGCCAGGACGTAGACTCTTCTCATCCAGAACTGTGGGCTTGCCAATGGTGTACAAAGTAGCTGAGGAGTTGTAGAGGCGCCGAGCTTCGTTGATGCAAGAGTGTAGGTATGGAAAGGGCGTCGGGCTCTGAAACTGAGCGGGTGAGGTATATGAGATCTCGGGTGGTGCAGGGAACAAGGGGTGGATTGATGGGGGCTGGATGGCTTGCGCCCACGATTTTGTCTCCTCTTTGATCTTTGCGAAAGGTGTCGCTTGGTCGCTCTGCGCTAGCGGCCAGGTCGAGGAGAAGTACACCTGGAGCAAAGTCCAGAAAGCGAGAGGGACGACTTCTGCAACGATGCTGTGTATCAGATGAAGAGCGATAGCCGCTCGCGCTGAAATGGGTATGTCATGTTTCATGAACAGCTCATTGAGTGTTGCAAGCGGCGTCGATGTGTCGGCATCTGTTTCCTCTTCGCTCATGCTTTCGTCATCGTCTGGCACTCGTCTGACTTTTGGCTCTGTAAGCTCCTTGAACAACCTGGTAAAGTTCTGGAGAAGCCTTCTCTTAGCCAATGCTGCTGTTGGTAGTCCTTGGATTGGTGACAGTCGTGGTAACCCAAGAGCTAGTGCGTAGTAGTGCCTGTTGATGTCCGCTAGATCTGAGGCCAACAGTTGGTAGGATTCAGGGAATTGTGCACCAGCAATAGGTCCAAGTATCGTGTTGCAGCAGAAGTCGTTGATCAAGACGAAGAAGTCGCACTCCGCTTCTGAAGTACCGTCAGTCAGCTCAATGTTGGCCGTCCGTTCCCATTGCATCTGGTCGACGATTGACGAGTTGAATGTGATAAGATCCGGTAGAGTATCTGTGAGAATCTTGCATGATGCGGCGACGAGAGTTTCCATCGATTTTGAGCGAAAGATTTCGGCGTCAACAAACTCGCTGACCTTGGGCAGCAGCTCAAAGTATTCATTCTCAAAGCCCTTTGGCATACCGAATGCGTTGCGAAGTATCGCCCATCTAGAAGTGGTGTGCTCTCCTAAGCTGGTACATTTCCTGTGGAGTTCTTCCAGGAGAGTGACCGTGAGGATGACAACGTGTTTTGCACCGGCTGCCTGATACGAGATGATGCTGTGTGTCGATGAATCTCTGACTCCCTTCAACCAGTCTTCTTCGCCAGAGACAATGCTTCCCAGGTGTCGGATCCCTGGAATCCAGTATGGCAGCGACTGTACCCTGCTCTTCCCGCCATCCTTGCTTTTGCTTGTGCCTCCTGAGCCAGAGAGCAACCTTGTTGGAAGAAGGAGAAAGACTGCTGAGATCGCAAATTGCGGTAGGATGTCGAACCAGGAAAAGTCGTCGCCCACGAAGCCTTGCAGTGTTTGTCCGAGTCCGTAGTAGTAAGCTACAGCCAATATGAAGGGACTGAGTAGCAAGATATACCATATTGGCAGAAAGAGCGTTCTTATGATGCCATTGGAGGCATACACAGCTATAAACAGACCCTTGAGTGCCATGTTGGCGTGTTGTCGATGTTGTCAACACCGAACACTGTGCCTGGGTGAGATGCCAGATGAGCGTCTATGAAGCTGACGGACTAATCCCCGGATCAGGTGCGCTCGACGAGATGAGGCTCCAGCAACGCGGGCTACGAGCCGCAATCAGAACGTGGTCTGGCGTACCACAGGAGAACAAATAGGAGTCGCCGCCGCTGAGAGGGCTGGAAAAGAGGACGCTATCTTTCGAGGGTAGGATGACAGTTAGAAGGCACGGTGACATTTGAAGCAGCGCTAGCTGTTTTCTTTTCCTCTTCGGGCCATAGCGCCCTCGGTTCGATGTCCAAAGATAGACCCCACCTTTTAGTCGTGCAGCTTCGCTCTGGTGTTGATGAACCCCTCTTGTGCATGTCAAGAGACTAAGAGTTCAGCTGAACGACTGGTTGCAACATCAGCCCTTGTGACAGCCCTGTAAGTGTTGCTGCGATCAGATCACAATCGGTAGCTCCGCCCTGTAGCCCTTTTTCACGACTAATTCCGCAGCACCAGTCATACCTTGCTGCTTCCAGCATCACCATTATCAAACTTGCGGAATTGAGCATTGAAAACAATCATCGCGGTATAACAATCTGCAACAATCCACTTCTTAACGGCCCATCAATCTGACTTCACTAGAGCATCCGACCACGTGCGGCTTCCGATATCAAGACTACTTCAGCTGCACGATCAAACGCCACAGCAAGCTTTCCAAGAGCCTCCAAGAGCCTCAAGCTTCCCATTTGCTGTTTTCAAACAGAGCTGCAAGCTACCCTGCTCCAGATCAAGCTGTCAAGATGACCCCCACACCAGTGCCCAAGCACCTGAACTTTATCACAGGCAACAAGAACAAGCTCGCAGAAGTCCAAGCCATTCTGGAAGGCGTCATTGAGCTCCAAAACCAGAATGTCGACCTAGTCGAGATCCAAGGCACAGTCGAGGAAGTCACATTAGACAAGGCACGACGAGCCGCGGAAGCAGTACGTCCGACGATGATTATGACCACTCAATTGACCCATCGCTAATCCTTATGTAGGTTGGAGGTCCCGTGCTAGTGGAAGACACATGTCTCTGCTTCAAAGCCATGAACGACCTTCCCGGACCATACATGTAACACTCTCCTGATTCTCACGCTTCGTTCCATCTCGTGCTAACATACAGCAATAGCAAATGGTTCATGCTCTCCCTCGGCCCCCTCGAGCTGCACAAGATGCTGTCCGGCTTCGATGACAAGTCTGCGCAGGCGGTGTGCACATTCGGTTATTGCGCGGGACCTGGCCACGACCCGATCACGTTCCAGGGACGTACGGATGGCAAGCTGGTGCCGAGTCGAGGGCCTACTGTCTTCGGTAAGCAGCTGATCTTCCAGTACAGTGTGGTGAACGTGCTAATGAGAGGACAGGCTGGGACTCGTGCTTCGAGTACGCGGGAACAGGACAGACGTACGCGGAGATGGACAAAGCGGAAAAGAACAAGATCAGCCACCGCGGCAAGGCGCTGGAAAAGCTGAAGGAGTGGCTGGCCGCCAGGACCGACGCCTAGAGAGACCATCACAGCGAAAAAAAAAATAGACTCACCTTACAAGCAGCGCAAAGCCGCGAATCTTCTCACTCTTCCCTTCCTATCCCTTACTCCTCATCCTTGCGGTCCTTCTTCCAGTTCTCAACCCACTGCTCAATCCTCTCCAAATTCCCATCAACATCATCCACACTATCACTCCTCAGCTCCACTACAATCTCCTCCTTGTATGACTCCCTCGCCTCATCAAGCAAGACCTGCATGATCTCACTATCCATATTCTCGTCGAGCTTCTTATCCTTGTACCCTCTCGCGGTGAGGCGGTCGTACAGAACCGTAGAATCACATCGCAAGACAACGACGAGATCGATCCAGCGTTCGGGAAAGAGGTCGCAGGCGTGCCAGTCGAGGACCCGGCCACCTTCTTCGGAAATTTGGCTTTCTTCGAGGTAGTCTAGGAGCTGTGGGTGAATATGTTAGCTTGGTGTTCGCTCAATGCTCTCGCACCATGCCTTCGAGCTCGCAAGCATCAAACAAGCGTCAAGTCTCTTGGAGACATTTTGGGCGAATGGGCAGAAATGTACCTTATCCTCATCCACAATCCAACTCCCAAGCTCCTCATCCCTGCCCTCGTGGAACCCCTCATCCTTCACAATCTGGTTGACAGAGATATGCTTGAACCCCGTCGCTCTCGCTAACTGCTCGGCGTGTGTCGTCTTGCCTACACCGGGTGTGCCTGTGATAATGATGTTGGGGTTCTTGCGCGCCATGTTGTGAGGATTTTGGGGCTGCAAGATATAGCTTGTGTGGTCGCGAGGGAGTTTTGCCCGGCTATGGCTGCTGTATGAAGAGGAGAGGAAGCTGTGCTGTAGTCGAAATGGTGTTGTGTTTTGTTGTGCTTGTTGCCGTTCTCACAGAAATAATCGACACCGCCAAAGTTTTGCCAAAGGAACCCCCACCTAGCACGCTACCCCACACTAGCCCGTCAGGGATGTCACTTTCACTTTCACTTTCACTTTCACGCGAGCGCGTGGAACAGGAGTGAGGAAGAGCAAGTTGCATGGTACTCTGGCTACAGACTCTTGCATCTGTGTCATGACAAACTCCTGTTCACAGGTTGATGGCACGAAGCATGGAATTATACTCTACGTACGTAGGTCAAGGGGTTGGATCAAGGGATTTTTGAACTCGCTGTTCGTATCTCATTCATCTCATTCTATATACCAAAACTTTTACTATCCATCGCTGTAGTCGTGGTTCATCCGCTGCTCATCGCTGCCTCATGCATTGAGTGCGCAACAACACTCCAGCTACCCTACGCCGAAGATGTCAAGATTCTGTTGCTACCAGACAGGGCGTACCTGAGGGCGTGCTATGAGCAGGGACTATTAGTGTAGAGTGGAGTGGAGCGAGGGAGGGAGAACCAGTATAGTTCGTGTATAGCTAGAACAAGCACCCCCGATCAGCGTCCAGCTCTTTTGATGCAATGATACGCCGTGCAGGAAAACATGTAGTGCTGTGCAAATGTAACGGGAAAGGGTCAGGTTGTGAGCCTGTCACAGCCAGAATAGCCATCTAGATTGTTGAAACAAGCCCAATGCCCTGAGATATCATCGAAAAAGATCAGTCGAAAGAGACGTTTAGCTTTGCTTGCACTCGGCAGCCTCCTGCTTGGGTTTTGTGCCGTCGTTCTAGAAGTTTGTTAGTACGTTGTAGTCATACCACGGACAGGTTTTTGCTCACCTCGTCATCTGACTCCTCATCCTCATCACGGTCGTCGCTGAGCTCGTCCTCATCTTCATCGTCTTCGTCCTCGAACTCGCCCTCGTCGAAGTCCTCAAGGTTCTCGTACTGGAGAGCCTCACCGGTGAACCAGTCGATGGCACGGGGAATGAGCTTCTCCTTGATGTCCTCACCGAGCTGGTAGTCGAGCTCGAGACGCTCCTCGATGTCGGAGGAGGCATCGTCGTCATCCTGGGGAGGGCTTGGGGGGTCGAAGAAGTTGAAGAACGACTCTGTGGGAACGGTCTTCTTGACAACGCGGGTCTGCTTTGTGTCTGCTGGGGTTAGTTTTCCTACTCATCAAGAAATTGTGGTGATCGACTCACTCTTGTTCCTCTGCTTCTTGCTCTCAACGCGGACGGTCAGGTCCTTGCCCGCCTTCCAGTCAATCTTGTCACCCTCAGCATGGTCGTAGATGAAGTCGCCACCGTAGCCGTTCTCCTCCTGGTAGAAGTAGGTCTTGGTGATGGTCTTGTTGGTGAAGAACTCGTTCTCCTCGAACTCGAAGATGAGGCGGAAACCGGGGCGGTCGAGGTACTCCATGCGGACGTCGGTAAGGTGCTTCAACGCAGCCTCGTCGCGGTCTGTGATCATCTCGGCGAGCGAGATCTGGTTCTTCATGGCGCTCAGCCAGAACTCTGGGATACCCTTGACGTCCTTGCCCTCATCCTGGTTGAGCTCCTTCTCGGGCTGCTCCTCATCGTCCTCCTCTTCCTCGTCTTGCTGCTCGCCAACCTTGACCTGCTCCTCTGTGGGCTCGGTGGAACCGTTGACAATCTTTGCACGCTGCTCGTACAGGGGTGTGAACTTGGCGAAGTACTTCTTCTCGAGCTGGAGGACCTCCTCCTGGAACTCAGCCTCGAGCTTGGAATGCTCTTTCTGAACACCCTTGAGGCCAGCAACACGGCGGCGGACGGAGCCAGGAAGCGACTCAATGTAGCCACTTGAGCGGCCAACGAGGGAACCAAGCTTTGCCTGCATCATTGAGACCAGGGCGGGGTTTGCAGCGAACAATCCGGCGGCGGCACGGTCAAGCTCCTCTGTGAAAATTCGAATTAGCGGTCAAGAACATCTGCGGCGCCAGCGCGCGGGGTTGGAGGGGTAACAAAACAACAGAACAGAAAGTGAGTGACATACCTTCTTTGATGGTGCCAACATTCGGCTGCTGGGCGCGCGAGGAGATAGGTGCAGCATTGGCGGGTGTGTTTTGTGGTGTGCTGGTAGGCTGCTTGTTAGATCTTGGGACGTCCATGGCGGCGGTTGGGGTGGAGAGTTTTTGTGGTAGGGTGTCGGGAAAAAGGTGTCGTGGGGCAGAAAGAGACTTACGGAGCGGAGATGGAGTCCATCTTCTTATTGCGGATCGGCTCAGACATCTTGGCAGAGGCTCTGTGGTTCCGCGACGCAAGGTGGCAAAATGTTGAGGGATGTTGTGTGTTGGTGAGTGCTTCTGCAGCTTTCGGCGGGACTGAGGGGCGATCTAGCGCGTTGGACTTTGGCGGGCTACAATTAGTGGCAGGCCGAGCGTGAAAGAACGACCGTCGACGCTGAGCGCGCGTGGATGATGGCACTGGTGCACGATAGCGCGCTTGGGGTGTTAGAAGAGTACGTGTTTCGTTATTTGTTGCGTGGAGTTTGAAGCTTTTTGAACCTTTCTCTACCATGCCGTGAAGGCGCTGCACGTGTTTCCAGCACGAGAAGCAACGACTCAGTTCTATCTGCCGACAAACATCATTCGCAGCAGTTGCCCAGTCACTACAATGTTAGCGCCGACATTGGCCGCGGGCACCCTTCTTTGATCCCTCCCTCTGATGCACAAGTTCCTCCACAGATTGGGCGCCTTGAACACCCAGGAATGACAGTAGGTCAGAAGCGGCACCGAGCTGTTGTCTCTCGCTAGCCTAGCCAACCTGAGGTGTCTCCGACGGCGCGCTGTTGAACTTTGGGATGACTTGCAGAAATCGACTGCAGCAGGGTTGCTCTCTGTTGACTTCAAGCCCTGCATGCTTTCATCCACGAACAGCTTCCTAGCCATACTTTCCCATGTTCTAGAAGAAAGCGGGGGCCATACAAGAATTTCTTGCTAGAAAACCTACCCGCCGCCGTCATTCACGACTAGTCGCATGGCTTGAAGGGGAAAGGCGGCTAGAGACTGGGGAAGGGGATGCTTGCATGTCACCTCGACCGAACTCCCAGTCCGGAAATACTACCGAACATGAACACGTGCAGCTTGACAAGGCTGAAGTGTTGGCATGGATATTCTACCCCTCAACACCTTTGCTTATACACTCTTGGGTATGAATTGCATTGTGTTCAGAGCTAGACCTCGGTACACTATTACCATCAATATTGTTTTTGAACTCATCACCGACAGGCATGCGAGCTGCTTCAATCTGCGTCTATGCTTGCGAAGACGCCCAATGAAGCTCTAGCAATAGGTTTCAAGTCAAGCTCCACACTATCAACTTGATCCTTTTGCTCAGATCAATGCTATCTTACTCGCCAGCAACTAAACAGTCAGTGCAAGCCGTTGACTATACCTCCAGTTCTCGAGGGACTCCTCACTGTGTCAAGACTGCCCAACCTGCATCTGTGCTTGCAAATGGACACCCAAACAAAACCGTAAGTAGTCGTCGATATATTGGCTCTTCGTTTGCCCAACTCCATGGTCTCCCAAAGACTAATGCTTCAATGTCCAAATCCACCTTGCTCGGGTCGTTGCTGCCTAATCCACGATCAAAGAATCGTTGCAAGCTTGGATACGCAGGAATTAAATCTATACTTTGAGATCTACTCAATATTTTGCAATCTTCCCTAATCTTACAGTGGTGAACGCAGCAACAACCGCACAAACCGCCCCAATAAACAGACACACACTAATAGCATTCACGCCCTCAGTGCTATGATGTTCTTCCTCAGGCGCATCACTGAGTTCGGGACTCTTGCCAGGTTCGAGCAACGAAAACACGACGAAAGAGATACCAGTTCCGACGAATTGTGGTAGCGTGGTATAGACGTTCATTATGCCGAGATACTTACCGCTCCCCTCGCCCGTAGACTGCTGCTCAAAATCCGGTTGATCGAGGTGAAGGGTAGACGGGGCATCGAGTTCGATTGAGTTGCGACCGAGAGGGATGTACGAGGGCGTTGAAGAAAGGCGGTTTATTTCTACGCCGAGGAAGGCGAAGGGCGCCCAGCAGCTTATCGCCCAGGAGCCGCTTGTTGTTAGCTTATACTCGTTTGACTGAGGTGAGAGGAAAGACGTACATGCCGCACACGCCTATGATGAGGGTAGCGCTACACAAAGACTGCACAAAGGGAGCCAGACACATAGCACCTGCGAACACGGCATGACTGATCGTCCATGCAGTGAGGAGCGAAGGTTTTAATTGTCCGGCTCTTTGAACAAAAGTTGCGATTTTCGCAGGTGGTCGCGCTGTGAAGGGTGGCTCTTCGCCCTCTGGGCTCTTTACGACGAAGGGTAACAGGACGGACATGATAAATGTGATGATTGAGAAGCCAATGAGCGCCAGCGAACCAACGCGGCCGACTTGCCCGGTCATGTCGTTGGAAGTTTTGGCGGAGGCGGGTGCGTCGTAGCGGAGGTAGACTTCGCCGACCCATGTTGTACTGTAGAAGAGGAAGGGAAACCAGCCTAAATCACCGTCAATTCTGTTGTGTTCGGAATGGTGGAGAACGGTGATGCTGACCTATCCATGCCCAAAACTGCACATGGCAGATGGCTTTGATGCTTGCAGGCAGACCGAGCGTTGATTTGCCGAGGTCAGTCAGGACCTTTATGGCGCCCAGTTTCTCCTCGCTATCATGTCCGATCAGAACCCTCTCCGTAACAGCCCAGCTCGTGAGCCCCACGGTCAAACACAAGCAGAATGCAGCCACAACTGTGAGTTGCTTGAACTGCGTATCGCCCAACAACGTTCCAAAGACAGCCTCCAGCTTCAAGGCGCCAGCACCATACCCAATCAAACTCCCCACAGCGACCATTCGACTCGCCCAACTGCTCCCCGCCTGCTGTTTCGGAATCGGCAACGTGTCAATAATGAGCCCCCTACAACTGCCCTGCACCGCGTTGATCGCGAAATCAATTCCATAGATACTGAACACGGCGAGTACTATCGTCGCATTCTTGACCGTCTCCTTATCGCTCGCAAACCAGCTGACCACTTCTTTTGTCCAGCCGAGCAGTAGCAGAAACAGGGATGTGAGGATTGTGCAGCCGACCATAAATGGACGCCGTCGGCCGTAGCGCGAGGTCGAGCGGTCTGCTATCACGCCGACGATGGGTTGCATTATTAGGCCTGAGAGGGGACCGGCGACCCAAACGAGGGAGATACGGGATTTGGTGAGGCCGAGCTCAAGGAGGTAGGGGGTGCAGTACGTCATTTCGACGTTCCATGTTATCCTGCGATTGTCAATGTTAGCCTTGGGATTGTGTATAAGGCCCAATATATGGGGAGACGCACTGCAGACCGATGAGCGATGCTGTGAGCAGCGCCATGCGCATGCTCTCACTGGAGCCCTTGACCGACGGCGTGCCGACCCATTGTGCTACGGATGGCATCCTCCCTCTCTTCTATCGTAACTTCCAATTGGCTCTGGGTGTTAAGGTCCGACAACTGGGTATGCGGTCGCGTGCGCTGTAGGCCGGGGAATGGAATGTTGCATTGGGCGATGACGCGCGTGGTTCAAGGGTCTACAAGGCTGCGCTGTTAAGGAAACATGACACGGAGACAAAATAGAGGTGCGAAAGGTGAAAGATGAAAGGTGCAAGGTGAACAATTTAACGTGATGTACAAGCATACGTAGCTGCAGAGGGAGTGCGACGTCAGCTTTGATGGTGGCTTAGGCGTGGAGATGCCGTTGGAGCGAACTAGGGTTATGACTAGAACGGGCCGCTTGCGTGCAGCGATGAACGACACCGAACGCCTGGTCTCGGCTGAGTGAACGCTGACTTGGTCTCGAATCTGCATGTTCATGCTCAACATCGCTTCTGTAAGACATTGAATCACCGAAGCACAATGCTTTGCTGAAGTTATGTTATATCATCATTGCTTCAATGGCCCTGGAATCCTCGAGACAAGTCATGGTGTATGCCCCGAGCTCCATCTCCACACCCCGTACAGCCTTATCCATTCTGGGCACTCCATGTTGCGGAGAAGACATCCGTTATTAGGCCCACAGTAACTGGGAAGGCGGCGAGCTGCAGTTGCATCAAAGATAGTTGGTGGTGACAGGTAGCGAAGGAAATTGAATGTAGATGGTGAGGTGTCGGTGGTTTCCTCGAGATTCAATTTGATAGAAATAATCAGACAGCCAACAAATGCGATGCAGCAGAGTGCGCCTGAACATGCTATAGATATACAGCTCCGAATGCCCAACATCCAGATACAGATCAAAACGACATTAGATAGCGAATAAGTTCCCACCGCTGTTATAGGGTGGTCGAGATTACCAAGAAATGCGCATCAAGCGCCAATCAGTTCCTTTGGCACACAGGCGAAACCCGTGCTGATAACGGCCAAGATGGTGCTGAAGATGATCAGAGCCCAGTTCAGTGCCTTCTCCCCTGCTCGGATGTCCTTGCCAAAAAGCTTCAGGTGGAAGGCGACCGGTAGGATGATGCAGATAGAGAAACAAGCAACACTACCGAGAAGGGTCATAATGCGGTCGAACGACGGGAAGATAATGGCAATAACCACGAAGACAATAATTGTCACGATGCGTAGCGTGACCTTGAAAAAACCTCGGTTGAGGCCCGACATGCCGTTGAGAGAGCTCGAGACTGCCATGGCGCGTGTGTCGAGGCCGAAGAGAACCTCAAGTGTAGAGACGATAGGGCGTGAGTTGAGCGGGACTTTGGTGAGTGGAATGATGGCGATGCAGATGGCGATGAAGACGGACAGCCCTGGTGGGTAGCCTGCAGTTTTGAAGATGTTGTTGGTGATCTCTTCGCTTACTCCTTCACCAAACATGAGGATACCGGCGCAGGCCATGCCGATGTCAATCATGAAGGTGAAGATGTAGGTGATGTTGACACCACGGCGATACTTGTACGGGTGTCTCATGTCTCGATAGATGTTGGGGAATACGGAGTGGCCGCCCCAAGGGGACATGAGAAGACCGAACGATAGGGGTATTGTCATCCAGTTCTCAGGGAACAAGTACTGAGCCATGGGTTGACGGATGGATCCAGGAGCGTCAGCCTTGATGAGACCGTCTGCCCATACAGCGAGTGTGATGCCGAAACAGGACATGACACCCAAGATGGACGTAAACGACAGCATGCGCAGGGGGAGAAAGCTCATAGGGATCAAGATGACACCACAAACGATCTTCCATGTAAGGACACCATATCCAGAGATCAGAGCATCCATGCTGTCAGCGAAGAGCACGACAAGGGCAACACATGCTGCCAGAAGCTCGAGGGAGAAGAGTATGCTGACAGCAACACGAGCTTTGTTGCCGAAGGAGACGTAGGCCAGGTCGGCGAAGGTGATGAGGGAGCTGTCCACATCCAGACATTTGGCAAGCAGCTTCGCGGTATACGAGGTGACCACGGCAGACCAGGCGAGGAAGATCATGCCGACCACCCAACCAGAGTATTTCAGAGCTAGGGGCAGCGTTAGCAGCCCTACACCAACTAGAACGTTGACGGAGTTGAAGATGGTCTGCGGAAGTGTCGATTGTCCAACTACCACGTTGATGATGTGTCCGTCCTCTTCGACTTGCTTGACCAGTAATGGTTCTCGCTCTTGCTCTGGTTCTTGGACGCCCTTTAGCTGCTGCTCAGTGAACAGGCGTCTAGCATGGCGCATCGAAGAGTCGTTGACGCGTGCAGACAAGCTGCCATAGGCTGTACCATAACTTCCACCGAACGGCGAAGACAGCGAAGGCTCGATGTTGAAGATGCTGTCGCCACGTCCCCGCAATCGTTGCTGTGAGTCCCTCGGCAGAAGGCGTGTGTTCTCGTTGGCGCCGCTCTCCTCATCCACGACTGCGACTGCCTGGTCAGACGTGCGCCTTCCCTCTGTCTGTAGCGCATGGCGAAGGGCTGAGCGATGTTCTGCGAGAGAACTTGGGACAAATCCAGTGCGTGGGAACTCGGCGGTGGGTGTCTCGTCGTCGTCGTCGTCGTCGCTCTCTACGCGGAAGCTTGGGCGCATGGGTGTGATCTCGAAGAAGCCTGCTGCACGCTGCCACGAGCGGGCGAAGTTGTTGATACTGTTGACGCCGCCTGCATCGCCCAGCGCCTGCAATTGCTGCGATACCGAGGATCTGTGGTTCTCTGTCAGTCTGCGGTCTATTGCGCCCATAACGCTAGCAATGGCAGAGTTTGCCTACCTCCTTCGTCGTAAAGTGCCATTGATCGCTGAGGATGTGCCTGTGTTCGATGCGCTCTGTTCGCTGGGCCGCCGTTCGAGCTCGTCCCACTGCACGCAACTGCCCTGCGAGCCTACCGACGCGCCTTGCACGCCGTCGTACTGGTCCCAGGTGGACGGCTGCTTGCCTTTGATGTCCATGGTGAGCAAACGTCAGTCTCTCACACTGGCGGGTACACAAAACGAATAGCAATGGATCGAAAGATAAGAGAGAGCAGGTGGAGTCGATATAAAACTTGTTCACGGACCCATGCAGGGTGCAGGAGCTAGGTACAGTATCGATGGAAGGTTATCGTCGGATGGAAGATTGGCGTATGAACCGCGCAACGCCTCTTGTCCATGACCACCGCGGCGCGGCAGATGTCCCTGATAAGAAGCGCCGAGAACGGAGAGAGACATCTGTGAAGCCTTTTGGATAGAGGTATCACGAGGCAGGCCCCCCGCATAAAGCTCCGTCATACCGCGGGCGTGCAGCGGGCGTCTATTGGACTGTGAGTGCGCCCGTTAGCGATTGAACCTGAGGCACAAGCATTGTTCATGACTGTGTTTGACTCTGGTTGACTGGAGATAGACGTAGTCGACACATTGAACTCTGGTGCCTGGTCAGTGAGAAGGATAAATCTGCACCCATCCAGGACCTTTTATTGCTGCATCTTCTTGTATCGAACGTGGTGGTGTGCATAACAGGCGTGAGCGACCGCCGTAACGTTTGGCGCCCCTCCGCCTGCACGCAAATTTCGCATACACCCCGCCTCACACGTTGTCCGCTCCGTCACTTAACCACCCTCGCACCCACACCGCGAAGATGTCGTCGAAGGAGCCCCAGCCCAACGACGCGGAGAAGAACATCGAGATCTGGAAGGTCAAGAAGCTGATCAAGCGTCTTGAAGCCGCCCGCGGAAATGGCACATCTATGATCTCGCTCATCATCCGTATGTGAGCCCTGAGCCTTGCAGCGCACGATGCCTCCATGCACGAGCAGCACCACTCACTATGCACAGCGCCCAAGGACCAGGTCTCGCGCGCCGCGAAGATGTTGGCTGAAGAGTTCGGCACTGCCTCCAACATCAAGTCCCGTGTCAACCGTCTCTCTGTCCTGTCCGCGATTACCTCCACCCAGCAGCGCCTGAAGCTCTACTCGAAGGTCCCGCCCAATGGTCTCGTCATCTACTGTGGTGAAATCCTGACCCCCGAGGGCAAGGAACGCAAGGTCAACATCGACTTCGAGCCCTTCAAGCCCATCAACACCTCGCTGTACCTCTGTGACAACAAGTTCCACACTGAGGCCCTGAGCGAGCTGCTGGAGTCAGACCAGAAGTTCGGTTTCATCATCATGGACGGAAACGGTGCTCTCTTCGGCACCCTGTCAGGAAACACCCGTGAAATCGTTCACAAGTTCTCTGTCGATCTGCCCAAGAAGCACGGTCGTGGTGGTCAATCTGCCCTGCGTTTTGCCCGTCTGCGTGAAGAGAAGCGCCACAACTACGTCCGCAAGGTCGCCGAACTGGCGGTGCAGAACTTCATCACAGCTGACAAGGTCAACGTCGCTGGTATCATTCTGGCCGGTAGCGCGGACTTCAAGAACGACCTGAACCAGTCCGATCTCTTCGACAACCGTCTGCAGTCCAAGGTCATCAAGGTCGTCGACGTGTCCTACGGTGGCGAGAACGGCTTCAACCAAGCCATCGAGCTGTCTTCCGAGACACTTGGCAACGTCAAGTTCATCCAGGAGAAGAAGCTCATCAACGAGTACTTCGACCACATTTCCAAGGACTCCGGCAAGGTCTGCTACGGTGTTGAGGACACCCTTAAGGCCTTGGAGGCTGGTGCTGCGGAGACTCTGATTGTTTTCGAGAACTTGGAGATCACCCGCTGGGTGCTCAAGGCTTCAGATGGCACAGAGGTCATTCTCCACACCAACAAAACGCAGGAGGCTGACCGAACCAACTTCATGGACAAGACCACTGGACAGGAGATGGAAATTGTCGAGCAGTCATCTATGCTCGAGTGGCTTGCCGAGAAGTACCGCGACTTCGGTGCCACCCTCGAGTTCGTGTCTGACCGTTCCTCTGAGGGCAACCAGTTCGTGAAGGGTTTCGGCGGTATCGGTGCCATCCTGCGTTACGCGCTCAACTTCGAGCAGCTTGCCGACTTTGAAGACGACGAAGATGAATTCTACGATGATTGACGGTTGTGCGCCCTCGCTGACTGCGAGGCAGCGTCCCCACTCCACGCGCCGAGTGAAGGAACGTCCGCTGCCCGTTTACAAGGTCAACAAGACGCGCCCGGATTGAAGGACGGAGCAGTCGATGTTACGACGCTTCGCCTCTCCAGACTGTAGATGAACAGGGGAGCGTTCACGAAGGTTTTGCATGGTAGGCCAACCATAACCTGATATCTGGTCATTACTAACATCTGACAGGCTGATGAACCACCCATTCTTATCACCCACCCCTTTCGTTCAACGGAGAGGCAGCAGCCTTCTCCGACAAGTTGCCCAATCACATCTTGATTGTAGAGCTCTATCCTAGCCGCGACTATGAGTGAAGACGAACAGGACACTGAGAATAGCCATTGTCAATCATCTGCTTGCGAACTTTCCGCAGCAATCCTAAGTGGAAGAAGGAGAGGCAAATTGCTCATTCGCGTATGCGTCAGCTTGTCTGTCGTTCATATCCAGCTGAATCAAACTGTGCTTTGAATTTACTGTTCCCTGCTTTGTGACAATGTTCGAGCGTGACCATCAAATACACTTGCTGCTTAGAGTCGAGCCTGTATGTGGTATGCAAATTGCAATGCGCCCTACATGCTGGGTATTTGTACATCCGCCCTATGATGTAGATTTGCCGTCTAAAAGGCCGATGCCGCTCTAACTTCCATTCCGAATTTGAACCTCGAATTTCACTATTCACACAACAATTGAACCCTGACAAAATGTCAGACACAGAGAAACCGAAGGTAGCATTCCTAGGCCCAGAGGCAAGCTACACTCATCAGGTCAGTCGACAGTCTCGTTGCAATGCAATTATTCTGCACCACTTTGTTGTTCACAAAGCTTTCCGAAAGAGTCAACACGTCACGGGGTACATTCCCCAATCATTCATAAATGAGAACACATACGCTCCGAGCGACCATCTCCACCTACATTATCCCTCACAACCATTCGCAGCCTCATTTATTCGGCTTCTCATCACGTTATGTTGGACGCGCTTTTGTCTTCTTTCAACCCACACTGACAATCAACCAAGGCAACTCTTGACACGTTCTCGCCCGACACACATACTCTGGTACCACAGACTACCCTCGAAGATGTCTTCGCCGCGGTACAAGACGGCAGCGTACACCGCGGCGTTGTACCCTTCGAGAATAGCACCAACGGCTCCGTAGTCTTCACCCTTGACCTGTTCGCCGACCTGCACAGCAAGAACAACGACATCCTTGTGTGCGGTGAAGTATACGTGAGCGTAAGCCACTGTCTGCTAGGCCTGGACCCTTCGAGTACGCAGGATTACTCAAAAATTACAAAATTGTACTCTCATCCACAAGCATGGGGTCAATGCAAAACTTTCCTGCAACAGCACCTGAAGCACGCTGAGCGCTTCGATGTATCCTCGACTTCGCGCGCCGCACAAGTGGTTGCAGAATCCAAGGATCCGGGTGCCGCAGCCATCAGCAGCAAAGTGGCTGGCACCCTGTTCAAGCTCTCTCTTCTGTCAGAAGGCATCAATGATGTCAGCGGCAATCAGACACGCTTCCTGATCTTGCGGAGAAAAGATAGCCCAGACGTATCAACAGCACCGTCAGCACCATCTGCACAATCGACCATAGGACAGAGTAACGACGAAGAAAACTACAAAACCCTGCTCCTCTTCACGCTCCCACACACACCCTCGAACCCCAACCCTGGCGCCCTAGCACAGTGTCTATCTGTCTTTGGCAGGCACAAGCTCAACCTGACCTCCATCAATACACGGCCGAGTGGCGTAGCGAACTGGGAGTACATCTTCTTCATCGAGTTCAAGGGACGGAAAGACGAGGGTGATGGCGGGGCGGTAAACGCAGCGTTCAAAGAGTTGGATGGCGTGTGTGAGTGGTATCGATGGCTGGGAAGCTGGGAGAACAGGCTGCCGGCTCCGAGTACGCAGAAGCTGTAGAAGGCTGAAAGGTGCAGATGGTTCACAAAACAGATGCTTGTCATCTGAAGTACGCTGAGAAGAAATAGATCATTCAGTCGAGCGACATTTCGTGCCACCAACGTTGTTGATCTGAGTAGGGTGTGCTTGCTTCTCTGGGTTCCAGCCTGTACCATCCCTGACAATGTGATTGCTGCCCAACTGACAAAAGCGGCTACCTTGAGCTTAGGGGCCTTGCCGTTCAGTCCATTAGCACTTCCTCTCGATGCGTAGCCACGTGGTACGGCCACTGCAACGACCTCAAGCGACATGCAGTTACCCATACCTGGAGGAAGTCATAGCCGCTCTGCAAATACACAGCTCCCCGTCCTCACTGCCTAGACGCCGTATCATTGAGACCAAACAACATCACTACAGGCCGGCGCACCGTACGTTGCACATCATCTATTCATATCAATACAGAACATCACAACTTCATGGCGCCGAGCAAACGAAAGCAGCCAGCTTCACCGATTTCTTCGAGAGCTAAGCGTGCCTACCTGTCCAACTCGCCACAATCATCGTCATCAGACTTACCGCCTACCGCATCGCCGAGCAGCCTACAGACTCCCGAAGATGTTCGACCTCCAGGCCATGTGCGCTCCACCAGACACGCGTCACCACCACCAGAACTCTCGAATACAGCAACGACTCGTCAAACGAGATCCTCCGAGTCTAATGATAACGCCGGCGCCCACCATCCAGAGACAACTGGCAATTTACCGATACCAAACCCTCTCCTGGACTGGCTCGAGACCCATGCGAGGAGCTCTGCTGCGAAGCAAAGATCGATCGAACGCCTCCCGGCGGCGGGATCCGAGTATAAGAACACTGGTACGGTGAGCTTTGCTGAGAAATTGCCAAAAGCTCGACATGAAGACACCAGCCGGGGTAAAGCGGGCCAAGATCAGCCCACGGTTGAGGACGATCTTGAAGGTACGTCGTCAGCAGGTCAGATCCTAGAGTGAAACGAGGAGATGTACTTGGTGTCCGGGGTATTGCCATTCAAGCAAGAAGAGGCCGGTCAGGCTGACAGCAAGTCAGGAGGCTCTTAGGAAGACACGTCGTCTGGATCAGAGCAGGTTCCACGACTGGGTAAGGGGAAGCAGAAGGGAAGAAACGGAGATGTCGAAGAAGACGAAGCCGACCCCAGGGATGATTCGTCAGAAGCATCGCCGCGCACACGCCAGCTTCTCCGGAAGGACAAGGGCAAGGGCAAGGAGTCTGCGGCTGCCACCAAAAGAGCTCTCAAGCATAGAAAGGGCAAACCGGTCCTTGACCCAGATGATGAGAGGCTCGCGAAAGCCATCGACAGAATCAATGACGGCAAAGATCTGGTCAGAGGCCTCTTGTTTATTATTGCACAGAAGATACCAGAGGCTCGTGAGGTAGTGCTATCAGCGTAAGTACAAGTGGTGCTTTTGACTAGCCTTGACTGACCTTCCCACAGCGACAAGGAGCTAGAGAAGATTCGCCAGGACTTTGCTGTCGATCCAAAGTACTTCAACCGAAAACTGAGCATAGATAAGATGCTGGCGAGAGCGTAGGTCTTTTGGAAGACGTCCGCGGTCATGTTCCGGCCAACACTTACTGACTGCCATCAAGAAGTGTTCGTCGCGAATCCCATCTCGCCGACCTGTTTGATGATGCCGGTTCATCCGAAATCCAAGAAGGCATGCCGCTCAATCAGCCGAACGAACATCCCCCCGGCGCTGACCGCCCTGCCTCCATTCTGACGAACCTAGTGGAGATGCGCGACAGGGACATCTTCAACAAGAAAATATTCATAGAGCCAGTGCAGAAGGCCGAGAAGCGTAATGAGATCACCCTTCCCAAGGACACCGATGTGCGTAACATGGGATGGGGGTGCATTTCATGCAAGCACTGGAACCAGCCAGTGCAGGATGTGCACGTAAGGAAGATCACCACTGGAGGTACTCAAAGCGTTGTCCAGGATTATCAGTGTGCGAAGTGTAAAAAGTTCCTGATTGGGAAATCAGAGGCCGATAGGGTTCGAAAGCATCGGGAAGGGCTGGCGACTGCGGGAGAATCTGAAGCAGCAGAACATCCGGGAGCTATCCAGATTCCTGGAACAGGGGCGTCGAATAAGTCGATGACCGACGTCGTGCTTGGCCGAAGAGTGGGCGGTGGGGCCATAGAGTGACTCCTGTGCAGTGATGAATGAATTTCAGACTGGGGGCGTCGATCTGCTCAAAACGATCTTTGTGCTGAGCGCATGAACACGCATAAAACACACGAAAGCCTCTACAGATCATTAATCTCAAGTGAGACCATAAGCTTCCCTCCAGCGTGGAAAACGTGCATTCGATCTCGATATGTCAGGGAGTACCTCCTGGGGAAGGGTCTTCGAACATCGGGCTTGAAAATTCGAGCCTCTCGGTTCAATTTCCGTCTCAAAAGACAAGTAGCCCATTGTGATGTTTCGTGCAGTGGCGGATGTGCAAGAGGGCAATGGTGAAAGAAACAAAGTTTTGAGATTAGGAAAGCTGTATCTAAAAGGGTATCTTGATGTGAAAATGTAAACGAAAAGAAGATGCCGTGGAGTTCCAAGCAGACAAACTCCCTCAACAAAAGTCAACGAGGAGACAGTGGCCGTAGCCAAAGTAGTAAGCTCGCTCTAAGCTGGCGCCTCAGTAGCCCAGCAATTCCTCGTCACCCGCCACACAACCAGTCCTCGATCACCAGCGACTCTGCTCAGCGTCGGCCACACGCCATCATCACCGAAGTCCATGTCGTCGAGGTTCAGGTGCTGTCTGTAGCTCCACACCTCCTCGAGCGAGATCTCCTTACGCTTGGTGGGGTCCTGGAACGGGTTGAGGAAGTACGCTGATCGTGGCGCCACGAGGTACGTCGCACCCTTTCCTTCTATCTTCGGCGGTTTTCGCGTTCGGCAGGACGGCAGAGAGATCTTGACGGCGTCGAGCATTTGTGGCCCGGGCATGCCCATCAAGTCTACTGTAGTGAGTTCTTGGTTCTTCCCGTTCAGCAGCCAGGTTGGTGGACTGTATGTTTTCCACCAAAATGCGTGCGTGACGGTTTCATTTGTCTTTGCGATGTTCATTTGTACGGGGACGATGCCGCCTTGGTGGTACACGCCCATTAGCATCCCGAGGGCGAGGTTGAAGATGATCCAAGTTGCCGTCCAGAACCTTCTGAGCTGGGGGTTGTAGGGAAGGCGGATGGAGGATAGGATCAGTGGTACTGCGGGAAGCAGGAAGCGCGCTTCTTGGTGCGGGAAGATGCTAAGCAGAGCGACGCCGGATAGGGCAGATATGAGGATTGGACTGATGTGCGAGCGGCGGAGGAAGAAGAGGAGTGGGAATGCGGGGCCGAGGAGTTGTGGGAGGTTGACCAGGAAGTGTTGGTAACGTGGGTGTATGCCATGCTGGGCAAGGTTGGCCGAGTCGGAGTTGTAGAGGAAGTTGTTGAGCGGTGTGATGACGGGATTGCTGAAGACGCTCGAGAAGGTGAATTCGGCGGGGGTATAGGATGCTGTGTCGACGCAGATGGCAATGAAAGCTGCAAAGAGAGCGGACAGAGTAAGGAAGACGAAGGAAAGTGGTCTGTGAATGTCAGTAACAGCGCTGCATGGAGACGGGAAGGAGGAGCTCACTTGCGCTTGAAGTGGGGCAACAGAAGCAACGAGGGAAGGAGCAGGAAGGCAGGAAACGTGATGCGATTGAAGACTCCCACCACGACCATGCATCCTAACAGGGACGAGGCCAAGATGCCGGAGCGCTTCTGCGGCTTGCATTAGCTGCATATATCTGACGGGGAGCGGACCGAGCATGGCGTACCTTATCTCCCACAATGCGTTGTATCAACACCAGACTCCAGCATACGAGCAGCGTCTCCAGGCTGTTGGAGAAGGTGTGCGTCTGGAAGGTCCAAGTCACGTATGACGACGCGACCAGGGGCACAGCGACGCGTCGCGCGCGGGGCGACTGGACCAGCTCATGCACGGCCCAGTCCTCCATGACGACGCTCAGGGTGAGCATGAGCACTCGCAGCGTCCAGTAGACGACCGACGGCGAGACGTCGTAGCCAAAGCCCTCCCACAGCCAGCGCAGGATGTACATGGGCCAGCCGTAGGCGAGCCATAGCGGGAAGGTGCTGCGGATGGGATGCGCAGAGGTGAATTCCCACGTTTCGAGGACGGGGTAGTCGAAGACGCGGCCTGGCAGCAGTCGGTCAGTCAACCACTCGCTTTCGCACAGGAATGCATATACAGCGCAGACATACCCGCGATGACCTCCGGGCCCTGGAAGTTCTCGTCCGGATGCAGATAGCTCGGTGACAGCGCAAAGTAGATGCGCACCAGGATCAACAGGAAGTAGACTCGCCGCCACATGGTGCCTGCAGATTGGATGCGCCGTTTGAGGGGTGGGAGAGGCAGCGCAGGCGCATGTCTGTTGTCGTTTGGGGGGGGGGGGTGAGCGGGAGTTCTACAGGGCCAGCAGAGCGTTTGCGATCGAAGCCACTGTTGACAGACGATAGGTGCCCAAACAACGCCGTTGGACCACGCGAATAGGGGCGCCGCAAAAAGTGATTCGTGCAGCTTCGACGACGTGCATTTGCAGCTCGCCTGCTCACATTTTGCGGGACACGAGTTCAAGCACAGGATTGGGGAAATTTGCGCGCTCGTCTGACTGCCTTGGTCAGGCCGCATGCAACACCTGAGCTCTCGCGGAGTTCAGCCGTGCAGCAAGCCACATGCCGCATCAAGCGCGACATCACGTGCGTGTTTCATGTTTCACAGCACTGTTCGTAACCTTGCTGTCATGCAGACAACAACGTCCTTCGCGTCTGATGAAATGAGGCGTCATTCAGCCACATTTCTGCTTGAGCGCACGCTGAGTACCTCCAATAATGCTCGTAGAGTGCTCGACACGAGCTAGTTCGCTCAAACATGTAGGCATCAAACATCCTCACACAAATCGCAATCACTCTTTCACTGCCTAGTGATAGCCATCTGTTTGCGCCACGCTTTCAAACAAGTTGCTCGGGTATGTATCTTTGAGTTCGGGATTCTGGCAGCTTCGAGCCGGGGCGAGGCACAGATGCGGAGTCATTCTATGCTAAGAACGACCATGGTTCGCACTGTGAGCAACCAAAAGGTCACAGATAGTTGCTCGTAACCAACTTGAAACTGGCAGACTATGCAATACACAAACGCGGTTGTTCGGAATAATTGCGCCCTTCGTGAAGCTGCTGTGCCATAGAAGCGGCAGCCTTACGCTATTACCGCATTGGGTGTGCTGGCGCCTGAGCTTGTGCGGCCGAGTACAGCAAACCGTGGATTGCCTTTACCCATCTTCACTTTCACCAACAAACCCGGGTCACATATAAGCCCCGAATCACCCGCCCTCCTCGCTTCTTATCCAATCCACACACACCTCGCAACCGCACTCAACTCAAATCACCGCGTAGTTCGCATATCCGCACACCAACGCTTACCCCACTTCAACCTACACACCACACATACGCCATGTCTACCGAAGCAACCAACGCTCCCAAGATCAAGCTTGTTACTAGCGACAATGCTGAGATGGAGGTCGACCGCCAGGTCGCTGAGCGTTCCATCCTGATCAAGAACTTGCTGGAGGATCTCGGCGGCGACAACGATGAGGCCATCCCCATCCCCAACGTACGTCTTACCACACCCATTACCTTGCTGAGCACGCGCTAACAGCATCACAGGTCAACGAGGCCGTCATGAAGAAGGTCCTCGAGTGGTGCGAGCACCACCGCAACGACCCTCCCGCCTCCCAGGACGACGACTCGGACTCCCGCAAGAAGTCGACCGACATCGACGAGTGGGACCAGAAGTTCATGCAGGTCGACCAGGAGATGCTCTTCGAGATCATTCTCGTACGTTCCTTCATCTCCCCTACCACATCAAGCGCACGCTAACAGATCACAGGCCGCCAACTACCTCGACATCAAGGCTCTGCTCGACGTCGGCTGCAAGACCGTCGCCAACATGATCAAGGGCAAGTCCCCCGACGAGATCCGCAAGACGTTCAACATCCAGAACGACTTCACCCCCGAGGAGGAGGAGCAGATCCGCCGCGAGAACGAGTGGGCCGAGGACCGCTAAGCGGCCTTGTCTGTTCTCTTGTCGGCTTGCCTGTAAATATTGCCAGGTAGATACTAGTACTGCTTGGTGCAGCTACTACAGGCTCTGGTTTTGGTGTTCGGGGTTCCATTCGGGCATGTCATTCTTCTTGTTCTGCATAATACCGGACAATATCTGGTACACGATTCGCACATCACGATACTTTGTACGGCTCTGGGTATAGAGGATCTATCTTCATCAGTGACTCGACTCTATAGCTACGCAATGAAAAACGTAAACCTTCATCCTGTGTCTTTGTTTGCTTTTCGTGAATGTATGCAATAACTCTTATCCTGTTGCCAACGCTTCGGGGGCCCACTGAAGTGACTCATAGTTTCGCAATCCATATTCCCCATGACTCCAAGGATTGGCCGCCTGATGCGTGATTATAGAGGTAGTCGAAGCTTTTTGGTTGTGATGATAGCTATCACTGGAGGCAACAAATTCGTTCAATAATCATTGCATTCTTGCGGATGTCTACGCACCTCATAATGCATTGAGAGAAGATGTGCTAATGCTCAGTGTTGAAGCAAGCCGGCTTCTCATACAGGTCCCAAACGCCTGTAAATGACCATCATGACTATCATGTCCATCATGCCTTTTCATCATGTCGTCCATTCGCTCTTCAAGAGCCTCGCGCTTACCATCCACGCTTAGCAAGCTTCTCCTCCTCGCCCATGGTGCCACAGTTGATGCCAACCATCGCCTCACCCAGATCCATGCTGACCTCCATCAACACCTTAGGATCCTTGTAGTGCGTGACGGCTTGTACGATGGCCTTCGCGCGCTTCGCCGCGTCTCCGCTCTTGAAGATACCTGAACCAACGAAGACTCCGTCGCAGCCCAACTGCATCATCAGCGCCGCATCGGCCGGCGTCGCCACACCTCCGGCAGCGAAGTTAACCACCGGCAACCTCCCCAACTTGGCCGTCTCCTTCAGCAGATCATAATCAACCTGCAGTTCCTTCGCATACACGCGCAACTCCATCTCGTCCATGCCCTGCGCACGCTTGATCTCCGCGTTTACGGTGCGCATATGGCGTACTGCTTCGATAACGTCGCCCGTCCCGGCTTCGCCTTTTGTCCGGATCATGGCGGCGCCTTCAGCGATGCGACGCAGGGCTTCGCCGAGCCCGCGGCAGCCGCATACAAAGGGGATCTTGAAGGGGTGCTTGCTGACGTGGTGGATGGCGTCGGCGGGGGTAAGGACTTCGGATTCGTCGATGTAGTCTACGCCGAGGGCTTCGAGGATCTGCTCTCCACATTAGCACCGCACTGAGTACCAAAGATTATCAGAGGACGGGGACTGAGGAGCGGGTATGAAGACACTGAGGTTTTGGAGGGTGAGAGGAGGAGAGCGTACCTGGCATTCAACAAAGTGACCAATTCTCGCCTTGGCCATGACGGGAATAGTAACCGTCTCCATGATCTCCCTGATCATCTTGGGGTCCGACATGCGCGCCACGCCGCCCTGAGCTCTGATGTCGGCGGGGACGCGCTCGAGGGCCATGACGGCTGAAGCACCGGCTTCTTCTGCTATGCGTGCCTACATTTGGTGGTCAGTTCTTGCACGAGAGATTGGTGATTTGGCGATTGGAGTGAGAGGAGGTACCTGCTCGGCGTTGACGACGTCCATGATAACACCACCCTTCAACATGCGGGCGAGTCCTGCCTTGACGGCGAAGTTGTTCTCGCCATCCTGGGCATTGTGGCCGTTTGTGGTGGGAAGTTCGGTTGCCATTGTTCAAGAACTTATGAGGGGTATTAGACAATTAGGTGGTCAGTTGCAGTCTTGCTGAGAGACTCGAGGTGGGATGTAGAGTTGAAGCTGAGGTTGAGAAAGACAGCGACAGTCAATGAAGTGAGAGAAGGTTACTCAAGAAGAATTGATCTCGTGAGTGAGTCAAATTTACTCGATGACCCGCGTCCAAGACAATGCAGCGGCATCGCAACAATTTCTTGCCCATCCAAGGGTCATTCATCCCGCCGAATGGTTCGTTCGGCGCCGCGGCTAATGGCGGGGCAATGTCCGGAGTCGATGTGACGCGCTCTAGATCCCTGCGCCGCGCCCTTTGAATCACTCTTGACACATCGGATCCAATCATAGCGGGGTTGATAGTGTTAACGAGACCGTGAATTGCCGCAGCTTAGTCAATAGACTTCCAAGTGTGGGTTAGATTCTGGAATCACATCTTACAGCTACCTGAAAAGGTAAGTACCTTGTTGTACATGCAGGATCTCAAACGTATCGTTCTTTACTATGGTAGCGGACTAAACCAACGCCGCAGTACTGTCCACAAATGCTGAACACCGATGCCATGCAATTGCAGAAATTGATGAGCCGCAACATGCCGATGACAAGCTGCCGAATGCGTCAACCCTCTCCATAAATACATATCGACACGATGTGTCTAGTAGGGCGCTGTTTCGCGCTTCAACCACTTGAGGGTGAGAGGATCGTTCTTGAAGTACTCGCTTGTCTTCTCATAGACCTCCTTGTGATAGTCGTTGATGAACTTCTTCTCATCTTCTGTGAGCAGGCTCATGTCGACAAGATTCCTGCAGTGAGGCGTCATTGTGACATGCTCGAATCCAAGATATGGCTTGTCACCGAATTGATGCTTCGTCTCGATCTCCTTGACCATGATCATGTTCTCGATGCGGATGCCAAACTTGCCGTCCTCATAGTACCCTGGCTCGTCTGAGATAACATTACCGACAGCCAGTGCAACTTCAGAGTATTGTACCCTTGTGCCGATACCGATAGGACCCTCGTGGACGTTCAGGAAAGAGCCAACACCGTGTCCAGTTCCGTGTCGGTAGTCAAGCCCTTCAGCCCAGAGAAATTGGCGGGCAAGTGCGTCGATAGCGAAGCCTGTTGTGCCCTTTGGAAACTTGATGCGCTCAAGAGCGATGTTACCCTTGAGCACAAGCGTGTAAGCCTTACGCTCCATCTCAGTAGGCTCGCCGAAGTGTAGTGTTCTTGTCGTATCTGTGGTGCCATCTTGATACTGCGCGCCAGAGTCGCAAAGATAGATGGCTTTGGGGTCGATGACTGCGCACTCGCCCTTCTCCGGCTTGTAGTGAATGACAGCCGCATTAGCTCCGGTTGAAGAGATGGTGTCGAAGGAAAGACCCATGAAGCCGTTATGCTTGGAGCGTATGCTCTCCAACTTGTCGGCGCCATCTACTTCGTCGAGCGTAGCCTTCTTGTTGACCAGCTGATCCTCCAACCATGCGAAGTACTCGCTGAGCGCGGCACCATCCCGAATATGACATTGGCGCATGCCTTCCAGCTCGACCTCATTCTTCACTGCTTTTGCGTCGCCAACCGGACTGCGCACCTCCTCGACCTTGTCCTCGCCACCAAGAGCCTTGTTCAGTGCCCATGATGCTCGGTTGGAAGTGAGGAACTTCTTCTTCGTCTCGGACTCGTCCTTAGCTTCGAGCGATGCCTTGCTCAGGGCCGCAACATCTTCGAAAATGGCCTCGTAGGGGCGTATCTCAACTTTATCGCCAAGGTGGTTCTTAACGTCTTGTGGCAGCTTGCTTGCGTCGACGTAGAGCGTGGCAGCGGTTGGTGTGATGACAGCATAGGAAAAGAGGACGGGGTTGTATGGGATACTGCAAAGTGTCAGAGGCGTTGGTGACTGTAAGATTTCCGTGTACATACTCGCTTCCACGTATGTTGAACAGCCAGGCGATCTCATCCAGCATAGAGACAACAAAGCCTAGGCTCTTCCTCTTCTCAAGCTCTTTCCGCAGGTCTGAGATCTTGTCCTCAAAGCTCTTGCCAGAGAAATCCATGGGCTGCACAATGACTTTCTCGCTTGGACGGCTTGGTCTGTCTTTCCATACTGCGTCCACAAGGTTCTCATCGACCGCTTTGTATTCACCGCCCCTCTTTTTGATCTTGTCGGCCAGCTTCCTAGCGTCGACTGCCGTGACTACACTAGGATCTACGGCAACGACCTTGCCTCCCTCCACTCGTTCCACCGTCCACTCTTGGATAGTTGGAACATCTTGAATACCCTGTTTCAGCAGCTCCCAGTTGCCGTCCAGTTGCTTCTCAGCCTGGTTGAAGTAGCGTCCGTCGGTAGATAAGGCGGCCTTGTCATGTGTAATGACTGCGTAGCCAGCTGAGCCAGTGAAGCCGCTAATATATGCTAGAAGGTATCAATAGGTGTGCTGCGAGAGGCGGCGCGGGATCTGACCTCGGCGGGCGTCGCAAGGGGCAATGTACTCGCTCTGGTGGCTGTCTTCGGACGGTACCACTGCATGTGTGTTAGCGAGGCTCTGCATTGCTTGACCAGGGCTTGGTACTGTAGATATCGACATTGCGCTCCTTCATGAGCTTGCGGAGCTCCGCAAGCCGCTCAGTGGTGTCGACCTTGGACATATCGATGGCACGTAGGGCAGCAGATGCATGGAAAGCTCGACAGGTAAGAAAAGGTTTCCTGGCTACATACGCTACTGCTGTCGCGTGTGTGCGCACCAAAGGTCGTGGCAGAAGCATAGAGAGCGCCTACTATCGGTATGCAAGACACCCCCACCAACAATGGTACAGCTGCAATGCGGCGGGGGCTAGCGTCATTCTCAGGATAGGAGCGAACAACTCGCCAAGAAGATGTCAACCAACCTCTTTCGCCAGCCTGCTCCCAAAAATATAACACGAAAGCGAGCAACTCAACCTCTCACAAAGTTCGCCGCCATCAACGCTGCAAATCATGCGATCGCATGGTGGCGAGTCACTAGCGAATTTATTAAACGATCGTGGGAGACAGACGAGCCCAGCCTGCGCCCAAAACATATAGCTCGAGCATCACTATTCGATCTGACTAGTCACACCTTCTCGACTGTCGCCTAGATATACCTTGTAAGTGAGCAGCGCGCCGTGTGCAATTTTTCCAGCTTGTCACAGACCGCCAGGTGTAAGTATAATGTGGTGATTTTTAAATGAACACCTTTTCTACCAATCATTTTAATCCCCAAGCTCTCTCTTCTTCACATCTCACATATCTCATAAGTGGGCTCTGGTTGGTCGAGCTCACTTGGGCAATCGCTTGACTTCACTACTGCTGGCGTAGAGCCCAACGACATACTCGAACACCACTTCATGACTGACTCGTTTCGAACAGTCATCAGGAAATACCATGGCCACCAATGGGACTCAGGAGCAGCAGGGCTTCCCTTTGAGCTTTGTCGAAATCGAAGGTCTGGTCAAATCGCTGTACGATCCAGGACACGCAAAGAAGATCTCCCAGACAGAAGCAACGCTACGAATCTTGCAGCGGTCGCCCCAGGGATGGGAGATTGCAGACACCCTCCTGAAAAGCGACGATGAACAGGTCCGGTTCTTTGGGGCCCTCACATTGACTGTGAAGCTCAATGCTGACTCGTAAGTGGACCTTGCGATCGCCTCCACTTCAGACGCCTGATCATCTGTAGCAACGAACTGAGCGAAGAGCATTCTGCACAGTTGCTCTCTACACTTATTGTATGTCCGCACCCCACACAAAGGTATTTTGACTGACACCGTTGTGTAGCACCATCTAGTTTCGCGGCCATCATCCTCAATAGCGACGCGTAAAGTCAGCTCAACATTGGCTCAGTACTTCACCAAGCCTATCTCAATATGGAGCCTATGCCTCAGAAGTCTAGTCGTATCATTCGCGGCGCAACAACCTGCGTTGGACGATGCCCTGGAAGGTCACCCTTCAACGTGGGACCTGCTGCCTCAGCTATCTGATGATCAACTGCTTGTCCTCCTAGATTTCGCTATGAATCTGGCAGACGAAGCAAAGAAGCTCTCAGCGAGTCCGAAGTGAGTGCAACTAGTCATTGACATTAGAGACAAGCCATGCTAATGCTAGCTAGTCGCAAAGTGCATCACGAGATGATCGCCAATGCAGAAAGCTTAGAGGCGCTTCTCCATGCTTCGTTCGGACGCGGGTTCAAATACTTGTCCGTACCGATCAACGACCCCAGCTACAACGAGTCAGTGCAGCAGGGCGAGAAGATCTGTGTAGCTGCTTCAAAATGCTTTATTGTAGGTGTTTGCGCAGTGCTAGAGGTTCAAGGCTAACTTGTCAGGGCTGGATCTTCTATGCGCAATCCGAGTTCAAGCATGTGCCTGAGAAGCTCCACTACCTGCGATCGGTCACTGAGCTCGCCTTAACCTGCCTTGAGTATCACGTCGAAGATGCCATGGATCTCGTTGCTGAGGTCCTGGAGAACTACCCTTCTTTCTTCGAGGCAAAGCACCAAGAGATGCTATGGTCAGCGATTGCGGGCCCGTGGGGTTTGGAGATTCTGAGAGACCTAGATGCCGAAACAGTCTCGCTCGCCAGGATCATTGTAGCATACGGACAGATCCTGCTGGATTCGAAGAGTCTGTACAAAGAACACGAAACAGCGCACAACCAACAAGTCATGTGTAAGTTGGTGCTGACTCCGAGCTTGCTGGCGTACGAGCTGATATTGATGTAGCGTTCCTGCACGACCTCCTGAAATACTCAGAGATCGTAGGCGTGGACGATGAAGTGGCGCCGGTCGTACTTGACTTCTGGAGTGGCTTCGTTAGCGCAATCGCCGAAGAATCGTTCGAATACGCGGAAGGATCGTCATTGCCCTCTTGGATGGATGCCGCAAAGTCCAATGTGTTCCAGGGAATCTCTGAGCTCGCGCAGAAGATCATCTACCCCCCACCTAGCGTGACAAAGGAATGGGACTCGGATACAAAGAAGACCTTCAAAGTCTTCCGTATCGACGTACGAGACATCATCATGGAAGCTTACGAGTCGCTCCGTGATGCAATGACGGATCAATTTATCGACTTCACCTTGTGCGCACTTGCGACAGGCAACTGGCTGGAGCTCGAAGCCGGCCTCTTCTGTTTGATTTCGATCGCAGATGCCTTCAATGAGAAAGTCGACGAGCGTCTCAATCGTCTCTTCGAGCAGCCTCTATTCTCGGCCATGTCTGGCGATGCAGATATACCTGCCATTACCCGGAGGTCTGCTGTGGAGTTAGTCGCAGCTCTCAACCAGTTCTTCCTGCGCAAACCGCGCTTTTTACCTCAAGTATTACCTTTCCTGCTCAAAGCATTGGCTCAGCCCGCACTCGCTCACAGCGCAGCCAAGTCGTTTGCGTCCCTGTGCTCCGAATGTAGGAAATCGCTCACAGGCGAGCTCGACTCATTCTTCCAGATGTATGAGCAATTTCTTACATATCAGACTGCGGAAGAGTTCACGAAGAGCAAGGTCCTCGAAGGTATCGCTGCAATTGTCCAGTCAGCGGACTCTGAAGAGAAGCAGCTTATTGGTGTTAGGCAGCTCTTCGGTTACATTGCACAAGACGCAATGGGCGCAATCAAGGCCATAAAAGAAGGCAATGACCCAGAACAGGGGCAAGTGCTTGCGTTGACAACTCTGAAATGTTTGTCAAGCATCGGTCGCGCACTACAAGCTCTTGACGAAGAGGTTGTAGATCTCGAAGCGGACTCAAAACTGGAAACTTCAACATTCTGGTCAGAAGGACCTGGCAAAGAGATCCAGAACCAGGTCATCAACATGATCAACTACATGACACAAGTCTTCCCGAGAAACGACGAGATTATCGAATCGGCCTGCAATGTCTTGCGCACTGGCTTCAAGGAGTCCATTCCCGGTCCTTTCGTATTGCCACCTTCCGCTGCCGTCGACTTCATCACCAAGACAACGGTGCAAACGCCACGACTGCCTTTCGTCCTCGAAACAGCATGTTGCTGGCTCTCATCTCACAAGCACAAGCGACCTGCCGATTTCGCCATACAGGCGCAACGCCTGCTACAGCACGATCTGAGCATCATGCAAGCACTACAGCACCCCCGAAACGACCCGGAGATTGCTGTTGGTTGCATCGAGCTGATTCAGCAGTTCGCCAACACAGACTTGCGCCTGCTCGCACAAGAACACCCAGATACTCTGCAGGGAATGTTTGGCTTCTGTGTCGAGTCAATCAAGTCGCCAGAAGTACTACCCAAGCGAGCATCCGCAAAGCTGTGGAAGGATATCTTTGAATCGACCGCAAATTCGCACGGCCAGCACCAAGGCACCTCGCAAGACATCATCAACCACTTTGGGCACGCAGTGACGTACGCATTGATCACCAATGTCTGCGGCGAAGTCGACTACACGAGTCTGGAGCACATCGTTGCACCACTTCGTGCACTCATTCGATCGGACAAAAACGCAAGGGCGTACATCACAAGTTCTCTAGCGGAGCAGCCGCTACTTCAGCGATTCCAGCAAGACCCAGGCGTGCAGGAACTGGTACGGAAGTTCATCGAAAGCTCCATGAGGTGATTCATCCTTCTTTTGTTACAACGATCCAACACTGACGTACATACAGGAACGCGAAGAGCTCGACGGGCTTCAAAGACACCGTCAAAGGCTTTTGGCAGAGCTGCAAACAACTTCAGATGCAGCTACAGCCCCAAATGATGGCTCAAGGCCACGGTCGTTTCGCATAGCATAGCGACGACCACGAGCTCGTACAATAGCAAACGCTACTCGATAATGTTCACTAGACTAGAACTCGGCAAATGCAGCCAGTGCAAATGTCAAGCCGAATGACAGCTTGAAAGCGACGTTATCCTGTACCAACGACCGCACATTCGTCGACCTGAAGCGGCGCTGCAGATACGAGTAGGGGATGATGTGGATGCCTCTCGACTCGACGAACTAGACCTCGTATCAGCATCATGCAGCGAAAAGTAGCATCCTCCCAAGTCAAACATTCTGCAAGCTTCCCTCTCTCTTTCTACGCTCTTTCCTGACTGTCACGACTTACCTGGAGCAAAACAACTCCCAACCCAATCAAAATCGCCAACGGCTTACTGAACACACTGATCCCCAGACCTCCCAGCACACCCAATATACTCCCCATACTAATCTGCCGCACCGCCTTCGGATTGGGCGCCCCGGACTGCGTGATCACAGGTGTCTGCGCATCGTGGGCATATGTGCTGCGCAGGTCACCAAGCTTCGCGAGCGGGTCCGCAGAGTCGCAACGGATGGATTGGGCGTGTCGCAAGTTGTGGTACAGCAGCGGTGTGCTAAGGATTAGGGGTGTTGCGAGGAGAGCGCCGTGGCGCAGGCCGGGGAGGAGGAAGGACATGTTGGGTGCGGAAGTTCGGCGGTGGAGGTAGGCCGAGAGTTGGCGCTCGATTGGCGCGTTTCTTGGGACCTTGAGGGGTGTGCGGAGTGCGGATTGGAGGGCTTTTGAGGGCAATTGAGTGCGTGGAGACATGTAGGTTGCTGGGACGTGAAGTTTCACAAGTCGAAGGCTGATGATGTCACTCATTGGTCGAGGGGCTTAGGCCAGACAGGGGTTAGGTTGGACCCTGGATTTGAGCTTCAACGTCGCGTCTTGGCCATCCCGACTCGACACCGTGATGGACTCTTGCCAATTCTTCTTCAATTTTATGTCGCTCATGGGGCCCGTTTTTCTGTAGGAGTTGTAACACATTGGTAGGTTTGAGGTTCAAAGATTAGCTGCGATGGCGCCACGAACGGTGTTGCTCGCGCTTGCGAATCTTTTGATTCCAGTCGCGATTCTGACCTTCGCGACGGGCTTCTTCCCGTACAAGCCTTTCATGCCAGGGCTAGCAGAGTATGAAGAGCTGAAATGGGAGGGAAATAATGCAACGGATTCGCAACAACCTCCGGAGGCACCATTCGACAAGCTGGTGTTCATGGTAGTGGATGCGCTGAGGAGCGACTTCGTCTACAGCAAGGAGAGTGGGATGAGCTTTGTTCAGAGGTATGTCTTTCCGTACGAAAATGATTCAGTCGCTGACCGTGCTACAGCCTTATCCGCGACGGCACAGCGCTCCCCTTCACAGCCCACGCTACCTCCCCCACCATCACCATGCCGCGCGTGAAGGCCATCACCACAGGCTCCATCCCCTCCTTTCTCGACGTGATCCTGAACTTCGCCGAATCAGACACAACATCCACGCTCGCAACGCAAGACACCTGGCTCGCACAGATCAAAGCCAAGCGCTTCGGAAACAAGCAAGGGAAACTAGTCATGTACGGTGACGACACGTGGTTGAAGCTGTTCCCAGACTTCTTTGAGAGAGCGGACGGGACGAGCAGTTTCTTTGTTTCGGTCAGTCTCTTGTACTCTTGGTTATGTAGCTGGAATACAAGGTTGATTCTAGATGCGCAGGACTTCACCGAAGTGGACAATAACGTGACGAGACATGTTCCTAATGAGTTGCTGAATGAGGACTGGAATGCTATGATTATGCATTACCTGGGTTTGGATCATATTGGGCACAAGGCTGGTCCGAAAAGGTACATTGCGCTTGTTGCAATTGTGCTGCGTTGCTGTACTGACTCGCTCCAGTCCGAACATGCTTCCGAAACAGAAGGAAATGGATGACATTGTACGGACGATTTATTCTGCCATTGAAATCGAAGACCACCTAGCCAACACCCTGTTCGTACTGTGCGGCGACCACGGCATGAATGAAGGCGGCAACCACGGAGGATCGTCGCCCGGCGAGACATCACCCGCGCTCGTCTTCATGAGTCCGAAACTCACCAAGATCACCCACGGTCGGCCGATCGTCGGAAGTCCCTCAAAGCCCAAGACAGAAGGCGAGTTTGATTACTATAGGACGGTGGAGCAGAGTGATATTGCGCCGACTTTGTCAGGTCTCCTTGGCTTTCCGGTACCAAGAAACAATCTCGGTGTATTCCTCAGCGAGTTTTTGGGGTTTTGGGATAACAGTGAGTTCTTTTGTTTGGTAATGATGCACGTTGAAACTGATAGTGTTAGATTTGGACCGTATTCAGCTTCTGTATAGGAACGCTAAACAGATCAAGCATATTGTCGAAGCTACATACACGAGTCAGAGTTTCGATGACCAGGCCTTAGCTCCAGGCCATGGACTCTCGGACTGCGACTATTCAGATAGCGGCGAAAAGCTCGCTTGTCGTTGGAACAGATTTGTGAGAGGTCTGGCACATGACGAAGAGGACGTGCAGCAAGCCCATCTCACGAAGGTAAACCTCCCACGGCGAATTTGTGCACTGCAGAGCCTCGAAAGTCTGATATACTAACGACAGACAGTTCATGCATGACGCTCAAGACATCATGTCTAGCGCAGCATCCAACTACGACGTGCCACGACTATTCCTCGGCACTGCTTTCGCCTTCCTCATCTGCGTCCTAAGTTTCTTCACGCTTCCATCACTGCGACCCACATCGTCTGCTGGCCTCTACTACTTTCTCACTCTCGGACTGTACGCCGTCCTCATGTTCGCTTCCTCCTACGTCGAAGAAGAGCATAACTTCTGGTACTGGATCACATCGGGCTGGGTTTTCTACCTGTTTCTGCACAGCGTGCGGAAAAAACAAAACAGCACATGGATCCTCCATCCTGCTCTTGCGGTTCTGGTCATCCACAGGGTGATAAGGCGATGGAACCAAACGGGCCAAAAGTTCGCGGGCGCAGATGACATCGTAACGAGCGGTATTTTCCACGGGAATAACTCCATCCTGTTGTGGGTGCTGGTCGGTGCCACATACTTGGACGTCACGCTTCGCGTCTCTAGACATTATGCTCGCTCTGTGGTCACGCTGAGCAATCCGTTGTACAGAAAACAACTGGACCCGCAACCATTGGAGCACCACCGCATGATAGGTAGTCTTGTCGCGTTGCCTCTCTGTGGCACAGCCTTCATTTTCAAAATTGCGTTTACCGTGAAAGACGCCCCGGAGCTTACATATACCCTCACGTCCAATGTGATGGCGTGGGTGGAAACACTTGATCTCGTCCTACTTGCACGGATGGTCTTCGGAGGTATCGCGTTTAGCTTTGCTGGCATCCTGTTTGCAGAGTATCAACGATCAACACGCCGAGCAAAGAGGAATGTCAAGGGCCACGGCGGTACGATGCTCTGTTCTGCTGGTTATGTTCGGAGCTAATATAGACACAGATCTAGCGATCACGTTCTTCGACCTCCTGACGCTCTTCCTCCTCACGCAGACAAAAGCCCAGAACATACCTCTCTACCTGCTCTTCCGCATCCAAGTCTTCTCCCTCTGTAAGTCCGTCCGCCAACCTACACCTACCATGGGGTTAGGGTGTCCCACAAACTCAAACTAACAATTCCAGCGCACCTCGCCCTCACCCCAACCCGCACCACCCTCACAACCCTCCTCCTGAGCCAAACAGCCTTCTACGCTTTAGGTTTGAACAACAGCATATCTTCCATCGACCTCTCCAACGCATACAACGGCGTATCGGGCTACAACGTGCTCGCCGTCGGAGTCCTCGTATTCCTATCAAACTGGTCCGGGCCCGTGTACTGGAGTCTCGCAGGCGTTCTGCTCCTGCGCTCGTACGGGCGACCAAGCACTCCGCCACCAGCCAGTGGCAGCAGAGCCGGTGGTGGCAAGCGCAGCTGGGTGGTCCAAGAGCATGCACACCTGCACGCCCTGGCCAACAAGACTGAGCCGAATGAACAACACCACTCTGAACCGCACCACAGCGCGGATCGGTGGCGTACGCATGTATCCCTCCTCACGTTGTTCACCGGTGTCATGCTGACTAGCGTCATGGCCGCGTGTACAGCGCTCCGAACGCACTTATTCATCTGGACGGTGTTCAGCCCGAAGTATTTGTTCGCGATGGCGTGGGGGCTTGCATGGCATCTGGGCGTTACGCTGGGGTTGGGTGGGTTGGTGTGGTGGATGGGAAGTTGGTGAGGCAGCAGCTTCTTGAAGCCGTGCGATGTGGCGGATGGAGGAGTGTGGGAGTATCAGAGTAATATTTGGGGGCTGTGGAGGTTGCGTGTGAGAGTATCAAATCAAATCTTCGTTGAGGTGTGGTTGGAATCTAGGACCCTCGTTTCGATGTCACCACCGTTTCTCTGCATCTATACATATCGGAGGATGATTAGGTCATCATGCTCTCCTGGATAACCTTATACTCCTTCCTCTTCTTTGCCCACTTCTTACCTCCCACCTTGACCTTCATTACTCCAATCCACTTCGCCAACCCCGGCAGCAACAAATGCTCAGCAAGATAAGCAACCGCAAAATTCCCCAGTCCCAAAACAAGTAGGAACACCTTGAACGGCACATCGATCTCCGTCAGCTCCATCCACCGCATCACCCAGTCCGTAGGATCAAACAGCATATACACGGACAGCGCAAGCGCGAGGAAAATAGTGCTAACAAACGGCAAATTGCGGCTCATGGGCTCGCGGTACGGACGGCCGACGCTGAGCACCACCGCGGACAAGATGTACTGGAAACAGGACACCAAGAACAGCGCCGTGTTTTGGCTGTTCAAGCTGTTCGAATGATCCGGGTCGATGATGGGGGGCTGGTACCATGTCTGCTGCTGGACGAAGTGGAACGCCAAGAACTGTGTGAGGACGCAGAGCACCATTTGGCCGAGCAGCGGGGTCAGGACTTTGCGGGATACGAGGTTAGCGGTGGGCCGTTTTCGGCTGAGGATTGGGTGTGCGGCGCTCCAGCCCATGAAGATGGCGATCGGAAGGATCAAAGCGAGGTCGATGAACAGGAATTGGAAGTCCCCGAGGTTCGAGGCGGAGGCGTATAGGAAGCTGACGGAGCAGAATTGGATCGCCGAGTATAAGCTCATGTACTTGAAGCAGCTGAAAGAGGTGACCAGCGCGGCTCTTCCCTCTTTAATCACCTGCGGGACGCACAAGATGTCGAATTGGCGACTCGTGAAGGGCGCAGCGACAGACGCTTCTGCTTCGGACAGGGAGATGCCAACGTCAGCGGCTTTGAGCGCTCCGCAGTCGTTTGCGCCGTCGCCGCAGAAACCCACGCAGTAGTCGATAGATTGTAGTTTCTCAACGAGTTCGTGTTTTTCGTCGGGCGACATGCGCGCGAAGACTTGGCCGGCGACGAGCATTTCGCGCAAAACGGATTCGGAGGCGAAGTCGATGATCCAGCGGAACACGTCTCCTGATACGGCTAAGGAGTAGTTGCGCAGGTTAGATACATCGTAGGGCAGGGAGACATCGGCTTCGGGCGGTGGCGGGAGCGGTTTGAGACTGTTTTCGTCGAGCTTGAAGACCGGGTCGTCGACGGACTCCCAGGAGAGTTTGGATAAGGGATTGCGGGAGTCACCTTCTGCGAAATGGGGGACGAAGCAGTGTGCTGTTTTGTTGACCAGGCCGCATTCGCGGGCAACGCTGATAGCGGTGAGGATGTTGTCGCCGGTGCACATGACTTTGCGGATATTGGCGCGCTCGAGCTCCTCGATGACGGGCGCGGTGCTGTCCTTTAGCTTGTTCTCGAACACGATGAAACCGATGAACTCGAGGTCGCTTTCTGCTTCTTCGCGCTTCATCTTCTGCACCTTGAGCCAGTTGAGCTTTGGAATGGACTTGGTTGCGCAGGCGATGACACGGAAGCCGCGGTGCGTGTAGAAGGTCAGTAGCTCTTCGTAGTCGGTGGGGAAGCTCTCTGGGCGGCAGATCTCCTTCATGACTTCGGGTGCGCCCTTGACGTAGATGTCGCCGCTCTTGGAGCCGAAGCGGCGGACGATGACACTGGCTCTGCGAAGCTGCGAAACGAACTCGAACGACTTCAGCACGCCGAGCTCAACGGGTCTGCGGCTGTCGTCTTCGTCGTCGAGATCGTACTCGCGTCCAGGAGGCGGGCGAGCGACAGATGGCGAAAGCTTCTGTTCTGGGTCGTCATCATTGTTGCCCGATCCATCGCCTTCTTCGTAGCTCCAGCCGGTGAAATCGAACATCTTAACATCCAGCGGGTCGCCAACAAGCTCATCGTCAATCTTGCGCAGTGAGTGGCACGTAGCCATGGTGTACAGGATAGTCTTGTGCGCAATGTACTCGACGGTTGGATCGCGGTCGTGATGCGATGCAGGCAGGATGTCGTAGGGATCAGCCAAGATCTCGCTGAACCTGTTCCTTGGTCGTTCGACGACACGAACACCCAAAACGTCGAGACCTTCCTCGGTGAGTGTTCCCGTCTTGTCGAAACATACTACATCGAGCTTGCCACCGACGTTGACACGCTGCGGGCTGATGCAAAAGATCTGCTTCTGCTTGAGGCGCGACAGGGCGAAGGATGTGCCGATGGTCAGGGTCGCAGGCAGTGCGGGAGGGACGACGATGGTGATCAAGTCGAGGGCGCGGACAACAATCAGATGCCACGCGAGGCCGAGATGAACGAAATTGATGAACGATGCGACGAATCCAATCATGGCAATGACAGCCATGACAGAGATGTACCGGAACGAGTCGCGATAGAACTTGAAGCCAGACGGCTTGGGGAACAGCATCGACCTGACCAGAGCGCCCTTGGTCGTGTTGAACCCAGTGCGGACGACCATAGCCAGAGCTGCGGCTTCATCGTCATCGTGATCTTCATGCGGTCGGCGGGCGCGGATGATCTTAGTGCCAGAGAAAAGCATGTGTCGCGCAACTTCAGGGTGGACAGCGGAAGCGCTTAGATCGAGGAGGTCCAGCGACTGGTTGGTCACCGGGATCTTTGAGACGGGGATGGACTCGCCCGTCAGCATACTCTCGTTGACAATGCAGTCTCCAGAGAGCAGCAGACTGTCGCAGGGGAACTGAGCAAGTGCGGGGTCCGTGACCTCGTACACATCTCCAGGGACCAGCTCGCCAGAATCGACGTGGGTCCAGAAACCGTTGCGCAGGACGCGGATCTCGCACTCGAACTTGGAGACCTCGCGCAGGCGCTTCATCGTAGCCTTGGTCTCGATGAGCGTTGTCGTGATACTGATGACGGAGATGAGGAAGATGGCAGCGGCGTAGTAGTAGTACTCGTCCACGGACCAGAGAAACAAACTCGCGATCTGGAAGACGTAGAACGGATGGAAGACCTCGTCGACGAGTAGCTGGCCGAGAGACTTTTCAGCGATATCGATCTGGTTCTTGCCGAACACGAGCTCCCGGTAGGCACGCTCCTCGTTGTCGAGACCTTCGCGCAGCGCGGTGACATCAGTCCAGGCGGGATCTGTCCAAGTGTTTGCGAGAACAAACCTGTCCTTGATGGGATGATAGACGAAGCGGATGTAGCGGTAGTCCAAGCAGCGCAGTTCTTTGATCAGCGGGTCCTCGTCCTCGTCCCAGTCGCCGCGGCGTTTCTTCTCCGAGTCGCCGAACACGGTGGTGAGCGAGCGGCCGTAGGGCTGCCTGTTGACCTTTTGGACCGCGAACTCGCCCCACTGGTTCTCGATGACGACCCAGTCAGCCTCCTTGAGGGGCGTGGGCTTGCCGGTCAGCGAGACCTGCCAGCGCGGCAGCCACCTGAACAGCAGCCAGGCGATGCCGAACGTCGCGATGCAGAGCAGAGAGTAGACGGTGAAGCCGACGGTAGACGTCCTGAAGCCAGCGACGACGATGGTCAGGTCCTCGGTCATGATGTAAATCTTCTGGTTCTTGCGGCGCCCCCTCCAGCTGCCTGAGCCAGCACTGCTCGCGCTCGAGTGCCTCCTCAGCAGCGGCCGATCCACGCTGCGACGGCTGCTGCGACGGCTGCTGCGACGGCTCCTGCTCCCGCTCGACTTCCTCCGCAACGGGGACGGCTCCGTGCGCAGCCCAGACTCCAGATCGCGATCCATGTCCTCGAGCTCCTCCGCCGTGTACCCGTCATACTCGACCTCGTCATCGACCTCGCCGTCGTCGATCTCGTCGTCGTCGACCTCGGCAATTGCCTCCTCTTCGAAATCCTGGTCGCTGTCCTGCTCCTCGTCGTAGTATGCAAACGACGTCAGACTGGCGGAGCTGTCGGCGCGCTCTCGTCTGCGGTGCGAGAACGCGGACACGCTCGTGGGGACGCTCTCGCTCATTCCCGGCCCGGCGAAGATCTGGATTCTGGCGTCAGCTGTGCCAGATCGGGGACGCGAACGCGAAAACACGGGTTGTAGCTCTACCTCGTCCTGCGCCATCTCGACGTCTTCCATGAAGCTGGCGGCTCTGCACTGCATCAGCTGTCGTGTCAATGTCTCGCGGATATGTCTCGCGGATATGCTCGGTGCCTACTCGCTCATGTTGGACTCGCGCCGGTACATGCCCATGCTCCTGCGACGCCGCTCGGGGCTCCCGTTTGCTGCCATGGTGACGCGCAATGGAGTGTTGCGTTCAGCGCATCGTGCTGCTGGGCAGAAAAGCTCGAGGGTGCCGTGGTGCCGTTGGGGCGCACAGATAGCAATGACATCGCAAACTCAACCCGTGCAGGGGTCGATCGTGCAGGGGTCGTTCATGCACCGCTCCGCTAGCGTGGCCGAGGTCTTTGGCGAACTCAACTCGAGCATCACTGATAACGTTTTAATTTGATCTTTCCAGCACCTGTGCTTTGGGCCTGAGCTCTCACCATCCCTTGTACTCTGACTGAACCCAACCTCATGTACCTAACCCTTTGCATTACCAGAGGGGCTACTGCTCCTCTCGTCTTCCAGAGTCTTAGACTCGAATAGGACGTTAAACCAACCAGCCAACCAATCAACCAATCAACCAATCAACCAATCAACCAATCAACCAATCAACCAATCAACCAATCAACCAATCAACCAATCAACCAATCAACCAATCACTCACTCACTCACTCACTCACTCACTCATAACGAAGCACAATCGTCACGTTGAGCCGTTGAGCCGTTGAGCGTGTAGTGCATCCGCACGCATGCCTTGTGTTCATTCGCATGTGCTGAATCCTAGCATCAGAGTCACGCTCCCATCTTCGCCTTCACAAACGCTACACTGTCCAGCAACCCCTCCTCCACACTCTTGATCGTGCCCACCGGATTTCCAATAAACCCATGAGGCGCCCCGTTATAGATCTTGACCACCGCCTCATTCCCCCACATCTGCCACTTAGCCCCCATAAACACCGTGTCATCCAGCAGCGGATCCTCACTGCCGCACGTAAACAGTGCTGGTGGGAGCTTCAGCCCCCTGATATCCTTGAAGAAGGGCGATATGCTGGGATCGCGGCGCTGCTCTATTGTTGTGTTGGGGAGTAGGGCGTTGATGTAGGCGGCCATGACGTCATGGTCGATGACCAGGTGCTTCTCGTGGTGCTCGACGTGTGGTAGGAAGCCGGAGAGGTCGTAGCAGCCAAAGTGGAGGAGCAGACCACGGAAGGCGAAGGACGGCGTCGAGGAGAGGAGGTGGAAGGCTACGAGGCAGGCGAGGTGGCCGCCAGCAGACTGTGACAGATTAGTGGTTCACTTGGAGTTGGACTTGGCAGCGTACTTCTCCCCCTGTGAACATCAGCTCGCCGCCGAAGACATCTGGCCCGTTCTTTACGAGCCACTCGGCAGCATCATAGCAGTCCTCTCCGCCTGCGGGCCACGGGTGCTCAGGCGCCAGTCTGTAGCCGACCGAGAAGACTGTCAGTTCGTAGTGATCGGCCATGTACTTGAGGTACGTATCCTGGCTGTACAAATGAGTTGGGTCCATGCATCACAGTTACAGCGGGCATACTAATGTTCTGATTGCAGCACCCAGCCTCCACCGTGGATGTGTAGGTGGATCCCCCTGCTCACGCCCCCAGCAGGCTTGAACACACGGTATGGGATCTCTCGGCCAGCTTCACGCGACGGTATTGTGCCATTGACGCCTTCCGGAAGAACGACCGGCTTTGGAAGCGGTGTCTTGCCTTCCCACCGAAGCTTGCGGTACTCCTCTGCGCCAACCTGACACCGTCAGCTAAATTCCATCTCCGAACTTGGACATGTTGTACCTCATACCACCTTGGCCCGTCTGCCCAGATCTTAATCAGCTTCTCGTTGAACTCTTCTGTCTGCTGGTCGACAAGCTTGCGATCGAACTTCGACGCGTCGATTGTAAGGTCTGATTGAAGTGACATGGTGGAGACGCGTGAGATTCAAGAACTACAAACGTCAGGAGGGATTGAGTCCAACGGAAGAAAGCAGAGAGGTTTGACATGCAAGGCGGCCATGTTGTATTTGTCCATAGCTCTATGGTGGGGGCGGGGTAGCAACGAGCGGTTGCTCGACATTGTTCTAGGTTCGGGTTACTGGATGCGAAGAAGCCGAGGCTGCCGCTGTCAGATCATGATCGTCATACGAAGCTGCATTAGCAGTGGGTCTGAGATAAGCTGTGCTCTCGTATGTGACCCTAAAGACATCGAGAATGACTCCAGAGTACAACTTCGGCGATGCTGTTCACGAGTCAATAACTCAAGGGAAGGGAAAAGAGAAAACGACAAATATGAGCAGAGAAATAGGTGTATTAGGTTGTAGCTCGAGCCGTGTCAGCGTATACTTTTCGACTGCATCCTAGATGTCGATATTGACGAGTGTGCGTTCGTTTGCCCCTTGACTCGCCTTCGTGACTGGCGCTCTTCATCCTTAGCGAAGTATGATTTGGTCTTAACAGCTGCGGCCAAGGCCGTTCGAGGAGGATACAGAACAATGTCCCAGGCTGTCTGCAAAGCATTGTTGACGAGATTGACAAACCAGCTGATAAGACTGGATATGATGCCTGGTCGTTGCCCTGTCCGTGCTGCCATTGCTGCAAGAGACAATGAGTCCTTCAGCCGCAAGTCGACTTCCTGAAAGCGTGCCTCTATCTGGATAGTCTGCGCAGCCGATCTCTTCTCGTATCGTCGTATGGCTCTTGTGATAGCATCCAGTTGTATCTGTATGCCCTGTCGCACTTCAGCAGCAACTCGCGACGTCTCGAGGTCGTTGTTCGCCGTTGGCCCGCTCAGTCTTCCCTCCAGCTCTGACAGTCGCTGTGCTATAGCTTGCGCATGATTGGGGTCCACCAGATCTCGTGGATCTGTCTTTACAATACGCTGTAGGTGGAACATACGCTCCTCCTGCATCTTCATGAGCCGCGCGATCGGTCGGAGCTCTGCAACCATGACGAATATGGTGAGGTTGTAGTCGGACACCAGCCCCTCTGTAACCCTGAGCTGCCCGCGAATGGTATGAAGGAGGCATGCTCCGACCAGGGGGCCGAGGAAGCATGCAGCAAACGCCATTCGCTCCTGTCTCTTCAGAGCTTTGCTGGCTTCGAGTTGTGCCAAGGTCGCAGTGGTCGCGCCCACTCGCTCTCTCGACTTCGAGTCTTCTGGTGTCGAGTCTTCTAGTATCGAGTCTGCGTTGTCGTCGGGATCGTTAATACTATCTTCGTTCTCTTCCTCGTGAATAGTGTCATCGTATTGGGGTTCGTCAGGTTCGATGTACCGTCGCTGCTGCGCCGAATGATACCAAGTCCTATGCATTTTGATCAGTCGCCCATCACGCTGCCCAAGCAATGACCGGCATACCATGGAAATGTACAACACCAATGCAGGAACCATGATGCCAGACCCAGCGTGAAGATATCTGTCAAGACAGCAGCTCCATTTTGGTAGAGAAGCCCGCCAACTGCAGGGACTATAGCAAAAATAACAGGGCTGGATAGCCAATGGTTGCCTTCTTCCAGAGATGCGACCTTATCATAGGCATCCGTATTTCTGAGGAGGTTGTCGGTTGAGGACCGAGCGGAGTGTCGTGTGTCTGACAAGTCGGAAAGCAGTGAGCTACGGCGTCGAAGAGGACGAGTAGGAGAAGGCTGCGCGCCCTCAGCGAAGGTTGCTGCGCGGTTCAACATCCTTTGGCGAAGCTGCGAAGGAATTTGGGGATCAGAGACAAGGCCTTCAGCAGGTGCGCCCTCCATCGTGCAGAAAACACGAAACGGCTAATTGTGGAAGCCTAATGTGCCTTGACATGAACCTTCAAGCATACGTCGACGTCAACAGCAGTGGAGAGGTCGGAGGTGGTCGACGCGGCCATCGGCAACGCGTAGTGTCGCGGTGATGCTCACATCTCGTAGTAGCTACGGGCTCGCGTACCGTGGACAGCGTACCTCGGGAAGGCGGAACGCTTGTTTACGTCACAGCTAGCCGCTTCTGGGCAATTGTATACCACGACGATCATCCGAGCATCTTCATTCTCCATGTCATCTCGCTCTCAAAATTGTCAACTTCAGGCACAGCTCATTCAGTCGTTGTTAGGCTCCCGATGTCTACTGTTCGTGCTGCTTCGACATGCACTCGTCCGCATCCAAAGCCTATTTGACTGCCTCTAAGGACTTGTACGCCTCCGGCATGCATCAACACGGGCACATAGGTCTGCTTCCAGTGCACAAACATGTCGCTTACGTTCTTGTGCTCGACATCTTAGGTCATTGACCGGAACAACGTCCAACAACGCTTGGAGCACTGAAAAGTAGGAGAAAGCTGACCAAGTGAGGCAGCACAGATTGATTGCACACATTGTCAACACGATATCTACCGTCATTCTGGATCAATGGAAGTTGTGTTTGAATTTCTCGTTTGATGTTGGCGAGCGCTCCGACAAAGTTGTATTCGAGTCCTATTGAGCACCTATTCTGGTAAACCCACGCTAGGGAACCTCGCCTCCAACACTCGCTAGTAACACACGGCAACCATGGCGCTGGGTGAGACTATGGCCATGCTGTGTAACATCTTCCATACAATGCAGAGTCGTCGGCGAGCATATTCAATCTCGACGTGACGGACCTACTTTCACTTCCCAGCTCCGCAAAAGTCAAACGGAAGCTGCTATTGAGATGTATTGACGACTGAAACACCTAGTCAGTCAAGGTGGCCTCAATTGTAGAACGACGGTAAGGATAGCGAGGCCAGCCGTTCGTCAATCAAGCTCTCTCTTCTTCCATCTGTTCCAATCCCCTCTTCTTCCATCTGTCCTCCTGGTCACCAAGTTAGTTCTCAAACCAATCTTTCCAACGAACAAAGAATACGCAAGCTTCGGTCAACCCAATCTTTCGACAGCCAGATATTATCTAGGCCACTCTGTCAGCAATCAAAGGTTCACAGCAGCTGGTGTAGCTATCAACGACCTGTCTATATCCGGGTCCCCATTCGATAGTCAGTATGTCTATCAGACTGCTTCCCCTCAGATCACCGGAAACTGACCGACCAGACATCATGTCCACTGAAGGAATCTACCCTACAGCCATCCTCTTCTCGACTCTTGCTTGGTTCTCTTGGCTCCTCTGCATAGCACCTCTGGTATGGCACATCTCCCAGCGAAACGTTGCAGCCGGCTCACTCGTCCTCTGGATCATTCTCACCAACTTCTCTCTCGGCATCAATCCGCTCATCTGGGGCCACGATAACCTCGATGAGTGGTGGGATGGTGTCGTGTGGTGCGACATCAATAGTCGCATCCAAGTTGGAGCGCAAGTCGCCTTAGGGGCGGCAGTGGCTATGATTTTTCGGAGACTCGCTCAAGTTATGGACACGCGCAACATTACCGTCGCACCTAGCAGGAGCAACAAGATGAGGGGCCAACTGGTTGAGCTTGCATGGTGCTGGGTATATCCCCTGGTTCTGATTCTGCTTTACATTCCCATCCAATCTGTTCGTTACAACATATGGGGCATTGAAGGCTGTAACTCTGCATACCGCTCGAATTGGCAAAGCCTGGTTCTCAATGCCATTTGGGTGCCCATCACCATGGCTGTAGTAGTGTACTACGCAGGTCAGTCTTGGATCATTCAAGGACCACGCCCGTTACTAACGATCATACAGTCCTCCTTCTCGTACGCCTCTACCGCTACCGTCGCGAGTTCTCCCGCCTCGTAACAGCCCGCAACTCCACCAAATCCCGCTTCTTCCGCCTCTTCCTTATGTGCATGGTCTTCCTCCTTGCCGTCGCCCCCTATTCCGTCTACCCGTTTTATTACTTCTGCTCCTCGATGGCCGAGTTCGAATACGATTCTGAGTGGGAAGAACTCCAGGGAAACAGGAGGAACATGATCCTCAAGTTCCCTTCTGACGGCCAGGTGCACATCGACAAGTGGGGCCAGATCTGCCTGGGCTACGTTATCTTCCTCCTCTTCGGAACCGGCACCGATGCGCAAAACACATACAAGAAGATGCTGCTTGTATTTGAACTGGGCAAGATCTTCCCAAGCTTGTACGTCATGCGCGAGAGCGGCACCAGCACACCCTCCCGCTTCATCTCCGTTCGTACCTGGACTTCATCATGTATGAGCAAGGCCAAGAGCTACTTCTCCAAAGGTGACTCGCAAATCAGTTCGTTTGGCGGCAGCACGTTCAACAACAGCGTGCGCACCAAATCTGTTGCTCTTCACAATATGGATCACGCTCACCTCCAATCGGTCTCAAGCACCACCCCGGCCCTACCTGAGCTCAGCTCGACCTCCAACCCTTTGCTCAAGTGCATCTTAACCTGTAGCGGTCGCCACGAGCCTATCCTCCCTATGTTTTCGCAGCGCTCAGACGCTTCCGTTACGAACGGCGAGAAGGCGGTCGTGGAGACTGTGCCTGAGGGCTTAACAGCTCGGGCTTGGCCTTCTGAGGCGCCGATGAGCAGGCGCAACAGTGAGTCGGTGGGCGTCATTATGTTTCGCGAGGTGCATCTCGATGAGGAGTTGAGAGAGAGCACGGAGAGGAAGTCGGCAGATGAGCGGATGTTGAGACCTTGAGTTGGTGGTTTTTGTGTAGCAGCGGGTTTTTCTTTTATCGTATGGACATGATTAGGATGATTTGATACCTAGGGTTCATACGGTAAGATCGTTGGCGAGCGGTTTGGATGTAACGCTTTCTTCTCTTAGCAGGCTATGTATCAATGCGATGGTGCACCTCATCTTCTCCTCCCTTGAGATCTTCCCACGTTTCCACGCATACAAGGACCAATGTCATTGTCTGCTGTGCGGTCAGAGTATACTCATAAACGAAACACATCATATTCAGCTTCCACTCTCGCGCCGACAGCCCTTTTAGTAGGTGCTGCTGCGATTCCATACCAAGATCTCTCAGACACAGCTCGAATTTGCGCACTAGTTTTGTGAGCGATGTTAGTCTCGAATCTCGGGCCAGCCTTACCACGATAAACGTCACAGCTCGAAATGCGGGGAAGCTCTCTCGCCAAGCGCACATCACAAGCCGCACATCACAAAAAGGCACAAGAGAACAAGTGTTTGTCGTGAAGCATTTTTTCATTCGATATCATGTCTCCACACGGAGATGTGTCAGTCAAAGGCCGTTTCAGAAGTGCAATGCGAGCAATGCGCTGGTGAAGTGCGACCGGTGTTAGAGTGACCATCGTGTTCAAGTAAACTCTCGAAGACCTCAATAGGTAAATTGACCAACATCCAATGCCATCCTTAGCCTAGCAGTCGCCTTCCGTGGATTGATTTAAGCTCGTGTCGCGTGTCTGCCGTATGACGTAGCTAGGCAACGTAGTCGAGTGAACAGTGAGTTGAGCGGACAGAAGGTGGTGCGCAGATCGGAGCGTGCAGTGATCGTTATCGTTCAGGACTGAGGTGGTGGATGCTGAGATTGGGGGCGAGACGTTTATTTGCTAGGGGTTTGTTAGCTTTGTGAAGCTGTAGAAATGTGTTTGCGGTGCAACTTACGAACGAGCCCTCGTCTTTCTTCTCTTACGCTTAAGCCTCCTGACGCGCTTCTTCCTCCATTTGGCTCTCATCTTGTCGGCTGACTGCGAGTGAAGTCAGTAGCTGTAGCTTGAACTCACGTCATGCGGGGTTTGCGGCGGGAAAGGCGGCCCTTCAACAAAGAACAAACCGCTTCAATATGCTCAATTGAGCATTGGGAACATGATGCTGGGCGCGGGCACAAAACTTACGTTGCTTTGAGATGAGTGTCGTGGGATGCAGAAGGAAAGTTACGAAGCTCGCGGCTTTGTGATGAGGCAAGTGCGTGCGCCAAGCCAGCTTAAGCGAGCGTTAGCGCCTTCCTCGAACGGCGCTCACGGGGCCGAGCATCACGCGTCGCGTCACCTGCCAGTATCTCAACGTGCATTCACTTCGTTCAGCAATTATTTAGGTGGAGTGGTGTTGTACGATATGGCGGATGAGGTTGTGGCATACTTCGACATTCAGCTCGCGGGTTGTGATCCTTACAGTCTGTGAGGCTCAATGTTTCGATGAATGCAGGGCACTCACACTCACAGATACACATGGCAACATTGAAGTATGCGGTAACGAACAATTCGTGCTGGGCAGAGACTTGAAGTGGTGAGAGTGGTCGTGTCTTGTTCGATGGTGCTGCAGATACTAACGCGGACGTTAGCCGCTACAGCTGGCACGACGACCTCACCATTTCCAGAGAACATCTTCGCATTCATTGCATTCTTTACGAACAAGACCCTGTTGCTGATATCGCCCCTTTCGTTTATGCAACCGATCTCTCAGCAAACGGCACTTACCTGAAGAAAAGCAACGCAGAATGCACAGGCCCTCAAGAGAGAGGGATCTTGATGGGCAAGAACGGCACCTTCCTTCTCGATCATGGAGACGAGCTTCAGCTATCAGAGAACGTCACCCTGGTCTATCACTCGTTCGGTACGGTCAAGCAGAGCATCCTCACAGCGACACAGGAGCGCGAGAAGGCTATCCTCTCGTCTAGATATCTCGTCACTGGCCGCCTGCTTGGTGAAGGTGGGTACGGCAAGGTGCTCATTGGCATTGACCAGAGGATCCAACGTCAGCTCGCTTGCAAGATCGTCAACCTCGAGAAGCTCTACGATCGCAGGGCGAATCTACGCATGCCTACGAGTAATGGTCAGTGGACCTCCAGTCAAGCGATCAATCGGCTGCCAGGCAAAGTTCAGAGCTGTTTCCGCGAGTTCGACATACTGAAGGATCTCAGTCATCCTAACATCGTTCACATACAGAAGGTCTTTTGGAGCCAAAGCACTATATACATGTTTCAGGAGCTTGTAACCGGCGGGGACCTCTTCTCGTACATCGAGTACAAGCATGGCAAGATTCCAAGCATCGAGTCGGCGGTCATAATTCGGCAGGTCTTGAAGGGTGTCCAGTACCTCCACGATCAAGATATTGTGCACAGAGATCTCAAACCGGACAACATCCTGATGACATCCCTCGACAGCGGCGCTCGTGTCGTTATCACAGACTTTGGCAATGCGCGGTTTTTGCCCAGTGCGAACACGCAGAATGACTACAGATGCAACAAACTGAAGCGAATGTTCAGTATGGTCGGCACGCTGGAGTATACTGCGCCTGAGATCCACAAAGCGAACGAGGCCATTCCGAGCCATTACGGCTACTCTTTGAGCGTTGACATGTGGTCCATTGGATCGATAACAGCAGCTATACTCACTGGCGAACAAATCTTTAGCTGTCGACAGGATGGCCCCTTCGAGGAAGATGCTCGACGCGTCATCATTGGCCTTGCTGCACAATGCGACCTTAGCATCCTCGATGACAAGTACCATCCTTTATGGGGTCCCATCGGCCATGCTCCGAAAGACTTCATCAAGCGTCTCCTGGTCTTGGAGGAGGAAGCCCGCATGTCAGCGGCAGAGGCCCTGAACCATATCTGGTTTACGCACCCAATGATGGCAGCTGAGTTCGAAGCCCAGTACGAGCGATCTATCAGGGGCTGGCGTCCACGCCACAAAGACGACCAGCTCATCGAACAAATCTCGACGTTGAAGCCGAGTTCTGGCCCACAGCAGGCATCGAAGAGCAATTCATTCAATGGTACGGCGTCTCGCCTTTTCGCTTCCAAACAAGCACCAGGTAGAGATGTACCGGCAGACGACTACCAGCGTACGGACGAACCACAGCCAGACAACCAGTTCGCAAGCCAGCCTGAACCTTTTTCGTACGACAATGGCTGTGTATACAATGAAGCACGACAGTACGACCAGATAAAGAGTTACACTCAGCTCGACGAGCACTATGATGTAGCCCGTGACTGCACTCACAGTGAACAACAGAAATACGCTGAACCCGTCGCGGACGATCCGCCAATGCCCCAATCGAGGAGACATGGAGGTCCGAACAAAACCGCTGCTGGTCAGCTCCAACGCGTGAGTACGTCGACGCGGGATAAGTACTTCGAAAGGGAGATCGTTGATCTGGACGATCTCGAAGGACCAGGTGCTGAGTTGGATGAAGAGATGGGTGCAGCTCACTTTGGCCACGATACGCTTAACAATTCACAGCGTCGAGGGAGAATCCGGCGTGAGGACACCGTGCAGGTGTGCACAACTCCATCTGCTGACGACGAAGGACATGAAGGCGTGGATCTGTGGTGGTACCAGCGCTACCCACAGACTCAATATCACTATGACACACAGGCAGAGCCCATCACGCAAGAGGAAGATGACGTTCTGGTGCAGGAGACTCCTCCCGAGGTATTCTTGAAGCCGTCGCGACCCAGGGCCAGGAATGTGAGCAGAGGCGACTGTGCCTTCGAACAGCGTCACGGACATCGACGAGTCTACGAAGCGGCCTTCGCCCACAAGATTAACAAACAGAGGAAGGTTTATGGCCGACAACACTGATCTACCAAATTTCATCTACGACTAATCTCCAAGCGCAACTAACCGCGACAGTTTAGTGCAAAGACTATGGCAAACCTATCAAATTTATCCGTCCATCGGACAAGGTAGCACAAGATAAGAATTAAGATTTCATCAAAGATCTGCCGCTCATCGTGACGTGGATGCCTCCCGGGTCATCAGAGGCTGCTTGTGCACCCCACCACCATAGTCGCTGAAGTCGATATCCAACACCTCGACATCTTTGAAACCATGCTTCTGATAGAACCCATATCCTTTGGTGCTGGACTCAAGGTATATGGGTAAATCAAGCTCGTCCGCCTTCTGTTTTCCCCATTCCATCAGTGCACTGCCAGCACCCCGTCTTTGATACTCTGGGTCCGTGTGTAGCATGTGAAGGTCTGCAACAAAATCAGTTCATGCTTGTTAGACATCTATGTGCAAAGATTATAGCCATACAGAGATGCGGTCGACTCCCCACAATCTCCTTCTTCCTCTCCATCATCCCACCAAAGAATTTCTTACACGCCTCCGGATTCGTGCCAGGACCAAACTTCAATTTCCTAATCGGTATCTCAGTTTCCTCAGGCGTTCTGTAGATGTGCCACTTCGCAGAAGCAATCATGCGTCCTGATGCCTGGTCGATGGCTTGCAAATATGTCGCAGTGGGGTCTTCTTTGCGCATCTGGATCAACTGGTCTACACGCTTTTGCTGCGAGTCTGGAGGGAATGGGCCGGGGAAGAGAATTGGGTTGAGGTCGTTGTCGGCGTAGGCGGCAGCTTCGATCATGCAGGCTCGGTGGAGCTCGGTGTCGGATACGGGGCAGACTATGATTGACATGTTGTAGTTGAAGATTTTCTAAGTAATTGAAGAGTAAGTGCAGTGAAGGAGTATAGGAATTGAATAGATGCCTGATGGATGTCGACATGACTAAGCAAGCTAGCTTTGTATGGTGCGAGCCGCCCTTCCGCCCTTCTCATCACCTTCTTCATTCATCTCATCTCGTGAATGTTCCATCAAAATCTTCTCTAAAGAACCCATATCAAGATCGAACAGTAATGAATCAACTCGTGTATGCGCCTGAGAGCACCATGCGCCGTCCAATAGATCTCACAGTGCGGCCCTTACCCGTCTCTGGAGCTGATCGACGACTTCCTCGACTCATCGTCCTCTGCGAGTATCTGTAGTGTATAAGCCTACAAGCTCGCTAGTAAAGAAAAGCGGCACTCGCTCACCTGTCTCGCACGAGCCACGATCCCTTCAGCAGCGAGGATTGCATAGGTCTTGCCATGAGGCAAACTTTGATACGCCATATCCTGGTCTGCCCAGCTTCGTCTCCGTCTTTGCCGCTTGTTCTCTGAGACGTTCAGATGCTACGTTCTGTTAATTTTCTGTCGCGCGGTGGCATTGTGGAAAGGGTTACCTGTTTGTACTCATCCATCACACTAAATCTTTTCGGCAGCGATCTGCTCAGGTCGGCTATAGACGCCATCCTGAATGCGAATATGAAAAAGGAGACGACGAAAGAGTTGCGAAGGAATAGGGGTTAGATCAAGCAACAAGCTTTGGGGATGAAGACCTAGGAGGTAAAGGGTTGTGCGCCTGGCGTGGCCTCCACCAGATGTTCCGTGGTACATGCAGTTCCACACAACCAACCACAGCAGATCTCGAGCAGATGAGCACCAAGGTTTGACCGTAACAGTAAGGTACGAGATTTTCAAGTTACGCAAAATTAGTCTTCAAAGATCCCTGCGTCGATCCCGTTGCTTCCGACATCGTTCCTTTTTCTGTCTGCATCTTTTTGTTGTGTTTCCTTGAGTCCAATCTCCTATATCTGCAGTGTCAAAATCTAGAGCGACAAAGTGAATACTATATCACGGCGACGGGCTTCAGCACACACATATCGTTCATGTGGTAGATTCCATTGCGCGTATCACTCATTGTGCCGCTGCCTGGAAACTTAAGGTCGCATATGTTTGGCACTCACATTGCTGGTCGCTCCGTGAGCAGCTATCCCTCAATGCTAGAACATCATTTCCTTGGGGTTTCCCCTCCTTTCAACTGGCTCGGTGACAGTTCTTAGGCTCGAGTGGCTAGCTTTGTGGGCAGTCGGTAAACTCGAGTGGCTGGCCTCGTGGACAGCCGCTCTTATATTTCCTCCGTGTTGCAGCTGGCTTCTAGAATAGCTACATATCAATCCGATGAACGAATGCGTGCTCTTCAAGTTGCTAACTGTTCCTCAGAACGACTTCTGAGTGTTTTTCAGTTCGTCGATCTTCTGATCGTAACTGGCGTTTCATCCGACTCCATTAGTGACACTGGGTGGATGGAGCGGTGTCTCTCGTCTCTAGTAAGCAGCAAATGTCCATCTCAGTCGCAGACTACTAGCATGTCATCCAGTGCAGCGTCCAAGCATGTCCGCGATAACCCCAACGACGCCTGGTACAGCACCGACACACATCACGACGCCACAAGCTGCAGTCAGTAACTTGACCTGCCCGAATTAACTTCCTCCGCACCGCACTACATCTAGTTCAAGACACACGAGGAGAATGTGGCATACCGTGAAGGCTGGGCGGTGTGAGTTGAAAGAAAGAAGGTTGAACATCGAGCCAAGGTCGCCAAGGGGTCAATCCACGCAAGGAGTAGGCAAGTATAGGGTCAATGTGAAGACGTACACATCCCACAAACCACATCTACATCCATGTGTGTTGCGGAATTCGATATTTCTGTGTCTCTTATATTGTCCAAACAAGTTATGGTTCGCAACCAAGTCCACCTCACTCAGCCAATGACCAGTTCCGGATACCCCAGGTCTCCAGGCAATCTTCTTGAGAGCAACAGTGGTACGGCATGCCATATAGCCCCCTATCCAGCTTATGATGGGGTAGAGGGACCAAGTATCATCAGCTCAATTGTTGCTGTACGGTACTCCACTCATCTTCCCGATGTCTTGCACTCCCCACACACGAGCAAGAACCGCGAACTTTTCATTAAGCTGCAAGTAGAGTTTGCAATGCCACTTCACCCATTTCCCAACTCTGCGAGCTTTTGACTTGTTCCTTTCGGCCTTCAAATAGTCCATGTATGTCATTCCAGGTAAGGTTTCACCGCTGACGCGAGGATCACGATCTAGTCCGATGCTGGTGTAGGGTGCGCCGTATGCTGGAGGGCTTACTGTCTCATTGTAGATGTAGGACGATGTGGGATTGGTGAGGTTGTTCCCGGAGCAGGGCTCGCCATATGGTGGAGGGCTCGTTGTCTCCTTGTAGATATCGATTGGTCTAGGGTCGACGGGGGTGTTGTCGGAGTTTGGACTGAGGCACGACGTTGAGTCGGTCATGGCGGTGTGTTTGCCGGGCGCCCTCATGTTCGGTTACAGTATAACGTTGTGCTCTGTCCGACTACTCGAGAGTGAGGATCGTAGATGAGACTATGATGAGTAGAGGAATGCGTTCCGTGTATTGGAGGTATGAGAGTTGAAATCTCAAAGGGAGAGATCTACATTTATACTCGCTCCTAAAAAAAATGAGGAGGAGAAACATACTGTCCGTACATCGTTGGGTGGTCGACCCATCGTTACGCAGTACTGAACCAAACTGTTCAGTCCAATCCCGGCGGACCTGATCGTTTGAAAAGGAATGATCTTGAAATATACCTTCGACTCCGAACCACATGCCGGTAAAACTCGCTCATAATCAGAATGCGTAGCCCGAATAAGAATGCGTGTAGGGACTCACTGATTGGTATCTTTTGAAAAGGGTTCATGCAGCTTGGACAATCAAAGGGTTGCTGTCCTGAGCCACCACTTACTCTTTCTAGCTACGCATTCTGGTTACGAGCGAGATCTACCGGTATCAACTGAAGCAAGATACTCAAATGAACCACGCACCATGTGGCCTAGACCGCTTGCTGCGGTTGTCCTGAGTTGTAATTCTTTACAAACCCTGAAAATCGAAACCCTGTTTCGGCACAAGCGTACGTTCCGCCAAACCGTGGGAGACACTCAGGAGAGCGCTGCAAAACAGCCTTCGTCCTTATTCTGCCCCACCCAAGTCTCGAGGCAGACCCTCCCGAATTGGTGACCGCAAGTGCGAATTTGAACACAAGTGTGCGTCTTCTAGTCGTAGGATTCCTGGCAGATGGTGCATGTCAGCTTCAAACAAGATATCAGGTGATGAAGGCGCATGTGTACGCAGCTCTCACAGAGCTGATCTTGCCAGGAGTCCGCCTCGCATGCTTTACCAAACATGTTGAAGATTCTGTGATAGTCGCTCGATGCTGCAGGCGTGCTATCCTCTACAGTGTAGGCAACCTTGGACACCATATGCCGTTTCTTTGGGGAGCATGTGCGTGACTTGCGCGTGCGGTAGCATACAGCTGTGTGATACACTCGAGTGTGCATATTGACCGCCAGTCAAGATAACTCAGAGGAAGTTGAAAGTATATCGAGACATATGTAGAACGCTGAACAGACTAGGAAGGTTACAAGGTTGAACCTTAGGTGTTGGCACAGACGGCCTCGCATTGGTCGAAATGACACTTTGACTATGCAGCCCCTCACCCCCCCCTTTGTTTTTTGCGATATTCCTGCGCAAGCGATGCTGCGTCCGTGTTGGGACCGTATCTCTTCTTCAACGCTTTCCGGAGTGTATCTTGCTGGGGCTGAGATCGTGTGAGCGCTGTGAAGAGCCGCAGGTGGAAGACTGATGTGCTAGTGTGCCTGATGTTAAAATACTTAAAAGTCTGGTGTTGTGGACAGATAGGGGGTCGTGTTTGGGCGACAAAGCGGTCACAGCTTCTATTTCAGGTCAGCCACGAGTCCAATCGCAGACGGCGGGAGGCGCTCCACACTCTCGAGGTAAGGACACTGCCTTACCACTGATTATGCCTTCTCTATTGTTTCTGATCCTACATGATGTACGAAATCTATGGGTATGAAGCGACCCACCTGCTCTATATGTACGCCTTCTAGATTCAAGTACTCCACAAACTAGCCTCGCAAAACGTGCTTCTACTCTTCAATCACTGCTCCTCCTTCAGGAAGTCCACGACCGCCTTGATAAACTCCTCAGGCTTCTCGCTAATAACCCAATGTCCACAATCCACATCAACAAGCTCAAACCGCGGGAAGAAGCGTCCAATGATAGGCAGGGTCTCATCGCTCACATAGTGGCTCTTCGTGCCTCGAATAAACAGTGCACGCTTGCTAAAGCTATGCTCATCCGGATTCGTAAATGGGAAATCCGCCATATTGTCGAGCGACTTGCCGAGGATATTGATCGGTATACGCCACTGCATAGGCTCGCCCGGCGCAGGTCTGACCAAGTTTGACAACAAAAATTGCCTGACTGGCAGCTCCTTAGCATAAGGTTGCATGATCTCGTCCGCCGCTTTCTGGCTCTTGGGCTTGCCTTCCTCCACTTTCTTCATTCCTTCTGCGTATTTGGGGAAGTCGGAGGAGAGGGCGGCGTCAACGGGGGCGTTGTCTACAGGGATGATGTTGGCGCAGCACGAGGGGTTGCGCAGGGCCATTGTCATGATGGTCTTTGCGCCCATGGAGTGTCCGATGAGGGTGGAGTTTTTCAGGTTGTGCTTCTGGAGGAAGGCTTCGACGTCTTCGGCAAGGGCGACATAGTTGTGCGTCTTGTCGTGGGGAGAGTCACCGTGGTTTCGTGTGTCGATTGCATAGACGGGGCGGGAGAGCTCGCGCGCAAAGACACTGGATCGTCAGCACAAGTCCGGGAATGGTAGGAGAAGAGGACATACTTGCTGACGCTCTGGTTGTTCCTCTTGCTGCCAAAGAGACCGTGGATGATCACAATTGGGTCGCCCTTTGCTTTTCCATTGTTATCGTGTAGTTTGTATGCGAGATCAACGACCCGTAAGCTCGAAGATGCGTGGAATGAACGTGACCATGACGGCAACGGGGTCGCGTTACCCAGATGTATCCGTGTCGCTGAGTTCGTAAGCTTGAACGGCTTGGAGAGCGGCCGTATACTGCGAAGTGTGGAGTGCATCGTGTGTTTGTTGAGGCTGTTCCGAGATCGCGGAACGGAACTTTTTTCTGGAAGCGAACGTCATCGCGCTAGCGATCCTTGAAGGGCTGATGGACCCACAACTTTAACCTTAAAATCAACAAGGTGAGTGCTGGAAGCACCTCCCAAAGGCCTGTCCACGGTTGTAAGGCTTGCGTATATCGTATATACGCGCTCACCAGGGCTATTAAAGCTCCTGTACGAAGACTGAGAACATATTCACTGCGCAATGATGCGCGTACGCAAGTCAACTCTCAGAGATATTTATCTTTCATTCATAATATGTTATGCAAAAACAACCATCCACCTCTCCAACTACTCCTCCTCAGCTCAATCCATCACTTGCAATACCAACTGTGACTTGTCCCTCCTATGCCCTTGCACACATCGTCTCACATCAGGCATACCTTCTATATCGCCTCTCCAACGTCGCCAGTCATATCGTGGACCACTCCTCACCGTGCGTCGTTGTCACTGCGGGATGAACGGGGAAGACCCTCTTGGTATTCTCCACAGCCCTTGTGCCTCGTTTGTTCGTGCCTGACACTATGTCCGCGACTCGGCTGCCTTATATGTCTTACCATGAGTTGCGAACGGCTCGCTATCGCCCATGATTGGGTTGAAGATGAGTTTTGTGTGGTGCTTGGTGATGGTGTGAGATATATGTGGGTGGTATGAGGAGGTTACGTGCGTGGTGTGTTGCTGCGGATAGTGGTACGACGAAAGCTGGTGATTGATATTGGCGTTGTGACACAGTTGGTAGTCGTCGCTGATTGTGTTGTAGTCGCCAAAGTGCTGGCTGGAAGCATGAAGGACATCATTATGGTCGCGACTAGCGTTGATGAGGTGCTCGCAGTACATGATTGCGCTCTAAGGCTGGTCTGAACCGTGCTTGCTTGACCAAGCATGGAGGTGGGAGCAGCTTTGGGACGCTTCAGCGGACGCGCTTGCATGTATGAAGTGCTGTTACCGCCATCGCCGTATCCTGAAACTGTCAATGCTGTGAGTCAACAAAATTTGGATGAGCTTACCATCTGAGTACAGATTTTCACTACTGCACTTTGGTCGCAGTCAAAGATTTGAACACATGTTTCCCGATTATCGGTCGCTCACCGCCATTGAGCTGTTCGACATATTTGCGGAGCTGCTGCGGATCCCTCCAATGAGCAAGATGCTCTTCGATGTATGGTTCGTAGAACTTGATGCCTAACTCGGTGATCGCCTTCCTCGGCTGGAAGAAATTACCTTCCTCATGAGAAAGCGAGCTCTAGGATGCCCTGCCAGCTCAAGCAGCCGTCATCGTTCTGACCTTTGAGAAGCGAAAAGTTGCTCGTTGCGATAGTCCGAAAGGGTTTGAATATCTGATCTTGTCGCCTGGCATTGTAATTGACGAAGTCAGGGGCAACTTAAAGTTCGCATCCCATTGCCAGTGCAGCTAATGCACAGACGTGGATGATCTCCAGGGAATAGCGTGTGCTCATATCGTCAACGACACTTTCGGCCGTTACAGAGTTCTTCGATCCACGGATGACCAAGTTCGCGGCTGAGTCCGCGATGGAACTTCAGAAACTCGATCAGACCATCTGAGGATGCAACTGTATAGATAACATCCAGCACACGCTGTTCGAAGTTGGGCTCAGCTGCCCGGATCATGCCCTTGGCAAGACTCCTCTTCAGGTCTGTATGCAGGTTGGAGCCAAGGTTGGAGAGCTCGTCCCGGATCGGGTCAGTCCGGTTGATGACAATGGGAGGCGGTTTTCCGCTGGACGGCTTTGGAATTGGTACAAGCAAAGTTCGGAAGAGTGCCGTGGGAAAGGTGACCTGTGTGGTGTTGACTAGTGTGTTGTTGACTGGTGTGACTGCATTGTTCGACTGAGCTTGCATAGCGCAGTCTCTCAGCGGCTCGAGTTGCTGCAGTGGCACTTCGCCTCTTTGGTGGGCAATATTGAGAAGCCTTGTCAAACCAGCGGCTGATGCGGCACTGCTAGTGTTCTTCAACACATTCTGGTGGAGATTGGGCTCAGCCTCTAAGGCGCTGTGCTTTACTCTTCCGTTCGGAGTGCGCAAATCTGTGCAAAAACTGGGACCGATGGTGGAAAGCTTGCGCCAAATTCCTTCAGAGAAGTCGTTGGCATTGAAGGTGCCAGCAGTTGGTGCTACATTTGTCGTAGCGTTGGCAGTACCTTGCTGTTGAGGGAATATCCACTGAGGCATGCTTGAAGAAGAAATTGGCATCGTTGACTGGACGCCTTCCATCTCATGATCGTCCTTAAAGGGCGCCAGAAGTGCAAGTCGGAGTGAATGACTGGTAATCACCTTCAGTGATTTCCGCAGTAGAGGCATCCTCCATCGCGCTATCTTGGCTAGGCTCTTGCGACATCGAGCCTGACCTGGAACCATCATCTTGTCTGATGATCATGTTGATATCTTCAGTGATGAGGAGCTGGAGGCCTTCAGAGTTGTCAGCCATGTCTGCGTCCTCCGATGAGCCGGCCGGGAGGTCCTCGATGGCGGCGCCCATAAGTTCAACGTGAGAACACCTAGCTGGGAGGCCTTCATCGGCGTCAGACATGTCCTCGTCCTCGATGTGTTCAGACTTGACAGCTCCAAGGACTTGTAGCAAAGGGGAGGTCGACATGTCTGTGTCTAGACCCCTCATCAGCAGAAGACAGCTCACGATGCTCCTCGGCAGTAGGTGCAGGGAGTGGTGTCCTGGAGCTGCATAGTAGCATATCAGCATCAAGCTCTTTAAGCTCCTTCTCTAATAGTGGTGGGAGAGATATGTGTGTGAGCTCTTCCATATCTTCGTCGGACAACATGTGAAACGACTGGAATTGTCTGCGGATATGCTTCATCTAGGCGCCCTCGTGACGCGCACGGTGTGTATAAGGGCTACAGTTGAGTAGCATTCCCTCTTTTGTCGACGGGCGAGTAGCAGGGTCATCGTTTTGAGAATTGACTTGCGCCTTGCTTTCCGGTGATGCTGAAAGGTGTGAAGGAGCGATGCTGCAAATGCGCTTCCTTAGGCGGCGTTCGTTCTGGACCCATGATGTCTTGTTAGTGACCTTGCGCTTCTTGATCTTCCTCGTGCTGGCAATGACCACATGTGCTCGCCATACTGCTGAGCGTGCAGTAGGCGGCGCAAGAGGGAAAAGATGTATGTTAGTCTATACTGTCAGCGCTTTATGTCCAGTCTGAGATACAGTGGCTTACATGAAGATGTTACCGTAGAGATAACGTGCGGATCTTTTACGTGTCCGAACAAAGAGTCAAGAAGGAGATTTGCAGAGAAGCGGATGGAAAATGCAAAGAGAAGATGTTCATCACACAAAATTGCTGGCGGTGACCAGAAAAAAGCTAGAAATTGCAGGAAAGACACAAACGTTGTCACGCTGATGTTGTGAGACGACATGGGCGAAGAGATATAAGGTGGCTAAGACGACAAGGTATGACAGGTGAAAGAATGGACAACACGACAGCGGAGCAAAGAGGGGCATACTTGACATTTAACTTTGTTTCATTCATCGTTATGGTGACCGAAGTGAGCGTAGGTATCGGCGCCTACTGCCAATGTCGTTCGACCGTAGTACTAATCAGAGGCGACAACACTTAGTCTGCATGACGACTTAGCAAGGTCAGATTCAAGCAATAGCGGTCGACTCACTGTAGTTGAAGTTTCCATCGTTGTTGGAGATGCGCTCGGACAGGTTGACGTCACGGCGTTGGCCGTTGCCCTCCTGGTCGAAGAGAGTGGCACGGAGGACAGGGACGGAGCCGTCGCCCTCGATGGTGAACTCGATGTCCTCAGCGGAGCCGGAGAAGTTCTCGCCGTCCCAGTAGAAGTGGCCTTGATGTTTATCAGTAAGGGTCGCGTACTTGAATGAAGGCGAGACTCACCGTTGTTGTTGCCGATGTGGTGGTTGAGGTCGATCTCGGAGTCGTTCCACTCGCCATCACCACGCCGCAGGCGGGCCTTGAGGATGTGGCCGTCTTCGATGCGGATGTCCTCAGCAGAGTAGTGGAAAGACATTGTGTATAGGTGAGTATTGGGAAGTTGTGGTTGAAAAGAGAAGCTGGTTTGAGTTGAAGAGAGAGTGTAGTTGAAGAGAAGAGGTTTGAAGTAGAGGGGAGATGCGAGCTTTATATGGGGATCTACGTCAACCACATAGTCGAGGCAACCGTGAGGTAAGAGAGAAGTGGGGCACCAAGCATCGCACCTTCCTACAAACAGTATCACGAAATCGCTCGTCAGCTTCACCGTGCTGTTGCACGCCCTCGGTGAGCGAACCCCAGGACCCTGAACTGAAGCCCGTGGCCAGGGGTTAGGAGCTTTCAACGACTGTCGTTGGCTGTCTCCGTTCGTCAGTGCCGCTGATCCGGCTTGGAGATCGTGAGATTCTCAGTAGTTTCTCGAAACGAAGCAGACGCATATCACGGGCTGCTGGACTCCGAGGTCACACCGTCCATTCCAACGACCCCGATGACCGCCAAGTGGGCACAGCCATGCAAGGCGCCACACTGTGGCCGTATCGCGCATGCGTGGCTGTGTGTGATTTGTGGCGGGACTTCGGGGCGCATTGCAAGTGGATACGTTGCGTCGACTGGCTGCATGTCGTTTGTTGATGCACGTCTGAGGCCGTTTACGAAGTGGGCCCACGATGGGTCGGGTCGTTCCAAGCTGGGCGGGGTACAGCAAGTCAATAGCATCAACAAACAACCCTTCTAATGACTTGATTCCTGTCTCTTCCTGGTTTCAAGCAATGCTGTAGACCACTTACTACTTGGGCTGTGTCTCGTTGTCATGGAGATAACACAAAGGATTATCACGTAATGTGGGGTGCAGTACGAAGTTGAACCTGGCCGCACGCTAACTTAGCTACGCACTACGTGGGCTGGGCGAGGCTGGACTGACCGCACTTTATCAATCCCGCGGCGCTCGATCTATGAGATGCTTTATGAAGTCCGTATCGTATGCTCTGCCGGTGCGTTTTGAGGCATTTGGAATAACATGGACTAGTGATAGTCTGTCACATTAGCAATGGCAAATTCGACCGGGTAGACGTGTAGATTGGCGTATGAGCTCTACTCTAACATTTTATCATTAACCGGTTCATCAAAGAGAGTCGATAAGCAATTCGTGTAATATGCATGCCCATAACTCCATTAACAAAGATGCAGCCAACGCCATCGCTCGCCGTAATGCATAGGATTCAAGCTCTTTTAGTAGGCCGACCCAGGTCAGACGGTCGCGCAGAAACCCTACCATGTACTGAGCGCAATGATACAGTAGGTAAACAGTGCGTTGCCCTCCTGGACCAGATTATCGTCCAGAATGTCCATCCAAGACCGATGTCATGTTGGACAACTCTGACAGACGCCTCCTCCTGGTCGGCCTCTGCTCCTCCTCGATATCATCCAGGTTCTTCTCCTCGTGAACTCGGAGAGTAAGCCAAGCAGCGATGATTGCACAAAGACCACCAAATCGCAAGACCCAAGCTACACTGTCGTCACCGGCCACACCACGAGGCTTCTGAAGGACCCTGAAGATGATAGAGCTAACGAGCGTGGCAATGACCTGAGGGGCAGCGATCGCGACATTGTGGATACCAAGAACCACTCCGGCGGAGTCCGAATCTCCAGCGTCTGCGCCCTCAGCGACAGCCTGCTCGTCATCGGTAGTGGGCTTGATGACGCCTCGGCGAATGGCGTCGCGCTTCGAGATCTCAGAGGCGATGATTGAGAAAGGTGCCCAACCAGTCAGACACCAGGGAACACCGATGGCGCCAACGAGAATAGTCGCGCCTAGAGTGGATTTGATTACGAACGTCAAACCCATGAGGACGGCGAAGAGGATGTGCGAGATGAACCAGGAGCGACGCAGGGTTAGGGACTTGATCTGCAGCTTGTCGAGCGCCGCAGAGAACTTCTCCATCTTCGTCTTAGGGGGTCCTGTACGCTTAGGCCTCAGCGCAAAGTAACCAGATCCACCCATAGAGTGAGGAGTTGCAGGAGTCAAGGGAGTGGTGGGCCTCATGGGTGTACCAGGTGTAGGAGGCTGCGGCTCCGGCTCAGGTGCCTGGAAGCTGGGCGGGATGATGAAGGGGAAGATGACTGAGCACAAGAAGGTTGTGCAGGCGAAGACCAAAAGGGCACGGGTGCCGATTCTGGTTGCATCTTCCCAAACCTTATCGATCTCTGCATCAGACATGTGTGGGTTCGCCTCGAAGAACGGATCGGCGTAGATCTCGCCAACGTAAGTGGTGATGTAGAAGAGGAAGGGGAACCATCCAATCCAGGCAAAGAACTGAACCTCGCAAACACGCTTGATCTGATCAGGAAGCCTCTTGACAGACTTGGAGAGCCCCTTGAAGAAAGCAACAACGCCTTCCTTCTGCTCCGCCGGTGGAGGGTCGCGGGTAGGGTCTCGCTCGCCGGCGGTACAGCTAATACCAACGGTGAGGGCCATGATGAACGAAGCAATGGCGCAGAGCACCTTGAACTGACTGTCGCCGAGCCACGGGAGGTAGAGAGGGAGGTTGATAAACCCAGCAAGGTAGCCAGCAATGTTTCCAACGCCAGCGGACCGCATAAGCCACGCGTTGGCTGATTCTTGCTGGTGAGTGGGGGCGACATCTACAATGTATGCGCGGATAGCAGCTTGGATGACGTTGATAGCGAAGTCAAGAACGTACACCAACAAAACGGCAAACACCATAGTGCTGTTGGCGACCCAGTAGTTCTCGGCATGGGCGCCGAAGAGTTTGCCAATACCAGCAACGATCTCACGCGCCCAGCCAAGAAGCATAAGGGAAGCCATGGTCGCAATCGCACCTCCGAGAATGAAAGGGCGCCTCTTGCCCCAAGTGATCCTGCAATTGTCGCTCTTGAGTCCAACGTAGGGTTGCACAAGGACACCTGAGAGAGGACCGGCGATCCAGACGAGAGCAAGCATAGACTTGCTGAGACCAAGGGACAACAGATAAGGCTGCACATATTGGTCAGAGGACGTTCACTCAAGTGAGTTTGTGGGATACATACCGAGCCATTGGATGTCTCGACAGACCAGCCGATCTGAAGGCCAAGACCACCGAGGGTCAGAAGGAAGAGGAAGAAACTGCTCTTCGTCTCCTCGAACTCTGGGAAATAGTCGTCATCTTCCTGGCCGAAGTTCGGTGTGATAGGTTCCTTGAGCAGGCGATCGGTCTCACGGGCGCGGTCGGCGGGGTTTATGAGAGGCGAAGACTCGTTGATGAACTCGCGGTTTGGCGGACCTCCTGACTCAGGGTCGCGACCGAAGGACACAAACTTGGGGCGAGGACGGCCAGCCTGAGAGAGTCGGGTGTCGATTGGTGGAGGCTGAGGCACGGATCTTCTCGAGGAGATGGAACTCGCCTCTGAGATAGTGTCGTCGTCGCGACGGGCGCGAGAAGAGGACGGCATGCTGGCGGTCGTGGTGAGAACTGCACTTGAGATGCAGTCTGCGCCGGCGATACAGACAGACGGCTACGGGAGTGGCGGTCAAACGCGATGTCGCTGCCTCTCGAGAGGAGTGCAGAAGATAAACAGACTGTTTGAAAGTTCCAGGGTAGGTGCACTACAGGTTTAGGCGTGGCAGATCCTGCCTATGAAGTCACCGGAAATGTGCCACTGGTCGACCCGTTGAGGGCAAGGGTCCTCTGCGCACGTACTTCGGTGTATAGCCGTCAACACCTGTTGCCCGTGCCAGAAAACACAGGACTCGGGAAAGCGAAAAAGCAGCGCAGCGAGCAATGCAGCACGAAACGGAAGGTTTTTGCGGGGTGGCGGTCTATTAAGAGCCGGAAGGGCGGTGAAGGTTAGGTGTAGCCAGAAGCTTCAAGCAGGGCATTCGTTCCGTGGAGGCGGGTCGTTCTGTGTTCTGCGGCCTGTCATGCTGTGACGTCGTGAAGCGGTTCGGAGGGCTAGACCGCGTTAGGAGGCGGTGTGCCAGATTGAAACCACAGCGGCCAAGCATCTTGCAGCAGCTGTTGGCGGACGCGGAGGTCAGGAGCTCCACCAGTTCGTAGCTATACATCGCTTGTTGCAGGTCTCTTGACGCAGCTGTATCGCACCTTGATCAGACTGTCTGCGCGCGTGTGCTGACAGCCGGGAACACGCCTACTGAACTGCCGCCGGTCGCGCAACGTGTTGCCTTATACAATCGCTCCGCCGCCCTTAGTCGCACCAAGCATCGAGACAGAACAGCCACCTTTCCACACGCGCACCCACTGCACACCCTGCACCCTCTGCATACCCTCTGCACGCGCTTCCCGGCGCCCACTGCTGATGATAACGCGACTGTTGCCCTAAAGTCGCCATGGTGTCGACAGTAGCCTGGGCCATGATGGCTCAATTGCTCAGTATGCGCCGAATAGCCTACACCATACATCTGGGCACATTTCGCTGACGTGACCTGCAGAGCGAGATGCCGTCGACGCAGACCCAGATGGTCAGTTCTCTCCGCCGTGCACACGCCTACCATCGTCCGAATGCTAATGCGCCGATACAGAGGAGGCCCCAGAGGCAGGCCAGAAGGAGATATTCACATCATGGGCACTCTCGATATTGATCGTGCTGCTCATAATAGCGCTGTTCACGAGCTACATCATGCAAACACGCAAGATCCAGGCAGTACACGAGACTGTTTTGTCCATCTTTGCTGGTACGTCGAGCGTTGCCTGCCATGCCCGCGGCCCACCTCGTAATCCTCCGTGCTAGAGCCTCACTAACACCCATCAGGTATGGTCGTTGGCCTCATACTACGATTGACCGCAGTAGGATCGGTCCTAGATGCAGTCAGCTTCGACTATCAGATGTTCTTTAACCTGCTACTGCCACCCATCATTCTTTCAGCTGGCTACGAACTACATCAGGTGCGCCATCTCACATGCTGTATCAAGAGGTCTTGCTGACGCTGTTCAGGGTAATTTCTTCAGGCACATTGGTAGCATTCTTACCTTCGCCTTTGCTGGCACATTCATATCGGCCGTATCGCTTGGACTCATCTTGTTCCTGTGGACTCGCATTCCACTCGATGGCTTCAAGATCAACTTTGTTGAAGCCATGTCCGTTGGCGCTACACTCTCGGCCACCGATCCAGTCACCATCCTGGCCATCTTCGATACATACAAGGTCGAACCGAAGCTATACACCCTTATCTTTGGTGAATCAATCCTCAATGACGCCGTTGCCATCGTCCTCTTCGAGACAGCGCAGAAGTACAAGGATGGCGCCGAGACACTGGGGATCACGAGCTTGTTTGAGGCTTTTGGTATCTTCTTCGGTGTCTTCTTCGGAAGTCTGTTCATTGGTGTCATGGTTGGCATTGTGGCATCGCTAACGCTCAAGTTCACGTATGTCAGACGCTACCCCAAGACAGAGACTTGTCTTATCATCCTCGTTGCATACCTCACATACTTCTTCTCCAACGCTATCCACATGTCTGGTAAGTCACTCCGCTACGTGCCATCTGACCTTCTCTCACACTCTGCCAGGCATCGTATCGCTTCTGTTCTGCGGCATCTGCCTCAAGCATTACGCATACCACAACATGTCCAGGCGCACTCAGCTGTCGACAAAATTCGTCTTCCAGGTCACCTCGCAATTGTCGGAGAACTTCATTTTCATCTACTTGGGACTGTCGCTCTTTACCGATAAACAGCTCGACTTCAAGCCTCTGTTCATCCTCATCACGGTGTTCGGCATTTGCGCCGCTCGATGGGCAGCTGTGTTCCCCCTGTCAAAGGCCATCAACGCTGTCTCGAGATATCGCCAGCGACGCCGCGGTGTAGACACGACCGAGGAGGAAATCCCATACGCGCATCAAGCCATGATCTACTGGGCAGGATTGCGAGGTGCTGTAGGTGTTGCCCTTGCAGCGGGACTGACGGGTAATAACGGTGACACCCTTCGTGCCACTGTACTCGTAGTGGTCGTGTTGACAGTCATCATTTTCGGTGGCACCACGGCACGTATGCTGGAGATCATGGGCATTCGTACTGGAGTGGTGGAGGAGATCGACTCTGACGACGAATTTGACATCGAAGTTGTCAACGGGGGCACATTCCAGCGCAACAAGGGCACAGGCATTGGCCACACTCCTCAACCCAGTCAGAATGGATTTGGGCTAAGCAATGTGAACGGCGCATACTCCAGCGGCTCACTGAATCGCAATAGCCCACCCACACGACCCAATGGACAGCCGATGCGGCGAAACTCGAGCAAACAACGCTTTGCAAATGGTGCAGACCAAGGTCTTCTCAGCCCTGGTGACAGCAACTCCGCCGATGAGGATGACGCGGACCTCGACCTACCACCAAGCGCACGCAGGTCGCCAAACCGACGACCCCCGCCACTCGGCACATCGATCGATCCTCTCTATCCAACCTCAGGCCATAGGATGGCAGAGACCGGTGCAGCAGAGGGTTCGAGCAGAGTTGCTACTGCGACAGGTGCCGTGAAGCAGCTGTTTAACGAGCTGAGCCACGACCCAGCAAACGCATTCAAGCAGATCGATGATGGATTCTTGAAACCGCACTTGCTTCTTGACCCTGGGCAAGGCAAGCCAGGGCCTAGCAACGTGTAAGATTTGGATTTGGAAGCATTTGAGCATATCTGGCGTTTTTGAGGGATCACATTGCGGCATCGCTCTTGAGAATGGCGGTGCATAGCTTGAAGAGCCGCGGCTACAAGCGTTCGCAGTGCATTTAGGCTGTAGCATTATGCCTGACCCAAGCAGTCAGGCTGTTGAATCAACATCTTTATCTTACAACGTGCCTTTGCTAACAACATGTCAGACTCCAGTGACGGTACATCCAAGCCTTGCACAGTCCAGCGAATGGCTAGGCATTCGAGGCTTGCAAAGTCACCAGGTAAGGCTTGAGCGCGACAAGGCACTTTACCCCGTGCTTATTTGGGAAGTGACAAGCCATTAGCGCGCTTTACATATTACTGCAGATTAATCCGCTAACAAACCTCAAACCAGTTCACTCTGCACAACCAGTCATCTTCAAGGTTACAGCGTTTCACGCCCAGAGCAAGAATTAACTTTACGGGGCCCCACGGCCTTCGGGCTCACTATCATTGCGGGGAAACTAGCTCAGTCTGGATGACATCCGCAGCTGCAGCGCGGCTCAAATGAAGGTTCATCTATCATCGCTCCGGTGATGAGGCGCTGTCGACAGCTCTCAGCCCCCAATCATGCCATCGAAGGACGCAAACGACGCCCAGAAACACTGGCATCAAAACAGCGAAGCCCCAGACAGCAAGCCTGAAATCGTGTACGCATCTAACGAACCTATGGATAGACAACCTAAGAATACTACTGCTCCTAGGTCGACAGGCTTTTGAGGGCAGGTCCGACGTTCCGCCACCTCTGAGATGAGAACCCTGGGCAATCATTAACACTATATCAGATGCCTGATGATCTTGCTATAGCACGAACATATCCCACCTGCAGCCAATGTATGTCGAAGTTTCATCTTCCAAGCTGCACAGACCCCGAAGATCACATACTCGCGGATTACGGGCCTACTTCCTGATGAGCCGCTTTCAATCGCGTCAGGTACCCATTACACAGTAGATGAGAGCTCATAATGGATATAAAAGGCCACCGAGCTTTCGAGAAATTCTAGCAACCGCACTCTCAGTCCTTCGCTCCTACTCTCCTTCAGCAACATGAAGCTCACTTTCACTGTCCTGCTGGCATCCGCCATCACTGGCGTCTTCGCCATTCCTACGCCCACCGAGCAAGGTCCCATCACTGCTCGCCAAGCGGCGAGTGCTTGCGCGACTGCTGTCACTTTGTCTGGCAACCCTTTCGCAGGACGTTCGATCTACGCCAACAAGTTCTACTCGTCTGAAGTCATCTCCGCTGCTGCCTCCATCACCGACAGCGCATTAAAGGCCAAGGCGACCAAGGTTGCTTCGGTCGGAACCTACCTCTGGATGTACGTGTGTGCGGTTCGTATAACGTAGCTTGACTGACCTGCCCCAGTGACACCCGAGCCAAGATCGCCACTGTTGAGGATGCTATCAAGGATGTTGCCTGCAACCAGATTGCTGCTCTCGTCATCTACGATCTCCCCGGCCGTGACTGTGCTGCTAAGGCTTCCAACGGTGAACTTGCTGTCGGCCAGCTTGATGTCTACAAGACACAGTACATTGACCGTGGGTACTCCAATTGATGTCGACTCACTCTCCTTACTGACGACCTCAGCCATTGTCGCTATTATCAAGAAGTACCCCAAGGTCGCTATCTCTTTGATCATCGAGCCTGACTCTCTTCCCAACCTTGTCACCAACATCAATCTTGCTACATGCCAGGCATCCGCTGCCGGCTACCGTGAGGGTGTCGCATACGCACTCAAGCAACTCAACCTCCCCAACGTAGCCATGTACCTCGATGCCGGCCACGGTGGCTGGCTGGGCTGGAACGACAACCTTAGTACGTGCCACTTCCTCCTTCTTAATGTCTCCCGCTAACACCACCATAGAGCCTGGAGCCCAAGTACTCGCCGACGCTTACATCGCTGCCGGCAAGCCCCAGTCCCTCCGCGGCATCTCCACCAACGTTGCCGGTTGGAACGCCTGGGACCTCACCCCCGGCGAGTTCTCCAACACTGCCGACGCGCAATACAACAAAGCCCAAAACGAGAAGGCCTACGTCGAGCTCTTCGCCCCCTACCTCAAAGCCGCCGGCATGCCATCCCAAGCCATCGTCGACACAGGACGCAACGCCGTGCAGGGCCTGCGCAAGGCGTGGGGCGACTGGTGTAACGTCAACGGCGCCGGATTCGGTGTGCGCCCTACGACAAGCACAGGATCGAGCCTCGTCGACTCGTTCGTCTGGGTCAAGCCTGGTGGCGAAAGTGACGGTACCAGTGACACGTCTGCTGTGCGGTACGACTCGTTCTGCGGGCTTGACGATGCTTTCAAGCCCAGCCCTGAGGCGGGACAGTGGAACCAGGCGTACTTTGAGATGCTACTCAAGAACGCTAAGCCGTCTTTCTAGACTGGGGGTGCTAAGAAAGCCCACCCGTATGTAACATTGGGGCCAAGGAAAAGGAGGTGGAGGCAGCTGAGAAGTGTGTGCGGTGTAGATAGATTGTGACCAATGCCATTCGTTTGAAGTCGCTCAAGTTTTCCAAGTGACAGTACGTTGCTTTCATTTCTCGCTACCTCATCGAATTCTGTCCAGAGGGCATCAGTTTAAATGTACAAGAGAGACAGCGGCTGAGGGCTTGTTCAAATATTATCTTGTCAATAACAGAAGTGTATGGCCGAGACCAGTGTTGTGATTTAGAGAGGCTCAAGCTCAGTTGCTGGACTGAGCACTAGGCGTTATCTCTATTGCGCTCTCCCAAAGTACTTTGGAGACCCTCGAGAGGAAACGGTAGCGGCGAGATAGCCTTAACCGGCCAAGTATGTGTCCTCTGATACTGTGTCTCAAAACTCCACTTCCCACACCCAACCGTCTCCTCCTTCTTCTGCGTGCCATTCGGTATACAAATCTCAGCAGTAACACCCTCCGGCACCACAACATCAACCCTAAACCTCTTCCCCTCCACAATCTCCCACGTCACACTAATCTCACCGTACGGTGATAGATGGCTTGCGGATGCAGAGGTAATATCCGCACCCACAACCGGCTCAACCCTGACTCTCCTCCACCCAGCCTCCACACACTTCAACCCCGCGACCCGCTCGTGCAAAAACGTCGCTACGGCGCCATACGCATAGTGATTGAAACTCGTCATGTCCCCCGGATTAATGCTGTAGTCGGGTAACATGCTATCCCAGCGCTCCCACGTGGTCGTCGCGCCCATTTTAATACCGTAAAGCCACGACGGACATGCCTGGTTGAGCAGCATGCCGAATGCGACGTCGGTGTGGCCCGTGGAGACGAGCGCTTCGCATACGTATGGTGTGCCGGCGAAGCCAGTGCCGATTTTGAAGGCGTTGAGAGATACGATGTGGGCGAGGCGGGCGCCTGCGAAGGCGCGTTGGGTGGGGGTGAGCAGGTCGAAGTGGATTGCGAGCGCGTAGGCGGTTTGCGATTCGTTAAGGACCCGGCCGTTGGGGGAAGTCCATTCGGATTGGAATTGGGACCGGGCGGCTGAGAAGTCGGATGAGTAGAGCGCGGCGTCGGTGTCTTTGCCGAGGAGGGTTGCGATTTGGGACATGAGACGGAGGGTTTGGATGAGGAAGGCGTCGGAGGCGAGTTTGCTGTCTGTTTTGCTGGCCCATGGGGCGTCTGGTGGTGCTGCAGGATCTAGCCAGTCCTGCGAGTCTTAGTACGAACTCATCAGCACGTCTAGGGAATACTCACTCCAAGCTGGAACACGTTCGGATGCCAAAGGTTCGGCGTTGAACTTCCTTCGTATCTCTGAATCTTCCCGATCCAGCCCTGCATGCTCTCGTACTGTGTTCGCAATATCTCGACATCCCCGGTGGCAGAGTAGACTGCCCAAGGACCTAGAACTGCGACGTCGTGCCAGATAGCGGTCGGTATACCCAGATCCCAAAATCGATCGCCTTCGAGAGGATCTGGACATACCATCGGCGGCAAGCCATCTCGTCTTTTCTGGCAGATCGCTAGATCCTGATGCCAATCTTTCAGGATACCAGTACATTGGTAGATGTAAGCGGCTGTAGGGGCGAACAATGCTAGGTCGCCAGTCCAGCCGAGACGCTCATCTCGCTGAGGGCAGTCGGTAGGTATCGACAGGAAGTTGCCCCTCATGCTCCAACAGACATTCTGGTACAGTTTGTGGAGGTTGCTATCAGAGCATTCGAATTGACCGGCTCTCTGCATGTCGGTATGACAGACCACAGCTTCGATAGAGTCAGTGAGGGAGGCCTTACCTGGCCAGTTGTCGACCTGCGCATAACGGAAGCCGTGAAACGTGAATCTTGGCTCCCAGGACTCGGCCTCTTGAGATCCCTTGAGAATGTATTCATCCGTGGCTTTACAGTCACGGAGTGGTCTCGTACCCAGCTCGCCGTACTCGAGGACTTCAGCATGCTTTATTGTGATCTTGTGCCCTACCGCACCGCGGACCTTCTTGATCCTCAGGTATCCAACGAGGTTCTGGCCAAAGTCAAGGATGGTCTTTCCGGAAAGTGTCGTAATCTGCTCGATCGGCTTTACTGTCTCAATCCTCCGCACTGGTTCTCCATAACCTGCGACGAGTTTCGTGCGTTCGGGCAGAGGGTCTAAGACTTCGACTGTCTGCCACGACTGACCGCCTCCATCCTCCAGAGACCAGCCATCAACTTCCTTGGACGCGTCGTACTTCTCGCCGTCGTAGATTTCGGTAAGTCGGATCGGGCCTTCCGTGACAGACCAGGTGTCATCAGAGACAACCTGCTGTATGCTTCCATCGTCCAGGGTCGCTTCAAGCTGCGCAATGAGCGTGTTTCTTTCACCCCAGATGTTACGCTTTCCTCCCTCAAAACCAATTCGACCGTTGTACCAGCCTTCGGCTACCCGTACACCAATGCAATTCTTGCCGGGGCGTAGGAGCTCCAAAATATTATACGTCTGGTACTGCAATCTATCATTGTACTCTGTGAAACCGGGCGCGAGGAAGTAGTCGCCTACACGGACACCGTTGATCTCAGCTTCGTACAATCCTTGCGAGGTGATGTATAGCCGGGCTGATGCCGTTGCTTGCCCAATTTCGAACGTTTTTCGGAACAGCTGCTCTGGGTATGACTTTGTTGGGTCTCTGATATCCGAGCCCGCAATTCTGTGTGCCGCCCAATCTGGAGCATTCAAGAGACCGACTTCTAGGATGCTCGGCTCGCTCCAAGGTGTAGTCTCTCCTTTTTCAGACACTCCTTGGATCCTGGCAGAAATGCGGTGTCTCGATCGGAGAGGTTCTGTGAGAGGCCATGGCACCAGGTTCGATTTCGAGGATACTACGTTGGCATTGCATATAATCTTAGGCTGCCCAGTAGGCGAGATTTCTGTGACTTCAATATTGTAACTCTGCTGCTGAAAAGGTTCGCTGCATTTGTACGTCCAGGATATCCGTGGCCCTGTCTCATGGACACCAAGCGCATGTTCCGGTCGATAATGTTCAAATCGCACGTCTTTGACAAGAGTCATGATTAGAAACGAAGAGACGGATCCCGAATTCGGAGGATCGTTAGGCCACTGATTGGTGTCAATGTATCTACAGGATGTGTTAAGTAGAGATTGGGTGCGTAATCTTTCGAGACAAAAGCAAAGTTTTCAGAAGATATGCAGTCCACTACGGCAAGTACATGCTTCGATGGTGCCTGTTATTACCTACTTCGTTGTGCGTGAAGAGCCTCATGGCGCCGGCGGTGGGGTTCACGATTCGCCCCACTTTTCTGCGGCATTGAAGACCTGCAATTTGCGTCTTCGTCTCTTGTTCCCCGCGACTCGGTGTATCGTGGACCGAGATAGCTTTGATGGCTCGCGTCCAGAATTCGATTGAGATGGTGAAAGTCGTGCGGGAAGTGGAGGTACATGGCCGGTGTTCTATAGCCAATTCTCTCTCACAGCATCAGCCTCCGGCGAGCGTTTGCCACGATGTTGGCCGTGCTGTTGATCGCTTCGTCAACGCCGTCAATCAATCCTTCGTCGATACCCCCCTGTCTATTCGCGAGCGTGACAATTTCTCCAGATTTTGGAGGATCTGGTGGAAAGCACGATCAAGGAAGATTGAGTATCTGCCCCGCCTTAGGCCTGCCTCCCCTGCCATCCTCGCCAAACCAAGAACATGGCAAAACACACCAGCCTCTCTTCGCAACACCACCGCGGATTGCTACTTCCCAGCAAGATTTTAAGTTGCTGTACAGCCTTTCGCCTGTTCCTACTTGCTGGCTTTGTGTAGAAGGGAAACCACTTGCCGGACTCCTTGCTATCAGGCTGCCGCGCCAGGTCTCTCGAGTCTCGTTGCTACCGCGTGCGCTTATCACACGCCCGTACGTATCGATGCGGCTCTTAGAGTACAGAGAAGATGGAGAGCTCAGTGTCACCGCCGACATGGTTGACGAAGACGCAATACCTCCTTACGCGATCCTGTCTCATACCTGGGGAACGGACGCGGAGGAGGTCACCTTCGACGACCTAGCAAGGAGCGCTGGCAAAGACAAGTCTGGCTACAAGAAGATCCAGCTGTGTGGAGAGCAGGCAAAGCGCGACAGCTTGCAGCACTTTTGGATCGACACCTGCTGCATCAACAAGGCTAACAAGGCTGAGCACTCGCTAGCCATCCAGTCCATGTTTCGCTGGTATCGTAACGCAGCTCGCTGCTACGTCTACTTGCCAGACGTGTCTGCTTCACCTTACGAACCTGACAAAGAAGCGGAACCGTCGCAATGGGACTTGGAGTTCCGGCAGAGCAAGTGGTTTACGCGCGGTTGGACGCTCCAAGAGCTTCTCGCACCTGGTTTAGTCGAGTTCTTCTCACAAGAATGGACAAAGCTTGGTGACAAGACATCACTTACACAAAAGCTTCACGAAATTACAGGTATTCAGACTCTTGCGCTGGAAGGGGCCCCTCTGTCTCAGTTCGCTATCAACGAACGATTGCGCTGGAAAGAAGGCCGGGTGACCAAACGGGAGGAGGATGGAGTGTATTCGCTGTTGGGCATTTTCGATGTCGAGTTAGCGCCGATGTATGGCGAAGGTGCAGCTGGCGCTTTCAGGCGCTTCATGGGCGAAATCCATAAGCTGGAAAAATGCGTTCAAGACATACACAGTACAAATCCGCACAACGACAAGAAGCGCATCGAGGAGACTAAAGGCGGATTACTAGAAGACTCCTATCGTTGGGTTATCGACAACACCACTTTTCAACAATGGAAACAGGACCTGCATAACCGACTGTTATGGGTGAAAGGTGATCCTGGGAAGGGGAAAACGATGCTGCTCTGCGGCATCATAGACGAGTTGCAAAGCTCACTGCCTAATACTGTCCTTCTAGCGTACTTCTTCTGCCAAGCGACCGACTCGCGTATCAACAACGCCACGGCCGTGCTACGAGGGCTGCTGTACATGCTCGTGAAGCAGCAACCGTCACTCGTATCGCACGTCCGCAAGAAGCACGATCACGTAGGTAAAACCTTGTTCGAGGATGCAAATGCCTGGGTAGCCTTGACGGAGATCTTCGCGGACGTGCTACGAGACCCACAGCTAAGAACTACATACCTGATCATCGATGCGCTAGATGAGTGTGTCACTGATCTGTCGAAACTGCTTCACTTTGTTGCAAAGCAGTCCTCTGCGTCTTCCCGCGTCAAGTGGATTATGTCTAGCCGCAACTGGCCAGAGATTGAAGAACGGCTAGAGCAAGCAGGGCACAAGGTCAGGTTGAGCCTCGAGCTGAACGCAGAGTTGGTGTCGGCGGCTGTCGGCGTCTTCATCCAATACAAGGTATCTCAGCTAGCACTGCAGAAGAAGTACGACAAGCAGACCCAAGACTCAGTGTTCGAGCATTTGACGTCGAATGCAAACGACACCTTCCTCTGGGTAGCGTTAGTGTGTCAGGACCTTCAAGCGACAGCGAAACGAAACGTTTTAAAGAAGCTGGACTCCTTTCCACCAGGACTGAACGCGCTTTACGAGCGGATGATGCAGCAGATCAGTGTGTCGGATGATGCTGCACTTTGCAAGCAGGTGCTGGCTTTGACCGCGCTCGTGTATCGGCCAATTACGCTGGACGAGCTGGTGGCCCTTACTGAACCGCTCGAAGACATAGCTGACGAAGCAGAGGTACGGGAGATCATCGGCCTTTGTGGATCGTTCCTCACTTTGCGAGAAGCCACAGTTTACTTTGTGCACCAGTCCGCAAAAGATTTCCTCTTTGCAAAGGCAGCTAGCGGGGTCTTTCCAGATGGGACCGAAGCCGCTCATCGCGTCATATTTTTAAGCTCGCTTGCGATTCTGTCCCGGACATTGCAAAGGGATATGTACAGCCTAGAAGCGCGAGGATTTGCTACCGACAACGTTGAACCGCCTGACCCAGACCCGCTAGCAGCATCACGTTACCCGTGCGTCTACTGGATTGATCATCTATGCGACTCAAAACCCAAGTCTTGGGCAAACAGTGTTGGCGACCTGCAAGTCACAGGCGTAGTCGATGGGTTTATAAGTAAGAAGTATCTCTACTGGTTAGAAGGGCTCAGTCTGTGCAAGAGCATGGGAAAAGGTGTGGTTTCGATGGCGAAACTATGCTCTCTGGTCAAAGTATGGCATCACAGACAATGTGCCTGTATTGTGTACTTCATGTAGACGCTGACTCTACCAGGAGGCGCGGGATGCGGAAGAGCTGACTAAGCTTGTCCAAGACGCACGGCGATTCATTATGTACCACAAAGGGGCAATCGAGAGCTACCCTCTGCAAGTATATGCATCAGCCCTGCTGTTCAGTCCGACAGAGAGTGCGATCAGAAGGCTGTTCCAGTACGAAGAGCCAAAAGGAATCACCGTAAAGCCAGCGATGAGCGATAGTTGGAGTGCGTGCCTGCAGACGCTTGAGGGCCATAGCAGGGCTGTCAGCTCTGTAGCCTTCTCGCATGACTCGACCAAGCTGGCGTCGGCGTCATACGACAACACCGTCAAGCTGTGGGATGCGAGCAGCGGCGAGTGTTTGCAGACGTTTACGGGCCATAGCAGTTATGTCAGGTCTGTAGCCTTCTCGCACGACTCGTCCAAGCTGGCGTCGGCGTCATCCGACAATACCGTCAAGCTGTGGGGTGCGAGCAGCGGTGAGT